GTGAAAGACTTTTTATTTTACGCTCCACCAAAAAGACACATTTTGAAGATTTACCTTCGCATTGGCGTAGCTGATCTGAGATTGTGCATCGCAATCAATGTGAATTTAGAGAATTAGAAGAGGAAAATGTTCCTGTTCTCACGCCTGGCAGAAATTTAGTATATATTTGTGAATGATCGTCATTGAAAAGTAAGTCTAAAGCACTTTTTTTTTAAGATGTTTCCTTTCCCAAATCGACTTCTCGAACGTGAAGTGCAAAATAAGGATGAAAAATGTTTATATTTGACAAATTTTATTGTTTTTGATAATCTCTCACATCTGAATTCTGTCCCTACGCCCTTGTGCATTCAAGATACTGAAAATAGATTCTCTTAATTTTCCACTTTAGCCGAAATCAATTGTTAATTTCCTGAATTAATTCCAACGATGCAATCTCGTGTCAATCTTGATGAAAAGCCTAAATGGGTGTTGAAATGCTTGTCTGAATCTTAAGGGCAAAGTTGCATATTTATCACATCTTTAGCCTCATCTAAACGGTTTTCCCTGGGCTTCTCCGCGTGATATTCATATTTTCACAGTTGACCACCCTAAAAAGCCGAAAGACTGCGCGCGGAAGACTTCCTAATGGCATGTTCATTAATTGTTTTGGCCATTTCATGAAAAATGCAAACGCCAGAATTGCATATTTATGCTTTCTCCGGTGTGATTTTCGTATGAATCCCCAAATAAATGAGAGGCAATAGAATTCATGCTGATCGAAAAGAGAGATTTCGCCTTAATGGGCATTTGATTCAAGAATTCGCTCTGAAATTTTTCTAAATGTTGCATGAAATGCTGTTGCTTTTTCGGGGAAATCTCGCTGGAGGTGTTGGAGGAGTTTTGTGCATAGAAATTGTGGCGCTCAAGTATCACTTGAGTGATTAATGATTTCTCAAAAATATTTAATTAACACTGTTCCAATGATCACAGCGTATCATTGAGATTAGATCTTCTTTTCGTGCTCTGTGGCTCTTCTTGTCCCCTTTTCACGGGCGCGCACAGACGATTCTCGCGCCGCAATATGAATAATCACCCGGGGATTGAATTGGGAATGAATTCAAATTGATTGTAAATGAAGTAACTGAAGTGTTTTACATCATGTAAATGAGCCAGTGTTACTGATCTCTTTGACACTGACAAAACATCTCGGGCAACACCAGAAGCGCTCAGGTCAGAGATGATCCTCGGCTGGCGACGCCGGATTGAAAAATGATCACACTCGCGTGAACTGTGATGGAATATTTATTAACAGCTGGACGACAGGGGCGAACAAAAAGGCCTTCCAAGTGCGCGCTTTTGAATACATTTGAAATTCTACGCGATCGCATTTTGATTAATTGCGGCGTGAATCACATTTCTCGGATATTTTCGAGCCCGTCACCACTGAATAACCATCAAGCCGCCCAATTGACACCCATTGATGGCGTCCTCCAAGGAGGAGATAGTGTGCTCAAATTCATTCCTTTCAAATACAGCCTTAGGTTCCCTCCTTGGTTTGCTCGACTCCGCAGGATCTAAATAAACACACCAGCATTCGAATAGAAGTTGAAAATCTCTCTGCCATTCAAAGAATTGAACTGAAAAATGTTTCTGAAAATACTTCAAGAAAATCCTAGATAAACTCCCAACAAATTGTTAGTGTTTATATCAAAGCCATAAGATTATTTGTACAAAAAGTTTGTCATTCATGCTTGAAGCAATTTGACAATTTTACCACTAAAAGTTTTCAGCTTTTCGTAGGAGTTCTCATAATAAATTCAAAGCAGTCTAATTTGATAAAAACAAGCATCTGCACAGCCTTTCCGAGCACAATATCTCCCCCTTGACGTCCTATCAACGCCCGATCGCGCGTCCAGATGATCTGGAATCTGGACAGATCGTCGACGCGTCGCGAGTGACAAAAATTTATTGCCGCCGCCGCGGAATATTCAAATGCTCCACAGAGATGCCAATCGGGAGCACACGAAAGCGTGGCGCAGGGTATTTAGCAGCAATAATAATATATTTCATTCTGGTATTAAATGCTTCTTGGTGAATAATGATCGTGAGAAAAAGTGATTTGCATAATTAAGTCGTGTGCTGCTCAGATAATGAGAAATCAGTCTCTATGAATGTACAAGGAAGGTGTTAATACATTTGTATATTTATGCTAAATTATTGATTTTATTATACACTCCGTGTGTTCTCGAAAACTGACCGCAAAGCGAGAGCCGCGTCTCGGTCAGCTCTCGAACTCATCGCGTTTCCCGCCCAAAATCGCCGCGCGTCTTGGCTAAGTTGCGACGGCCAGTTGCACGCGACAACTGCTCGCCATGGCGACAAAGCATTTTGTTGATGAGGAAAAACATTCATTTGTGCAGAAAGAAGACAAAGATAAGGCACTTGGGCGAAAGTGTCACAATGTCGAAGCGGAAGTAAACAAGAAAACGAGTCAAAGTGCAGTGAACTGCCGTGAAAGTGTGCAATTGTGTCAGCAATTGAGATAATTGTGCCCAAGGACAGCATGCCGACTTCCACGCCGTTTCAGAAGACGGCCAAGTGCGCCGAAACTGGCGTCGATCCCGCGAAGAAATACCTCAACAGCCTCATCGAGCCCAGCTTCCCGGAAAACGGCCCGCCGGCCGTGAAGTGGAGCAAGTCGCCGCCCTGCAAGGGGGGCATCTACACCTGGGCCAGCAGCCCCAAGACACTCAGCCAGCCGCGACGGAACCTCAAGAACACCTCAAAGTGAGTCGATACGGATTTATTGACCGCCTCGAATGTCCTGTAAATTTCCACTGTGAGCTGAAATGGTTAAATTAAAAGAGTCATCAAACCCTTCATTTAGGGACATTTGAATATTTCATGGGCGAAAACTTCTCTCCAATATTCTATTTTCTACGCGAGAACAAATGTGAACAATCAATCGCTTTCTTATGCTTATGGGAAATGGGATTTTCGAGGGCAAAAATACCCACATACTATTTCTATAGTATACGCAATACAGCTGTTTACTAACACTCCAAAATGAAGAAATGAAAACGGAAGTGAGTTTTCATCCCCGCAATAAATAAACAATAACTTTAAGCAAACCTAAGACAAATTGTTCGCTTTTGAAAGAGGATTAAAGTGCGTGCAAAATCCGAGAAAATGGGTTTTTATTGGGTTGTCCACTGCTTATAATTGAGTTGTGATTTACTGATTAATTTCCCGAGTTATATTCACACTTACAAATCTAGATTTGACTGTCAGTCGACGGATTAATCAGTAACATCAGAGTTTATTCCGAATGACCTTACAATGTTGCTCAACATTTTCACGAAACGCGCTTCTCTCAGTCCAATTTCTCACAGAATAATAACAATTAATTTTCCCAATGGAAGACAAAATGAAACTTTGATGTGAAGTTTCAGCTTTTGAAGGTACATTTGACGCAAGAGACTCAGCTTTTGGTGTTTGTGAGTCCTTTGAACCTGACCATTGCTTGCGTGCCTCGTCCTTCGAGGACTCTCAAGTGCAAATTCCCCACTGTCAAGGTGACCAGCGAGACGTCCATCTCGCATGGCGGCAAATTGTATCAATTACAGCGTCGAAATCAACAAAGTCCAAACGCGCTCTTCTTATTAAAGGCCTCGATTAATAGTTAATTTATCAGCGGCACGAAAATAGGGGAGAGATGGTGCCGAAAGGTCACCTTTCCTTTCACGGGCTCCTCAAAGAGAGAGATATTTAGGGGCGATTGATGGGGAGGGAATGTCCAGTTTCAGGAGAACGCCGAGAAGCATGAATGGGCCGTAATGAGTTGAGTGCTGGGCTGATGCTATCGAAGAGTGGGGCTGAGTATTATGTAAATTAAGGACACCTCACGGGTAATAATACGTGAGGCACAAGAACCTCCTGAGAGTGAGAATTTCTGGGAAATTTTCTCGAAAGTTTCTCCATATGAAAATTTCCCATTTATACACAGCGGAATTTATAGCTCCGCAGTCCGAAAGTCAGACGCATTTATTAGTCTCAGACGTTATATCGCACTTCCGTTTCGTGGGGCTTTTTCTGAAAGCTCTGGACATTGGTCAAAGTTCGTCTTGTCCGGCGTGTCCTTCACGAAAAGGACACGATGACGAGGTGTTTCACATTTTCCACCCACGAAAAGAGGAAATTGAAAGTCCGTCTCAGATAATTTATTCACTATCTTTAGCAGTGGAAATCTATAAAGAATCGCTCCAACTTCCCTCAATTAAACACATGCAGGGTGGCTTGGAGTCAAGGGTGGGACATTGCGTCTGAAAGTGGTGTACAACGCACTGAGAGTATGGAAAACATTTGCAATTATCCTTTTTTAAAAGCCAGAATGATATACACTTTCTAAAACACCTTTTGATTCCAAATTTGCATACTTTTCCTGGAATTTATTTTGGAATTCCTTCTAAAACTCACAAGAGCTTCTTAGAGGGAAGTGGTGTACAGATTTTAGCCACATTATCCACCATTTAGCCCTTGGCTGTAGCCAGCAACGCAGGCTGATCGATGCGGGGCGGTGCAGGGCAGTGGAAATTAATGGTGAGGAAGGAGAAAAATCGTTGTTATGCTAATTCCGAGGCGGAGAGTCAAGAGTTGGTGTGAGGACCGTCTTTGTGGCCGCGTGTGACCGGCCGTTATTTATGGAAAAATTGCTCCCCGAGGGTGGGTTCAGCTGACCACATTCATGCTGACTTTTCCAGAGCGCGGCGCAGGTGGAAAACTCCGCGCTGGCTGGTCAGTTCTCCTCCGAACTCCATCGCGTTCAGCCGCTTTCCCTGCCATTGCATGACGCTGCCAAGAAATTACACAGTCTATTTGTCAGTCAAATGCAATCAAATATAAATTGGCTAAATTGACGCTCTCAATTTGGCACGCGAAATGCTTATTTTCCACTTATGAGTGGAGTCCTTTTTCCCACAATCTCTCGTGATAAAGTGCCTTCGGAGTGCGATAGCGCTAAAATGCCGACAGTGTCTTCGCGAATGTCTGAAGATGTCCTTCTAGACGACACCTTCGCGGCGCCCACTCTTCCTGTGTCCTTTGGCGCCAAGCCCAACGCCATTGTGCGCCCCGTGCAGCGCACTCTCACGCGCGAGGCCAGCGAGAAGCTCCTGTCGGAGTTCGGCAGCCACCTCACGGACTCCAGTGAGGGCAAGACGGCCCTCAAGGAGTTCGTGGAGCAGCTGGACGAGAAGCTGAAGCGCCTGCAGGCGCAGGACCAGAAGGATGGCAGGAAGAGGGTCACGACAGTCATCCAGCGCCCGCTCTTCATCACCACCGTGCCCACGGGATACTACGTGCAGCCCTGCAAGGAGCCCATCTGCGTCCGGAAGGTCTACGCCTACTCCAGCCATCCGCGCGTCGTCGCCAGCCCGGACAAGTCCAAGCCACAGCGGAAGATTCCGCGCCCAGCTCTTGACCTGAAGCGTCACGTGATCTCGGAGCCTGTCGCGCGCAAGGAGGCTCTCAGGTACGCACTCAAGGTCCCCGCGGAATTGCATGCAACTAATCGGCGGCCCGGGGTGCAGAAAGCCTGCGGGACTTTAGTCCGGCACGTGAAAATCGATAGGCAATCAGCTGTCGCTGTTCGCCGTCTGCCCACAATTTGTTCCACTTGGCGCGGAGTGAGACAGGGATCATTAAAACGTACACTTTTCGTGGGTGACGTCAATTGGAGTGATGGAAAGAGCTGCTGGAATCTTAGATAAAGATCCTTAATAGATAAGAATGGCTTTATTGTGAAATTCCGTGAGACACTCTGATATTGTTCATAGCTCTCTGCAATCAGACACGCAATGAGCATTTCATCTCACAATCTTACGAGTTCTTGGACAAATCTCAACAGATTTCTCCCTCATTCCTATGGAGTGTCCTATGAGAATTCTTCAGAATTCAAAAGACAATCATATCAAAAATCCTACCCAATTCCTTTAGTGAAGACAAAGCATTAAACATAATGAATGCATATAATTCTCAGATGTACACAAAGATTAAATAGAATAATCTGCACATTTTCTCAAGAATTGTTCTGCATTTGAAACTATTCGTCGTTTTCGTGACAGAATTTCTCAGAAACCAACGAAAATGCCAGAAATTATTGGGAAGTGAATTTTTCAATGATGTTATCTAGAAGAATTTTCACTTTCCCCACTCGCAACTCCAATCGAAACTCTTCACGCAGTCCAAGGGCCTTCTCGAGACATTGCAGGCGATATCCGGAAGGCTCTTTGGCCTTCTGCACACAAAGGCGGGGTGGCGAATCGAGAGTGGGCGGTTTATGATAATTCAGCACATGCGAAAATCCTTTTCTCTCGCCGAGGAGAATGACCAGGAAGGGCCACCCACTTCCGTCTAGACTCCATAAATCGCCCTCCGAAGCTCGGGGCATTCCTTCGGATGAGGTCAAGCAACGGTCGGAGTTAATAATGCACGAGTGCGGGTCAATAGCGATGAAAAATTGACACAGTGTCGCTAAAGTCATCAAATCGATGGCGAGGAAATTTGAGGTGTCCTTTTGTTTGTCCACAGGGATTCCACTCAACCATACCAGAACATGATGTTCGACAAGCGAGTCGTTCGAGGAAGCAATTTCAATGCAAATGCAGCCACAATCACGGTGAGTTTTTGTGCAGTAATTTCCTACTATTTTGTTTTCTAGATGGTTTCGTTAGAATTGTTTTTCTAGGGGATCTTTTTTTCTTTTGTGATATACTTTCACTTGGACAGGATCGATTTTCTCTGGATGCGTTTTTTATGATCGAAGAAAAGAGGAAAAAATTGGTTTATGAGGTCATCAATTATTTGAGTAATTTAAGAGTGACCTCGTGACCCAATGAATTCAATTCGGTGCGATTGTTTGAAGTACTCAATAAATAGTTGATTGAGAAAAGGAAAACAAAATGAACATTAGTGACAAGATGATGAAACACATTTCCTGAACATTAATTTTATATCAATCATGACACATTTGATAAGGTCAGTGGAAAACTCAGAGGAAAATTACTCTTGTCCCAAGTCTGTTATTCGTTTTTCTGCAATTCTTCATCCTGTGTGAAACCAAAGAGAATTGAAAGAGTCTTGTAAATTTGCAAAAACACACTCACGCACTTTCACAGTGGAATCCCAATTTTGCCTATGCGGGTCTGCTGTCGGGAAAGGTGAGTCCTGAATCTTTGTCACGATGTTAGAGACAGCACAAGGGGCAGATAATGTGGTCGGAAGTGGTGTACCGACTGAGCTTATGTCTTAGGAAGCGGAAGTTGCATTCTCAGTGCTTCTAGCAAATTAGCGTAATTTTTTAGATTCCTCTTTATTTTTACTTAAGAACAATTGCGTAATCGTTACAATAGAAAAAGATGACCATAAAAAGACTGAATTTTTTGCAAAAATTAGGAAGATTAGAGCCACATAATCTCCCCCTTGAGACAGCATGAGACTTCCTTTGGGCACAATAATTTTCGATGTTAGTCAAGCACAGAATCCTTCCCAGTTTCCCTTCCGCGATCGCTCTCAATTCACACCGTGATATTTCAAATCCGGCTGCTTGTCCAGGGCGACGTGGATCACAAGGACACGGCCAAGAGGCGACAACTGCTGCGGAAGAAGCCGCGCAACCGCGGCGTCGTGGGGACGCCGCCGCCGGTGCGCGGCCGACGGCATGAGAACGTGCAAACGGAGAAGTACCTGGAGGAGCTGTTCGTGCGCCCTAGCGAGAACGACGCCAGCTGTCAGACGGATCTCTTCCTGCAGCGACCGCCGTCAGCGCCCTTCGTGGCCGCGCTGGCCGGCAGGGATGCCGAGACGGAGATCCTGGACGGCGATCTCAGCCACTCGGACCAGGAGGTGCAGCCCGTGGTGGACAATCTGGTGGGACGGTGCATGGAGCAGGCATTCTTGGAGGTCATCCACGAGGAGGAAGTGGCGGAGATGAAGAAGGAGCAGCAAAAGTGAGTTGAGAACAAATCTTTAAGATCGATTAAAAGCTTTGATTTCAAGAGTGGGACTTTTACAGCTCACTTGTGCTTTGAAAAGTTAATTTTTATCTCCATATCTTATCAACTAATTGTTCAATTTGCTCAATCTTACCTCAGATAGAAGACAATAAAGTGTTCGCCAACGTTGTGGAACATGCTTGGAAACATGTCGAGATTCCTTAATTATTTACAAGCTTTCCACGAATATTTTTTGTACGGATGAAACGATAATTCATGACTAACCTTGACGTCTTGGCACTTTCGCAGATTGTTGGCTCTTCGCGAGGCGGAGCTAGACAAGCTGAGGCGCTCAGACGGGGCGCCAAGAGAGTCGCCGGGCAAGAGCAAGAGGCGCATCACTGCCGCGAAGCTGCTCCAGGAGCACATCGCCGACCTGCTGCCCGCCATCCTCAGCTCCATTCAGTCCGTGACCGAGGCGGAGAACCGCGAGGAGCTGGAGCGCCAGCTGCAGCCGTGGCTGGCGCGCGAAGTGGCCGAGGAGATCGGCCACATGATCGACTCCAAGGAGCTCCTGGGCGAGATCGTCAAGGAGATCCTGCGCGAGCGCGCCGAGCTCTACGGCACGCTCTCAGAGTCCGAGAGCGAGGCGTCGCTGGCGCCAGAGCGCAAGCGGAATCAGATCAAGAGCGAGGATATCAACGATGGCAAGGAGAAGGCGATGTACATCGAGGGAGACGAGATTCTTTATCGTCGCGAGCAGTGACTTTAGTAGCAATTCCAAGTTACATTTCAACAATAAAATACTTCTTTATAATGTGTAGAAAACAATCACTTCTTCTTCTTCAGCTCCTCGAAGCGCCGCGACAAATCGTCGAAGTCGATGTCGTCGTTGTCCTCGGGCGGCACGTCCGGCAGATCGCTTGGCACGTTGGGCAGATCCGGGAACGGCTGGCCGGCGCCGTTGCCCATGTCCGGCGGGATCTTCGAGCGCGGCTGCGGTTTCGGTTTGGCCGAGTTCTGCAGTTTGGGATAAATCTTTCAAAATTCCCGCGGGAAGAAAGACAGCGGTCAAAATTGGTCATCGAAACACTCCCATGAAAACGAAACACTGAGCGGAATGTTTTAGAGCAGTGGCGTAGCTAATAAGAATATCCTTCTAGGATTTTGTCGCACAGCAATTTCTTTCTGGAAATATTAATTTTGTCTGGAATTTCTGAAAGTTTCACGCAATCAATATTTGAACACTTCGCGAACGCAATACTTTGAAATTGAACCGTAAGTCTGATGAGTGCATTGTGACCTAGTTTTATGGATTTCTCAGTCTAATGGCAAATTCCTTAATTTCTGGTGTTCCCTTTGAAGGTTCTCAGACTTTAGCTGCGCCACTGCGCCGGACAGAAGTTAGTTCGCGGGCCTTTTCATGGGAATGCCGCCCTAATTCGTGTTACTTGGAAAAGAGAGAAGAGGCGTGAAAGGCTGGGAAACGCTCGAATCCCGTCCAAGGTTTACTCACGCAAGTCCACGAGTGGTCAGAGAGGGGTTAGGCGAGTGAGAAGAGAGTTAGTCACGCGGAACAGGTGAGGATTGGCATGGCCTTTACCTGCAGATTGTCGTCCGGCGAGATTGTGGAGTACGGCGGCGGCAGCGAGTGGCGCTCGTTGTCCACGAAGTCCGTATTGATGTTCAGGTCCTTCTTCTCCCCAGATGCTCCGTGCGGGTTCGGCGGAATGTTGTAGGTGAAGGGCGGCGCTGAAGCGCCTCCGGACGGCCCCGGACCCATGTTGGGATATTCGAAGGGCTTCCGCATCGGCGGCTGCGGCATCTGAGGCAGCGGCGGCGCCTGCGGGAAATCAATGAAGCCCGGCGGCATGGGAACGCCGCCATCCAGGTTGTTCCTGTCGCTCAGATCGATGAGAATGCCCTCCTCCTTGGCCTCGCGCATCACCTGCGGATCGGGCTCGTACTCGATGTTGTAGTTCTTCGCGATCTCGATGAGGTACTTCTCCACCAGCAGCTTCGGCGGCGCCTGGATTGCCAGCTTGTGCATCAGCTTCTCGGATACATGATGACCAGGCGCGGCAGCGCGACAGGCTTCGGCGTACGGCTTCCCATACTTGGCTGTGAACATTTCCGCGATGACTTTCAGCTCCTGAACGTCCGTCTGGAGGCGTGGTGCCACCCAGATGAGACTTGCCACCGCCTCGGCGATGCCCTCGTCCAGATCCTTCATCTGCGTGACGAGCCCGAAGCGTGCCAACACCAAATCACAGTACATTTCCACGATCTCCATCGCCTCCACCAGATAATCCTCCCGGATGATGTGCTCCACGCGGATCCTCGCCCTCTCCGCCTTCCCGCCACCTATGTAGTCAGCAATTTCCTGTTCACACATATGAGAGAATCATTAGAAGTCCCTGGCGAAATGCCCTCAGACAGCTTCCGGAAGGCTGATTTCTCACTCACCTTTCTCGCCTTCTGTGTCAGCTCTGTCTTCTTCTTCTCCAGCAACTTGAGGCGATTCAGGGACAACCTCAGGTTGGTCTTCAATTTGGTGTAATTGGGGCCACTGGAGAACATCTTGAGCTGAGAAGTGCGCGTCCAAACTCGCGAAAAACACGGGGAAAAGTGACTCACTGCTGATCTGCAATGCGAGTGACTCAATTTATCGGAATTTTCCGGAATTCCGGACTCTGAGCCACAAAACCCCTTGCAACAACCACTAACCTCACAGTCGTGCCCCAAGATGCGACCGAGGAGTATCGCGGAAGCTGGCCAAAAGCCGCTGGACAGTGTCCAGGCGCCAGTGCGCTCCCACCCAAATTATCCGCCGTAGTGAAATTCGCGAAAAGTGCGTGAAATCCGCTGAGAAGTGAGGAAAATGGCTTAATTCCCACTCATCGGCCGCAGTGGAGCGCCAGTGGGACCACTGAGTGACACAGTGGCCATGCTTCAAGAGTCCCACTGTGGAATCCATGTAAGTTCTGCCTACCACTGAATAATTCAAATCACGCGCCGCGTTTGTCCAGTTTGTCAGACACGCACACACTCACGCGGCGGTTGTCAAAACTTCCACCTCGCCATTTTGCTTTCGGAAAAGTGTGATGCCTTTGCTGGCGGTCGTTTTCACCCTGAAAATCTCCCTTTTATCATCTTTTAGCAATGCATAGAGTCTCATAGGATTGTAGATAAGCGTGCAATTGAGGTGTTTTGCATATCACACTTCAATCATTTTATACGGATTGCGCGGAATTGAGGTGAGAAAATAGTGCTCAGCAACGTTGTCGACCATTGCTTTTTGGGGGTCTTTCCGTAAAATTGGGGCCACTCTTTCACCCTTGTGGGGAAGCTTTCATCTCTGTGGCGGTGAAGTTTGGTTCTAAAATCTTCCCCTCGAGGCCGGAAAATAGACTTTTCCTCTGCTCAACATTCCGAAGGACAGAAGATGTCAAATTGACGGAATTTCACAAGTTTTTCTCTTCTTTCAGGAAGATTTTTCGCAATGGCTCAGTTTTATGTTGTACAGAATTCAGACGACAACGAATGCTACATTCCCGCCGGCATCAGATTCGTCAATCTACCGGATGACGTGCAGTTCCAGCCGCAATCGCGGGTAAGTTATCCCGGAAAGTCGCTTCCGGACGCCAGACTGACGCTTTGTTTTCCTCCTCAGCTGATTCTCACGGAGCCCGTAATAGCGGACCAGCAGATGCAGTATGTGTACCAGCGACCGGCCACGCAGCAAGTCGCTCAAACGCAACAGACGCAGTTCGTGATCCAGGATGACGACATCGTGACGGATTCCTTCACATCCCACCAGGTAATGTGCAAGAGAAACGCTCTCTTTCCCGGGAATTGTCCCGAGAAGAAAAGAACAGCAATTTGGGGACAGGAATACATAATCGGGTCGTTCGTTAACCCTTATCAGGCCGTAAAAATCACAGTGGAGTTCTGGTTATTTAACTAGTCTCGATTTGTTCTGATTTAGCCACATATAAGTGAATTTGTTTGATCAACTTTGCCGTCTGCAAATCTGATTAGTGCGAAAAGTCTACTGTTTATTGCCTCTTATCTTTTCTAAGAATCGTCTGGCCTATTGCAGATCTACGTCTCTGCCGACGCGTCGAACGAAATGATCCAGCGGCAGTTGCAGCACTCGGGAATCGTGCAACAGAACCAGGAACAGCAGCAGCAAGTGATCATCCAGCAATCGCCGCCCACGAATCGCGTTATTCTGCAGTCGTCACCCAGTCAGCCGGTCATCGTGCACCAGTCTGGCTTGCAGGCGCAGACGCCCGTGGTGCTAAACAGCCAGCCGCAGCTGCAGCAGCCGCAGCGCCAGTTCATCTACGACTCCACGGGCCAGCGGCCGATCTACGCCATCACGACGCCGGCGCCGCAACCTCAGATGCAGCCGCGCCCACAGCAACAGCTGCGGCCGAGCCTGATCGTGCGGCCGCAGCAGCGACCACAGATTCGCATGCAGCAACCGACGCTGACCTACCAGGCGCGGCCGCAGACACCGAGCACGACGGTGATCCAGCAACGTGCCAGCATCGCTCAGACGCGTGTTTCTATGCCACAGCCAAGGCTCAGCATTGCGTCGCCGGTGCGGCAGCGGTACAGGCCGCCCGTGCCGCGATCTCAGGTCACAGTGTCGCCGCAGCGCCCTACGCGGCCAACGAAGTTCACCAACGTGTCGCCGCGGCCACAGAGAGTGCTAAACGCGGGCCTGGTGAGAATGTCGCCTCCTGAGCGCGCGGCCAGCTTTAGTGGCACGCCGCGACCGCTGACGCCGCTGGCGAAGGTCAATCGCACCTTCCCAGTGGCGGCAGCGCCGAAGCCACAGACGACGGTGCCCACGCCGGCCAGCAAGCTGGAGGTGCGCAATATCGTGCCCACGGCGCAGTCCTCGAGCGACCCAAACGGTGACCTCGAGGAGAGTATCACGGCGTCGATCCTGGAGAAGAGTCAGATCACGCTCAACCTGCCGGACGGCGCGACGAAGGCAGAGGAATTCACCGACGGCGCTCTGAACGGCGGCGTGGCGGAGATAAAGAAGAAGGTCGTGAGGACTGTGGACACGAGTCGAGGACGTGGCCGCGGGCAGATCGCCGCAGCGCGGCCGGGTGCGAAGCGACCGGTAAACCAGTCGGTGCAAGATCTGTTCAACAGCGTGTCCAGCGACGTGGAGCAGCAGAACCAGCAGATGCTGCTAACGCAGAGCAGCCCGGAGTGCGAGACGCGCGAGAGCGCCAAGATGCTGGTGATTCTGCAGTGCGGTGAGCAGCGGCTGATCACATTCACGTTGCCCAAGGAGTCGTGCACGGTGCAGGAGCTCCTGGAGCAGGTGGGTGTGCCGTTTACGCCTGACACGAACATCCAGTGTGTGTCAAATCCGGGCGCCAACATCGACTACGTGGTGACGGTGGGAGATCCTGTGCAGGAAGTGGTGCCCAATAACCTGATCGGCGCCGTGGAGCAACAAGAGCAAACGTCGCAGCCGCAGCGAACGCCTGTACGGCCGCCTGTGGCTTCTGTGGGCCAATTTGCCACTTCCACGCCCGTGCAGCGTGCGCCGACGTTCAGCACGCCCATTCAGCCGCAGCTGACGCCCATCAAGAGCGCGCCGACAGCGCCAGAGCCGCCCAAGCCGCCGGAGCGGAAGATCATTCAGGGATGGCTTGCGGTGTGCGGCAACTGTGGCTTCTGTGGCATTGATCACGCCAAGTGCGAGCGCTGCAATCACATTCTGGGCGACAGTCCCAAGCGGATTCCCTGCAGCACGCCCAAGCCCACGCCGCCCACCATGACGCCGCCCGTCCGCACGCCAGTGCCCGCGCTACTGCAGGCGCAGCCCAAGGTCACCAAGCAGTTCGTGCGCATCCAGAAGGACGCCATCGCGACACCCAAAAAGCTGGAGCTCGTGAAGAAGCCAGAACTCGCGAGGTCCGTCGGCACTGCGACCACGAGCACGCTGACCAACTCCCTGCCTGCGGCGCCGGTTAGCGCCGGTCTGATTAAGGCGGCGGACAGGATTGGTGCCAAGCCGCGCGGCGGCGCCGCCGTGCGCGGCAGGGGAAGGACTGCAAAGCCCACAGAGCCGCAGGAGCCGATAATCCTGACGCTGAGCAGCGACGACGAGGAGGACGAGAAGAGCAAGACGCAAACGGTGGCCAAGAAACAGGTGAGAAATGATTCCTTACTCTGAGCGCTTTTGCGATCGTTCGGGATTGGAGCGTGGGACGGGGGAGCGCGAATCATGGGCGATGGAGAAGACGAAGATGAGAAAAAAAGCAATGAAATTCAATTGGGGTTTTACTATTTTTGAAATAATTTATTTCCTTCGCCTTGTGCCGACTAGTGTTTAGCGAATCCGTGATTGAAAATGCTTAATTCAAATTGCATATTCCATAAATTTTTATTGGAATTTATCACATATTCCATGTCTGTTCCGAAAAATCCTACTTTTACATATGAAAAAGAGTTTTTGAGCTTAATTTACATATTTTTGTGCACTTCATGGAATCCTAATTTTGCAGGTGGCTGAGAAGGTGGCTGAAGTGAAGGCGCTCGCCTGTGAACCCGTGATCACTGAGAAAACCAGTCCAATTAAAGGTAAGTCGGGGAAATTCTTTTTCCGCCCTTTTTGGTTAGGGAAATCTACATGGAATTGCAATGGCGCTGCCGTCGCTCAGGTGGCAAAAACTCTCTTTGACAGTCAACATAACCTTAAAAGTGCGTAATTTACCGTGCGGGTCAAATGTTGCAGTTTTTTGTGAAAAATCAATAGATTTTCAGTGAAAATGAGCTTTTTACGTGAGTTGGGGGCGAAATGGGGAGTTTCCGGGGGGTTTTGTGTGGGATTTTGCATGAAAATTGGGGAATTTTAGGCGATTTTCAGGTGTAAATTGTGCAGGTTGAGAAACATGGAAGAGACTTGGTGTTCTTTTTTTCTTTCCAGGAGATCAACGATTAAGTATCACAGATCTATCGAATGTTCCTGATAAGTTGATGACTTCCATCCAGTGCCAGACAATTCGGATTGGAACGCTGCAGTATGAGCCGAAAGAGCAAGTGAGTTGTGTGACTTCCGGAGAGGCGGCTGAGAGAGAGTTTCATGGGTGTTTGAGTGCTTTCAGGTGATTTTATCATCGCGAGGTGTGCGGATAATAGCGCCAAGTGTGAAGAATCCCAAGGAGAACATAATCCTGGATGTGCAGATCAAGGAGATCGTAAAGATTATAGCGCACTTCCCGAAGAAACTGCCCATTCTGTTCATCTACACGACGCCCAGCTGCGCTCAGTACATCCGGAACAGCCTGGACATGGCGAGCAACGCCACGAGCGGGCCATACTTCGATCCCTGCACGAAGCATGAGTCCGTGCGGCGGATCACGATTCTGGCGGAGGTGATAACGGATGAGACGAAGTCTGTGATCAAGTCGCTGTACAGCACGGCGGAACTGGAGGAGATCACGTTCAAGGATGCCAATGAACTCTACAAGCGCTCCACAATGAAGCTCACGATCTCGTCTAGTGGCTCAAATGTCACATCGGCGGATGAGGGCGCTGGCAGCGAGGATGTGCACCAGATCCTGATCTATCCGCAGGGTAAGGGTGGGATTTCCATCAACACGGAGGATTACAAATGTCTGGCGATTGATCAGTACTTGAATGATGTCATCATCGACTTCTTCCTCAACTACCTGCGCCTGTCGATCTTCACAGAGGAGCAGCGCGCGAAGACGCACATCTGCAGTTCGTTCTTCTACAAGAGATTGACGGCCATGTCGACACGCCAGCGCCAGATGGAGAAGGATCTGAAGATGACGGCGTCGCAGAAGAGGCACCATCGCGTCAAGGGCTGGACGAAAAGTGTGAATCTGTTCGAGAAGGACTTCATCATCATCCCGATTAACGAGCAGAGCCACTGGTTCCTCGCCATTGTGTGCTTTCCGGGGCTGAAGGGGCCGCAGACGTTCGATGGTGGCGTGCCGGTGAAGGTGGCGCCGCTGGTGAAGAAGAAGACCAGCGATGGGGAGAAGAAGGTGAGCGTGACTATCGGCAACACGACGATTACGCCGCTCACGAAGAAGGAGGAGGCGATCTTTCTCAACGACGACTCCATGAGTGAGCGCGACGAGGCGGAGGCGGATGAGAGCGACATGGAGAGCGAGGAGAGCGAACCGGAGGCAGATCCTGACCACCAAGCGATTAAACAGTGAGTTGCTGCTCTTCCCGGTTGATTTCTCTCGGGAACTAATTTGTGTGTCCCTTTTGCAGGCCGTGCATCTTGATCTTCGACTCCCTGGCTGGAGGCTATCGGAGTCGCGTGGTGGCGACGCTGCGGGACTATCTGACGTGTGAGTACAAGGCGAAAATCCTGCCCACGTCGAATCACACGTTCAACAAGGACAACATGCCGGGACACTCGGTGAAAGTTCCGCAGCAGAACAACTTCACGGACTGCGGCCTGTATTTGCTGCAATATGTGCAGGAGTTCTTCGCGAATCCCATCAAGGACTACCGGCTGCCCATCAAGCAGCTGCAGAACTGGTTCTCCACGATCGTGGTGACGCGCAAGCGGGAGGAGATATCGAATTTGCTTATGGATCTCGTGAAGGAGAGTCATCCGGAGCGCCTGGATCTGCTGCCGGTCATTCAGTTTCCCACGCAGGATGGCAAATTGATTGAGACGGAGGAGAACTTTGAGGAGACGGCGGAGTTCGAGGAGGAGGAGCTCGATGATCCCAACTTCGAGATGGAAGATGAGGTGAGGCATAACCTCACATTCGATCAGCTGATCGGCATTCCCGCCAAAAACGGACTAATTTGTGGTTATGTTGCTCTTTCAGGAGACGGATGGCACGGAAGAGGAATCGCCGGAAAAGAAGAACGGCAGGAAGTTGATCAAAAGGACATTTGATAAAAGTGAAAAGAATTCACCGGAGAAAAAGATACCGCGTACGAATTAATGACAATTCTTTCAATTGTAGAATAATAATTTCACACCATCGGATTCTTATCAGGCTTATCACTTTTTTTTCACACTTACATTAGGTTAATTTGTCAGGAATACTGACTGTCATCGTACATGGGAGAGTGACAGATGTGGCGTAGGCTCGCTGCTCTCACCATTTGCATGCCATGTAAGAGTGGGACTCATGTTAATTACATTATTTTTAGGGTTACTATTTAGCTTTATTTATGGTTATTTGAAGAAGAAATTGAATGTAAAAGCAAAAGTAATTGTTCATTTGGCTATTGCAGAGGAGGAATAAATAATTAGTAGGTGGAAAATGGACTAACCTAACTTCACTTGCGGCTCCATTCGCGACAGCATACATGGGATTTGCATGCAAAATGATGGCGTACATGTTTTCCGGAGAGACTGAGAATATTCATGAAAACCCACTGAAAATGTGTAGAAATTGCGCTGGAAAATTGATTTCCTGGTTTTTCTTGGACAATATTTTTAAAGAGATTGGCGTGAAGAGCGCATTTTCAGCTGCGAAATCGCTTCCGGAATTTCCTTGGCACCCGGAAGCGAGTTCGGCCCTGGAAGTGTCACAATGTTGTCAAACTCGTTGGATTTCAGGAAGGCCGAAAACGGGGTTTTCATGGAGGAAAAGGTGCTCGTGAGTGTGGAAAAAAGGCCCTAAATCGCATTTTCTGGCCGGAAAGGCATCACAAAGGCGCCCTTAGAGGTCGCAAAAGGTGAGCAAAACGTTCCAAAGTCGTGTTTGTGGTGTTATTCGGGTGGATTTGCCACCTTTTTGGGGCGCCAAGTGTGCGAGAAATGAGGTGCGCTTCGGGGTGAGTGCATTGACACGGTCATTTCTTGACACTTGGGCTTTGTCCAAAAATGAATTTGCAACTCTTGCACGACATTGGAGTGAAATATTCATGAGTGGCGCAGCGCTAAACAGTTTGTCTTCTGCAGGCACTGAATTTCCCAGCGCAAGAAGTCAAAGTGCGTGCAAATTGAGGTGCGAGAAAAACCTAGGAAAACATGGACAGTCCGTGCGAGTCTGAGAGTTCCCTGGACGGAGTCATGCTGCCGCCCAGCCCGGTTTCCCGGGAGCAACTGACGTGAGTTGAACGATCTTTGTCACAAGCCACCAGCACTGACTGACGCCCCCTTTTTCGCCCCCAGGAAGCGGATCGAGAGCCTGCAGCAGCAGAATCGCGTGCTCAAGGTCGAGATGGAGACGTACAAGATCCGCGTGAAGGTGCTGCAGGAGGAGAACCGCGCCCTGCGCCAGGCTTCAGTCATAATTGTAAGTAGAAATGCCCGGAATCCGCAATGGCAGCTGGCCAATGCCTCCTCGGCATCAGCTGACGCTCACCTGAGCGCCGAGGCGCATTAATTCGCGGTATTTGTGACCACAGAAGCGCAGCGAAGAGTGAATCATATCAATTTGGTTGTAAATTTTATCTAAACCTATTTATAGAGCGCATTTTTGCCACCTTTCTTATGTAAGACCACCTTTTTAGGTAGTGCTTTTTCACGAGGGTTTTTCTGATACATTTTCATTGGCTTCTTACTGGAATCCAAAAGGAATTTTATGACAAAATCTGCCAATAAGACTAACAGTTCGTTGATTAGTCCGGTGACAAGAGTCATTTCATATCCTAAAGGCGACAATTTGCCTTGAATGTAAGGCAAAAACAAGGTGTTGCTGGAAAGATCTCAATGCAAGCTGCAACACAATGAATTTCTTATCTAAATCCGCGCCTCAGAAGCTGAGAAATCAAGGGAAAAGTATTGTAAACACGTTCAAAATGGCGGCAATTTGTATTAAAACGATCGATACGATTACTTGTACAATTGGGATTCTCTTCCTGCTCTTCATTATAACGTATTTTGTTGGCCTTACTTATCGCTCTGTCGCCTTTCCGCAGCAAGCGAAGGCGGAGCAGGAGGAGGAGTACATCTCCAACACGCTGCTGAAGAAGATCCAGGCGCTGAAGAAGGAAAAGGAGACGCTGGCGCACCACTATGAGCGCGAGGAGGAGTGCCTGACGAACGACCTGTCGCGCAAGCTGGACCAGCTGCGCCAGGAGAAGTGCAAGCTGGAGCAGACGCTGGAGCAGGAGCAGGAGTGTCTGGTGAACAAGCTGATGCGCAAGATCGAGAAGCTAGAGGCCGAGACGCTGGCCAAGCAGACGAATCTGGAGCAGTTGCGGCGCGAGATGATCGAGCTGGAGAATACGCTGGAGCAGGAGCAGGAGGCGCTGGTGAACAAGCTGTGGAAGCGCATGGACAAGCTGGAGGCAGAGAAGCGCTCGCTGCAGATCAAGCTGGACCAGCCCGTGTCGGATCCCACCAGCCCCAAGTACGAGGAGCTGTCGGCGGCCACGAACGGCGACACGGCCACGAATCTCAGCTCGCACATCCAGACGCTGCGCTCGGAGGTGATTCGCCTGCGCGCCAATCTGGCGGCGGCGCAGAAGGAGACGCAGGAGAAGATGGCGCAGTTTGCGCAGGAGGAGCGCTGCATTGGGCTGCGCGAGGAGAACCTGCGCCTGCAGCGCAAGCTGCAACTGGAGGTGGAGCGCCGCGAGGCGCTGTGTCGCCACTTGTCGGAGTCCGAGTCGTCGCTGGAGATGGAGGAGGAGCAGCGCCTGGGCGAGGGCGGTCTGCTGGCCGGCATGCACCACCGCCAGCGCACCACCAGCAGCCCCGTGCCGTACAGCCCGTCGAGCAGCCGTCCGCTGAGCCCGGGCACGGCCAGCCGCCACTGCGTCTCCTGCGGACAACTGCTGGTGAGCCTCTCTTTCTCCTTTCCCTTGCAGCCGCGCGCGCGCGCCAAAGAGGGCCAAAAACCGATGGAATCCTCGCTCTGAGGATTCCTGACTTCTGACCAAGTGGTAAATTTAAACAAGAATATCAAGAAATCCTGTCGCAGTGAACAAAAAATGGCCAGTGCATTGCGTGCGAAATGATTTTTGATAATCTTTTATCCGCCACATTCGACGCCCTCTTTTGCGCTTTGTGCGACTGTATAGACAATTTCATGCCTTGTTTCATCGGGGAAAACCTTAATGTTTTCGCCACGTTCGCGCACGAAAAAAACGATTGTCTGTGAGTTGAAGTACAGCGTGAAATTGAGGATTTTCACTATTTGTTCAGGTGCCTCCATCGTCCACTCCTTTGGCCAATGTTTTCCATCCTATTGTTTCAGCACCCATTTCTGTGAGTTTTATTTTATCTCTCTCTCACTCTCTTTACCTTTCTGTCCGTATTTTATCACTCATTTTGTTATGGTTCTGTTGATTTTATTGTATTCCTCTTGCAATCTTTCATGTGTTGTTTACTGTTTATTCCGTAGTGAGGTTGAGTTGAAAGTTGTTATCTTAGACAAAATTGTTTAGTTTTTAACCCTTCGAGGACGATAAGGTGCCAATGAAGTGGGATTTTGGCTGAAAAATGTAATTTCTAAGACATCTTTTGAGCTCTCAGAGCTGTTAAAATGACTTTGAGATGGTAAAATTGAAGTGTTGCGGCTCTAAAAACTGCACTTTTTATACTAGGAATTCTTTCTTTCAATTGTAGGTAAAATCTTGAGACATTTTGCCACACAATAAGTGTTTTTGCCGACAAATAAGACAAGTTTCATGGCATTGAGGCACTTTATTGACAAAATAACTTCTCATTCTATGTTCCATTTTCACGTAATTTACCGCCTGTCGTCCTGGAAGGGTTAATAGTGTGGTTGGAATTGTTGGTGCTGATTTTTCTTCATCTCAGACGCGCTGCGAAGAGAGTTTTGACGCGAGGATTTGTGTGTGTTTTGCAGGGTCGCCGCACGAGCGAGAGATTCATCAAGCCAGCAATTCCCACGCCGTCGCTCGCCGGCGTCTCCAGCAGCGCCGCCATGGCGTCCGCGGCGGCCACGCTGACGGTCAGCAACCCGCCGGCCGGCGGCCAAGCGGCCAACTCTCCGCAGCAAGCGGCGAGCGTCTCGTTTCCGGGCAGCAACAGCGCGTTCATCCAGCCGGCGAGTCCGATGGACACGTCCGTGTGCAAGGACTAAGCGTCTTCCTGCCAACGCGCATGATTTTACCTTTGCATTTACGAGCGGCGAGTTAAGTTTACTCGGAGAGGAGTTTGTTTTGCATAACACTTTCATCACTTTGCGAGAGACTCGACGAATTATTCCTTTTGAGCATCGCTTTGCTGTTCGCCAATGAGTCGCGGGGGCAATGAGTGGATTTTGGAACGCGCGAACGAGGATGAATATATATGCATATATATTGAAGTTCTTTTTTAGCATACAAAGACACGTTAAATGTAAGATTGGAGAAAGGAATAGAATTTAGGAGATTTAAGCTGAGAATTGTTCTAATCGTGCACAGTTTTATGCGATTTTCAAGTCACATTTATTTTGCCTTCTGTGCTATTCTTACGTATTCATATAGAATGTACCTACTTTTATCACCTTTTCTGGGTTTTTGGGAAACCGCTAAGGTTCTTTATGACTTATTATAGCTTCCTCCTGAATTGGGGAGATCCATGGAAATCATTTCATTATTATATCGCGTGTGTGTGTAAATAGGAAGAAGTGGAGAGAAGACGAAAGTCACTAAAAAAATACATGAAAAGTCGTTTAACAATTAAGATAGTTGCAAGAATTGACCGTTTCTTTTAGAGAACTATTTTGGAAGAAGAAAGAAAAATTTCAATGCGAACTTTTGCCAAAAAAAATGAAGAAAAATTTAATGAATGTCACACAATTTCAAAGAAAGAGAAAAAATTCAAAAGAACATATTTGCCTTAATGTGCTTAGATGTGTAAGGATAAGAAAAAAAAATCTCTAGGAATATCAAGTAAAATAATCAAGAGAGGATGAAAGAAACTATTTTAGGTGTTTAACTTTTTCGAGAGGCGGCGAGAGAAAGGAGTGTAAAATTGGTGGATTAATGTCCGGAAAGAGCAGATAAGTCTCGTTCTTATAGTCTATTCCAAGTGTAGAGTGAAGAGATGAAATTAAGGATGAAAATTATTAACACAATTAATGTGATGAATTAACATGATATAAATAAATTTAGCTTTTTTTCTAGAAATTTTGCCTCAAGTTTCTCTTGATATTTCAGTTTGTGGAAAAATTTCAAACTGTCATGAAGAACGGTGCGAAATAGAGCTGAAAGAAAACCAAGAAAATGCAAATTTCTTCAAGAATTTCCTTCCTTTTGAGCAACTTAGCGAAGGCACTTAGCAGAGGCACTTACTTAATTCGGCCTTTTCGACAAAAGGACATCAAACAGGACTCTCGAAGCAAAACGTCTCTGAAGAAAATATCTTTTTGCGTAAGTATACATTGTAAGTCAACAGTCTAAGAAATATTTTAATTCGTGCAGCAATATTTATTTCTCAAAGAAAAAACCTCATTTATGTGTGGCCAACAGATTTTATTCTCAATAATTGTCGAAAAAATAAGAGAGGGTGTTACATAAGATATTCGCAATAAACCTTTGACTAAATCGAGGGAGAAAATACTATTAAAATGCTTCTTTTGCCCTCATTTTCGTCTTATATCTTAAACACTATCTAAAATTGTTTTTTTTTCTCCTTTCATTCCCACCCGATATATTCCCATTGAAGATCTCTTAACTTTCAATGAAAAACAAAACACAATTAAGAGAGGGAAATATTACTCGAACAACAACAGAATAAGAGAAGATCAATGAAAGAAAACTACATTAATGTAATTGTCTTAATACTGGAATAGTTAAGTACTGAAAAATGTAACAAGTTTCTTATTCATCGTGAGTGATTTCCTCTGGCAAATTGCACTAACATCTCATCAGCAATATTGGAGCTTTTTGGGAGTGTTTTTGTCTTTTTTCTTTACTCTAATGCTTGCTTTGTTGTGTTTCTGAGTGGTTTTTTTTCATGCAGCGTAAAGCGGTTTTGCGTGATGTCTCTAAAATTCCTGTTGCAGTTTTTTCTTCACTATCGATTAGCTTATTTTCTTAGGATCATTAATTCCCTATTTTTCTTCTTTTTTTTCTCGTGAGCAGAGGAGGTTTTCCATGCTTTATGCTACAATTTTTCTACAAATTCCCATTTTTAATTCAGAACGATGATTCCAATTCCTTACAATCTACACAAAATATTCTCAAAGAGCTCAAAGTCAATCCAAAAAGAGGTGGTTTTTCACTTCAATCGCGCCCAATTGCATCTTTTAATCCCAACCATTTTCTCCTAAATTACGTTCGTTAAGTTCGAAGAGCTTGTTTTCCTTTTTACCCCCCATATAACACAGCAATTCGCGTTTCCCTGCAACCGATTTTTGAGGACTGTGACCAACAAAATGTGTGGAATGTGTGATAGAGTCTGTCTTGGATGAATCACAACGGAAGTGAGGATGAAACAAGTAAAAGGACGGGCTCTTAACACCTATAATTCGCCTTCCCGCCCAGCGACACCGTTTGCGTGTGCTGAAAGAAGTCCGCCAATCGCATGAGACGCCTGTACAGCGTGAGAAATTCCTCAAAATCGGTCCTGGGTATAACCCAATATTATTTGTGGTGCCATTCCGCCTTCGCGTCCTGCCTGCCGCTCAAGTCCACCGGCCGCTCGCCCAGCTGGATCGCCGACGTGTCCGTCATGGGCAGCGGCTTCGCCACGCCGATGCGCACCACACCCTTGGCAGCGCCCTTCAGCGCCTGCACGGCCTGATCGAGCGACGCGTTCTCCAGGTTGATGTCGTTCACGAACAGCAGCCGGTCGCCCGGGATCAGGCGCCCGTCGAGCTGCGCCACGCCGCCCGGCACCAGCGAGCGGATGACGATGAGCGTGTCGTTGGAGTCCAGCGGGTCCTGGTAGTCCAGAATGGAGAAGCCCAGGCCGCGCTCGCCCTTCACCAGCTCAATGATCTGCGGCTCAGAGCTCCACATCGCCAGGCCGGTCAGAGGCTCCAGGGATCTGCAAGACAGCACACCGTGAGACTTCCAATTCGACTAAATGTACTCAAGTTCGCTCACCTGGACTTCATCTTGACGAAATTCTCGTCCGTTTGGCTGGACGCCGACGTGGCCAGACTGCCGTCAGACTTGGCCTTCACCAATCGCTCGGACGCCGGCGTGAGATTTTCGAGATTGGGCGAGCTCTGGAAGCCCAGGCCGAGTGCATTGCAGATGTTCTCCTCCGTGAATGGCACCATCTGGTTCCGGTCGCGCGCGCACACCATGCGCACGTCCTGCGGCAGTTCCTTGAGGATGGACACCACTTCCAAGTGGTTCATACCCAGTAGACGCTGCCCGTTCACCTCCAGCAGCTCGTCGGCCGACTGCAGCAGCCCGTTCTGGCCCACGGGGCCCTCGGGCAGGATGGAACGGATGTAGTGGTGCGGGCGCACCTCGCGGCCGCCCTCCACGTCCACCGTGCCCTCCAGCGAGATGCCCAGGCCACTGACGGGCGTGAACTTGCGTATCTGCGCCACCACGATGATCACGTCGTTGCCCACGATCGCGTGCCACTTCTTCCGGATGGCCGCCTCGATGTCCTCCGTGAGGATGGGCTCCACGAAGTACTTGTGCTTGTTGATGGTGGCGATGTTGGCCGTCTCGATGATGCTCATCTTACGTGGCTGCACGATCAGTTCCTCCTCGTCCTCGCCCAGCTCGTCTTCGACGTCCTGCGGCAGCTCCGCCTTCGTCTCCAACGAGTCCCTGGCCAGCGCCAGCTTCCGCCCGCCATCCATCGAGTGCTTCTTCTCCAACAGATCCGGCACAGAGCCGATCGAGTGCTTGCGCTCGTCGTCGCGATAGTGCGAAGACGCGCTCAACGGACGGCCGGGATATTGTACGTGCGGCGGCGTAGCCGGCGTCGAGGGCTTCAGCTCATTGGCGGCGATCGCCTGCTGCAGCTGCTCGTACTTTGGTCCCCTGAGATAGCGCTCCAGGCAGAGACACACCACGGCGCCGCTCTTCTTCAGCACGTCCACGGCCTCGTGGTTTGAGAAGCCCTGCAGTGACTGCCCATCCACCTCGATGATGCGATCGTTCACCTGCGCGGCATAATTTGGGATTTCAAAAGAGATTCAAGATTTCTACTCAATTGACTCACCTGAATCCGCCCGCTCACGTCCGCCGCGCTGCCCGGCGAGACGCTCTTCACGAAGATGCCCGACAGCTCCTCCTTCTCGCACACGTAACCGGCGATCGTGATGCCCAGGCCATTGCTGTCCTTCGTCAGCTCTACAGTGAAGCGTTCCGTCTCCGGCAGCTCCAGTTCGCCCAGAGGCGGCGACAGCCTGGGCCGCATGCTGATGTCGCCGCTATACTTGAAGCGCTGCTCCGCCTGCGACGACGACGTGGGCGTGGACGGCGTCGAGGTATCGCCGAAGATCTCCGGATAGCCGGCCGCGATCAAGTAGCGTTCCAGCTCCGCCGGGTCCGTGAGAAGGCGCGACGGCACGATCGCCGTGCCCTCGACGTCCTGCGTGGCCGTCATGGGGTCCACGGGGCGCGCCACCACCAGCCGCACATGCGTGCCGGACTGTCGCAGCACGGACGCCACCTGCTCGGACACCATGTCGTGCAGATTCACGTCTCCGATCTGCAGGATGTGGTCGCCGCTGCGCAGCCGCTGGTCCCTATCCGCCACGCCGCCCGCCAGGATCGTCTTCACGATCACGCCCGCCGTGCGCGCGCCGATTATGCCGAAGCCCAGGCCCGTGCCGTCGTTGATCAGCTCGATCGCCTGGATCTGCGCCCACTCGGATGGGATCACGTCCGCATGCTTCGCCGACGCTTCACTCACGGCCGACTGCGGTCGCTCTTCGTCGCTCACGCCGCGCGACTCGTCCTTCTTCGTCAGCGAGGAGAACTGCAAGAGGAAGTCGTGAGTTACTCACAAGACGGAAATGCCAGACATTGGAGAATGATAGGCAGAAAATTATCGTGAGCGGATGAATTAGCAGCTAATTGAATGGCTTTGTGGATGTTTTGGTGAACTAATTCCGTAAACAAAGCAAAGAACTGAATCATCAGCAGAAAAAACAATGAATATAAAGCACCGAATTTGCAGAATGAAGCGAGAAAAGAGGCGAAAGTAACTCAAAGGCCACCGAAATACTCAAGTGGAATTGCTTTTGGGGCCCTGCCGAGGGTTAAGTGAGCGCGTGAGGCAAATGAAAACAATTCGGGGCGTTTCCAGAGACGAGTAGAGAGTTGTTTATCAGAGAAATCCGCCGAGCACTCGTCCGGATCACTCACCTGGTGCGACTCCATGGACAGGATCTGGTCGGACACGCTGCCGATAGGCCCAGAGAGGCTGTTGAAGTTGTGCGCAACCGTGGACGGACTGACGGAGTCGCGGGGCGACAGCTGGGCGCTGGGCACGCGCTGCTCGTCCGGATACTCGGCGTACAACTCGGGCGTCGCGGGCACGGTGAGCACCAGGTCGCCGGACGCCGTGATGTCGAAGTCACCGGCGAGGATGGAGGGGTGCTTGGCGATCTGCGTGTTGAGCTCCGCCAGAGAGTCCTGCACCTGCACAATGTTGCGGAACACGGGATCCGTGAGGATGTCCAGAATCAGCTTCAGGTCGTCATTTGTCGCTTGCTGCAGCTTCGGGTCGTCGGACTCGTCGATGACCTTCTTGATGGCCTCAATCTGCTGCAGGGCGCTCGAGATGTCTGCGTTCAGGTGCATCCTAGCGATTCGGTGGGCAGAGGAACCAGGAAAAACACTCCCTCCGAAAACACGAAAATATAGGTCGAATTGCGGTGGAAATAAAAGGAAATGCGCGCGACACAACCGCCCAGATAACGAATGTACACGCAACCGGAACTCTCACTACACGCAACGCGACAGTCAGAACATTTTCCAGGGCCCTTTTTGGGGATGAAATCCGCGAAAAACCACTTCCTGCACTTTTGCCACGGACAGAAAATGTCAAATCGATGAGAAATCGCCGCCGCCAGCGCCTCTTGCGGGATTTGCGCGCGAAAGTGGTGAACCAGCGCTGTATTTTCCAATGCGGATTGGAGGCGAAAGTCTTTTGGCGCGGTGGAAAGCATCGAGAAAATTACCAGTAAACAAGCCAATAAAATGTTGTCTGGGGAAAATTCATTGAATTTGTAAAAGCTAATAAGCTGATGGACTCAACGATTGCAGTAATGAAAGCAAACCCACTCTTAATGACTCAGCATTTATCTTTAATCTTGCGATAAATTGTGTAATCTGGGACTCATTTTACTGAATTCTCGGAATTCTCTGAACTTACCTGACCCAAGCATTCCTCAGAGATAACAATGAGAGACTTCCTGGATTCCCCTCTGAAAGGGAATAAACATATCAAACGTGGACTTTAGCAAAATTTGTCCCAGATTTATTTAAGATATATTTTCAGCATTCTTTCTAGTCAAAATATGGTCAGTACAGGAAGAACACGAACAAGAAAATGACCAAGAGAACCGCAGAGACGATCAGTAAGTTGCGCTTGAGTGAGAACTTCTTGTCCAGAGCATTGAAAACTGCCACGAGTGACGCGGTGACACTCTGCTCAGGATTATGAGCGCGAGTTGCGGAGGATTCGCTCCTGAAGTGAGTGCTTCCGGTGTCCAGGCGCTGCGCTTTCAGCTCAGAGAGTCGTCGCGTGAATTCGCTCAAGTATGGCGCGTCCAAGTTCTCGCGCGGTTGACTCTCGCGAGCACGGCCGGAGCTGCCCAGCGTCGAGTACCTGCCCTCGTAGCTGAGTCCCGGAGACCTGACACTCGAGAATCCGCCCAGAGTGCGGCGCGTGGCCTCGAGAGTGCTGTTGGGCTTGAAAGTCGCCGACGGCGGCCGGTAGCGATACTGTGAGAATACGGGCTCCGGCGCCTCGTCCACATCCATCTCGTCGCCGGCCTCTTGCTCCTCCTCCTCCGGAGACTCCTTCACGGACTCGATGACTTGCTTGTAGGATGTCGTGACGACGTCGCTCCTGGACAGCGACGGAGATTTAGACTTTGAGCGCCTCGGTGGACGCTGCGTCAGGATGTCATCAACATCATCGTCACTGTCATCGATGATCTCGTAAATTGTGGGCGCCACGGACAGTTTCGACGTAGCTGGAACGCTCTTCTGGGTCGCAGGCACCACAGGAGTGGGCGTCACGCGTCCGGAACGACGTGTCGGCGTCGCCACAGTCGCTCTCCTGTTCACCTCTGCCTTCTTGGGCGTCGCCTTGGCCGCTACTTGTTGCGATGGTTGCGTTGCGAGGTCCTCATCGGAGGAATACTGAACGACCGCTACAGTTTCCCGGCGAGTCTTCGTCTTGGCCTCTTTCACGTGATTCCGGATGCGCTTTATCAAGAGCTTGCGCGTAGTGTCAGTGATTGGAATCTTGGGCAGGCCGAGCTCAGTCATCCTGTGCATGAGCTCATTGTTGGAGAGCGCCTCCAAGTTATCGGACTCCGCTGACATGACGCCTAACCTCACTTCTTAGCGTCTTGTTGGAATTGCCTGCAGAAAAGCAATAAATCCAATTAAACTCGTGCATCTACGCCACGACATATTGTTGATGGATGATTCTCACCTATTTTACATACAATTAGAAAGCTTTTAATGGGAACACAAAAAGCAGCGGCACAAAATCCACAAAACAGCGACGATCTTTTGAAATTTACGGCGCTGTTATCGCAGTGAAGTCGTTTAACGGCAACCCAACGACGCGAACTTGCATGCCAGTTCGTAGTTCTTTTGTGATCACCACGCCCTCTCGTCTGACGAGTTGGAGGTATTCCCAAGTATTTTTCACAGATTGCGTAGAAATTTCAGCAGAAATCTGGAATTTTCTTCTTTGTCATCACAACACAACAAGTACAGCATCGTGAGTTCTTGCAATCTGCAGAGTTCAACTTGAAGCAGAGAAATTTCAGTGAATTGCAACAGTAAAGGTGTTTTCAGTGGCAGTAAAAGAGAAGCAACAAAGATGTCTTACAGTTTCGAGTCATTCGCCAGGAATATGGGCATGAAAATGTGAGTTCAGGGATATTGGGGCGCGCTCAGTGGGATGGAAAGGTGATCTTTGGCTGTTACTCTTGCAGTGAAGCGCCCGTGCGCACGCATCTGGCCAAGGTGTACTGCTGCCTGGCTGCGACGACTGCCGTGGCCTCGACTGGGGCCTTCGTGCACATCCGTGGCATCTGGGAGGCGAGCATCCTGAGCGCCCTGGCCTCCATTGCGCTCGTGCTGGCCCTCCACTTCATCCCGGACAACGGCAAGAACCTGCTCACGCGCCTCGGCCTGCTGCTGGGCTTTGGCTTCTGCACCGGACACTCGATGGGCCCCCTTCTTGATCACGTGATCCTCCTGAACCCGCAGATCATCGTGACGGCGCTCGTGGGCACCAGCGTGGTGTTCTTCTCTTTCACGGCCGCCGCGCTGCTGGCACGCCGCGGCCAGTACCTCTTCTTGGGCGGCATGCTGTTCAGCGTGATGAGCTACATGGCACTGTTCAGCCTGGCGAACATCTTCTTGCGCTCCAGCCTCGTGTACCAGAGCCAGCTGTACATCGGCCTCGGCGTGATGTCCGCCTTCATTCTGTACGACACGCAGGCGATCATGGAGAAATGTCGCATGGGCAGCAAGGACGTGGTCGGCCACTCGCTGGACCTCTTCTTCGACCTGGCCAGCGTGTTCCGCCGTCTGCTGATCATCCTGTCGCAGAAGGAGCAGCGCGAGCAGCAGCGCAAGAAGCGCAACAACTAAGCATTCCCGCGTGAGTAATTCAATGTCATTTGGGATTCAGTGTATTTTTGTTTGGATGTGCAAAATATATATCGTGGGCGAGGATTCCCTTCACAGAGAAAAAGAGATAAATTATCCAGAATATTTTAATATGTTCGGAAGAAAAAATTCAATTGGTGAACTCAAAGGAATATACAATGAAATGTGGTGTTATTATTAATTCAATAAATCAATACTTGTGTATAGATTTCTCATGCTTTGCCTCTGCAGACCACAAAGAAGTGGCTGAAGTGCCCTCAAGTTGTGACGGTGGGAAAATTACCGCATTGAAGCTGCCCAAGAAGTGATGGAATGTTTGGCGATCTTGAAACAATATCTCGGCAAGGATTTCGTGATAAAATAGGTCTTGCTCTCCTTAGGTTTCTCGTGTGAAATTGAAAGAGAAACTCTGGCATCTGTTCAAATGATTTTTGAACATTTTACACTTCTTCATATTACACATGAATTATAACTCGATTTATCTGGATCACGAAGAAAATGGTGACGCTTTTTATTTATAAATGACTCGAGAAGAAAACAAACAGACTGAAGAAAGGTCTCTTGGACACACATTTTCAGTGCTTTGCAAGAAAACTGTGGTTAATTTAAAGGATAATGAATTTCCATGCATTTCAATCCTAGTTTTGATAGGAATTTATCGATTATATGAGTTGAAATTGTTCTACTTTCATATCTTTACAATTCTAATATCAAAAGTTGGCAAAATGATGGTGAAATTTCTTGAAGCTCGAGTGGTTAAAGGAATTAAAGTTTTTACAATGTCACTAGAGGTTCATATTTACACAGAAAGTGGATACAAAAGTGCTCAAGTATTAATAATATAGACTTAGAAGAATTTTTATGACCTTTTCCGCGTGATCAAATCCGTTGGCGCAAGAAATTTCGTCGAAAAGCTTCCAGTAGCAGCTGCTGGCGGCGCCACGGGCGTATAACAGTTTGTATGCCAGTCATTGGAAGTTTTCGGCACCAAAACAACATCGCGAAAAAAGTGATTTTTCCGCAGTTTCCGCTCGAAAATCGTCCCTTTGCTGTGTGTTTTATGTTAAAATGGCCATATTCGATGCATTCCACTCGTGCATGTGGTTCGAGGCCACCAGCCGACGCAATGCCTTCGCCGCGATAGTGTCCGGACTCTTCGTAAGTAATCTCTCTCTGTCTTCCCCTGAGGATTTGCGGCTTTGTGTTGAGATTAGATGACTCATTGTCCTCTGCTGTAGTTCTTTATCGGCTGGTGGCTCATCATCGATGCCTCCACGGAGAGCGGCGGCGGTCTGGATGGGGCGCACCACATCTGTGGCATCCTCGGGAGCATCAGCTTCTTCATGGTGAACGCCGTCTCGAACTCAATGGTGAGGAAGATGATTCCCGTACGGACTGTCTTGTTCTAATGCCCGTGGCAGATTTCAGAATCGTACAGCGGCGGCAGACTGAGTCAGCGCGGCGCCCGGATCTGGCTCTTCGTGGGCTTCGTGCTCGGGTTCGCGGCAATAATTGCGGCTGTGTGGATCATGATCGCGGAATTCTCACTCCCGGAGGAAAAGGGCAAGTGGCCAGGCGTGGCACTGCTGCTGCAGAACCTCTTCATCTTCCTGGGATCCCTTGTGTATAAGTTCGGCCGGTCCGAGGCTGACACGGAATTTGGCTTCTAGGCACGCTTAAGTTACTGTCCTTCTGTCCTGTCCGGTCCCCTTTGCTCCTTTCGCTATTCAGAGATTTACGTTTTCATGCAATTTCTCGAGAAGAAAACCATCTTCTGTCCATCAAGTCGCATCATATGTGTAAATCCCTAAGAATCAATTCATTTAGTAATTTATATTTTACAAGAAAAACACTTAATAAAGAGATTTCTTGATAAATTTCCACAAGCACAACTTTGAACATTAGGCTTTTGCGGCTTTATTGAGTCAAACATCCAAAGATACTGAGTATAAAAGGGAGAGAAGCACCCGGAAGAGGACAGAGATAATGGACGAATCGCTTATAGGACGTTCGGGCAGTCGCCCTCGTTCTGGAGGCACCATTGCGGCTGCAGCGAGTCTGCCGCCACGCCGTTTTCCACAAGGCGCTCCCTGTGGATCAGCATGCGCGACTCCGCGTCGCGCCAGGAGTCCGACGGATCTGTCCAGAGACGCTCGGCCAAGGCGCTGGCGCGTGGCCAGAAGCGCGAGTCCAGAGCATAATCGTCCGCCTGCTCAGACCACAACGCCGCCTCAGCGCCCAGTACCTGGCTCACCTTGCTGCCCGCCAAGGCGCTCAGGCTGTTGTCGTACACCTTCTGCCAGCCCACGTACGGCGAGCACCAATTGTGGCCATCGCTGACCCAGCCCTGGAAGCCACAGTCGAAATACAATGCTTCGTAGTTGGAAAAGATGAGATTGAAGCCGCGATTGAGGAGATCTTCGATCTTGGGATCATCTCCCTTCGTCCAGATCTGGATGATGTAGCGATCCTTGTCTAGGTAGTCGTCCACATAAGGCACGTCTGTCAGGCGACTGGTCCAGAGGATGATTGGCACCTTGCCTGGCGACACATTGTCCCATCGCTGCAGAGCCTTGTCCTGGAATTGTCCCCAGAGACGCATGAAGTCCGACTCCTCAAGTTGCCAGCCACGCTGCAACATATACTGCTGCAGCTCTGCGCTGGAGTTCCAGCACGACACGGACACCTCGTCGCCGCCCATGTGGAAGACGAACGGCTGCTCGAACATCTCATTAAACTCCCGGTAAATGTCCTCTAGCACGTCGTACAGCGCGTCTCTGGACGGATCCAGCTGCCCGCACGGCGGCTCCACGCAATAGCGCGACCACGGCTGGGCATTGAAGCACACCGTCAGGTTCTTCTTCTGCCATCCCTCGCCCACATGAGCGGGCGCATCGAACTCCGGAATCACGCGCACGCCGCGAATCCTAGCGTACTTGACGATGTCGCGCACGTCCTCCGCCGTGTAGATCTTTTCTGGCGTGTAGGCGCCGTAGTCCGAGAGATCGGGCTGCGATTTGATCACGACAGGGAAGCTGTGAGAATCTGTGATGTGCCAGTGATAAGTGTTCAGCTTGACCATCGCCAGGGCGTCGATTGTCCTCTTGATCGCCTCCACGGAGTAGTAATTCCGCGAAGTGTCGAGAGAGATGCCGCGATGCTTGAATGCTGGAGCGTCTTCGATGGTGACATCCGAAATGAGCTGCAATTAAATGTATTTGGCATTAATTTTGCTCTTATAGTTTACTGAACCACAGAACAATTTGGCATAACATAAATCCAATTGGAAAAGCCAATGAATTTGCTCCGCCCCCTCGATTGCCACGCCCACAAAACATCGACTTCTTATTCACTCTAAAATTAACCCAAGAAGCCTCACCTGCAATTCCGTGCGAATATCATCGTAGATGATCAATTGTGAAAGCGTCTCCACGGCGTGACGAGCGCCGTAATACGTGGGCGCCACGATTTTCACCGCCACGTTGCCCACCTCCTCCGTCACTTGGAGCCTGTAGCTCTCGTCCGTGTCGAAGTTGAAGGTCAGCTCCTCCTTGTTCACCACAATCTCCACGACGACCTTCTTGCCGCCGCGCTTCAGTACGTGGCTCTTCGTCACCTTCGCCTTCACTTGATCCAGGAAGCGCTGGCGCGTCTCCTCCCAGTAGAGCTGCTGGTTCTTATACTCGGGAAACTTGAAGAGAACGCTGTCGATGTCAAAGTGAGCCAGAGTGTTGCCCACACGGACATTTCCAGTGGGCTTTGGCCAGAGAGTACCGATGTCCTCGCCGCAGAAGACGCGGCAAACGCCCAGACTCACGAGATCCACTCGATTTTCTGCTTCCACCTTCTTGCATCTGCTCTGGACGCACTCATATCCCCACTTTGGGCTGAAAGATACCGAGAATCACGGTTAATCACTGTGCAAAGAATTGTGCTCTGTGAGCTGTGAAGACCTCTTAATCTGTCGGATATTCTTGGCAATGAAAATAGCTGATCCTGTAATTGCAGCGCCAACAAGAACGCAAACAGACACGAAGAAGACTTTCTCCTTGAATCCCGGTTTCGTGAAAAACATCTTCCGCGACTGTTGAAGTACAAATGATCGGGTTGGCGAGCAAATTGGATTTCAAAGTCAGCCAATCGATAGCATATTGTCTGTTAAAGCCAGGCGCGAATTATCTTTATGGCTTTATGGGTGAATTGCCTGTGTAAATAATTCAATTATCTCGCCCAGAAGACAAGATACCCAAAGAAGTGCAGAGGAACTCCGGCATACAGATGGGTGATTAACCGATTGGTAAACAATTTGAGCTTCTTCAAAACAAACACAATTTTGCCAATTAACGTGTCATCATTGAGGCTGGGTGGAAAGGCGACACGTCGACAATGACACACAACTCTGCGAAGGACGTGAAATTGCATTTAATATTCACCTGGCTTGTGCTGCGATTGCAGCTGTTGCAGAGAGAATACCAATTAATCCTATCAGTCCTTTCATGATTGCGCGTCGAAGATCTCGAAGCTGCAAAAGGCAGAGGCACAAAATCAGACGCTGAGAGTGAAAACACGGGGAAACTTTACCTTGTCTGCAAGCCTGTGCGACACTCTGTGCGAGACTGAAGCATCAGAGACGCTCCGACTGCATATTTATAAGGCAAGGTGAAGATGAAAAACAGCCAGAGTCTCCTGCCCACGCTGGAACGTGTCTTCTGCCTGGCTTTCCTCCTCTATTTACCACCAGCGAGAGCTCAAAGAAACGGGTTTGTCCACTCTTGACAGTGCAGAGAACCGATTAAGTCAGCTGATTTAGTGGTGGCTCAACCCATTCCCATAAATTCAACCGATTCTCAATGGCTATTATCAAATTTTATTCACTTCTCTCCTCTTCTACCCACTGACGCTGGCTCCCTTCTGCGTCAGTGTGTTATCCTCGTAAGTCTCCAGCACGTCCGCCAAGTGCTCGTTGTCTCTGGGCTTCTTGAACTGGCGCTTCTTGTTCGGCGGCTTCTTCCTCTTCGGCATAATCTGCTTCTTGATGCCGTGATCCTGCATCGATCGGATGCCCTGCTTCTCCAGATACTCATCAATCTTCCCGTCATCCATCGCGTCCACCGTCACGGCTCGCCAACACTTCTGGAATTCCTCGTCCACCACGAAATTCGCCGTCTTGTCATTGTAAAACAGGATCTTCTTCTTATCAATCGGCCTGGTGATGTAGACAATCTCACTGGCGCGATTCTTCAGTGCCTTCTCGCAGTGTGGCAGCGATTCCTGCACATCCTCTAGCAGAACGCCTCCCAATCCCTTCAGATCATGCTGCTTCAGCAACTTCAGCAGGCTCTTCCCGTCACGAATCCGATAGACAGGCTTGAAGGCGAATCTGTTGCCCTGAGCGCCTTCTATGACGTCTATTTTGGGATTGTTCACCAAAGCCTCGCTGGCCAGCCACTAAAAAGAGACACATTTCAATCATGAGTGACCTTCTGGATGCGCCCCGTGTCGCTAATTACATTCTTGACGCCAGAACCGATGTCCAGCTGGTTTGTCTCGTCCAGAATCTCCTCCAATGTCAGCGGGTGATCATCGCCGTCCTGATGGCGCGTCCGCATGTGCTTCACGATCTTCGCCAACACACCGAAGCGATACTGAGAGCTTCCGGTCATGGATTTGTAGCTGAAAAACAAATCCCCGCCATCATCTCATCTTTATCTGTCTCTCTTCTCTGCACTCACTTTGTGCTGTCGAGCTTCGGACCGCTGCTCGGCGGCCGCATCTTCTTCTTGCTCTCATCTCTCTGCTGGGAAGATCCCTCGGGACGACTCTTCTTCTCGACCCTATGGAAGAACAACAAATTCAGTAATTTCCTCCTTTTCCTCCAGTGAAAGCCTAGCCATTTGTAAACATCTTACGTGGGAGTCGCGATGGCCCGCTTCTTGAAGGCTTCCCGCTCGCGAAGCAGAGCTGGATCCATTTTTTCGCCGATCTTCCGCACAGGAGAGCTTTAGATCACTTCTCCAACCAAAATCTTCTGCAAAAATGAGTGATTTCACGTGATTTTTGCACTTTTTCACGAGAAACTCACGAAAACAACAACCAATTTCCACCTGACTTTGACACTTCCACTTTTCGGAAATCCGGAATCCAAAGGGTTCATCAATTCCAAAAAATTCATGCTTCGGAGTGATAATAGCTTTTTTGTGCCTCCAGTCACTACGCACTTCCTTATCTCTGGGCTTTAAAATAGCGGCTCACCGGCCGATAATCATCTCAGAAGTGAACAGAACGAGCTGCCGTGACAATGCCGCCAAAAGTGCCGAGTGTGGAAATCTGCAAAGGCGTCCAGATGCCAATGTTTGGCCTGGGAACGTATTTCGTGAGTTTCAAAACCACTTCGCAATCCTAGTCATCCTAGTGGATAATGAAATTGATTCGTTATAGCAACCGGAAGTGGGTGACGCGACAAAATGGGCAATCGATGCGGGCTATCGCCTGATTGACACGGCAGAATTGTACAGGAATGAGGAAGAGGTGGGCAAGGCGATCAAGGAGAAGATCTCACAGGGCGCTGTGAAGCGAGAGGAGCTGTTTGTGGTGTCCAAAGTGTGGTGCCATCACCACCGCGAGATGGACGTCGTGGACGCCTGTCTTAAGAGCCTGCAGAAGCTTCAGCTCGACTATCTGGACCTCTACCTGATCCATGCTCCGTTTGCGGTTAACTATCGCGGAGATGACAAGTTCTTCCCCTACCGGGAGGACGGAGTGCTGGACACGAACGAGGTGGACTTCATGGAGACCTGGAATGGGATGGAGAAGTGCGTCGAGATGGGACTCGTGAAGAGCATCGGAATTTCCAACTTCAACACCCAGCAAATCGACCGGATCCTCGCGGAAGGCAAGGTAAAACCGGCGAATCTGCAGATCGAACTCAATCCGCAGCTCACGCAGAAGGACGTGTTGAAGTACTGCAAGGAGAAGAACATCTCCGTGATGGCTTTCACGCCTCTCGGGCGCCCCAATTTTGAGACAAAGACACCAGCTTTCTTATTTGACGATCGTGTATTGAACATTGGCAAAAAGTACGGGAAAAACGCAAGTCAGGTCATTCTAAGATATCTGGTGAGTACATTTCCAGTAAAATTAGTTGAAATTGCACTGTTATCAGCAGAAGATAGCTTATCAGATTGTCTCTTTATCACCAGATCGACTGTGGAACTTGTCCTATTCCGAGGTCGGTGAACAAGCAGAGAATCGAATCTAATTTCGACATCTTTGATTTCCAATTGACGCCCGAGGAAATCTCTACCATCGATTCCTTCAACGAGAACAAACGCTACACAAAATTCACCGACGCCAAAGGACATCAATACCATTTTCTGCCTCTGGAGGCGTTTGACTAGACGAACACAATAATTTTCGATGCAAATGTTACAATGCTTCAGGAATTTTATCAAAATTGAGTACCTTTTTGTAAAACAAAAATGATATACGGAACCATGTGAAATAAAAAAAAATTCACCCTTTAACTCTTTACGAGCGTCTAAGAATTATTGAGAAAATTAAGCCATTAAATAAGTGAAAGACTAATTTTTCTCTTAGTGCGATCTTTTGCCGAATGGAAATGAAGATGAGTCACAACGAGATGCCACATAACGCTGCTAATTAGGGAATTCACCGGGATTCACTAATCAGCATCATGATATGCAAAGTTCAATCTTGAGAGCGATTTCACAATATTTTTACAAAAAATACTCAAGTTTTAAAGTCGTGAGAGTGAAAAAGGACCATTCAAAGGCTACAAGGGATCGTCAGAGGACAAAAACCTTTATATCCTCAGCGCCTTTTGGCAAAATTGGGATGCAAGTTTCGTCCTTATGATAATTTCGAGGTAATCCTGGACATAATTAAAATACAATTTCTTTGAGTTGGAAATATTTGAGGAAATAAGTGAGAAATGAGTTTATTGGGTTTAGTCAATGCTCAAAGGTGAACTTGTACTGAAATTTACCAGTTTTTCTGCTGAAAGTATCCCAAAGTCAAAGAAATTAAAATTGACACAAACCCAGTTTTTGAGAATCAATCAGAATAAATAATCAAGTGCTTATAAACTCCGCACATTTTGCTCTTTGAAAGTGAATTCGCAGATGGATTGAATATGATATTCCGTAGAAAACGAATTTGTTCTATTTTAGAGAAACAAGTAACGCGCCACACAAGTCAACAGTCATTAACTAGTTTTGCAAGTGAGTTTTTCTGCACACAGAGATGCCAAATGGGAATTATAAAACACTCTTAATTCGCGCCTCTGGCCATTGAATTCTCTCTCCATGCGCTGGCGAGTTAAATGAACTTGTGCGACTCCTGCGGAATCTAGGCTCCCGCGGCGCGTGGAAAAGTGTGACGCGGGCCCTGAAAGCGGAACAGCGCCGTCCAGAGTGCCCGACGAAGACCCAGAAGAAGGTGAGGACGCGGTGAAAGAACGCATCATTTCTCCGGCGCTTCCAGTGCGCCGAAGAGCGCTCGTGAGCGCGCGATGGCAAAAGTGGGACAAAGAGAAAGCGCACGGTGCATTTGCACTGCATAGTGTTGTGCCGAACGCAGCGAAGTCCAGAGCTCTTGGGAAGACACTCGGATGCCCAGGTGAGTCTAATTGGGGCGCACAGATTCACCTTGAGCCGCACAGCTCCTCTTGTGGAAGACTTTGGGAGAGAAATTGCACTGAAAAGTTCTTCTCAACGATACACACACAAAAGCACACATTGTGAGTGAATTTCTCTCCCACCAAATAAACACAAATCTCAGAGTTGATCGTTTTCGTGAAACTTTTGAATGGGACGCGAAAGTATCTCGGAAATTCCTAATGCGATTCAATAGTCCTAAAAGACTCTTCATGCATAAACAAGTACTTCCACTTTAATTAATCCACTTTGGCAGAAATTATACAATCGCTCTCGAAATGCACATTTCGTGGGTTTAACACTCGCAAGGTTTTGCTCGAATTTTTTTTTAACAATTTTGAATCTCGATCTTTACTTTGTGAAGGCTATTGTTAACGAAATTGTGATTCACATGATGTGTAGACAATTGAAATAGTTCTTCCTTGCTGCAAAAAGCAACAAAAATGCCAATTTTTGGGACCAAAAATGAAATAAAAAGTGTTAGTCAAGACACAAATCAGCTGAAAGAAAGCCGTTGTAGTTTAAATCGGAACCAAGAACAAGATCAAAGATTTTTCCAATGTGTTTTCTCAACTGTCTCAGAAAACTGTATGACATGCTCAAGTACAATAGTCGTCAAATACGAGAAAAATCTGATTAATGGTCACAGTGGCCAAAAAGTTCTTGTACGTAACTTTTCTTACTAAATCTTTCTAGTGTTAAAGTGCTATCATTAGTCAGTCCTTGAACTGAACCTCCCCAATATCTAAATAAAATTGAAAACTCCTCTGCGAAACATTCGGAAAACTGCCAACATTTCCACAGCAGCGATCGCCAGTCTTATCCCTCCTTTCGTCGCCAGTCTTGGGCTGGAATGAATGGTCCCCACGCGGCCGCACTCGCCCCAAGTGTGGCTGCGGCTGCTTTTCGAAATCCAGCTCTCGCGCAGTTTGGTCTGAACCACCTCTAAATTCACAAGTGTTGTGCCTCTCCTTCTTCGTTCGAAGCTAGAAGATTTTCTTTCAAACAGTGAGTCTTTCTTCACCACACTTTCCTTGGGCATGCATAAGGGCATGCACAAAAATTGGGGCCAGTCTTTGATCGTGCCGTGTGTGTGTATTTATTCACTTCGTTCACCACAAAAAATCGCGCGATCGCTGAAATTGAACTTTGTGGCGTTTTTACACCAGATCCAATTCAGGTCATGCGAGTCTGGGTGATGAATTGAGCATTGAAAAAGTGCAAATCTGCAATGACATTCGTCACATCATTTAACAAGTTGATTTTACTCTTGTTTCTTGCTTTACGCAACGAGAAGATCCACCTTTCTAATCACCGTCGAGATCGAAAGTTTTCCTCCTCGCGAGACTCGCCACACAGTGTTGGAGATCGAGCTCAAAAGAAACATATAGCGTCGAAATTGTTAAAAGAAGAAACTTTTACTTTCCTCCGTCTCTCTGTCCATATAATCGAAAAACTCGCGCCATCGCCAACATTCGAGATTGGCGTCTCGGAGTGAAATGGTTCCGTGATGTAATTCGCGCGCGCAAAAGAAAGTTTTCACCACTACAGAAGCGCACTCGGGCAATAAAGAGTCACTTTGCCTGTGCAACATTTTTAAAATCGCTCACCTCTGTTGACTCAATTGGCTTCGCATGGACAGAAAGTGGGAAATTACGCATGTCATTTCCCTATCTTATACCACCCAAAGATAATCTCTCTGGAAATGTCGCTCGACTGCCTCTTTTTTGCCACAAAACCATCCATTGGCAATTTGTATTGCAGAGCAATTTGAGACTGTTTTTTCCGCCTAAACGGCTTATTGTGAATGACGGGAACTCTCGTGTGTGTAATCTCGCACCTCACGGATTGAAACACACTGAGAACACTGTGCGTTATGCCATGGTGAAAGACTTTGCGTAACACTCGAATTCGGTGTAAATTCTATAATAAGCACAAGTATTTTCGTAATACATCTGGTCAAGGGTCAAGATATTACGGCAACTTGCATGGAACTGATTGATAGCAAGTAGTTAGTAAACCTACGGCTCGTGAAATGCCTGCACCTCAAGTTGAAACCCTCGAGTTTCGATCAACAAGACAATACATATTGAGGAAATCACTCAGCGAATCGTATTGACACTCATTCACATAATATTTTACATATTTACCCGCACAAATCGCCATGAGGAGGAAAACGTGGCGCGCGAAAGAGCGAGAAATGGCCAAGGAGAGAGTGTGTGAAGGAAATGGAAGAGCAAATCTCGTGACCTTCCAGAGTCACTGATTGATTAGCAATTCACACAGTCACCTCTCAATCATCATTTCCTTCCATGTCGCGCATCTGGTGCAGTGCTCAAGGCGGTGCCCCTTCCCAATCCTTGTCCCACTTCCACGCCCGCGCCCAAGACCATCGCGCCCTACGACACCTACCAATGCACCGTCGGCGAGGACTTCCTGCGGATCGCGCGCGAGCAACTGCGCGAGGACGACAACATCCGGTCGCAGGCGCTGGCCCAGTTCCGCGAGTGGATCGCCAAGCATCCGTACATCAAGAAGTGCCGCACAGGTAAAGTCTGGGTTGCACAACTCAATTAGCAGCGTCGCTGTTTTATTTAAAATACCATCATGCACTTTTCGCACATTCGCCGGCAGTGCATTTTGCAATTCTCAATCTCGGATATCTCTCTCTAAATGTATGCAACATTCTCTCCGGTGGAAATGACTGTGCGAATGTCCATGTCAAGGCGTTAATTTTCAAAAGAATTTATGGGAAAGTCACAGAGTTTTTGAAAGTTGATGCATATTTAGAGATAAAGTCTAACTTGCTTATTTCCGAGCAATGCAATTTTGCGAATCTGGTATTAATGCATATAAACATAAGAGATTTGGCTTGCGAATTTTGTAACAAAATGTCAAATTCATTAATTCTAATTCGACATTTCATTTTAAATAAGATGATTATGAAATTTGTATGAAAGCTGCAGTAAAGAATTTTAAACATCTTATCTAATAAGACAAAAACATAAAGTTGTATAGCTCTTTCATTAGATTGACAAGCTAAATTCCCTTATACTTCAACAGACGCCGTATTCCTGCTACGCTTCCTGCGCACCAAGAAGTTCTCCGTTCCGGCCGCTTGTGAGATGCTGGAAAAGTACCTCACCATCAGGCAATTGTATCCCGCCTGGTTCCGGAAGCTCGACATCGAGGATCCTGCCATCAATGAGATCGTCTCTGCGGGATACCTCGTGCCGCTGCTGCAGCGAGACGCCCTGGGGCGCCAAGTGATAATGAGCTGCGCTGGCAAGTTCGATCCCCATCGCTACACGTCCGCCCAGATGGCCAGAGTGCACTCGCTGGTGTGCGAGGCCCTGATGGATGACGAAGAGAGCCAGATAACCGGCTACAACCACATCAACGACGAATCCGGACTCGCCATGGCGCACGTCAGCCTTTGGTCGCTCACGGACATTCGCAACATGATGCGCTGCATTCAAAACTCCACGCCGATGCGTCACAAGGAGACGCACTTCATCAACTTGCCGCACTACGGCAGCAAACTCATTGAGTTCATGATGACCATCCTCAACGAGAAGCTCAAGAAGCGCATTGTCCTGCACAGCTCTCTAGACGACCTCAAGCGACACGTCGATCCATCGATCCTGCCGAAGGAATACGGAGGCGTCGTTCCACTCAGCGAGATGATCGACAAATTGAAGATCCGGCTGAAGCAGAAGCGCCAGGAAATCCTCGCGCTTGACGATTTCTACATCGAAATCTCCAAGACAGCCGCGAATTTCGCGGGCAGCGAAGATGCCGATATGGATGCCGGCGTCGTGGGAAGCTTCAGGAAATTGGAAGTAGATTAAGTCTGTCTAACATTCCTCCGCTTAAAACCTATATGAAAAATCTTCTCCGAATTAATCATTATTGTTTAAGACTTAGCTCAATTTTGTTGTAATAAGATGGAAGGAAATCTCGATGACATCGAGTCCATTAGGTGGGAATAAGTTACCAAATCTGTGATCCTATAGTCAAAATGGGATGTTTAATCACTCAATTATTCTGCAGTGCACTTAACTTTCTTCCTTTCACAATCTCTCTTCCATTGATAAACACTTGCGTTTATAGATTTTAATTGACTGTTTCGCAACATGAATTTTTTTTTTGATAGGGGAAATTGTTCATTTATTGATCTTCTTGGATATGAATCAGCAAATAAATTTGGTATGTGAAAATTTGTGAAATTCATTGATAATAAAACATGTTCTAAAAAGCCATCATTTCACAATTGTTTAGTATGATCAACGCACAATGTGGACACATTTTGTGTTTACACTGGATGGAGAGTTTGTCTTTAATTGGAAAATTGATCAATTAATGGCCCCATCGATGGACAACAATAGTGAAATCAGAGTCTGGGCAGTCGCCAAAGTGCACTCGCGTATTGCGAAAGTCCATTAGCATGCTGTCGCACGTCACACTCTTCACTGCCCTGTCGCTCCTCCTCATCGCGCGGCGCGGATTCATGCAGGAATCCCGCGACTGTGACACGCTCAGAATCCTCAATGCGAGCGAAATGAGCATCGGTGAGAAATTGGGTCAGCAAACCCTCATCATTCACCATCTCTCGAAGAGATTGAGGTTGCTCGAGAGAAGACTGAAGTCCGTGGAGCAACCAATTTGGGTGATTCGCGAAGGAAGCAATGCGTCCTGGATTGAGTGCGAAAGAGGACCGTGTCAATGTGATAAGATAGCAAGAAGCATCTCTTGTAGTGGAAAGTATCTCAACAGTCTTCCAATCAATCAAATTGTACCTTCAGCAGTGAAAAAATTGTAAGTAATCTCGAAAAACACCAGAACAATATCATAAACTGCCTTCCTGACATTTTCTAGGGACTTATCAAGAAATTCTCTGTTTGCTCTCAATCGAGATTCCTTCAAAGGACTACGAAATCTCTCAGAATTGCTGCTCTCTGAGAATCGCCTAGAATACATTTCACAGGATCTTTTTCACGGCCTCAAGGACTTGACTTACTTAAAGTTATCCTTAAATAAGATTGAACATCTTCACACTAGAACTTTTGTCAGTGTTAAGAATCTGCAAATAATAGATCTTCATGACAATTTGTTTGAAGACGTTCACGAAAATCTCTTAAATTCCTTAGAAGATCTACTAATAGTGGATTTATCGAGCAACAAATTGAGAAAACTCCCGGAAAATCTGCTGAGAAACACAACAAAACTGCTAGAGTTCAATGTATCCAGGAATAAGATCAAGGACCTGAAGACTGATCTGTTCAAGTACATTCCGTCACTAAAGAGACTTCAATTAGACAACAACCACCTTTGTAATGTGCCCTTATCGTATTATATCATCACTAATTTCTGTTCATTCATACAATTTCTCTCCACACAATAGCTTATATTCCCGATCGAGTGTTTGGTCATCTCACAAACTTGCAATACTTATCGATGAAGAGTAACAAAGTGAGTCATATCACGGATAAATCGTTTGAGAATCTCTCAAGCCTTATCACTCTTGATTTGGCTATGAATAACATCAGACAGGTAAATAACAACCCACTGGAAGGCAATTTAAGCTCTTATCTCATGAATTTTCTCTTCTATAGATAGAAGATCGGGGATTTTTGAACCTGGCGAAACTTCGGGAATTGCGCCTCGGACACAATTCTCTGAATAATATTCCTGACCTCTTGTTCAGCACTCTGAGACAGCTCCGCAAACTCATGCTCTTCTCCAATCACATCACGGAGTTGCAAGAGAAATCCTTCGTTGGTCTGCATCGAGTGAAAGTACTCTACCTCAACAATAATCTCATCAAATTCCTGCATCCAAATGTCTTTCAGCCTCTGCGGAAATTGAGTAAACTGTAAGTCAAACAGAGAGATTCCAGTAACTTCACATTTTAAGAGGAATTCCTTGAATTCACGCAGTCGTCTGGATTGGAATGATTTGCTCTTCCTTCCGCAAGGATGTCTGGACATGATTCCAAGGCTCTCGGCCGTTAAGCTGCAGGAGAATCCGTGGCACTGCGACTGTCGAATGATCTATTTGGCGCGATGGCTGAGATCTTCTGCGTCTCACGCCTGGAACACTGAGCTGCTCTGCAAAACTCCAGAACAACTTGAGGGCCAATCGCTGAGTCTGTTGCGCTTCGACAGTCTCTGTCGCGGTCAGTGGGCTGCGATGGTGAGTCTATCGCCGCGCCTGCCCATCCGGAAGCAGCGCTTTCATGCGCCTCGAACACTTTTCGATGTCCTGCGACAACACCAGCTCGTCTAAACTGCCCTCAATCGGGAAGTAAACACACAATATATCGATGGAATTGGGCCCTAATTGATAAACCTTCCTTGTCCATTTGACTTAATTAAATGGTATGTATTGGGAACTGAGTGAGGCATCGAGAAACAATTCCTTTCCTTGCTGTCTACAATAAATTCTCCTATCTATTGGCCTTTCATTTCTGGCTCTCTGATAATTTCAATTACATACTTTGTCTTATCAGCCAATATTGGGACGAGATTGTGTTTGCAGGTGAATCGATGAACCGAAGTTTGGCTCTTGCAGTTTTCACTTAGCATTCGACGTGGTCAGTCGCTAAGGAAGAGACAGAAGAGTCCTCAAGTTCAGTGTTTAAGCTCACTTCTTTACGCTTTGGAGGAATGTCGCTCAACTTTTAACTCTTCAACATTTACTATCATTCCTTCCCAGTGGCAAAATGAGTCGCCAGGATAAATTTGTGATCAATTCAGTGAAATGTGTGCTTCTAATATGCCTGTGCTTCTCACATATGAACACCATCGCAGGACAAAGTAAATACTCTTGATAAAATTAGAGAGAGAGAGAGAGAGAAAAAGCTTCATCCGGTCTATAAATCTGCATTTTCAAGTGCGATAAACTCATTTGTCGGAAAGTGTGAAACTGCGAAATCGATTGGAGCTTGTTAGAGTCTATCGCTCTCGTCCAATTAATTCCTCTCTCCTCTCCTCCCTAATCTTATCAAGCCAATTTTCCACTTGATTGTTAATTGTGTTCCCCTGTACGCGATATAACACCACAAACGCTGTAAATCGTTGTCAATGCGTTTGACAAAATTGCCAAAAAATTTATCACTATTTCCAAGAAGGACACAATGAGAGTCTTTATCTACTTTCTTAGGATGCACAATAACCGACGTGGAGCAGGATAACTTCATCACTCTCCCAATCATACCAATTGGACAACCGTCAACTTTGGCCACTTACAACATGGAATCAACAATTGCCATCACCAATATCACGAACAACGCAGATTCGGGCAAGATTTTCATCAGCGCGGACTACAATGCAGAATTAGAAGCACTCACGCTCTTCACGACAGACGAATTTCCAAATTATGCACAATTCGAGGAGAGAACCACCATCATTATGACCATATCCTTCTCCTGTGTCTCCCTCACGAGGGACATCACCTTCTCCCAGGCGCTTGTTGTGTCCAATGATCACGACCCGGAATTCTTGCAGACAGAATATGAGTTCACGATTCCCCTGCCGCTTCCTGCCAACTTCGATCTCTCAGTCTTCCAGGTGAGTTTCTCATCACTCTTCAATGATGTCATATTGCCCAAAAGCTGCCTATCTTCCGATGTTATCACCTAAAAATTCCATTTCTTCAACTGTGTCAATGCTTGAGGAACATTTATCACAATTACCAAACTTGTTAACCGCAACACTATCGTAACAATCAATGCCCCATACTTCAGAACTAAACATTCCTTCGAATCGCAACGATTAAGGGAACTTTTGATATCTTTCTTGCAGGAAATCGCTGCTCGTGACATTGATATTGGAGAAAATGGTGTAACTTTTAGTGCAGATTCTGAATATGTAACAATCGGAACATCGGCAGTGTCGAGAGAGCCTAAAACTTACTACGCCACGATGACCACAAAGACTCAGATTCTGTCCATTGTGCACAGCATCGCCTTCGAGATCACAGCCACTGATATTGGCGGAAGAAGCTCGTCAGTTAATGTTTACATTACGAGCGATGGAGAGAACAAGTTCATCATGCGTCCGGTGTTCGAGAGTCCTTTCTACAGTGGTGTTCTCGATGAAGACTTCGTCCTGCACATGGACTCATCGGTAATTCTGGACACAGACACGTACGACGAAGAGGAAGTGACTTTCGCACTTCAGGGCGAAGACAGCAGATTCTTCAGCTTCACCAATTTCCAGAATGTCATCAACATAGAACTCCAGGGGGAAATTACAGAGGAAGACATTGAAGAGAAGAACTTCCTGCAATTCTTTGTCGTAGCTTCACGACCAGGAATTGAGGATGGATCTGCAGCAGTGGTAATTGATTTGATGAAGACTTGCCCAGAAATCACGACACTCAGTCCACCCACAACTCCAGAACCGCCGACTTGTCCCACAGTAACGTGTCCTGAAATCCCAACGGATGGAACAACAGACGAACCAAGTGTTACAAGCCCACTTCCTGAGCCAGAACTCTGTCCAGACCCCGAAGGACCTGTTTTCCAGGACGATTTCTACACTTACAGAGTCTTCTATGGCCAGTTGGGCAGCATTGGAACAGTTAGAGCCACACATCCTGACGAATCACCCGTGGAAACCATTGAATACTCCCTCAACTTCAAAGATGAATCCCTGCAAGATAAGATTGCAGTCGATGCGGCTTCCGGACAAATCTCTCTGCTGGACCAACTTCTGCCTGAAGCGTATGGTTTTGAGGTGTTCGCCTCGATAATCGTGGATGGCGAACGGAAAGTGGGCAGAGCTCTTGTCACTGTTATTGTAGAATCCAACGAACAGTGTTCACCAACTCCAGTCGAGATGAGTTTGATGGTGAGACGGCTCAAGGAGAACGCCGAGCATGAAATCATGAGCACGACAATTGCAGATTGCCAATTCGAAATATTGGGCTTCCAACCAAACGATCAAGGTAAGATTATTTACTGAATTTCACAGTGAAATCAATGTAAATTTCCCTTCTGCCTCCCTCAGAATATTTCTTTATTGAGGATCAGCTGCTGAAATCGATCGCATTCGACAGAGAAGCTGACATATTCACCGGCATGATGATTCCGCAGTTTCAGATAAGTCTCAAGCTGGAATGCCCAGAGACTCGCCGGAAGCGCTCCATCGCTCGTTGGAGCTTCAATCCGCAACCCAGAGACCTCGATGGGCCGAAGGAGTACGTGTACACGAACGACATCCCTCACGCATCCACAGTGACTGTGGTGAATGTGATTGTTGAGGATGAGAACGACAACAAGCCTGAGATTATCTTCCCAACGCCCGCCGATGGTCTGACATTCGGCTACCCTGAACCCAATCTGGCAGACAAACTGCTCCTCAGCCATGTGCTGCAAGTGAAAGCCATCGATCGCGATGAGGGAGAAAATGCCATCGTCAAATTCGCCATGTTCGAGACCAACAATCACTTCACGATAGACAGCGAAAGTGGAATTATTTATCCCAAGAGAAATGCTTTGGCTTCATCAACTCTGGCTAATCTGAGAGTCATCGCCACGGATCGGGAAGAAGATGAGGGAACTCTTCAGGGTGCCAATGTTAACATTGCTATTCACAGATTGTCTTCTGAGAATATTGCCGTGGTTACGGTTGAAGATGTGTCCTTGCCCGATGCCGAAACAGTCAGACAGAGCATTCTTAGTGCCGATGATGCGAGAATCCTGATTCTTCACTCCACCACTATTCCAGGAGCTCAAGATTCTGCACTGAGACAATCTGCAGACACTGTGGTGATGAAATTCCTCATTTACGGCTTCTCCAGTGAAAACGACAGACTTCTCACCACTCCGCAAATAGAACAGTAAGTTCTCCGCTAAATGCACGGATTTACAAAGATGAATTCATCATGTTATTTTCAGGAGAATGAGTGACGTTACTGAGAAGTTCCATGCGAGAACCTCGCCACTGGACGAAGTCATAAGTGTCCTTGTCGAAGACAAGGATCTTACGGGCTTCATTGTGGGTCTCTCGATCATGGGAGCGGCAATTCTTGCCCTCATCATCTGCGCTTTCTGGGGCTGGTGGAAGTACATCAGGCCATACGAGTACAAGACCATGGAGAATGAAAGCGTGATGTCTGACGATAATGGCTTAACGCCTGACTTCGATAAGAAGGCCGTCATCGACGGAGATATTCCTGAGCCAATAAGTAAGAGATTTGCTTAGCTAAACATCGAAAAAGGTTCTGAACTTTTCCTCCCTTTTCAGGATTATCCGAAACTTACAACGATCCCGAAAGGCAGTCGCCGCAAATGTATAACCTGGAATCGAATGGCATCCAGACAACTGAGCCGAAGCCCGAGAGTCCACCAAAAGAGCGGAGAAAATCTATCGTGACGTTCAATGAAGACGTGGAGAGAATTGAAATAGTCACGGAAGTTCCTGCAGACACTCAGTCAGATTCCGAGAAGGAGGTTAATTATAAATTCTAAAGATTACAAGCAATATGCTATTTAGGGTGCATAATATATTTTCTAACTTATGAAGCTACTTTGCGTCTAATTCGCCTGCTTCAGCTGAGACGTGATAAAAGCCACCATTGTCGTGTCGTGGAGGGACAATTTCGCTCCCTCCTGAAACTCAGATCTCTTGGAAATCTGAAGCCAGGCTCTCTCGGCGTTCATCGACATCGGCGTCTGGAGCCAAGAGGCGTAGTCAATCCGCAATCCTCCGGTCAGCAGTTGATCGAAGGACTGATGGCCGATGTGGAACATAATCTGGAGGAGAGTTTGATTGTCCTCCTCAATTTTCTGGCCAGGCAACGGCTGAAGTTCACTCTTCTCCACTTCGCTAACTCCCATTTGCTGGTAAATCCACTCGATGTTGTTCTTGATGTAACGAAAGAGGATCTTTAGACTCTGCTTGCCCACTGGAGTGGTCAGGACGTCGCTGGCGAGCATTTCCGCGATATAATCTGCATTCTCCACGTCAAATTCATCTCCTGCACTTGTGCTAGGCTGCATTGCCGCTTCGAGATCGTCTATTTTTACGGTTGAGGCAAAGCTCAAGCCCACTGTTTCTTCCATGGCCGTCTCGACTGTTGTTGGCGCCATTTGAGTATCCCTGGCCTGCTTGAGGAAAAGCCCGAGCTGATCTGTGTGCTTGTTGTCAGCATCCACAGAACAGATGGCTTCAGCCACTGTCTGGCAAATAGAAGCCTTCTCGGAGTCCCGGTCGCTCTCATTCTCGCACGCTTCCAGGAGCTTCGTATACAGCGCCATGAAGAGGATCTGGATGAGAACAGAGTCGCCAAGCGGCCTCACATCCGCCGGAATGATGTCCACCAGCGCAATGGAGACTCTGTAGAGACAGTCTGGGATGCAGTCCCACATCTCTGAGAAGCAGGAAATGGCCAGCGACATGGCCTGGTACATGGAAGCGTTTCCCGTGTGCACAGCCGAAATTAGCATGTGAACCACGGGATCCAGCACGGGATAGACGAGGTGGAGGAGAGCCTCTAGCCAAGCTGGACGCTTCTGATTCCACACTTGACGTCTGTCCAGCGCGGCCGCCCAATCGCGCACTTGCGTCTTCTCCAGGGCAGAAATGAGGGTGAGATTGATGTCGTGCATTTTCCCCGTCATCACCACAATGTACACCAGAGAGAGGACAACTTGGTAATTCGTCTGACCCACAGGATCCACGTCCTCCTTCGTCCACTCCTCCACCTTCGTGCACTCCATGCCGCACATGAATCCCTCGCACTTCTTCGCGAACTTCTTCCTATTGAGTAACGGTTGAGATAGAGCGGCCACAAATCGGTCACTAGAAGGCTGATTACTGAGCAGATGGTGAAGAATTATCGTGGATAGTGTGGCGTCTCGTAGGAGCAGGACTTTCAGCAGCACAGACCAATTCGCTTGAGGTGCAGACATCAACACTCTCAGCTCCAGACTCAGAGCAGTGTTGGGTCCAAATTCTGAGCATCGCGTGGCCCAATGACCAGTTTGATTGGACGGGAACATCTTGGGCAGCGTAAAGATAATCCAAGGAGCTGGAAGACCTTGCCTGGACGTCATCATTCCCACTGACGCAGCGCCTTTTTTTAGCACCCTGAACAACACACCGAGTGGTGCTCCTCGCAGCAGAAGACACATGAACAACTCCTGGCACTTGGCGTGAATGTCCCGGATGGTTTTGGTCTGATTCACTATATTCAGACCAACGTAGGCTTCAGCATTCTCAGAAATCGTGGGCAGAAGCTCAGCCATACAATGGAGGATGTTGCAAACATCCACGAGCAAGAGCTGCGATCGAGCCTGACTCGGACAGAGTTGAGTATAGCGAATGGTGAACACTGTGAGCGTCTCATTGAGCATCCCAGCGAAAACCCGCTGAGCCATGTTGGGTGGAACTGAGTTCCAGAGATCCTTCCGAGTGCCTGGACGAAAGGAAAATGGGCCCTTTCAATGGGAAACATTGAGATCTACCAAATATCCGTACCTTGCATGTAAAGCCACCACATTTGCACAGTATAAGAACCCCTTTCTGACTCGAAGAAGGGCTGCTGATTCTCCCAGTTCAGCGTTTCTGCATCCTGCAGGATATACAGCGTCAGGAGGCGACAGTGCAAGTCCAGCAGCCGCTCTGCAAGCGCCTCTGTCAATTCCGAATACTGCTTGTAGCTCATCTTCAGAGATCCGCCCTTCTCATCTCCTCGTGGCGGACAAACAGACACTGAGACGTTCTGCAGGTAGATCCAGAGGCTGTTCTTCACCAGCGCCGCCGCTCCAATTGTCGCCGTGAGCACTGTCAAGTCGGCGTGATCGAGAGCCTCCTGACTCAGATGGTGAATGTGATCCAGCAATTTGTCTGCACACTTTGTGGCCAAGCTCACGAACTTCTCCGGATCGGATGTCTTCACAATTCCTCCACAGTGAGCGCCGAGATCATCTTCAGACTCTTCGTGAATCTCATCCTTGATATCAAACAGATTCAGAAGCCCTGAGTTCTTCTTGTACGCCGCATAGTATTCATCCTCCCACCAGCGGACAATCTTCACGGCCGCGAAAGAGGCGTAGCGAGGAAAGTCCAACTTTCCGCCAACAACTCCCGGACAAATAGTCTCTTGCAGAACCACTTGATTCTGCTGGTAGTACTGCATGTCTCTCTGGAGCAGGATTGGCACCCTGTCCATGAGATTTCCCTCTTCCATCACCTCCATTGCGACAATTGAGACACTTTCTCACAGAAAAACCAAATGTCAGCCAGAAAACTCCGAGGAAAACTCAAACTATCGATTAAACGAGAGTGTTCTTGGCATGGTTACCAAAATTAGCAGTAATACAAACGAAAGTCAAGGGAAAAGTTTGCATTTCAGTGTCCTAATCAAATTCCTTGCATTTATTCTCCATGTGCAATACAATTTATCAAAAAACCACGACAATTTGAAAAAATCGACACTACATTTGGCTATAATCTCTCTCTTTCTCTCTCTCTCTCTATTCAGTATCTAATGGAGTGGGCGAACAAAGTGTTCATCTTTATCGATGTTTCTTCTCTTCCCCTCTTTATTGGTGCGCTCAAGTGATTCACACGCACTTTAAGAAACCATATTTCCAAATGTATCGTTATATGTATGAGACCAACAGCAAGTTCGACACATTTCATCTTCACACAGAATCCAATTAATTGCTTATCATTCACCACAAGTGGAGAGATTCAGCAAGGAATATGTTACCAATCATATTATATGGAAGAGGAGAGCGTGTAGAAGATTACTCAAAATAACACAATACGGTGAATCAGTCATAATGGGATTTCCTTCCTTCAATTACAAATATACTTCTTATTAATCCTATCTGTGATGTTTATCATAGTTGCTCTTCTACGCTTTCACATCTGCTCATTTACTCCTGCTTGAGACCATTTGCAGTTGCCTGAGCCGCTGCGGCAGCCTCCATCTCTCGTCGGTTTATCTGAAAGCCACCAAAAGAAGGTCTTTTAGAGGCCCCGCCCATTCCTAAGCCCCGCCCATTTCTCACCTGATACCAAACCACGAGTCGCCCGCCGAGCATGAATGTGAAGACGAGAGCTGGTCCGGACCTCTCGAAAGGATCACTCACCATGTAGTGAGAATAGACGGCGAGCAGCATGAGTGCAAGTAGTGTGATATTGGCAGCGTTTTTAATTTTATCTGCGCGAGACACGAGAACACACAGTTTAGAGATTTTCAGGTATATCACAGCCAAGATCAGTTCATGGTGAATGAAAAATCTGGCCGTTCAGCTTCAACCTTCAGGGATACTCACGAAACGGTATAAAGACCATGGCAAGTCCACAAATCACCTCAAGAATGCCCACAACTCGTCGATACCATTTCGATGGGATTTTGAGGTCAAAGAGAGACGCCAGTGGGAAAACTTTTGCATATTTCACATACTCCTTCCGCTGAAATGATAGAAAAACAATTAATCTCATTTGTCTTGTTGGACATGTAGTACGAAAAGAACGTTGGAATCAATAAAAAGAATTTATTGATAAAGTCATAAATCACATGACGATTCATGCACACAGGCGGTGTATGTGGAAAAAATTGGCGCACACCCAAAATCACACTCGTCAGACATTACACGCATCGCCCCTTTTCATTCACTCGCGCCAAATAACCATGTATAAAATAATAATAATCTAAATTGTATGATATACAAAATGCCTTTTCTCACTGTCTAATCGCCGTGTAACACGCACAGAATATTCTACGCGTGGTCTTTAGGTGAAAATCAACTACTTTTCTGCTCACTTGTTGCAAAAATTAGAATAACATAAATATTTGGAAGAGAAGCAGACAGAAAGAAAGCGCTTTTATGATTTATAGAGTGCAAAGAAGGTGAATTTCGGTGTATTTGCGGAGGAGGTGGAAAATACAGGAGAGTATATAGCACGATACACGCTCAAAGTATCCACCCCAAAAATAGTACCAAGTGTTTCCCATACAACATCTTTTTTTTCGCTGCCAACAATATAAATGTATATGAAAGTGCTTGAAAAATTCACTCTCGTCTTCCTGAGAGCTATTTATAGTTTCGTGGGAAGCAAATTGAACTTGAAAGTTATTTTTCCACAAAGAGCTTTCCGTGGTCTACTGAATGAAAGCACAGACGCACGTAAATTGCTCACATTCATATGGTTTGTATGGAATTTCCTCAACACCAGCAAGCTGCAAATGAATCCTTTTGATAAATGTGCCAAGAGAGTCGGAAGAGAAAAAGACTATCTGTTTCTGGCATTCAATTAATTACTATTGGTATGTTCACATTTAACCTATCAAACAACACTTGCACAACATTCTTTCATCTATAGATACACTGCAAGTCTTGCTGCTTGTTAATGAAACGCAAATATTCTAATTATGTCATTATACATGACACCTGTTCGCAGAAAATCACCTCAACTTCGCAGACTCTCTATCCAAATCATATGCTTTTGTCTACATACGAAGAATGCTTTCAAATGCGTGAAAATTACATAGAATTCTTCTTGTTGAGTAAATAGGAGAAGTTATCTTCCCCTTTTGCACCGTCGCCCCTTCGTCTTTAGTTCATCACACATGAAATAATTTAGCATTCGTCGCTCAATGCTGCCAAATTTCAAAATAGCCACAAGCTAAAGTGATTCTCATAACAATATTCTTACAGGAAAATAATGTTAAATTCTCCCTTTAGAAATTGTAATGCATGAAAAACCACAAATGTTACACTAATTTCCCACCGATAGCCACGCCCACATTTCTCTAGACGACAAGAAACCATGGAAGGATTTTCCACTCATCAATCAATTTTTTCATCCAACAGAAGTGCTTCAGAGTCACTTTCACACCCACAAACCAAAGAGATAATTTGCTCAAAATCTTCTTCATATACTCACCAAGTCTCTGTGGAGTTCCTTGCTGAAGTAAGGACTCAATTTCATCGTGCCGATGAAAATGAAGAAAAGTCCCAGGAGAATTGATAAACTCTTCAATACAATTGATGTTGATGCTGGCATTTTCACACAATCTCTTCTGTCTTCTTATTTCACACAAGGACAAAAGAATCACATGAAATTGTTAAATCACTAAAATCACAAGAATTTCCCTCACATAACACTGTGAATTTTCCACTTTTCTGTCTCCCACTGTCGCCCACAAGAAATGCTACTCTGAGCACTTTCCTCACTTCAATTTCACCATTTTCACCCCAGTTCAAATGAAAATTCCACAATGAAAGTCAAGAAGATCGACAGCAAAGGTCACTCTCCTTGTGTTTCGTCTTCACGCTAATTTATCGCTCAATCGGAATATTTTATGGCTTTCTAATGAGTACAATTTTCACACCCAAACTTCCGCGGAAAGATGCACAACTCAATGGACAAACACTGACTGAGATTGCTGGCGGTGAAAAATCAATAAGACGTTCAGCGTTCTCATCGTCTCTCCGCTCAAGAGAATCCGCAGAGAGACTTTTCGCTCATTTTCTCGGAAAATTCCCTCTCACGACGATTGCGCACGGACGCTAAAGACTTCTCGCGCCTCTTTTCTCAATTCTTGCCAAATTTCTGACTTTATGGTCACTTTAAAATGCATCACAGTGTCTCAATCGCCACCTAAGTGACCTGGGAATTAAGCAATAGTGGAAAACACCCAAGAATCCGTTTAAAATACCCCAAATTGCTGTTTGTTTACATCGGACCGGTGTCATAAAGTGGAATGGGGAGTGCTTTCCCCAAGCAATTCCCCTCCTTTCACACGTGCAGACCCAAAAAGTCCAAACTATAATCCTAGAATTCTAGCACGGCCTTCAGCTGAGGTCCTTGAAAGCCCTTCAGGAAGATTCTCGAGAATATTCTGAAGATCCTACCATGAACATGATTGAGACTTTCCTCAGTTGATCTCGGCGAAAAACACAGCCGAAAAGGGCTCTGCAAAGGCGTGAAAACTCATGGAGACGCCAAAAAGTGTGGACAAGGGATGAAGCTGGGGCGCAGAGGGAGGTTTTCCCATGGCAATCGTCGCCATTTGTCCATTTTCTGCCCCATTTGTCAGTGTCAGTGAAAATCTCTTCTGCTGCCCAGCAACATCATGGTGAAAGCGTGAAAATCAGCGGAAAATGCTGGGCAGGAAGCAGAGTCTCAAGGGTGAGCCCATCCTCGCGGACTACGGACCCGAGGAGTCGCTAAATGAGAGTGCAGACATCGAGTGGGTGAACAAATTATGGGTGAGACGTTTGATGCGTCTCTGTGCCCTAGTTTCACTCACTTCCGTCTCCCTGAACACACCCAAAACCTTCGAGCGCCATCCGCCGCTGCAGTACCTCACCTTCGTCTGCGACACCATCGTGACGCTGCTCTTCAGCTCCGAGATGATCGCCAAGATGCACATCCGTGGCGTGTACAAGGGCGACGTGCCCTACTTCAAGGATCACTGGTGCCAATTCGACGCCACGATGGTCATCTTCCTCTGGATGTCCATCAGTCTGCAGGTCTTTGAGATCCTAGGCATCGTTCCCGGCTTCTCCTATCTCTCAATTATGCGCGCACCGCGGCCTCTCATCATGATTCGCTTCCTGCGAGTCTTTCTCAAGTTCTCCATGCCGAAGAGTCGCATCAATCAGATTTTCAAGTTTGTCTAGAGATATTCCCAGTCGATCCGGAAGATTAACACTTTCTGCTTTTGCAGACGTTCGAGCCAGCAAATCTACAATGTCACGCTCTTCTTCCTGTTCTTCATGTCGCTCTACGGATTGCTGGGAGTGCAATTCTTCGGCGAACTAAAGAATCACTGCGTGCTGAACACCACGGAAATGGAGTGACTATTGCCAAATCCTCCTATGAATTGCCATAAATCCATAATCATGACTCTTTTTTCATCTTTTCAGCACTCTCACCATCAACTCCTTAGCCATTCCGGACACTTTCTGCTCCACAGACGAGGATTCCGGCTACCAATGTCCGGATGGGATGAAATGCATGAAGATGGACTTCCTCTCGAGTTACGTTCAGGGATTCAATGGTTTCGAAGACATCGCGACCAGCATTTTCACCGTCTACCAAGCGGCATCGCAAGAGGGATGGGTTTTCATCATGTACCGCGCAATTGACTCCCTTCCGGGCTGGCGAGCGGCCTTCTACTTCAGCACGATGATCTTCTTCCTGGCCTGGCTCGTGAAGAACGTCTTCATCGCCGTGATCACGGAGACTTTCAATGAGATTCGCGTGCAATTCCAGCAAATGTGGGGCGTTCGCGGACAGATTCAGAACAGCACGGCCTCACAAATCCTCTCTGGCGACGACACAGGATGGAAACTCGTGACTATCGATGATAACAAGCACGGCGGATTGGCGCCTGAGACTTGCCACGCCGTCCTGAAATCACCATACTTCCGATTGCTCGTCATGTCCGTGATTCTGGCCAATGGAATAGTCACAGCCACGATGCATTTCAGACATGACGGAAGACCGCGTCAAGTATTCTACGAGAGCTATTACTACATCGAAGTCGCCTTCACGTTCTTCCTGGACATGGAGACGCTCTTCAAGATCTACTGCCTGGGTTGGAGAGGATACTTCAAGCATTCCATCCACAAGTTTGAGCTGCTCCTCGCAATCGGGACGACACTTCACATCATTCCCGGACTCTACATGTCCGGCTTCACGTACTTCCAAGTACTTCGCGTGGTTCGCTTGATCAAGGCCTCGCCAATGCTCGAGGGCTTCGTGTATAAAATCTTCGGCCCAGGCAAGAAGCTCGGCTCTCTGATCATCTTCACAATGTGCTTGCTTATTATCAGCTCCAGCATTTCCATGCAACTCTTCTGCTTCCTCTGTGACTTCACCAAGTTCGAGAGCTTCCCAGAAGCCTTCATGTCCATGTTCCAAATCCTCACGCAGGAAGCTTGGGTGGAAGTTATGGACGAGACCATGATCAGGACAAGCAAAACTCTCACGCCTCTCGTCGCCATGTATTTCATCCTCTACCATCTCTTCGTCACGCTGATCGTGCTGTCGCTCTTCGTCGCCGTTATTCTGGACAACTTGGAATTGGACGAGGACATCAAGAAGCTGAAGCAGCTGAAGTTCAGAGAGCAAAGTGCCGAGATCAAAGAAACTCTCCCATTCAGACTCAGAGTCTTTGAGAAGTTCCCAGACTCACCACAAATGACAATTCTGCACAAGATTCCCAATGATTTCACGCTGCCCAAAGTGCGAGAATCCTTCATGAAGCACTTCGTCACTGAACTGGAAACTGACGATCCTTCGCTGGTGGAGGGAATCATCAAGCAGCCAACGTCTGAATATTGGGAGTCAAACATTCTTTTCAAGAAGCGCAAGCCCGTAAGGATCATGAACAAAACGCCCAAGGTGAGATCAGTGGGAAGCAGCTTGAGGAAGCTGGCAATCACGCACATAATCAATGATTCAAATAACCAGCGACTGATGCTAGGCGACTCAGCAATCTTGCCTGTCGTGGGAGCCAAATCCGCCCTCAAGCCCCAAGGCACAGTCACGCACCCAAAGCAGTGGCGCATGGACCAGAAAAAGTTCGGCAGTCGCTCGATTCGGCGCAGCGTCCGCAGCGGATCGATCAAGCTGAAGCAAACGTATGAGCACTTGATGGAAAACGGCGACATCGGAGCAGCCTCGAGAGTATCCTCATCTCGCGCTCGTCCTCATGATCTGGACATTAAACTCCTGCAGGCCAAGCGACAGCAGGCAGAAATGAGACGGAATCAGCGTGAGGAGGATCTCAGGGAGAATCATCCCTTCTTCGACACGCCACTCTTTATCGTACCGCGCGAGAGTCGCTTCCGAAAGGTGTGCCAAAAGCTCGTCCACGGACGCTATGACGCCAGACTCAAGGATCCACTCACGGGAAAAGAGCGCAAGGTGCAGTACAAGAGCCTCCACAACTTCCTCGGCTTGGTCACTTATTTGGATTGGGTAATGATCTTCGTCACTACGCTCTCATGCATCTCAATGATGTTCGAGACGCCCGGTTATCGGGTCATGGAACATCCAGCACTGCAAGTGGCTGAGTATGTCTTCGTGATCTTCATGAGTTTGGAGTTGGCGCTCAAGATCCTCGCCGACGGACTGTTCTTCACGCCCAAAGCCTACATAAAAGACGTCGCCTCGGCTCTGGACGTCTTCATCTACGTCGTGTCCACAACATTCCTCTGCTGGATGCCCAAGCAAGTGCCAAGCAACTCTGCAGCCCAGCTTCTGATGATCCTCAGATGCGTTCGACCGCTGAGAATATTCACACTCGTGCCACACATGCGCAAGGTGGTTTATGAGCTGTGCCGAGGCTTCAAGGAGATCCTCTTGGTATCCACGCTCCTGATCTTGCTGATGTTCGTCTTCGCCAGCTACGGTGTCCAACTCTACGGCGGTCGCTTGGCGCGTTGCAATGATCCGACAATTTTAAAGCGCGAAGACTGCGTTGGAGTGTTCATGAGGCGAGTCTTCGTCACCAAAATGAAACTCACGCTGGGCGTCAATGAATCCTATCCCTCAATGCTCGTTCCGCGCGTCTGGGCGAATCCCCGACGCTTCAATTTCGACAACATCGGAGACGCCATGCTGGCACTCTTCGAGGTACTCTCCTTCAAGGGCTGGCTGGACGTTCGTGATGTTCTCATCAAGGCCGTGGGGCCCGTGCATGCGATCTACATTCACATCTACATCTTCTTGGGATGCATGATCGGCCTGACACTCTTCGTGGGCGTCGTCATTGCCAACTACTCGGAGAACAAGGGCACCGCTCTGCTCACGGTGGACCAGAGGAGATGGTGTGACCTGAAGAAGCGTCTAAAGATCGCTCAGCCGCTGCACTTGCCGCCGCGCCCCGACGGCCGCAAATTCAGAGCCTTCGTGTACGACATCACACAACACATCATCTTCAAGCGATGCATTGCCGTCGTCGTGCTCATCAACAGCATGCTTCTGTCGATCACGTGGATCAAAAACGAGATTCACACTGAGCGACTCGTCATCGTGAGCACGCTCCTCAATTTCGTCTTCGTCATCGAAGTGGTGATGAAGAACATCGCCTTCACACCGCGCGGCTACTGGCAATCGCGCCGCAATCGATACGATTTGCTGGTCACGGTGGCTGGCGTGGTTTGGATCTTCCTGCAGATTACGCTTCGTAGTCACTTGTCCTACTTCATCGGCTTCATGGTGGTGATCTTGCGCTTCTTCACCATCACCGGCAAGCACACCACGCTGAAGATGCTCATGCTGACTGTCGGCGTGTCCGTTTGCAAGTCCTTCTTTATCATCTTCGGGATGTTTCTGCTGGTCTTCTTCTACGCTCTGGCCGGAACGATCCTGTTCGGGACGGTAAAGTACGGCGAGGGCATTGGCCGCAGAGCGAACTTCGGCTCTCCCGTCACGGGCGTGGCCATGCTGTTCCGCATCGTGACAGGCGAGGATTGGAACAAGATCATGCACGACTGCATGGTTCAGCCGCCGTACTGCACGCCGGCGGGCAACTACTGGGAAACGGATTGCGGCAATTTCACGGCCAGTCTCATCTACTTCTGCACGTTCTACGTCATCATCACGTACATTGTCCTGAACCTCCTCGTGGCTATTATCATGGAGAACTTTTCCCTATTCTACTCGAACGAGGAGGACGCGTTGCTCTCCTACGCGGACATCCGCAACTTCCAGAACACCTGGAACGTCGTGGATATACACCAGCGTGGAGTGATTCCCGTGAGGCGGGTGAAGTTCATCCTGAGACTCCTCAAGGGGCGACTGGAGTGCGATCCGCAGAAAGATCGCCTGCTTTTCAAGTACATGTGCTATGAACTAGATAAATTGCACAACGGCGAGGATGTCACGTTCCACGACGTGATTAATATGCTGTCCTACAGATCGGTGGACATCCGAAAGGCCCTGCAGCTCGAGGAGTTGCTCGCGAGGGAGGAATTTGAGTACATTATCGAGGAAGAAGTGGCCAAACAGACCATCAGAACCTGGTTGGAAGGATGCCTCAAGAAGATCCGCGTGCAGAACATTGCCAAGCAGCAGAACTCTCTGCTCGCCGGCCTCAGAGCCACCAATGAAGCCCCCAAGCCTGACTCCACCGAAGACAAAGCCACCAAAGAGCCCATCGATGCCGAACAGGACGCCAAGGATGCGGAAACCCTGCGCTTGCGCAAGAAATCCCAAAATGTGCTGAACAGGTCGGATTCAACGGGCAGTGCGAGTGGGAGAAAGTTCTTGGCACCTACCTTATCTGATCCGCAGGCCAGGAACGAGAAGGAGCGCTTCTCCAACAGCAAGAAGAAGACGCCGCGTCCGCAGGCGACCACGAAGAACAATCTGCCCTTCCTCAATGAGTTTTCCCACACTCAGGTGCAGTCTGGCGGTCCCACAAATCAGGTGAATCTGGTGTGCGAGGTGCAGGGATGGTTCCAGGAGCAAGTCTCCTGCGCGGCAAGCAGCGATGAAGATGAGTAGAGAGAGAAATTGGCTATTTCGTGTGCAATTTAGCGAATGTTAACACTCACCTGTATTGAATGTTAGAGAATAATAAATATATTGGTGTTTGGAAACACAAATAAGCTTCTTGTTAGCATTTTTATCCTTTTTCCAAAACGCAATTTCACAAGAGCACTCAACAATTCCAACGACCATATTGGACTTCGTTCTCCTTTCCAGAAGCAGCGCCACTTTCGCTCCGAAAAGGAAACTGTCAGTGACGTCATGGTTTAAAGGTCTCTCTCGTGTTTATCTTTTGTGAAATTATGTTGTCTTTCACATTTATGGCATTTTGGGTGGTGAAACCCCTCCCAAAATGTCTGTGTCTATAAAGTCTTTTGTCTTCTTGGACACTGAAGGCACAGGATTGCCTCAGTTTAACGGTTCGACGAAGATTGTGGAAATTTCGCTGGTTGCATGCTCTGTGGATCACTTTGTTGCGTCTTCGGACCAGGCAGAAACTCGACTTCCGCGTGTCCAGCACAAACTGACCCTTTGCGTGAACCCCTTCAAGAGGATTTGTGATGAATCGACGAAGATTACCGGACTGGACAATTACGATGTTGAGCATGAGAGCAAATTTGGCATTCGGGAACTGGAGATGATCAAGAGCTTTGTAGAGCGCCTGCAGCAACCAGTGTGTCTGGTGGCTCACAATGGGTATGAGTACGATTATCCGCTGCTTAGGAAGGAATTTATGAAGCACAAAGTTGTGAGTTGACGATGTTTATTTGAGTTTGAGGACGTGTTGTGATTCTTTTACCTTCACAGGCTGTTCCGGATGGGCTTCTCTGTGCTGATTCCTTGGAAATTTTCAGGAAAATCGATGCAGCACGCGATAGAGAAAGACTTGAGGAGGAAGAGCTCGCGGAGTTCATTGAAAATGAACTCAAAGAGATGGAGAAAGTGGCGGAAGCAGAAGAAAGAACAACACAGTTAAGTGGATGCTTGAGGATTCACAAGGAGCCGGCAGATGGTGAGAGTCCTTATGAGATAATCTGCAATCTGGACATCAGTGTGATGCAGAAGAAGAATGAAACCACGCCCAAGCGAGCAGGAGTTGCAAGTTCTCCTCCTCGGATGATAAGACAAAGACAGGCGAGATCTTCCCAAGGAACGTCTCGGGATGCGAGGGAAGATGAAGTTCCGCGGGCCAGGAAGCAGCTCTTCCCACAGAAGAGGAAATACCGCCTGTGCGACATTTATGCGCGTTTCTTTGGGGCGAATCCGGAAGACGCTCATGGAGCGGAATCAGACTGTTACATTTTAATGAAGTGCGCTCTCAAAGAGGCTCGAGACTTCCTCGCCACTGCCCAGGTTCATTCCAGACCCTTTGAGGAAATTTCCATAGAAAAATGTATTTTTTAATAGAGTCTTTTGCATGATTTTCCAAGAAAATAAATTTTGTGGTATTTATGGTCGTGTGTCTTAGCTAGAGCTTGTCAAGTGCTGATCAGCAGTGTTTTTCCGCGAGTGTTTCCCTCTTGAAAGGCGTGTGAATCCCATTAGAAGCGACAAAATGATTGAGGAGCAGAAGCAGAGGGTAGAGCAGGAGATCACAAAGCTCGTGGACGATGTGGACAAGTCGTATCTGCGGAAAATGCAGGTTGAATTGTGTGCTTCCTCGCCCCTAACCTCAACCTCATATGGTTTTCTCCGGTTTTCCAGGCCGATATGCATCTGTGTGCCGCCAAGTGTTGCGAAAACACTTCCAGCAGCATCGACGTGGTCCAGGGATGCGTGCAGAAGTGCTCAGTTCCCGTCACGAAGGCGGAGAGATATATTCACAAGGAGCTGAATGATTTCCAAGGAAGACTTCAGCGTTGCGTAATGGTATTTTCCGGATGATTCTCCACCGTCTTGCAGGTCGGAAGTTGATAATGTTGTATCTTTTGCAGCAATGTAACGATGACATCAAGACTCAAATGCCTGTGGAGCCCACAGACGATGAAATCGCCAAGTACACAACAAAGTTCGAGCGCTGCGCTGTGCAGTGTGTAAACAAAAACCTAGATTTGATCCCAAATCTCCTGAAGACGATGAAGTCAGTGCTGGCCAAGGGACCCAATCGCATTCCCGACGTATAGTTGGATCTGTATCGTAGGAATTTTGTGCATTTAGGCTCAATTGTCACTTTCAGAGAATCATCTTTACAATACAGTGAGATTCCTATAATTCGACACTATAGAGTACAGAGTAAAAGTGTATAAAAATACATCGAGAAAAGTGTTGATTCGAAAATGGACGGACTGAGGAGGGCTGGAATGGCTCAGCGACGCCACACGGTGGCGACAACAAGGCACAGGACCAAGGCGAGGGGCGCCGCCTGTGCGGAGGCCGCGTTGCGCATCCGCGTGCGCCCCATCTGGAAATTGAGCGTGGGACTGCTCATGCGGCCGTCGCCACCGTTGCTGAAGGCCAGCACACGCATCTTGTAGGCCTTCCCGGGCGCCAGCTTGTCTATGTAGGCCTCCAGCTTGCGCCCGATGGGAATAATGGTGTCGTTGGCAGTGGCCATGTCCTGGTCCGACTCCCACACGCGCACCTTGTAGCCCTCTATAGGCTCCTCCTCCTGACTCGGCGTCACGTATCGCCATGTCACGCGCACTGTGGACGGATTCACGGCGTTGTAGTTCACACTCGACGGCGGCTTCTGCGGCGCCTTGCGATACGTTCGCTCTAATGGGAGACAAGCACAGCAGGTAAATATATTGCCCGGAGTGAATGGAATTCCTAATCAGTGACTCACCTAAATATCTCTCGCTCTCCGGTCCTTCGCCGGCGGCGTTGTACACCATCACTTTGGTGTAGTAATACGTGTCGGGTTGCAGACCGACAATCAGCGCCCATGGACGCGTCGTGCGTGAGAGGTAGTACACGGCGTTCTCCTCGGCAATGTCGCTCCTCCAGTACTTCAGTCTGTGCCCTATGAGACGTCCTCTGATCTTCTCGCGCGTCAGCTCCACCGGCGCCCAAGTCACGTTGATGGCAGTGGAATTGAAGCCGCGCGAGTATGTTCGCTGCGGCGCCACTTGAGGCATGTCCTCGGCTGAGTAGATTGTCTCCACAGGACTCTCAGGCCCGGGACCTTGATCGTTGAACGCCTGCACTTTCACGTCGTACTTCGTGTAGTAATTGTCCAGAGGCGTTGGCACAACAGCACGACCAGTCTCTGAATCGTGAATCAACTTCGTGGCCCACTCCGTGGCTCCGCCCTTGCCGTGAAGTCGCCAAGAGATCTGGAAGGCGGAGAAATTTTATTGGTCAGAATTCTTGTTTCCTGATTTCTAAGACTCAGGAAAGTCGGAAAAATTCTCTCACCTTGTAGTAAATTCCTTGACTGTTCTGCTTAATGGGCGGAAGAGGCTTCCACGTGATGACCAGATCGCCAATCTTTCCGCCGCCGCCTCCAACTCTCGCCGGCGCCTCGTATGGCACATCATTGAGCGTGCTGTAGAGCGGAGAAGGTGGCGACATGGGGCCCATGCCGACATCATTCACGGCACGCACGCGAAACTCGTATCCTGACCACGGATTCAAGCCTCTGACTTCTGCCCTCTTGCGCCCTGTGTAGCGGTCGAATTCTCGCGCCTCCACACTCTGCGGAATGGGGCCCCACGTCTTGTTCCACGTGGTGCGCGCCCAGATGTTGTAGAACAGCACAGGACGGCCGTTGTCAGGCCCGTCGATCCACTCCAGAACGGCGGAAGTCTTCTTGATGTCGATCACCTGGAATTGGAGATGAATTAAGTCCTGATCTATTATGATTCCTGAGTTTCTTTGGCTCACCTTGACTCCTCCTGGGGCCCCTGGAGGCCCTTGAATGCTCACTTCCGTGCGCGATGTCACACGATGGAGAGCCGCCATGGCGATGCACTCGTATTCTCCAGAATCCAGCAATGAGGTGTTGTGCACCTCAAGACGATTCCTGTCCACTAGCACGCGTCTGTCGTTGAGATTCTCCGGCAGAAGCGCCCCATTACGCCGCCACTCGAATGTCACATCGAGCAGAGCGTCAGCGTTCACGTCACAATGCAGGAAGAGCAATTCGCCGGCCTGCAGAACCTGCCTGGCAGGCAAAGCGGTGTGGAATCTCAACTCCTGAAGCACGATGAGACGCGCATGGCTCTCAGCAGTGCCGTAGGCATTCGAGGCGACGCAAGTGTAGACGCCCTCATCGTCGCGAGACGTCGGCGAGATGAGCAGATTTCCCAAAGGCAGAATCCGCCTGTGTCCTCCACTGCCAATCACGATGCCGTCCTTCTTCCACTGGAACGTGGGCTGTGGCGCCGCTTCGGGATCGCAGATGATGGTCGTGTTACCGGACGCAATGGCGTAGATTTCCGCCTCGAGTGGGCGCTTCTTGAAGGTGGGCTTCAGCGAGAGAACCCTCAGCTGTGCCGAGGAATACACTGCCTTGATCTGATTCTCGGCGCGACACTGATACATGCCGTCATCCTTGCTTGGCTCCAGGAATTTGATAGTCAGCACATTGTCCTGGATGATGAACTTGTCCCTCGGCAGTTTGTGCTGCTCCAACAATTCTGCATTCTTATACCACGTGTAATTGGCGTCCGGGATGGCGGAGGCTTCGCACACGAAGGACACGTCGGTGTTCAGGTCGCGGATCTTGTCGACAAGCGGAATGGTGAAGTTCGGTGCCATCTGGATATTGATGCGGATGCTCTTGCTCGTGCTCTTGCGATCATTTCCCACCGTGCACACATACTCGCCGCTGTCGTTGATTGTGGCGTTCGGGAGGATCAGGACGCGTCCATAGCTGATCAGATAGGAATGCCGAGGCAGATTCCCGTCACGACGAGTCCAGTTAAAGGATGGAACGGGATAGCCGAAGGCCATGCACTCCATTCGCACCTCCTGGCCGGCAATCGGAGCTTCTGGGAACACCTGAAAAATGATTCAGTCGTAGCATAAAGCACTGATTGAAGGCATTATTTGTGGTCTCACCTTCGGGAACGTGTTGGCGAAGAGCAGCTCCTGGTAATTGGGATGCGGTCTCACGCGCAGCGGGAAGAACGGTCCATTGCGTCCAGTGTCGCTGACCAGACTCTGCACTGTGCAGGAGTAGTTAGCCCTGTCGTTGGTCTCCAGCGCGGAGAAGTACAGCGCGCCGTCGAAGCTGACGAACCTCCTCTCATCCTCCTCGACAAAGTTGGGGAACCAGTTGAACGACCAGTAGTACTTCACGTTGGGATAGTGCTGAGGTGGATCGCAGAAGAGCGACTTGCCCCAGTTCATGTCGCCACTTTCGGGCGATCGCTTTAGATTGAACTCCATGATGTAGCCGAAGTTCAGCTGGATGCTGTTGGACAAGATGCGTCCAAACTTGTTCTCCGCCACACAGTGATATGTGCCTTGATCTCTGTTCTGCTCCGGTGCCGTGATCACCAGACTGCCTCCGGCCGTAATGATTCGCCTGTCCGTGAGCGCGCTCACGGGCTTGAAGGTCAACCTGTCGCTCTCGTACACCTCCTTGAACCACGTGTAAGTGGGCGCGGGATAGCCCTCCGCCAGGCACTCCACCGTCACCCAGTCGGCGATCTTCCTCTTACCCGTGTCGAAGGTCGTGTCTCTGGGTTGCAGCACAAAGTGCGGACCCTGCGGTAGGCGCTCCTCGTCCACCACCTGCACGCCGTACTCAATCGTGCGCCTGTCCTCGGCCAGTGTGTTGGCATTACGCGTCCCATAAAGCTCGCGAGACTCGCAGATGAAGAGATTCTGCTCGAAATCATACGCCGGGATGAACATCCAGCGGTCATGGGATGGTGAGAAGCCGTAAACCAGGCGATCACGCGGGATTTGGTGCGTTGTCGCTAGAGGATCTCTCGGGTTCAGGAGTCTCTCGATCTGCGCATAGCTCAAGTGTCCCAGTTGTCCACTCGTCTCCAGGTATTCGCGCGTCCTCAAGTCCTGCGGATCCAGCGAAAGGCCATCCTCAGGCGCCACGAAGGCCGTGTTGTCATCATTAACCCACGTTGACGGGCTCGTCTGTCTGGCCGAGATGAAGTACCTGTTCGTGCGCTGATCCTTCTTGATGAGCTGCTGCAGGATGAAGCTGTGCTTCTCCAAACTGTCGATATGCACCAAATCTGCTCCGTACGCCTGGCAGATCTTCTTGCCGTCGTGCCACGAGCGCTTGGGGCTGCCGATAAAGCGCATGCAGGAGGTCCTGTAGGCTGTCCAGTGCTGAGGACACAAGTCTTCTGGTGGAATTCCGTCCAAGTTGCTGTAAGCATTTGGGGCAGGGCGCGTCTCGAACCAGTTCGACTGGCTTATGTTGACAGGAGCCGGACGAAAGTCCCGGAAATCCCTGAGTTGGGCCGAGACCGCGGTCAGGAGACACACGGCGGCCAAAAGGATCATGTTTTAAGGGGGAAAAACAAAGGAAAACACAGGACAAATAATCCGCAACAAACTAAACGTCACGCACACACCCAATCGATGTGACTCATCGCACTCATCGTTCATCGAGAGCCATGACGCACGAAATTCGGTGTAGAAAAATATTTTGCTAGATTTCTCGTCCAATTTATGGAGGTTCATTTGAGTTAATTGAGATTATATCATTTCATCACATGCGTGATAATAATCTCTAAATTATTTTACAAAACTGGATTAATTGGAAACTCGTTGGTTTCGGAAAATTTTGAATCTTCGATGAGATTTGTTGCCAACTTCAGTGCTTGACTGTCCTCCCATGTTTTGCTAATTCGCTTTTTGTTGTTTTTGCAAAAAATGCCTGAAATCCCTGGATTTCACGTACGAAATCGCGTGTCACAGAGCTTGGTTGGTGCTTGGAGAAACAAGTAAGAGTCTTGAATAAAAATTTCCGCTTGAAATATTAGAAAACACGAGATATATATTGTTGCTCTGCCTTTTAGGTTAGAATTCCGGGCAGTGTTTGAGGGAATTTATGGGAGAAACTCAAATGACGCCTCAAAAAGGAAATCCCTGAGCAGGATGAAGATGTGGAGAGGTCGCTTGATGTCTCAGACACCGGCCAGCATAATGGCAACACTCTCAGTGCTGGAAGTGAGTGTGAAGGACGCAGAATCGGGGATTTCTGCGCGGGATTTAAGGACGATATACTCCACGGCGATTGTGCGCTTCCTGAACTACATTCATTCCACTACGAGGAGCTCGAAGTCGCTGTACAGCGTGGCGAAGGAGTTGGGATTGGCCTCGTACGTGGTTGATCTCAGACATCTCTGTTCTCACGGACAAACCATGCCTTCTCTGAAGACTTTTCGGCAGGTGTTCAGCTACTGCCTGCAGTGGCTCAAATCCTTCTACTGGGAGCCGCAGCTGAGGGTGATGCAGGATGCCAAGATTGCGGACGTGAAGAGGAACAACAAGACTGTGTTTGAAAACAATCTGCGAACGCTCTTTATCACTTATGACGGCATAACTGAGGGATTGCGGAAGAAGAAGGAGTATCTGGGCGAAATTTGTGATGAAAATGCCTCACGAGAGTTCCTCAATTGCGTGGGAAACGCGTCACCTGACTACAAGCTATCTAATTTGGTAAAGGACATTCTGGAGAGCATCTTTAACGCCGTCAGTGCTGAGCAGCAAGTGCGAGAAATCGCTCAACTCTTCACAGAAGCCTTCATTGACTGTGACAACCTCATAAAATCCCCCGCAATTGCTGCTAAAGAGGAGGAGGACAGTGTCAGCGTCACTGAAATCCATCAAATGCTGTTTCGCAAGATCGCCGACTGGGGTTTCACACCACAATGCCTCATAGCTCTGCTGGAGATCGCAGAGAATCCTCAGGAGAATGAGAAGAGGCGTTCTGGGACGGCTTTCTGGTGTCAGCGCCTCATTGAGAGCTTCCTGGCCTTTCAGGAGTTGAAGAGAGTCTACAAGAAGAATCGCGACGCTGATCCAACAATCTCGTTGGATTTCTCCTCCATCAACAGCCATAGTGTCCAGAGAGTCGTCATGGAAGCGTACAAAGAGATGGGAATCGATACAGAGACATCACTGATATTCAGCGATTCGCATCGTCGGCCGTGGAGTTTGAGATTCAGCAGGGATTTCCTCAAGAAAAGGGCCTTGGCGGCCTCAGAAGTCACTGTCAAGGTTCTCGAGATCTGTCTTCAGCTCGCTGATCCGCCTCTGGAGGCGCAGGAACTGGATAAATTCGCGACTATGGCGAAGCGAGTGTTCTCAGTGGCAGAATCTCAGCTTCCGTCGTCGCAGGAGAAGATCTACACGCTGGAGGACGTGCTGGGGAAGTGTCCCAACGAGAAGGCAGAGAGCCAAGGTATGGGAATCTGGAGTGAGACGCATCCGGAGATTAATTGGGGCGCTTGTCCGCTTGGTAGTGTTCCATTCCAGCAGGTCTAATTTCACTTTTAGCATTGCTCAAGTGAAATTGTCAACTGAAGATTCACGTGAATTGCGCCGAGCTTCTTTCTCTTGCGTGCGCGAGAAGAAGTGTTGCGCTGGTCAATGACATCATCACTGACCTGTTAGGCCAGCGTCTTGTTCCTCGCGTGCGCGACAAGTTGTGGTGGAAGAAGTTAACTGTTTGTGGCTTAGAGCTGAAACCGGAGGAATTGATAAATGGAATTAACATGATAAAAATTTGGAAGTGAAATGTTTTCTCGCAAAAGAGATGCCAAGAATACAGATTGAGAGCATAAAGAGGTCGTTTAGCTGCATTGTCGTCGCTGGTCAGCTCCGAGTCCAGCTCTGTTCTCGGGGTGACTCTGCTGCTGCTGATGGAAGTGGACCAAGCGGAAATTCAGTGTCGCGACACTTCTTCAGTCTCTGCCCAGCGCGCGGTCAGTCAGTATCTTCCTCAACAGTGCAAAGAAAAGAGCCATGAAGTTGCTGCTGCTTTGTGTGATCTTCCTGCTCGTGGCCGTCCACGGAGCCAGCATTTTAGGTGAGTTTGCCTTCTTCTCTTCGAGCCCTGAATTTGATTTCTCACCTGACTTCCTGAGGTGGAAGGAAAGGCACGTAAACTGGGTTAAAATGTTTTTATCGTGGTCTGAGAATAACTCAAACTTGGGCTAATTTAACATAAATCTCCCATTTACTCTAACGAAGCAGCCTATTTTTAACCAGAGATTGAAACTGGAAAGTAGAATTAAAAGTCAAAAATATATTAGGAAGAAAAAATTCGCACGATTTAATTCTTATTTTAAAACCATTCCATGATGATAAGATTCTGGTCCTGAAAATCGGAAGCGGTTGTGGAGAAATTCCTTCGTGTACCTATCAATCATTGCCCAAATTTTATCGGCTATCCTTAAAGTCCTGAGACTTTCCCTTATCTATTTAAATATCAATGCCATTTTGAACTTGAAATTATGATAAGAAATCTCAAAATCGTAAAAATTCTTAAAGCTCCAAAAGATTCTAGGTATGCTAATGTGACTTTCCCTACAATCTTACATTGTTTGACTAAGCAATTCAGAATAAAATCTCTTCTCTTCATGATTCACATGCGACTCAGTCGTCGGTGAAGGCGTGAAGAACATTTATTTTATTTTATTCCTCTCATTGCAAATCTACTTTCTTCTGTTTTTCATCTCTGGAGCAGAAATGACCTAGAATTGTAGAAGAAACACTCTCCAAATATAATTTTGCCAATGAGAATGACCTCTTTTGCAAGAGAGCGTGTAAAAGTGACAAAATTTACCCGTTAATTCTCTGCACGCGATCTTCATTGCATCCTCTGCTCTCCAGACTACTTCACCGTGCAGGCGGAGAACCGCGAGGGCGAGGGCGAGAGCGACAGTGAGAACGAGAAGAGCTGCGAGTGCGAGGGCTTTTCTTGCTCGTGCTGCGTGGACTTCAACATGTCGCTGATCGACTTGGGCGGGCCGGGCTGCGTGCGGCTCACGTACTTGTCGCCGCAGGAGGGAATTGGCGTGAACGTGTCGTACGGCGAGAGCCTGCTGAGCTCCAGCGTGGTCAAGGGCAGTAATCCCGCGCCCACGTGCCTCAACATCTTCGCCAAGCTGGCGCAGATGTGCGCCAAGTTCACGGAGTTCGCGCCCACGAGCGAAGGCATGCGCGCATGCATGGAGCTGGAGCCGAAGCTTCTGGGCGAGGTGCAGCTGGATCTGCCCATCGGCTGCTTTCTCATGACGCCGCAGGGCATGCAGGTGCTGGAGGAGGAGGAGGAGCCGCCGGAGGCGGAGAAGAGCGAGGACGTGCCAGAGAAGCCCACGACGACAGAGAAGCCCGAGACGATCATCGGCGATCTCACGGCCGAGGACATCCTGAACGTGGTGAGCGACTCCGCGGACAAGGGCATCTCCATGATCTCCAACTGGCTCGGCCTGAGCCTGGAGGACTCGAAGAACGACACGGAGACGTCTTCGGTGGCGCCAACGGGGTCCAAGAAGTGATTTTGAGACACGCAATAAAGTTAGCTCTTAAATTTATTTCATTTCTTCTTTATATCCTGGCTAATGTGGAATCAATTGCTTGATTTCTCTTCTCAATCCACTTCTTCTCTCTTCACCTTCTTGGCGGGGAAATCTAACAACTTCAAAAGGAAAAAAAAGGTCAATCTTCCTGAAAACGGATTCTTCAGGCTTCCGCGGTGGAATTGGTCACCGTATCATCTTGCTCCGCCTCCATTTTCACCGCGATGTCCGGGAGATGATCGTTGGGCGTCTGCAAAGACAGCATCATCAGCAACTTCCGGAGAGGTATGAAATGAGCTCAATTTTACCTGATTTTCTTTCGTAGACTTATCATTGACGATCGCAATAGCTGAAAGATGTTTCTGCGCCTCCGGCAAATCCGTCATCTGCACGAGTTCCTCCATCGTCAGTGATTTCGTGGTGCTGTTGAACAGTTCCAGCTCCTTCGTGAAAAACTCCCAGAACGGCGTTCCATCACTGTTTATGAACATTTTCTGCAGGAAAAGAGCGCAAATGAGCACAAAAACTACCAGAAGATGCTGAAACAAACCTTGAATTGCGTATATATCGACTGAGATCGCTTTCTGACTTCAACAGCGTTCAGCTCAAATTCCTCCTTCTCCTGATCAGACATCACCCACTGCTTCACGTTGCCCACGTACTTTCTGAGACGCTTCACGGTCTCCACGCACGCGGGATTCTTGAGCAACATTATCGGCGTGATCTCCAAATCGTTGTACTCCTCGAGGAGTTTCACGCACGCCTCCGGATTTGCGCTCTGCAATCCGAGGGTGGCCTTAATCCGGGTGGTCAAGTCAATCAACTTTCCCTGATTCTTCAGATGCAGTTTAACTACACGGGAAGAGAGACAAGAAACCGATTAAGAGCCGAAAATTAGAGGTGAAAATAATCAATTTCCTTACTTTTATCGTCTTGTGCCACATCATTGTCCAGTTTTGCTATCTTCGGTGGCTTCAAATCCGCATTTGTGTTGTCCAGCGAGCCAGTCTTCCTTTTCGGTGTTACCGGAAGTTCCTCCACCTCCTCGAGCAGGTATCTGCAAGGAAAACCACATTTTAATCCTCCCGCTTCGACCATTTCTCTGCAATTCCTCACTTCTTGGGCTTGATTTTCCTCCCGCTGCGACTCGTCACCTCTGCTCCGTTGTCCTTAACAGGACTCGCGGGTGTCTCATCCGGCGCGACAACGTCATTCTTCACTTCAGCTTTCGGCTCTGCCTTCTCGGCCTTCGCCTTTGGAGTCTCGTTCTTCTGCGCTGCCTTCTTGGCCGATTGCTTGCCCTTCGCCTTCTCCACTTGTGGCGAATCCTCGACGTCCGGATCTGACTTGATGTCGAGCTGGCTGGAGTCCGTGGGCGCCGTGTCATCGGCCGACTCTGTCTCCGCCAATGGCATATCAATTGGCGCCGAGTCCTGACCTTTGAGAGCAGCCTCAATCTGCTCGATGGCCTCTTTGAACTGTGGCTTCTTCATGTGCTTCTCCGTAGCCAGCTTTGCCTTGCTCTCCACGTACGCGAACAAATCCTCCACCTTGATGTAGCCCCTGAAAAGCGCAAACAAACACCGTCAGCACAGTCTCGCGCGTCACCCACGCTCCGGAAGCGTCACCCAGCCACCGGCCGCGGGCTTCTGCCGCCACTCACGTCTCGCCGGTGCCGTAGAAATAGACATTGTACTTCTTGTTGCCGGACAGCTTCACTATCTGCAAGAGAGACGCCGCGTGAGAGTGTGCGAGGGACAAAGTCTGGAAAGTTTTGCGCTTACTTTTGCCGGCCATGGCGGGTAACCTTTAACTTTGGCGAACACCAAATCGCCAATCTTGTATGCACGGTCCTTCTTGGCCATCTCGCGTCACGGATGATCGGATTTCGGGGGGTTTGGGGGCTCCTGGCAACACTAGAGGGACACCAAGACGCACAATGAGCAGGAAGAAAGAACCATCCAGAGCCTGGACAAGGCAAATATGAATTCAATATGGCGGCGCGGCGTCAATTTTGTTTGTGTTTCCACGCCGAACAGTCACAGATATTGCCATCGTTCGAGGAAGATTGGCTGCGAAATTGCATTTATCAATGGCTTGGAGGCCTTTGTATGCAGATGAATGTGTGTGTTAGCCTGTTCTTGTATTGATGAGACGTTTTAGAGGAGAAATCATGAGCCCTGTCTTGAACAAGATTAATAACAGTATCTTTCGCGCACGGGAGAATCTCAATTCGCACAGAGCGATTTGCATTGTCCGAAGTGTGCTTTGACACTCGTGACGTTCTTCATCGTGCTCTCCGGAGTTTTGCGCCAGGCCACGCTTTTTTACGTATTTCTCCTGCCCAAACACCTGCATTTATTCGGTAAGCCATCCAAATCCTGCCTATTTCATGCTCTCTGCACGCACAATGCAGGAAAGTGCCTCAATTGCCGTTGACTTGCTTTGCAGCGACACAACAAAGACACTCTGCAACATGTCCGGACGGGAAGGAGGAAAGAAGAAGCCACTGAAGGCGCCGAAGAAGGATTCCAAGGAGATGGACGAGGACGACATGGCCCACAAGCAGAAGCTGAAGGAGCAGCAGAAGGCGCTCGATGCGATGAAGGCGAAAGCTGGCCAGAAAGGGCCCCTCGTGAGTGGCGGCATCAAGAAGTCCGGGAAGAAGTAATTCCTGGCATCATCTCTGACTCTAACCTTTTCTGCGCTTAATAAATCAAACTTTGCGACTTTTACCCAAAGTCTTTTCCATCCGCCACGTGGTCGAAAAGAAACTCAGCGCTTCTCATTTTACACTAAGTAAAAGATTTAATGATTTTTACAACGTCGATTACAAAAAAGAGGACAAGTATAACTAAATGAATCGTTTAAACAGAAAAAAATGAGAAACAGAACATGAATTTAGATTTACCTATCATTGTAATTTATCAATCTCATTTTAATTTAATTAAAAGTCACCGCAAAAGGACTGCTCATTGTCCAAACTTGAGACAATCGCGCGCGCGTGCATTTCTGCCATTGAATTCCATCATCATCATCATTGAATGGATTGCATGCCTTCACGCTAAATAGCTGTATGTGTCCTTTGAGCCTTCCATCCTCTCCAGATATTCCTTCTCAATCAGGATGTCAATGCACTTCTGCAAGGGAAAGAAAGAGAGCGTGCGTGAAGGAGAATTCATCAAGTTTGCTTCGTGCGCCAAAATAAAACCTACCTTAATAACCGGAACCTTTGGCTTAAACCTAGTGGATAGTTGATTGAGTACTTCAGCCACGAGCTGTGTGTGATTGAGCTTCTTGCGCATCTTCATGATCCTCACAATAGCTGCCTGGATAAGAATCTTCCTGTCATCCTCGATGTACTTGTGTGTCACCTCCTGTTCCACCTTGAGTTCCGTCTTCAGTGGGAAGTTGATGTTGATGCGCAGCTTTTTGCTGTGTTAATCACAAAGAGAAAATAAAAAAGGCAATCATTATCAGCCCAAGGCGAATTCTCGGTGGGGAAAACTCACTTCTTGAAGCCCATGTGCAGCTCAATGAGCGAGTCATTGTTGAGATTCGTCTCGTCATCGGCGCAAGTGAGGAGTTTCACCTTGAGAAGAATCTGCAGCACTTGCACGAGGTGCTCCTGGTTGATTCCTGTATTGTCGCCGAGCTGCTGCACCGTGAGGCTCGTCTGTTCGTTGAACTGCAACAGCACGGCCATCTGGAAGGTGCTGGCCTGCAGTGTGTAGCGATTCTTGAAGCAATTCGTTGTCAAATCACCCTTGCACATGTTGTAGAGCCAGTTCAGCTTCCGGCCAGAGTGCAGGCCAGCGTAGAAATTGTTGAATCTTTGTACTGAGCGTTCCAACTGGAAGAAAGAGAGCGAAATCAGTGCACGATCAAGCAGAGCGGAGAAGAGATGCGCACACTCACCTCGGATGGCAGTGAAAAAGTGAAACTCTGTGTGAATGGCCATGATCCACTAGACAACACTTGAATACTGAAGTCAATCTCATTCAGCAGCTTATTGGTGACCAAGTGCTGCCTGAACTGCTCATTGAGATCCTTCGACACACCAATGTCCTGGAACATCCGCTGCAGCTTGCTAGTGTACTCGAAGCCGCACGCCTGCTTCAGCTTTGAGATCATGGACGCCTCGGCGTCATCGCTGGCGCTCATGTGGTGCACCAATCGCTTCGCCAACATCTTGCTGTAGAACTTCTGGAACACATCCTTGTCCTCAATGTACTTGAACACCACCATCACCTGATTCAGCGTGTCCTCGAGCTCCGCCTCCTCTGGATTCTTGCTGGACTTTTTCAGCAGCAGATCACAGTACTTGGCCAGCAGTTCTGGACTCTTGCTGGAGCTCTTGCTCGCCGTCGTCACGGCATTCGTGTTGATGAACTTGCCGCACGCCTTGTCCAGCGCCGCCACGAAGCCCTTGTCATTGTTGAACGCCGTCAACACAAGCGCATTGTACTTCTTGTGCACCTCCAGCAACGTCTGCACATACACCTTCGGGTCATTGGCGGCCGCCTCGCCGCACTTCCCAATCGCCGCCAGGCCCTGATTGTGAATGTGCACCTCCAGGATCTGCTTCAGCTCCGACAGCCCAATGTTGGACTCAATCCGCGCCACCAGCGAATACATTCTGCCCAAGTCTGCGTTCTTATCCGCATCGAGCAAATTCTGGAACTCCGTGCGGAAGATCTCCAGGTGCTTCTGGATCAGCACACGTTCGCACGTCTTGGCCAGACGATCGAGTGTGCTCTCATGCAAATACACCTGCACCCTCTTCTGCTCCTCATTCAGCCTCTGCTCCACGCGCTTCATGTACTCCGTCACCGGATTCTGCCTGAGAAAGTCCGTGCTCTCGCGATTGTAGAACCTCTCCGCGTCCTCCAGGAAGATGTTCTCGAAGCTCTCCTTGTACACTGATAAATTCTGCCCCTTGGCACTGGGATCATCCTCATTGAGACCCAGTTCCACGTAGCAATTTATCACACCAGACACCAGGCGAGAGTTGATGGTCTCACCATTGCGCTCCCGATCGATCAGCTTCAGCACGGCATTCGTCACCTGCTTGTTCAGATCCTTGAACAAAATGCCCCTCCATATCACCAGCGCCAGCTGATAGATCTCGTAGATGTCCTTGCGGCCCTCCTCGCACTCCCGCCGCACCCAGTGCCTGTTCAGATACGCGCACACGCCGTTCAGCACCTTGCTGGAGAACTGATACTCCTCCCACTGCTTCGTGTAGAACGTGAGCACGCCCTCGTCAATCAGATCGGCGCCACTCTTCAGCAGGTTCTTCAGGTAGTGCTCCAGAAACTCCTTGAGCCGCTTATACAGCTCCTGTCCCACCAACTGAGCGCCTCCAGTCGATCCTGTGCCCGTGCCCTTCTTCGCCACCTTCGCCGACACCGCCGTCCGCCCCACCTGGCCATGCCCAGTCTGCTGATGCACGCTGGTGCAGTAATTGTAGACATGTCTGCGGAACAAGAAGAATAGAATTAGCATTGCCTTTTATGGAGAGAAAGTCTTCGTCTCGATTGAATGATTTGTCCGAAAACAATCATTAATCTTTCACCCAAAATATACAAAAGAAAAAAAACAGTGTGAAATTGGAAGCAAATACGCAGTTATTTATGCAAACAACAAAGAAGAGCGCTTTATCTCTCTCTCTTTGAGATAAATTCTGCATCAATTTCAACAGATAAGACATCATTGTGTCCTTGAAGCGCAACAAAGTATCATTTCATTTCGGTGCGATACTAATATTGACTCTCTTCTTTCCATGAACTGGACTTCTTTTCTGTGAAATGAAATGTTGCGAACTGACGAAAAAACATAAAGAATTATGAGAATGAAGATTATTCTTTAAGGAATGCAAAGAGAGAAAATCCACATTTTCTCAACCACTGATTGAATTTTATGGTCAAATATGAAGAATAACTTTAAAAGCAATGTGAATGTTGAAGTTCTTAGATGTTAAATCATGCGTAAATGGAAAGAAACCGTTAGGGATTGTGAGATGGTAAAATTCTGCGTATGCTTTAAGTGTCGTTAAAGAGTTATTAAGGACTTCACATTTGGTCGGCAGTTGAATTGTTCATTAATGAGGGAAAAAATCAGCCTTCTAGTTTAAATTTAGAGCCACTGAATCCACATGGAAAGGCTAATGCGTGGGATTAAAGGTTAATGTGACCCTACGAAATTAGGTTCTCCAATTGATTGCGTCCGCAAATCAATTCCTTTGCAATTAAGTATTGAAGGCATTGAAGCCAAAAGACTGGCTTTCAAGGTTGCCGCTGACCGAGAAAACAACTGTTCTGCATTGGCAATAAATTTTTCAAATTAAAATTTCAGCCTTGTCATAAGGCTTCACTGAATTCCAGGTAAAAAAAAAGACTCACGTGTAAAGCTCCATATAACGCTTGATGATCAAGTTGCGTTCTCGCAGGTAGATCTGGTTGATGCCATCCTCCAGGTCAGTCCAAATCTGCGCGGGGCGACAAGAGAAAGTGCATTAGAAGGAAACCAAATGACTAGACGCGCCCCCAATTATTACCTCTTCTAGATTTATTGGCTTCAAGCCAGTCGATCCTAAAGAACTCTGTCTCGACATCTTGTCCAATCTTGTCTTGTCTTGTACTTGTGCACGACGGATGGGATGTTGTGGAAGGAGCACGGAATCACAGCAGCCGAAGACAAACCAGTCACAACCTGTTCCTCAGCGCCTGGAAAGAGAGAGAGAAGCCATTGAGCCCCTTTTCTCGTGCCCATTGTCATCATTTTGGGAGCACATTTCTTCTGCTGTGTAAATAATTCATGAGTTGGCGCTTTTTTCATATCCACACACTCTGTGTGATATAATTTTTGCAACGGCGCGAGCGAGAGAGAGAGAGAGAGAAAGAGCGCCCCATTTGGTGCAATCGCACCATGAAGAAAAAAAGTGAATTGTGCGTGAATAAATGGGCTTTTTCGAGTGCCTCCACGCACAATCGATACATGGGGCGATGGGCCGTGGAGGGCTCGCGGCCAGGGAGGCGATTGACTGGGATTAGGGGCAGGTGGACGGACGCTGGGAGGGAAAAACCTGAAAGATTTGACACTCTACCTGAAATACGGAAATGGTGCGAGGCTCAAGTCATTGGTCGCGCAAAAACTCACCCAAAGATCACGCCACGCTGACGGGAGCACGCTTTCTGCACGATATTTACACTCCTTGGTGTCCACTGCGACAATTGTGAGGGGTTTTGTGAGGAAAGAAGTCGCTATTTTGCCACAAAATTGAGAACAAAATCACAAGCTCACCAGAGAGACTACTAGTTTTCTCCACTACAAAGGCTCGTCTCTGCAGTGTGGTGAGATTGTGGCTGGTGGTGTGGTGAGTATGGCTAAAATGGCGGCCACTTCGGGTGGACCGTTGGCAGGTTTTCGGCCAGCCGAAGGCCGAAATTCCCGCACTAGCGCCACCATTGTCACACGGTGAAAAGTGTCAAGCAGCAGATGCAACACACAAGTCAGAGGAGAGGCGGAAAAATTGCACAATTCTGTGGGAAAAACAATCAATTGGCGTGCATAACAGCAGCATAGAGACTCGCGGAGGCGTGCACAAGTGTTTGTGGTGCAATTGAAGTGCTGCTGAGGTGGGAAAAGCGTGCAAAGGGAAATATGCTGCCATTCACATCTCCCATCGTGAAGCGATTGCTGGTGTGGAAAAAGGGCAATGAAAACTCCGTGGAGGAGGGAAAATGGGCCGAGAAGGCGGTGAAGAGTCTGGTGAAGAAGCTAAAGAAGGCCGATGCTCTGGAGGAGCTGGAGAAAGCCATCTCCACGCAGAATTACAACACCAAGTGCATCACGATTCCGAGGTGAGAGAGAGACCATTTTTACTGTGACGAATCACTTTATCAAAAGTCTCTTTTGGGGCTTTTGGCGATAAGGGAGCCACTTGAGCCGGACGGATTAGCGTCCAGTGATGCCAGTGGGACAGGGAGGAGCACTCCCCTTTGCATGTGTTTGGGATGGAAGTGGCGTGGCTGTAAGTGGGCTTATCTTCCGGACTCGCGGATTGATAACATATTGACATTCTGGGCAGGAGACACGCGGCGATTCTCTCTGGAATCTAACCAGTCGTCTGCTCGGGCCAATTATCTCTTTTTTTCGTGGAAATAGATGCGGCAAAAAGTCGTCTCGATATCGCGCTATCAAGAGTTTCACCCACAACAGCCAGAGACTTCCATCTCTCGCTCTCTCTCTCTCTCTCTCTCTCTCTCTCTCTTTCTCCCACTCTCCGGCCAGAGAGAGCCTGCGAGGAGTCCTGAGCGTGTGTGTGTGCGTGGTGACAAAGAAGTCGGCTTTTATCCTTGAATTTGGCCTATTCAATGAACTTTATTTTTGGTCAATGCGCGAATTCAGTCGCGCGCGAGCGAAAGAGAGGCGCGCGAGATTGGCGATTGCGATGAGAAAGCAACGTCTATGCTCTGCCCCAGACATTATTTATATGCGTAAATTGCGAGAGTCTATTGCTGGATCATCTCTCTCGCTCGAACGCTTCTCCATGTCTCGGGTCGTCTGACAAAGGGGAGTTGGAGAAGAAGAAAAGTGTATCATGAAATGTATGCTAAACAGACGGTGGCACAAGGTTGGGGCCAACAGCAAAGTAGGCTATCGATAAGGCTGGGGAGATGGAAAGTGAAGCCAGTTACATAGAGAATCACGGAAATGAGCACAAATTGCACAAATTCAATTGAGAAGTGATTTAGGGTTGATTTTCACAGATTTAAGAAGATGATGACGTTCATGATGGATATTCTTGGACTGCAACTTGTGGATTTTCCAGACTCACGCAGTTAATCGCTCAATTGATACAATTTCACTGAATTATATTTTGCAGTTATTAATGAGCACAGATTTCGATTCGAATTCGTGACTATAAATTCGCTGCGCAGTGTAGTGACGAATGCGATGTGTATTTTGATTTGAATCCGATGGATGGCGAGCGAGAGAGACGGAGCAGGAGTCGTCTGAAGATGGGGAGCTGCGAGCGAAGGGGAGGCTATAGGTCAGTCATTCGGCCTGACGGCTGCACCAACACACTCGCGCGCGTCTCTTGATTATCTCGCCAGACGAAATTCTGCCATGGCGAGAGAATGGGCAAGAGCGCGAGAGAGAGAGAGCGCGAGAGCGCGGCAGCCGAAAATGTTCACCAACACTGGCGCACTCTGTGGACCAACACAGCGGCGATCGGATGTGGCGATAGAAGGAATTCTACACACAGACAGTGGGTAAATTAATGCGCGACTGCGACGACGTCCTACCCCAATCTCGCACAAAATATTCTCTCTCCTTCTCACCATAAAATGGCGTAGAGAGTGACTTTTTGCATCTACAACACATTTCACGGTGAAATTGTTGGGAAATATTCCTGCTTTTTCATTTGGTTGCCGTGCAAATTTTTCCGCGATTCTTCCACACGTCAAACGGACTGTGAGTTGGTGAATCTGGTGACTGAGTTGTGGATGTGTTTTGTCGATATAGTGAGTTGAATTTTGTTGCATATTCGTCGTCCCCGGGAGAACGTGTGTGGAGATTGATTTTTTGTATGCCATAAAACAGTGTATAAAATGCAACGCCAACACAATATTCTTGTGGCAAAAGTGCTGAAATAATGAACTCATCTTTCCTGGAGAGTGTGGAATAAACATAAATATAAAGGGCATCAAATTGCTGGTGCAAGAGGCGTAAAAGCGACACACTCTTTGCCGAGACACACGAGAGGTTTTGGGCGCAGCGAAGAGGCGTGTGTGTCACAGACTGTGCAGAAAATTTAGTGATTACACAGAAGAAAAAGTTCATTATCAAAGTCGCGTGAAAGAGGAGACAATTGCAACGTGTGTGTGCGAATGAGAAAAGTCACAACAAATTCCAGAAAAGAGTACAAAGAAAAGAGGAGTTTTTGCTACTGCACGGTAAATTGGTGGCAAAAAAAAATTGGTGGATTTTGTGAGAAATCAATTTCTTGTGTGCTTCTTTCTCGCCTCTTTTCGCAAAATATACGAATAGAGGAATATTGAAATACAAAACGTATCGAATTTTCCAGGTTGTTCTTTTTCCTTCATGCTTGGCTTTAGCGATGGGGCAAAAAGGGGGCGAGAGAGTCTCGCGGGAGGGTGAATTTATTTTGTGGTAAAAATAGCCGAAGGAAAAAGTGCATTGACTTTGGGGAGTTTGAGTGGCGCTTTGGGCATGAACACAATCAATTCGTGACTCAAAATGTCTGGAGAGGCGCAATTGATGTTTGTGTGCGGGGAGAAAAGGCGTAGATAATTGTGCGCTGTTCTAACAAGTGTTGTTTGCTGTGCGTCTTGTCCTTGCAGGAGTCGACCGCTGAATGGCGAGAACGGGATTACGCCACGCAAAGGGCTGCCGCATGTAATCTACTGCAGATTGTGGCGCTGGCCGGACTTGCAGAGCCAGAATGAACTGAGACCGCTGGACCACTGTGAATATGCGTATCACCTGAAGAAGGACGAGGTGTGCATCAATCCGTATCACTACACGAAAGTGGAGACGCTGTCGATTCTCGTGCCCAAGTCTCTGCCCAATCAGGCTGCGGATTCCATCTGTCAGTATCCACTGGATGATCTCAGCAACACGGTTCCGCACAACATTCAGTTCACGAATGCATTGAGGTGAGGGAAAGGGAGGATTTGGCAGAGAAAGTACTCGAGCTGGCGATTGTGACTTGAAGAATTATGCGCGGTCAGAAGATGATTAGTTTACAAGTTAATCAGCAAAATAGATCTTGAGAAAATTTAGGAAGATTGAGAGATTCTTTGGTGTTATGAACTGAAATCTACTTGTAATTGTTGTTCAATGTATTTGATCTTCTCGGCACTTGAAAGTTCAATTGAAAAGCAACGCGATCTGACCAAACAATAAGTCATAAAGCGTAGCTCAAGTCAACAACGTCGGATATTTTGTCTGGAAATGAGAGACATTTCGCTTGTTATCCTCAGTTTGCAACACTCCACGTCATATATGGACGCGACTCTGGGCCAGCAGATTCCTGGAAATACCATGATCGACTCGACGAGCTTGAGTGTGGGTAGCGTTGGGAGCATCCCGAACACAGAGACGCCGCCGCCTGGCTACATGTCTGAGGATGGAGACCCAATGGATCAGAATGATAATATGAGTGAGTCATTGTTGGTATCGCCATCGAAGCGCGTTTCTTTCTTTTTTCTTAATCACACTGTGATCGATGAGTATTTGCATTGAGTTTGTCGACTTGCTTTGACGGGAGAAAGAGAGGGATTAATGGGGAGTTTTCACTGCAGGTCTGTCGAGGATAACGCCGAGTCCTCCGCTCGACGCTCAGCCTGTTCTCTACCACGAACCTGCTTTCTGGTGTTCCATCAGCTACTATGAATTGAACACAAGAGTCGGTGAGACTTTCCACGCTTCGCAACCCTCAATCACTGTCGATGGCTTCACTGACCCGTCGAATTCTGAGAGGTGAAACAATGACAATGATGATATCTGTGAAGTTTCACAGCTAATCTCTTGAATTCCGCCGCAGGTTCTGCTTGGGGTTGCTGTCCAATGTCAATCGCAACGAAGTGGTGGAACAGACAAGGCGACACATTGGCAAAGGCGTTCGACTCTACTATATTGGAGGCGAAGTGTTTGCCGAGTGCTTAAGTGACTCCAGTATTTTCGTGCAGAGTCCCAACTGCAATCAGCGATACGGCTGGCATCCGGCGACTGTTTGCAAAATCCCACCAGGTAGAATTTGACTAATTTCCGAGTAGTTTTGCTCAATAAATTCACTTATTTGCTTTGGCATCATAGGTTGCAATTTGAAGATATTCAACAATCAGGAGTTTGCGTCGCTGCTGTCACAGTCAGTGTCACAGGGTTTTGAGGCGGTCTATCAACTCACGCGAATGTGCACGATCAGGATGTCCTTCGTGAAGGGATGGGGAGCTGAGTACAGGTAAGAACACTATACAGAATGAGACAGTCAAGTTGGTGGTTGAACTTATTTATTTTAATAAATGAATTGTTGAGCTGCTTTCTACCATAAACATTGCTTGTTATTGCAGGAGACAAACTGTGACATCGACGCCGTGCTGGATTGAATTGCATTTGAACGGTCCTCTTCAGTGGCTGGATCGCGTGCTCACGCAGATGGGCTCTCCGCGAATGCCCTGCAGTTCGATGTCTTAAGCGTTGGCGTGCAGCAGGGAGAAGTTGGTGGAAAAGAGAAGAGAGAAATTGTGTGCATGGAAGGCGCGTGAGGACAGAAATACCTTTAATACCTTATACTTTTACCACTATTAATCAACCAAAAGAAGATGATGATAATGAACTTGGATGGATGAATGAGAGATATAACATATTTGAGCGGAGAGAAAGAGAGATATACCATTGAAGAAAGAGCACAATATTGAAAGAAAAAAAAAGAAAGATTTTTTGCTACAAAAGAGAGAAAAAAGATGAAAATGGAAGAGAGAGGAAAATCAACATACAAATATTGATAAAGATTTTATCTTTTAAACAATATCTTAAGTTGTGTATACATAATAATGTTAAGATATTCAAAGAAAGTTATATTAGAGATGAGAGATCCATAAAATATATATCAATGATAGGCGCGATGATGATGACGTAGGAGAACAACTCTATTTACCTCTTAAACTAAACAACAAATAAACACAAAAGATAAACAACACAAAAGTGAAGAGAGAGAAATTATCCCAATATATTAAAATTGTGTGAGAAGAAAGGTGAGATTTTAGAGGATGAAGACAACAAAGTATATTCTATTATATGTAATAATTCAATATATTTAATATATAGTGAAGCAGAGTGGAGATTAGTTGTTGCACTAAACGTCCGTGTAACGTTGTCATCTCTTAGCGTGTGTGTGCGTGAATGGGAAGGAATTCGCAGAGAATCTTGTCACAAATGGTGTAATGAGAAGATGAGAAGGAATTCTAAAGGCATCTTGAGAACAATGTACACATAAATGAAACTCTTACGATACCTGTTTAAACTCAATGGCAAAAAAAGATGAAAAATGAGAGAAGAAACCTAAATGTCTCCTGAATGTCTCCTTTTACGTGAGATTTAACTGTAAAACTACTGTTGACCTGCATCAATTACATGAGAAGAAAAAAATAAGTTGAGAAAAAAGAGTGAAACCAACACAAAAATGAAGATAAATACATTTTAACAAGAGAAATTGTGTGTTTGTGTATAAAAGCAAATAATGAGAAGATAAAGAAATATTTTATAATAATTATAAGAAAGAGAGAGAGAGAAAAAAATAGGCCAGTGGAATTTTTGTGTGAAAAATGGCACATATTCTTCTCATTACACTTTTACAATCCACTCTTCCTAAAAATATTCGTGAGAAAACGAAAGAGAAAACAAGAAATACTAATCATTAGAATTATGATGAAGGCGATGAAAAAGGAAATATTTCGTGAGTTGAATTGATGACAGCAAAGATCTAAGAAATATTTAGTAATCTTAGAGAGATTGTTTTGATGTAACTTCATCTCTTTTTTATACTGTATAACTTTTGAAGAAGAGCGAGAAGGAGTTTTTGAAAAACACGAATTCATCGTGACGATTTGCAATTGTGCTTTTGTTGGGCAAAGAGAATGGCGAATTCGTCCATTAACCAATTGATATCAGAGACTTTAACAAAATCATCAAAGTGCACAATTGCAGAATGTCAAGAGTGTGGATTCTTTCGCTAATCTTGCTACAATTTGAATGATGTCTTGTAAGATTTGTGTATAAAAGTAGTGGTAAATCATTGTTTTAGCATCCCAATTTTCCGCTCTTTTTTGATTTTTTTAATGAGAAGATAAGTGACAAAAGCCATAAATATTAATATTAAGTTTTGATTTCATCACATGTCGATGCTTTATTAGTCTCTTTTTCTAATGTTTAGTCGTTTTTTCTTTGATTGGGGAAGAATATTATATTGAAGATGAATTTTATTTCCAGACGCGAAGACGATCGGAATGCGAAATTAACTGTGAAATTGGTTGAAAGGAAAAGGAATAGGAATTCGTTTAAAATCGCTAGTAAAACTGGCCCGAAATTGGCAAATCAAAATTTTTTGTTAGAGAGAAAAACTATTTGAGAATATTTTCTTTTGTACAATTGGTTATATTTTCCTCTTGGACGGTGAAGAGATTGTGAGCAAATGTGAGAAAGAAAGAGTGAGAATGGAGGAAGAATTCTAGACAGTTGCGCGCGCGCAGAATGGTTGAAAAAGTACAAAATGGACTTAATTTTTGTCTTACACCATTTTTTGGCTAACTTTGGATAATTATTTTAAAGAAAAATTAATTGAAAATTAACACAAATTTCTCACGAGGAAATTTCCTATGGAAATTGTTGACAATGTTGCTATTTGTATACGAAAAGATGAGAGGAAAAATCGAGAGAGAGAGAGAGAGAAGAAAGCGTGATTGTGAGAGGAGAAAAATATTAAAGAGAGCAATAAATAATTCTTTAACGAGTAAAAGAAAGAAATAAAGCGAGAGAGAGAATTGACAGCAAGAAAAGTGATAAAAATTGTTTCATGAAGATTTAAATGAAGGTGGCGAAAGAAATTTTAGCAAAAAAGAGCAGCACAAAGTGCTGAGAATTCATCTTCAAATTTGATTTTCATTTTACACTTTTAATATTAAATGTAATTTTTTCGCATGGAATTTTTTACACTAGGAAGATCATGAAAATTTGATGGAAAGCCTTTTGTTTTCACCATCACTTATCATTTTTTTTGTAATGCATATTTAGGATTTAACAAAAATGAGAGTGACAATTTATAGGCGACAGGCGAATTAAAAATACGAGGAAACCATGGAAAATAAATCAGGATAACAAGCTGCCAAGAAAAACCCAGTAATTTGCAAACATAGAAAGCATACGTTTTTTTACAAAATCTTGCTGATTTACAAGTCTTTTTCCGACACTTGTGTGAAGAAAAATATGTATAAAGAATATTAGATTGAGCAATAATATTGGAAAAACAGTGAAAAAAGATGGGAAATGAATTTCACCACAAAAACATTCAGTTACAGCAATGCGAGGAGGAAAATTTATTAATTCTGTCATGTATTTTATAAGAATTCATTGCATATTAATAAATAAATCCTTAAAAATAAATCTGCAAATTGACTGTTGCACCCTGTGATCGTTGGATTTGAAAAATCTCGGATTTCGGAAAGAATTTTCGAGTTTCGTCGTATTCGGAGTGTCAAAAGTGGTCAATTTCCAGAGTGTGTTTTTGCCTCGAAAGGTTTTCCTTTAATATTTATCAATAAATCTCTGTTTTCATTGCCTTCTAACACAGCTAATCTCTTCCAGGAATATCCGAGATCATCCCTGGTTTATACAGCGTTAGCAAATACCTCATATTCTCATAATAGCGGCGAAATCATGGAGTTTGTGAAGCCCGGAAATCACGTTCTTTATGTGTGGATCTCCAGAGTCCAGTCTGGCCTGGAGAAGGCCGTCAACGAGATCCGGCAGCTCAGGGACGTGGTCGTGAGTGTGGAGAACTCCGATCGCCTCGAGGAATCCGCGTACGCCAACTCCACCTTCGACATCATCATCTCGCACTGCTCCAGCGACAGCACGACCGCGGACAAGCTGAAACTCTTCCTGAACCTGGTCAAGCCGCAGAAGCCCGTGGTGTTCATCTTCCTGAAGAGTGACGAAGCCACTCTGGACAGCTTTGAGTTTCAGCTCAAGACGTCTGGGTTCGTGAATGTGCGGAAAAACGCAAGTCACGGTGAGTTTATCAGCTGTTTTCGATCATTCCGGAAGATTCTATAAAGAGGATTTTGTGATTTCTGGCAGTGTTTGTGGCTGAGAAGCCCAATTACGAGGTGGGATCTTCAGTGAAGCTCTCCTTCGCCACGAAAAAGCCCACAGCAGCTGTGTGGAAGCTGGACGACGATGAGGATGAGGAGGCGGAAGTGATCAATGAGGACGATTTGCTGGACGAGAGCGACAAGAAGAAACCCGACGAGGCGTCGCTGCGCGTCTGCGGCACCACGGGCAAACGGAAGGCGTGCAAGGATTGCTCCTGCGGCCTGGCGGAGGAGCTCAGTGGCCAGAAGAAGGACACACCGAAGTCCTCGTGCGGCAGTTGCTATCTGGGAGACGCTTTCCGCTGCGGCACGTGTCCTTACCTCGGCATGCCCGCCTTCAAGCCCGGCGAGAAGATTCAGCTGTCCAGCGACCAACTCATGTCTACGTAAACTGAGCAGGAAGTGATTCCCCACGATTTCTGTATTCCACACCTTTTGAAATAATCAATATCTTATCAGGCCATTTGTCAGAGTCTTGTTTCTGCGAGCCCTTGATTGGGGCGCGCGCTCGAAGGGGCGGAAAATTGGCGCTTTTCCCTGTATTCAGTGGATGAGTCTTTTATCTGGAATCTCGCCTTGAATCATTCGACGTCTGAGAATGCTTCGATGTTCGCCTCTAAATTGCCAATCAAACAAGTGCGTCACAATTGATACAATTGAACGCCTTCTGCGTGTGGGCAGCACTTGTCTTTGACTGATAACACGCCAGGCGTTCGATAAGAATTCACGAATTTTGGTCAGTCGTCAGAGAACTCTCGTGATTAGCATTGTGAAATGTGATTGAATTTCTCACCTTTTTTTTCGACCAAGAAAGTGTCTTCAGAGTGTTCTCGAAGTCAGAATGTCGTTCTTCATCTGGATTACGGTGAGAGGAGTGCACAATCTGTTTGCTAAGCTGCTTGTTATAATTAGTCTCTGGACTCTTTCAGATTGTCGTCACGACGCTGATAGTCATTTGGTTCATTTTGGTGAGTGGCGAGCAAAGAAGACGGAAGTTGAGAAGAGTGAGGAAGTCTTCTTGGGTGTCTTTCAGTACGCTCACAGAGTGCACACAGCCAGGAGAAGGGCACAGACGCTTCCGCCGGGAACGAGAGTCGTGCGGGCGAACAACAACACGGTCATCTACACCATTCCCACGACGCAGCAACTGGCCACGACTTATCCCACCTTGAGTCAGAATTATCACACGAACGGAGCGCCCCAGAACGGGGCGACTCTTCCTCCGGCTTACGGTGAGTCGCCGGAGGGCAAAAGGACTCTCTGAGATGTCTGAGTGTAGAGTTGTTGAGGAATTATTCAAAAAAAGTCCTGACAGATTGTGGTTGATTAAAATCAGAGTAAATTATTTGCTCTAATAAATCACAAGATCTTTTTTCCGTACAAGTTGAGTGCTACAGAATGAAAAAAATGGTGATTATCATGATCTATTGTCACCTTTTGGTTATATTAGACGAGTTTTGAGTGAAATGTACTCAAATATCCTTCAGAATGGCATTCTTGAAAGATTTTATGGGGTAATTCTTAATCAGGAAGGCCGAATACATTATTTGAGTCGAAATAGAATTGTTATCTTGTACATTCTGTTATGATTTTTCCGAATAGAGTGAAGCAATTATAATAATGGTCATGAATGTTATGATAAAACCAGATTAGAGAATGTAATAACTTTGTCCGGAAGACCTGACAATTTCAAGATGTCAGTAAATATAATTCAAAGCTTACAATAAGAAGCTTAACTTCTTTCGGACAATGGTGAAATTCTCAACGCTAGAATTTTCTTCTCGCTGTTAATTTTTCTGTGTCACTTGGAATGTTTTACTGCCCAAAAAGGCACAGACAATAAACATTTCGCGTTCGCTTATCAATCGATTTCCCTTATCACTTTCCCACTCAGATTTGCCGCCAACTTACGATCAGGTCGTGATTTTGCCGCCCTCGAGCGCCGAAACCACCGTCACGACGACCACAACGACGCAAGTGCGCAGCTGAAGAGCCGCCAAAGTCCAGCCGAAGGAGGAAGCGAAGGATCTGCGATGAGAGAAAGGCCGCTTCTGTGTTCGAAGCATTTTTATTTTGAAGAAATAATAAATTCACGTACTTTCTATTTTCTTATCATTTAAAACTTGTAATCTTTCTCAGCTCATCAAAGATGAATCGAAAACGTTGAGACGATTTTTTTATTATTTAATATGTATTGCTGCAAACGTGTTTCTACTTAAACAAAATTGAGCTTGATTTTATTCGTTTTCTTTTTCTTTTCACTCAATTTGGAATTTTTTTAATGGCCCGGAAAATGGTGAAAACTCTCTGAAGTTTTACTGTAGTCAATTATTCGATGCTTTTCATCAGTTTTTCTCCTCTTTTTTCTCTATTAAGGTGTAATTTTTTTTTATGGCACACACAAATAAATTTATGTGTTCTAATCTTTATTAAATCTTAATTATTATATTTTTTTACGATACTTTCTATTCAATCAGGAATAAGTTTCTTTTCTTCTTCTTTCATTTTATATAAATGCAACACTTTATTAACTCTAATTTTCTCATCTTCATTACAAGAAAGTTTACGAGGAAAAATTTTTTACGTTAAAGAGCATATTTTCAGGGAAAAACCCCATTTTTTTCAATAAATCTTTTTGAATAGTTACCTTTTCTTCTTTCTTACCACTTAACAACTAAAATGCATGGAATACTTTTAAGGTATTTCTGTTTCGCATAATATAAAAAAGAATAGTTTTTACGGTGTAGAGAAAAAAAATATCAAGAGTGATTTTAAATATGAGAAATACAGAAGACATTAAAAAGAATAGAATGATTTTTCATAAATGAAATTATTTACAAATTTCATGTTCACGGGATTTTTTCGCTTTCCTTCCTAATTAAATTAAGAATTAAAATAAAAACCAATATCATAATTACTATTTACACTAAAAATTGTGTCATTTTTCTTCACTTCAAATCGCTCCTCAGATCGCCTTAAAATATCGCTAGATTAACGTTGAAAAAGAGTGTGTGCAATTATTTGGAGAATTTCATAAATCATTCTCAAGTTTGCTATTTTTTCTCACTTACTAAAATCTACTTAAAAATGCTCTTTTCCTTTAGTTACTGAGTTGGGTTTCCTTTGTATTAGAATTCCTTAAGAATATTTACACGAAATGGGAATTTTACTCTTTTTTATTTCTTCTAAAATTACGACTCACTAAATTTTGGTTCAATCAAATAGTTTTCAATCTTTTTTTTCACTATCCTTGATCATTTGCAAACATGTCGAAGATGGAAGAAGAAATTACAATTAAAACAGCAGCGCGCAAGGAATATCGTTTCTTTTTTCATACACATAATAGAAGGACAGACGAAAAGTGTCTTTACATCCACAGAAAATATAATATAATATAATTACTATTTTACAAACACGCATTTTGATAGGAAAAAAAAGACAGTGAAGGTGTGAATTGTCCACAAATCTTTTTCTCTTCATCCTCAGACGTTTGCTTACTTTCAAAACAAACCTTTCTTTTTCTTATCTTTCTTTTCTTTTCCGTCCATCGTTCTGAAAATTAATAATTCAATTCACAGTCAATTGGGATTTCGTTCAGGTTTCTTTTCTACAGTTTCTGCTTGTCTGCAGACAAAAATTGATAGAATAGCGAGGAAGATACTTGACATGGTTAATTAATCTTATTAAGAAAAGGTAATATAGAGAAATGAATGGAAGGAAGAGAACATAACAGAGGAATTATTGGGAAGATAATAATGAAGATTCTACAATTTACAAGGTGTCTTTCTGAGAAGATTGGTGAAATTTGTAGTTTTTCATTTCTCTAAGTGTTCACAGTTTTTTCCTTAATCTTCAATTAAACATAAACTCTAGACTTTCATGCTGAGATTGAGAGAGATGCAAAGGAAAATCTGTGCGGAAGTCAAGAAGTGGAGTTTCTAGTGTGTCAAAGAATGCAAATGAGAATGATTTGAGTGGACAAAAGGCACTTTTAAGTATACAAAAATATTGCAAATTTCGTCCTCTTGAATTTTTCCTTTAAAAAAAATCACATTTTCCCTCTTTCTCTCTCTCAGTTCAGCAGAACTTGTTCTCGCCTTTTCATACTGGGATATAATAAAAGAAAAAAAGGTCTCAAGAGTGATTCTGTGTGTCAATGAAAGTTTGCGGAAAAACAACACCCAAAAAATTTACAGAAAAATATACAACAAAGAAACATCTATCAAAAAGAATACTACGGAATAGAATGACAAAAAGTGTGTGATAATGGATGTGAAAATGCAGAGAAAACACGCAATTTTCAAAAAGGAATTAATAAATCTTGATTTATCATTAATTTACCTCTTATAGTTTTTCACTATTAGTTGTGTTCTTCTTAGACTCGAACGCGCATTTAAAAAATATACAGTGAAACATATAATAAAATGAAAATTAAGTACCCAAGATGAAAAGGAATTTTTAACGTGCTCAGTCTTATTAAAAGATATAATAATTGGCAAAGAATCTAATTTATACAGAAATAAGATGAACAAATCATTAGGGAATCAATTAAATATCTCTCCAAAGTACTTTAAAAGCTACAAAATGTCATGAGATTCCTTCAAGTGCTTCTCCATAGAAACCTCCAATTTAAAACTACCGTTTTGCCTTCTCACAACACACACGCGCCACACATCATGAATTATTTTGCAATGGATTTGATGGTTAATTAACATGACGAGCATAAGTTCAAGTTGTTTTGGCTAAAAGCTACACGGCAACATATTGTACAGATACAAATGAGAGTCCATGAGACATTTGCGATATGTGTTTTCTTTGTGCCAAAAAGGATCCTGTCTTCTCTCTAATCTTGCGGACTCGTGGGCAGATTAGCATTGGAAGCGGCTCGCGATGATTCTGTGCCACCAAAGCTCGTGTGGCGTCGCAGCAGTGATCCGAAAACACGACGACCCTTTGACTCATCACTCCTGGAAGACATTGACGCACTCCTGAAAAGTCTTTTCCTTGCCACACTTTCACACTCACACACTTCCCCAAAAAAAAACATTGCATTCACTACTCAATATTAATCCCAACCTGAAATGCATGATCTTTTGTGTGCGATTTTTCTGTTTTTTTACCCTCTTTTCTCTGGGCTTCAACATTATGAGCATGGGAAAAAAAACCAACACCATGAAAGCACATCTAAAGCCATCCCTTTATTGTTGTCCTCTTGAATTGCAAATCATATTGACAAAGGCAAAAGAACGCAAAGAGTGTAAGAACAAAATGAATGAAATGTCAAAGAGATGCAACCACCAGTTGAAGCTTTGCGGCAGCATTTCAACTCATACAATCTGTTCTCTTAGCGCAGAATGATAAATTCTTCGGCTTATTCAACCTTACGAATCTCGTCTTACGATGCAACTTGATGATAAGATTTCACATTCATAAATTCTATTGATACGAGTTCTGGTGTTTAATAATTAACGGTGAGCAAACTTCTTGTCATTTTCCAGAAAACATACTTTCGAATAAGAATAATTTTACATCATATCTAATAAGACATTAACGTAAGGTTGCATAGCGCCATGTATTGAAAAATCACCTAATCTCACTACATAAAATCTCTCTATATTTTAACAATAACAATTGTCAGCATGAAATAAATTATAAAGTGTGTCTCGATGAATGATTGCAATGAGAACAAATTATCAATTGTAAATCAGAAATCATAAATATTATATCCCAGTATCTTGTTCACATTATTCTGCATTGTCCAGTGTCTTTTTTGCGTTGTGTGATAAATCATAAATCCAGAATAAACTGTGTGTCAACTATCGCTGATCTGTGTAACTTTGTGTGTGTGGATTAATTCTACCGAATTGTTAATCTAATATTTCTCTTTCTAGCATGTGAAATATATTTTGTTTTTGTTTCAAGACCGAAAAAGTCAAAACCAAAAAGAGAAGAAATAAGGTAATTAAATAAAGACATGAGAAAACGACAATGAGAAAGTGGTAGAAAATTGTGAGTGAGAAAATTCTCGGTGATGTTGTTATTGAGGAAAATCATCTTGTACTCACTCTTTGCTATTCGCCTCCAAGCTGCGCCTCCTCAATTCCTCCAATGTCACATTGTTCGCCTCTTCCCACTCCTTCTTCTCCTGCTCAAAGGCGCGCCTTCGGTCCTCAAGCTCCCTAATTTGGATCTCCAGCGTCTGCAAATGGAATCAGTCTCAGTTTCAACGCACTTGCCAGAAAATGCTGGAAAAAAGTCACCTTCTTGCGCTCCTCATGTCGTCGAGTCAATTCAATTTCCGAGTCCTTCAGCTTCTGCTTCTTCTCCTTCACCTTCATCTCGAACACTTGCTCCATCTCGGCCTCCATCTTCTTCATCTTCAGCTCATGCTCGCGCTTCTCCTCTTCCATTTGAGCCAGAGGGTTCCTTATCCCATAGACAGAGGATATTGCTATTAGTGGGCGATTTCTCTCATCAAAGGACAGTGAGATTTGTCGAAGACAAGCTCTAGATGTGTGGATATTTTACATAATCAGCAAGTTTAGGCACTCGCTCTCAATGTGAGTGCCGTGAGTGTGTAGAAAAGGTGCAGTTTTGAGACTCTTTCTCTTTGTACACTTCAATTCAAAATCAGATTTAAGAAATACTCAGAAGTAAATGTAAAAACTGTGAATGAAGTCCATAATTTGCAATGAAAGAGCTTCAAATCGTGTAACTATTAAGTGCTTCTGAAAATTTTGTGTATCTTGATTTGCACAAAAAGAAATAAATTGCTGCGAATGAAACACGTGAATTTTCAAGATTTTCTGTCGAGTTACTAAAGAACACATAAAATAACATCTTATTATCTTTTAATATGAATTCAACGATCTTCAACCCTCAATTAGGATTTTTTTCAATCATGAAATTTTGTAATTTTTGATATGTCGATTTAAATTTCATTTTTTCGCTCAAAAGCGCAAGAATTCTCATTACTGCACCACAAAATAGTTGCTCTAAATGTTCAATCTTGAGTCTCGCCATTGTCACAAGAGAGATTGCTTAAGAAATAGGTCAGAAGAATCGATTTTGTGACTCTCCAAAAATGCATTTTGTCAACTTCTGCCTCAACTTCACACAAAACCGTCTCGACGAAACACACAAGATTATTGAACACGCAGAGTTGAACATTATGTCACATTATTGCTTTAGTGATGTGAGAGAAATTTTCATGTGTTGTACACAATCATGGAAATAAATTGAGTACAGAAGAAACGAGTGAAGAAAACCACATATATAGAAGCACTAAGAAAATGATGGTTAACAGAAAAGTATAAAATTCGAGGCATTCCAAAAATGAAAACGACGTGATTGATGAATGGTGCAATGAAATGGAAACACAAGAGAAACGCAAGTTTATCAACCATGAACTCATCATAAACGGAAAGAAACAACCAAATCAGGAGAATTTCGCCAGATGAGAAATGCTGCAAATAATGCATGATGGAACTCAAGAGTGTAAAAGATATTTTAAAGACAAATAATTTAGAAAACACAGTTTCAGTGACTCAAGAAAAAATTACACTTTTAAAAAACACTGAAAGAGTTTTAGAAATATGAGTCAAAATAAGAGTTTTTTTCTTCTTCTGTAAGTTCGTCAAGAATTAAAGAAAACTCCTCCAAATGATGTCTTTTTTTGCATTTGCAATTTAGAGGTTTTGCATTCTTTTCTCTTTTTTATTTAAGGTAGTCTTTTTGCGGATTGTTTTAAAACTTTTTTGCCGTCACATTTGACTTACCAAACAATCAAAAATGAATCTATAATTCCTTGACTGCAGAAACTGAGATTAAAATATGTTTTAGTGGTGAGTAAAATTAAATTAGGTCACAAGAGATGTTAAATCAAAATGGGATAACAAGCCAAAAGAACACGCACACAAACTCAAGAGATCAAATAACTATAAGTCTCTATCCAATTATTTTTGCGTATTTTTTTATGTACAAAACTTTTATCATTTGGTATTGAAAATGATTGTCTTTCTCCGGGAGGAAGTAGAAAAATGATCAACATCAATATAACAACAAAGGATGACTCTGAGGATGGCACGAGAATTAAAATGAAATGCGGCGATCAACTATTGGAAAACCATTGGACAAAAAACTGGGAAGAAGACAGAAATGGGGAGGAAAAACTTTTCTCTTTGCTGAGGGGAAAAGAAGTCTCTCCACTTACTTATTACTCAATCGGCCAGACTTTCCGTCATTGCCCAAGCCAGCTAACTTGCGGCATCGGTAGTTCTCGTAGTGCACATTGTTGGTGACATCCTTGAGGTCGTGCAAGTGCGTCCTGATGACCATGTTCCGCAGAGCAATAAAGTCACAGTGCTCCAGATTCTCCACTGTGGAAAACCGCAAGCTCGTTATTGTCCACACAATCAACAGCCCATACTGTGGGAAAATTACCTTCTGCAACGCCCCACGGATACCGTCGCCCACGAACCTTCCGTCCATCAACTTCGATGACCACATTTGCACCCACAACGGCAAACGGAACACGACTCCTGAGCTGCTTCAGCGCCTTTGCCTCCTCCTCGTCCTCCAGCGGCTCCGGAAAGTCGTAAATTTTGATCTTGTGCTGGGCAATCTCGTTGAGAATCTGACAAGACGAGATGAAGAGTATCAGTGAAGCCATCAAAAGGCCATAAACATCTAAGTAGAGATAATTGAAAAGGTTTTCTCTCTTCCTGAATCATTCATCTTCAATTTTCTCCCCCAATAAAATGCACCATTTCGCCAAGAATTCATCTCAACGCGGTCCAGCTAAAAATCCTTTGTGCTCAATATCATTTCAAGGCTTCGTGAAGGTGAATGTCCTGCAGTTAATGCTGAATAAACACATTCCAATAAATGAAGCAAACACCATCAATTCTAAATGACCCAACAGACAAATTCCTCTTCTGTGTGAGAACAGAAGACTTATTGTTGTACTTAAGCAGCAAAGAAATTCCCTCGAGGCTCGTGCGTGAGATTCTTTCGCACGCACACACATACTTTATGTAATTCCGTACGAGTTTTGCATTTTTCACACCAAATTCACTCTAAACTTTACCTGTTTCTTAAATAGTTGCACTTCTTCCGGCGTCATTGTGTCCGCTTTGGCAATAACTGGAATGATGTTGACTTTGTCACACAGTCGCTGCATAAACTCCACATCCAGCGGCTTCAATCCATGTCCTGACGGCGCAATGAAGTACAGACAGCAGTGAACACGGCTGTCAGACATTGCCTTTCGATGTACGCGCGATTCTGCCGTCAAGTATTCTTCGTATTTTGACTCAACAAAGTCGATCACTGGCACCCAACTGGAACAAATGCATATCAATCAGTCGCTCTCAGCACGGACTTTTAACATTTTTCTACTCACCAATTGCTGTTGTCGACGGCATCGCCAAAGCCAGGCGTGTCGACGACAGTCAGTGTAAGGTTGACACCGTTCTCCTTGAGCAAAACCTTCGTGGTCTCCACCTGGACAGTCTTCTTCACGCGCAAAGACGGTCCTGGATGTTGGTCCTGATTGTAAATATCCGCCAGAAACATTGAGTTGATCAATGTTGACTTCCCAAGTCCGGATTCACCTATAAAAAGACCCAACAGATGGTCTTCATTAGCAAGTTTTTCCTATTTTTATAATAGACTACTTAAGAAATTCGTCTTTGTGTGCTTTAAAATAGATTAATAGAATCTATCGAGAAGATCTGCTAAAGCTTGAATCAATTTGCATACTTCAGCATAAATACAAAGATCATCTTTCAATGGTCTCTCAGAACTCTTGACAAATTCCATCTCATCTCTTGTTGTATAATGAGCTTGTTAGCAATTCAATGCGTCCATCGTCAATTCCAGAAGCTAGAAAGTTCAGGTCACATTTCGATGCTTTTCTGGGCACTTAACTTTCGCCTTATAATTAATCCAACTGGAGTACTTTTTCTTCTGCATTAAACATCCTCTTGGAATTGAGAGAAAAAAATACTCACCGACAACCATGAGCGTGAACTCGAAGCCCCGCTTGACAGCCTTCCTGTAGACTTGATTTGGTAGATTGGCGAAGCCTACGTAGCCCTCGAGCTCCTTGGGCTTCGGACGCACGATGGCCTGCTGCTTCTCGCGATCCTGCCTCTCAGTCACCATCTTATTGGAGTCCTGGTGGTTGTTCTCGTGCACAAACTTCTCCTTCGCAATGTTATTCAGATTGTTCACTGTCGCGGCATTCGTGTGCCCATTGTTAATGGCCGTGACCACTTTGTCCACAGCTGACGGCGTTGTCGCCGAAGACACAGAAGTCGCTGAGATCTGCTGTGAAAGAAGTCCCATTAATAACTTTCATCTCAATGTCTTTCTCCCTCTTCTGCTCGTTTTATTTGGCTGCCAATTGAGATGTTTTGCTTCTTCTTGCCACAACGCGCATCGCGAATAGAGTCGTCAAAATGAAGGAGAAATTCTCTTTCAGTTAAAAAATGATCAATTTTGATTGCACTCTGTCTCCGAAGCCGATCAATCTCTGTTGTGTGGATGCAAAAAACACTTACTTGCGTCGCTGCTACATTGTGATTATGATTATTGAGCGCGGTGGAATTTGTCGAAGTTGCTTCCTGCTTGAAGAACATCTCTCGCTTCGATTGTAACTGAACATTGTGCGTTTGTGTGTGCAATTTCGCACATAGAGTTTGGTTTTTGGTTTGTTTTCAGGGTGTTCGAGATGATTATTAAAATTGATTTGAGTGTGTGATTTGTGTCATCCGGCGAATAAAAACCAACCGAAAAGAGGAAAGAAAGAAACAATACATAAATTAATGGGTGAGAAATCATATTAATTACAATCACCAAATAAATACTGTGTATGCAAATGCAGTGGTTAGTGAATGCCAGAGCACGAGGTTTAAAGTAGCGTAAAAAATGAGGTTTTCATCACATGTTGACCCATAGTTTTGCTCTCAAAAGCCACAGAGTCTATCACATCTCGCTTTATTACACAGTCATACCCGATAATTCACGTCAAAACAGACAAATATTACCAGCGCTCTATTTGATAATGATATCTAGGCCATTTTTCTGCCACTGTCCAATTCAATAACAAGCAAATTAAGTAGTCACTGCATACATTATGACCTTTCCATTCAGCACTGCAGAGGCAATTTCCTCAATGGGTTTCATTCACAATCAATTCGCACAAATCCTTTCACCGTGACAATTTTTGCAATGGGAAAAGACATTCGAAGAAAAATATCTCTAATTGCTCACTTTACTGTCTTTTTCCCATACAAATCTCACAGAGAAAAAAATGTCAATTCCGGTTTGTCTTCTCGACTTCAAGTCTATTTTTAGCTGCAAAAACAATTAAACTTCATAGCTTCGAGTGTTATAGTTCTTTTCTCAGATTTCAGAAGGAAATCCACTGACGAGGAGGCCATACACAGTTTGCTTCACTCTAAGCGCAGCACAATTTACCACAAAACTTCTTCTTATGTCGCCTCAATAGTGGCAGATATTCGCTAAATCAACTGTTTTTGCCACATCTGGTTCAACATTAACTTCTTGGCGCGAATTGTAAACAATTAACATGAAACCATATGTCAATGCCCATCAATGTCAAGGAAGAACTATTTTTCACGTCACATTTCAACCATAAATTCCAAAAAAATACTCTGCAGTGAAAGGAATATTTGATGAGTGTTGCAGTGCACAAAAATCACCGACTCTGCAAATATTATTCTGCATATTCGCACATTTTTTCCATGGTGTGAAAACACAGAGTGCGGAATTTTTATTCATCATGCGGAATGTCTTCAGCAAATTGTGTATTCAGTCTCTCAGCTGCACTTTTATGAGAACAGCACACACAATTGCCTTATCTTATCACTGCAACAGAGTCTTTACATATTTGGTATGAAAAGTCACACCGCAAGCCAGAGAAAATATCATCATGTAAAGTTCATCTTGTCTGAGAATCTCTTTTGCCCCTTTTTTCCATCATCATCACGAGCGCGCGCCCCAACTAATCATCACTTGGCCGTTTTGCCGTCTATTTTTCTCAGACACAAACTCTCTTCACACACATGAAAGAGAAGAAGACATAAGAGAAAAAGAATGCCAAATGAGAGCAGAGCAAATGCAGACCAAACAGGAAATGATGTCTATTTATTCAATAAAATATCATCTTCTCCAAATAATCCACACAAGTCATCGCGCACACACACACACACACTCAAGAAAAATCACTCAAGCCACGCAAAGAAAATGAATCATAAGTGCGATAAACTACTGAAAAAATGTAAGCAAAATGATTGAGGAAGAAAAGGTAATGAAAGCAATGTTCACTCGTGAAATTCTCTCTCAAGTGTCTTTGATTTCATTCATCTCTTGTGATGCTGAGACGAAGATGGGTTTTCTTACCGCTGTTGCGCTATCACCGGTGCCATTCTTCTCAATAACGACGCCCCCCAGGCCACCGTTTTGCTCCAGGAGTCTCTGTTTATACGCCAATCGATCGAGACTGGGAATGCGATAGGATCCGCCAATGCCCTCCTTTTTCAACAGAGTTCAACAATAGTTTTATTCATCAGCCTCATCATGAAACATGTTCTTAAGATTAATCATTTTGTTAATAAACATACTTTCCGGGAATTTGTCATTCCTCCTTTTCATACTTCCCGCTCTGAATAACTATACAATTAATTGTTTAGTGTGTGTCTTTTTCACTCCTCGCCCACATCATGAGACTTGGGAATCTTGTTTTTTGTCATGCACTCGAGTGCGTTTGACATTTTCCACGCATTTTTCCCACAATTTGAACATCAGAAGAGAGAGAAGAACGCTTCACAAGTTTGAGCACATTTTTCACCCCTTCAACGCATAGACTCGTTCGCAGTGCGTCGACGCGTATTCAGAATTTACACAGTCTCCCCCAAAAGGGATTTATCACGCTGGTATCACACTGACTATAAAGCAAATTAAGATTTTAATGTTGTCCCTAAACGAATGGCAATTGATTTGTTTGGTCCCAGAATTCAAAACTGCTCTTTGGGGCTCTCAAAAAAAGTAGGAGTAAAATTTGTAGCAAATTTTCCATATTCATATGTAATTTTTATATTTTTAACACTTTGACATGGTGGAAGACGCTTAGTATTGGAAGGAAGAAAATAAGACAAAAAACGATAAAATAAAATTTTTAAGATCGTTTTAGTTATTGTTTTTATCATAAAACTTTGGTATTGTCCCATAATTTCAATAAATTTATGGTTCTGAACATAAAGCGTATTATGTTTGAAAAATAAAATATATATTTCATAAATTTATGTGATAATTCCTCTATTTCTGCAATTTCTCTCGAACGACACCCGATGGGTTAAGCGCACAGATCTCCATTTTCAACGCCAAACAGACCGTAAAGCACTTTTTCACAGATTCTTGATCACTCAAGACGTCTCACAAAGTCCCCATCTCAAATACTTCTACTCATATTTTACGCCTAAAGTGCCATTTCTATAGATTTATTGTGACACGATTGACTTAAAGTTCCAACCTATTCCAGCATTAGTCTTTTATGCGCTCTCCACTCTCTGATTTGGTGCTGAGGCGGCCAAATAGAGTCTAGTATGTTCCCAAACAGAAGTACCATCATAAAATATTTCTTGAAACTTTCGCCGCCTCGCCGCACTCCAAAATCCATGCTCATTTGCAGGCGGGGAGCCTCATAAAAATCTTAACGATACACGCTTTATACATCATCAACCCTAACCCGTGTCACACTACAATAAACATTTTAGTGTAACACAAATTGGAGAATTCCACAGAGTCAATGGAACGCCACGAACGTGATTTAGATGTTGAGCGATTGACAGAAAAAGTTACAGCAAAATTTCTATCCCGCAACTTGAACGTCCAGAAAAAAGTGGTATTTTGTGTCCCACTAACAAATTCTTTAATCCCATTTGTATTCAAGTATTCAACGAGGAATGGAAATCAAACACGTGACATGTGGAAAATATATAGATCATGGATTAACTTAATTGCTCTGGCAAAATAGTGGGGAAAGAAAACGATAAAAAGTATCTCTCAAGTGTTGTAATGTCTTCGTTTTTGCTCATTTTGCTTCTCAATTAGAGACTTTCAACATGATTTTCGACCATTTAAATTATATCTCTGTACAATTTGGCGGTTCAGAAAGAGCGTAGCGAATATTTCAGCAAATATCTCCTGGAAGTTTTCATGAGAATGTCGTTTTTTAACACTCAAAACTTGAATGACTTAAGCCCATTTTTTATTGGAATTTTAGTTTCGAACGTAGAAAATTTGATTGGCTGTCATTTGATGCAAAGTCTAATAGTTTTCGTGATAAAATTCCTGCAGAGAATGCTAGAAAGCAGCAATTTTAAGTGAAAATTACACTTTCAAATAAGAAAAATGTAAACAGAAAACAAGAAAATTCAATCTCAGAACCACAATTTTCCAACTAAACAGTGAAAAAGAGTATCTTGAGCCTCTTTTTCTGTTGAATCTCATTTCTCATGCTACAATTCACCTCAATTGCATAAAGAACAAGTGTTAATTATCTTTTCCTCCTCATAACTTCAACCAAAAAATGACTTTCCATGAAAACTTCCAGTCGACGGATTCGCAAGAAAGCCTGAATGGCAAGTGATTATTAAAGAAAAAAATTGGCTCAAGCTGATCATGATCGATTCCTTCCTCTCTTCGCCACTGCAAAAAAGCCCGTAAGCATGAGAAAGTCGCACCTTTTCCCTCTCAGATCGATCAATCTTGCCGAACTCATTGCGATCGCGGTCGATCTTGCCGAAACTCGACGTGTACTTGGGCAGCGTGGGCGGCGGAATGGGCCGCGCCGCGATCACGGGCTTCTCGTGCTGCTTGTTCACGCCGTGAATGCCCGCCGTGGGCGCCGCTTGGCCGCCAGGCGGCACGAAGTTTGCCATGTACGCGCCTGGCGACGACAGCACGGGCTTGGTGGCCGGAACGGGCGGCGGCCCGCCCTGAGGGAGCGCCGGCGGCTGTTGAACCCCTGCTTGTTGCTGCTGCGACGTGATCGGCGTACTCATTTTCTCATAACACTGATCCAAGCACTTTTTCAATGTATCTTTCAAGAAGTTCCCGTGAGTCTCCAATTTCGGGCACTTTTACCTCACGCGCGCGATCACGAGCCTTTCCCAACTGTAGATTTTTGTCGGATTTAAAGAGATTGCGCGCCGCGTCTTGTCTTAATTATTCAATCATCAAATTAATTGTGATGGAATCTAATGAAAGACAACATGATTGGCCTTCTTTTCCCACTCCGCTTCTCTCCCTCGGAGAATTCTCAAGTATCGCTCGCTCTACACACACTGTAAATTGCACTCGGGAACACTCTATTGATTAATCATCAATAAATAGATGGGAAATTGAATTATTGTGACGAAGAGGACAAATGGAAAAGTGGGTGCGTCAACGCTTTTTGCCACACTGCAATGAAATTCTTAGCGATGTTCAGTGCAATTCTCTCTCTCTCTCTCTCTCTCTGTCTTTACAACTGCACAATTCAAAGAAAACTCAACGCACAACTTGTTTGCAAACTAATATGGATCAAGAGAGGGAATAAGTCTGTTCTCTCGTGATGAAAAACACCACTTAAGACTGCCCAAGAACAATCACTTTCAGTGTTTTTCTCCGCCACACAAGGCACTGGATTTTAATTAGCCAAGAGTGAAAATCATCCGCCAAGCTCAACTGCCAGCCAAATGAGATGGGACATGGCAATGTGGTTCTACGAGAAATCTCTTCTCAATACATTTCATTCAATTTCTTTCAAAGCCCACACGAATCTCTTTTCACTGGCTTAAGTCTTGAGAAATGTTATTCATCCATGAGCAGACGCGTGCAATTGAGATACTCTTCTTCACAGAAAAAAACCGTAAAGGATGAGAAGTTGTCCTAAGAATTTCACTGCTTGTGCTCCAAAAATAAATGCCAGTGGCAAAGATCAAGATCAACGACCTTTGAGCGTGATAATGATAACAGGCAAAATTTCTAATGGATTCTTAAGTATACAAATCAACAAGAGAACAACTTACAATCGAGCTTGAATGATCTTCAATTGCAATACTTCGCCTATTTCAGCGATTATTATTATGAAATGATAGTCATTAGAGTGAAGAAAGTCGAGAGAATTGCATGATTTACTGCTCAAAAGTCTTTTGAACTTTCTCTTCATCCCCAAAAACCACTCGAAACTCAAGCATCACCGCATATTCTTGTGATTCTGCGATAGTGAAACAGGGTCAAGGGTGTATTTAGCAATCTCTTCATTGTTTCCAGCAATTTTCCCATCAAATCAACATCTTTGATGAATAAAAAATCCGTCCAATTAGCCTCTTGAGCCCTTGAATGACGTTCATTCCAGAAATTATCGCTCAGATTGAGGGAAAGAGTGTGTGTCAAGTGGCTTCTGCGGACAACTCCCTCAATTGCACACCCACAAAAAGCGTCCGGGAACCGATTTTCCCCCTTCGAGAGCTCGCCTTTTGTGCCTCTCACGCGTTCTCTTGTTCCTCCGCTTTGGGTGTGTTTGGCATTAATGTCACACAACCCTCGAAAACACTCTTTTGGCCACCCTCAAGATGAATTTTTGCCTTTAGTCACACTCTTTCCTGTCCTGCACAGCCAAAATTCCAGTCAAAACACTCAATATTTCACATTTTGAGCCTTTTTAGGAGACAAATTCACGGAAGAAAAGTGAAAATCCACAGCCATTGATAAGAGTGTGTGTCTCTATCGATTTTCTCTCCGTCAAAAGCATTACAAGTCATTATCAAAGGAGAGATATTTTAAACACAGAGATAAACTCCGAATGCAATTTCTCAGCAATTCATCCCATTCAAGAGGGTGTTTTTCTAGGTACAGTCGAAAAATCAATAAGAGGGTGTCCATGAAAACCATCCATGATAATTTTCAGAGGGTGTTTTCCTGCCATTTTCCCACCCGAATGCGTTGGAGGTGAAAAGTAGGGACTTTCGTGACTCATTTCGGTATTATTTTTTCGCCCTTTTCCTGCCACTCGTAAATTCCCAATTTATAAAATAAACTCTCTCTTGTCAGAGTCTCGAGAATCTCGCTGGAAAGCCGGGAGGAAGCGGAGAGCAAAGTACAAAATAAACGCGATGAAGAGAGTCTGAAGACAGGGGAGAAAAAAGAAGGCACACAAGAAGACTCCCGCCCCGAAAAGACTCTCAAGCACAACGTATGTTTGTTTTCCACCCATTTCTTCGTCATTTCCCCCACATTTCCACCCACAAACCTCACACACGCGACACTGTGCACATTAATAGTTCTTCTGAGAGCGATATTGGCGATTTAAATGCACAATTTCACGATTTTTCAGCACAAATTCGCGGCAGAACAACACGCAGAGCATTTGACATCCGCACACTACGAAAATACACCGACAACTGAACTCATCGATTCGCAGCAACACTGCAAGTCAGGCTGAGTCACAAGCGCAAAGTTTCGTACTTTTCACGCTACAGTGAAATAATCAAAGGGTGCAAGACGATTATTATTATTGCATGATTTCGCTTTGTAGCAAGTGGAAAAAATTACTAAAATCAACTTTCAATTCTTGTATTTAGTGCAAGAATAAAATAGAAAAGTGCATTTTCTTTAAATTTCAATGGTTCAAAACTCAAAAATTAAATCAAATGAAACGTTTTCATATGATTTTTTTTACTTATCATGCCGAATTTTATGTTTAAGTTTATTATAAAATACAGAGATATAAGAATAGATCACAATTACTATTATTTTTAAAGTTTGATAGAAATCTCAGGTTATAAAGTGACGAAAAAGAAACTATTCGTTAAAACGTCTATAAAAATTCATAATCTTCTTGAGAGAGAATTCAAAAAATTTCAGAATGAAACCACCCCAAATCAAAACTGCAAAATTTCAATGCTCAGTAAATTTCATGAAACTTTCCTCCCATTTGAAGTCATAGCGCGAACCAATTCATCGATTGTTAGTGTTGCCAGTGTTGGGAAATTTTCTAGAGCGCTAAATTTAATTTTCTCGTTGAACTCCGCTTAGTGTCTCAGATTAAAGTCGCAGGTAGTCTAAATCCTCTGCGCATTAATTCACACCATAAACTCCATAATTATAAATTTAATTAGGCAGACGCGTTAATAGTGCAATTGCATGACAATTTCATTTTTTTTCACCGCCTCTCTTTCGCTTTCATGGAAGTGAGACATCAAAAGAGGCAATTAGCAAATGACAGTGATTTCACGAGACTGTGAATTAAATGAATGAAAATTAAATTCATACGCGTGTAATGCTTAAAGAATTACATCTTCGCAGGGACATCTCGCTCTCTGCTGCCAGTCTAGCTTCTTGCATTGCCAGCTTAAGGCGATTCCACATTCCTCCAGCTCAAAAGGAGAATGTCAAATAAATAATTCATTGGGATCAGAAAGCGTCAATAGCAAAGAGTTTGATGCACTATTAGGAATGTAAACTTCCAAATAAGATCCTCCGAGAGTCGATTGATGGACAAAGTGTGTATGTGTAAAAAGAGAATTGCTTCGATGTCACTATAAATGGCCAACAGAAATTGTTTATTATGCAATAAACGACTGCCGGAAGCCACAAATGGGACAAAAGAACGGCTGATTCTTCTTTTGGACGCAAACACACATTTCTTCTTGATGTCGATGGTAAATCACACATTTTTTCCACCCAAAATCATTCAACCCAATTCAAGTGTCAATTGATGTTCAATTGAATAACACACGAAAGTTTCACGCGTGAAATATCATCACGTACGCAATATTGTTGTGTTTCAACATTCTTTTATCTCTCTATATCATGTGTAAAACTATCACGTGACAATTGAGAAGATTTCAAGTGTTTCTTTCATTGCTCAAAGGGAAATAAGAACGCAGGAAAAACAGTTAAACAATATTAGGGTCAAACACCAAATAATTTTCTTCACTCTGCGTATACAACAAAATCCGATGCCCCAAAAGAAGTTAGTCAATAAAACGTGTGTATCAAAACTAATTGGTGAAAAATTCAAGTGAAAAAGACGCACTGCAAGCATGCACAGCAAAAAAAACAGCAATAAAAGTTTATTAAATACTTACAGCTACAATTTCCAGGCAGTTTTCAGTGATTTTTTTGAGAGAAGAAGCGAATGTTTTTTGTCGGAATGTGTTGAGTGTGTGTCATTGATGGAAATCAATTCAATCGATCGGGAAATAAAGAAGAAAGAAACAAATCATATAATGTAGAAATGTAGAGAAAAAATATATAGTAACGATAGAAATCTGTAATGAACACTTAATTCTCTCTATCGAGAGAATTTTAACAACTCTTTGGCTTTTACTGCACCGAAAAGAGCCCCAACTGTCCCACATTAGATGGTACAAATTGAATGATTTGTCGGAATAAGATAAAAAAGATTTTATCACTCTCACATTTTCACTCTTGTGCGCGGCCGTCATCTCCAATGAAGACTGTATTAGGGCCAAAAGCACGCGCTTTTCCCACTCGCTCGATCTCACTTTTTGCGCAATTTTCGCCGCTCAATTGCTTCTAATGGAGATCAAGTGAAAAAAATGTCATAATCTTCAGTAAGAACGAAACATAAAGAAGATCTTGCAACAATACATAAAATCCCCAAAAGGAATTTTTAACCCTTTAACTTGTGAGCTTCTTTCTCAAGTTTATAAAGAGAGGAAACTCTGTTCATGTCAACTTATAGAAATCTTAAAATTGGACAAATTTTGTCCCACCAAAAAAAATTTATGATGAGAAAATCTTGTGTCTTTTCTTATACAAAATCTAAAGAATTTTCTAGACTTTGCTCTCGTAAAAGGGTTAATGTCTCAGCTTGAGTTTAGTTGTTCTTCACAATTTAATTCAACCAGCATCGAAACTCGATCTCCGGAGGTCTTGAGAATCGTCAAAAACGATTCGATCTCAATGGATTTGTGATGGAAATCGGAGGAAATGAGAAAACATAAAAATGCCATTGCTTCTTGGGAAAAATGCATCGTCGAATGACAGGAGAATCGGCAGCAAAATGTCTGTGAAACTATCATTCGTGCTGGTCATTTGCCTATCGCGTGAAGAAGCTCTGCATGGAAATCTGATGTTTAATTTTCCCAAGTGACAGAGAAATTTTCTTCATCTGCCAACCTTTTATTGGCCTGTAATAGATGCAAATGGCAAAAGACATAAATAAAACTTCAACTTGGCGTGAAGTAATCTGCCACTTTGCATTGATTTATGCATCATTTTCATCCTCAAATTAATTTCACTGTGATAAACCGCCGAACATTCCCATACATTTTCCATCTATTAATTTCTCTCCCTGCGATTTGTATTCATGCTCTCGCATCGGGCGGTGCATTAGCCATTCGGCCCGAATATAAAATTGATATTTTACTGCCCTTGTATCAATTCTTTTGGGGTCATTTAACTTCCACGAAAACATTTAATCACTGCATTCCTCATTTTTCTGCCCTTATCAGAGCCAAGGCGCCAAATTAATTGTTAAACTTCTCTTTATCTGTGCCTTCAAGTCACTTACGAGATGCTGAAATGTCTTTCTTCGGCTCAATTTTCAATGTTATTTTATTTTCTGCCTTCACACTCATCTTGACGGCTTTTCTGTGTAAACAGAAAATGCACAAAATTCCCGACGATGAGCACAAAAACTGCCTTTTAAGCCACACACACAAAAACACTCTCGATTTTCTCACTCTCTATGTTGCACTGCAGCACAGAAAGAAGCATAAATAAACATCAATCAAATTGAGAGTGGAAATGATAAATTGCAGCACATTAGAGACTCAACACATTGATTAGCATTTCAATTATAATATCTATGCATTGGAGCGTGAAAATTGCATAAATCACTCAATTTTCCCTTCCTCGTGATGCGCTTCACAACAGCGAAAAAGCACACTTTTGTCCTCACTCTGCGAACGCTTCGGCCAAACTGACTGGAATTACATCGCTTCGCGAGACATTTATTTAATATTTAATAATAAAAATGCATTTTCTCTCTCTCTCCCTCTTTCTCGGCACTTTTCCCACTCTTTCGCCTCGCACTTTTTCTCCCGCCCAGCGCTGGAAGAAATGAGGTCTCAATCTCATATAAGGCACTCTCGGGTGCCTTTTAATGGGGGAAGAAGAAGAGCTGAGGCTATTTGGCGGCCGCGGCACGTCTTCATTGTTTCACCAACACTCGCACTTTGTGGCCAGAGTGAAAGAATAGAGAGAGAAACATACGCTAAATTGAACTAATGGACAGTTTTGAGGATCTCCCTTCCCTTCGCATGTCAATCTTCCAAATGGAATTAAGCGGCTCATTTTTCTATGCTCATCCATTTGAGAGAGAGAAAAAAATCCTCCCACAGACAATTGTCGCCAATTAGATGCTCGGCAGTGATTTATTTAACCCAGCAAAGCGTCACTTTTTCCTGCAATTATCCATCAACCAACATTTTGTGTTTGTGCAGAGAAAGCATGATGAAAACGACATTTTTTGCACATTCATTGTAAATCTTTACATAATTTTCACTTAAGTACTGAATACTTGGAAACTCTATTTCCTTACTGGGTCAGCGTCAAGCTTTAATTCCAATTTACTTGCGATGCTAAAGACTTAACTTTCCTTCGTTGCTTAAAAGCAAATTGACCATTATTTTCACGCTGAGTTTAGCAGTGTATTTTTTAGTGTTTACATTTTCAACGATTAAATCATTTGATGGATTTGTTTGCCTTCAAATTGGACTTATTAGTCACATCGCCACTGTAAGTTTATGTGAAAGAATTTGTTGAGTTCGCATTGAAAAACATAAAATACATTTAAAAAAAATGAGTCTTTTCAGCATGATCTGCACACTATTTGCCAGAGACACGAAAAATATTTACACTATCTTTTAGGTTTTCTGGGTTTCTCCTTCGTTTATCCCCCAGGATGAAATGCCTCAATTTATTTCACTTCTTTCTCAGCTTCCCTCGGCATCGGCATCTTCAAATTCACATAAAATTACGAGAAAATGTGTTTATTGAATTCCTTGGGCTCTATTTGGGCGTGTTTTCTATTTTCAACTCTCGCGCCACACTTTTCCCCCGGAGTAAAAGATGTTTAGCGGATGGAAAATGTAGCATGTGATGGAAAATGCATGTAATTCGACTCTTGAATTTATTTCTGGGGAAATTGCTCTCAGCAATTCAATATACATCGGATGCAAATTTACAGTCTAGACCAATTCTCGCGAATTTATGACTGTTTATGCTGTTTATTAATGGGAAATCTGCGCCAGTTTAGCGAATATGGAAAATCTCAGCAATCTCTTTCGATCGCGACACACTCACAATACTAATTGATGATCTGACATTGCAATGAAATAAATTAATCTGCCTCATTCGCGCATGAAGTCGACTTTTTTTATCCTTTTTCTGCCTCTTCGTCAGACTTGTCTGTGATATTTTCTCCACCAAAATCGCACGCAGGAAAAGCCAACTTTTCGCCCTTTGTGAATGCTTTTTTTCTCTGTCGTCTGACGGCATTATGATGGGGCGAGACACGCCAGAGATTAACATTTTAAATATAGCCCCATTTCAGAGGCCTGCAAACAGGAAAAAAAAGTCGGAAGTGGAGCTGGAATACCAAGCATTCCTCAGTGACGCATTCGCGAGAAATGAAAAATTACAAGACGCGCCTTTGTTTGCTGCATTTCATGATCACATTGCGAGATATGTGAAGCTCTTGACCATTTGCCTCTGGGGGAATTCAAGTCGTGAGTAATTTTTCTCAGGCATTATTCCCTGAACGCAAGTTTTAGGGCCCCTCAAATTTGCAGAGATGAAAACATAAACAAAGCCTCCACATAACCTCAAATGTATTGTTTTCTTCAACCATCGCAAAATCGTGGGCAAAGCGGACAAAAGACGCCGTTGCGTAACTCAATGAGTAAATTAGCATGGAAAGTATGTGTCGTTTGGCATCCACCGGCGTTTTATCGCAAGAAAAAACGACCGAGAAGACGGACAATGGAGCAAGTATAGTTTCAAGGTAAACAACTAAGATGCGCCGCGACTCGTCACATCTTATTTACTCACTTGAGCGACTCATATCCAGCACTATTCCAGTCAAGCAAACACGCAGCACACTATATACAGCAAAATGTGACGATAGACGATGGGTTTTTTGGGGAAAACAGCCACTAAACGTGAGACTACGAGAAAATCACAAAAATTGGCGTCCAGTGAAAAAACAACTGTGCCGCGGAATTCCGCGAGAGGCGCTTCAAGTCATCCACGGCTGGCAATTCCGATCTCCGGAAAAGTGACAGCCAATCGAGTGCAAAAAAATATTCCTGAAGGAAAACTCGTGAAAATTCACAGTTTCAGTGCGATTTTCCCACAATGGCTAGTCTCCTGAGAACTATCTCTCGTCAGAGCTCTGCGCAGTGGTAAAATTCCTTGCAATTGTCCAGAGTTTCTCTTGTTTTTAGAGATTGTTTATATTCGTGCTCGTGTTATGTCATCAAAACAACCTGGAATTTTACAAATTTTCCGCTTTTCTAGGGCCCGGCAGATTTCCTCGTCATCTGTGAATCGCTCTGATGACGTTTCAAAGGCGCTGAAGTATAAAGAAGCCCCCAAACTGGATGCTAATGTGGCTTTGACGAAGCCCGATGATCAAGCTCACAAAATCAAGCTCGCCGGAGTCATTGAAGTCCCGTCAAAGGTAGAAGTTGTGAGTTAGATATGTTTTCCTCCTTTTCACGCTGTGCACACTTCAGGTTGATGTCAGTCCGATCACGGGCGTGCCTGAGGAACACGTGAAGACCCGCCGCGTGAGGATTTACGTGCCTCCGAAGAATGCCATGCAGAGCGGCACAAATAACATCCAGAACTGGGAAATGGAGTTCGACACCCGCGAGAGATGGGAAAATCCGCTCATGGGATGGTCTTCAAGGTGAGTTGTAGTGATATTTTACTTGTCCAAGAACTAAAGATCCTCTTGTCCTTCCAGCGGTGATCCTCTGTCCAACATGAAGCTGCAGTTCAACTCTAAAGACGAGGCGATTGAGCACTGCGAGAAGAATGGCTTGCGCTGGTTTGTGGATGGCGAGGAGCGCGAGAAGCCGAAGAGAGTGAAGAATTACGGTAGCAATTTCTCCTGGAACAAGCGCACGCGAGTGTCAACCAAGTAAACTGAGGAGCGGACGATGTTGAACCATCATCCATAGATTTTTGTTTCAAATAAAATCATTACTGAAAATTATTGCCAACGGTTTTTGAAGTACAAAAGGCGAAGTGGTGAGTTTCGGGTTGGCAGCAGTGGACGTCAGCTTCCGAATAAACAAAGTCTGCCCTCACACAGAGAAATAAAACACAGAAAATAGCAAAATATCTCTCTGTGAAAACACGAAATAATTGTGTGGCGTGTGTAGCTGGTGGGATGGCCAGTAGTACTTCTCGGGATGGCTGAGCAGTGACAGTGTGTGCGATAGCCATTGAGGTGAGAGTGATTTTCCCGCAGATGCACGCATTTCAGTGGATTTCCCGAGTGCAAAAGAGAAACCACAGCATTTCTCAGCCTTCCCACTAATTTCCCCTGAGCCGCACCACAACAGTGGACACCAGGAGCCCTGTGGAAGCCCAGAAAGTGTAATTTACGAGCCGGATAAGGCCAGGCATAGTGCAGAAATCCGCGAACAATTGACAGTGAGCGGGGTTTTCCGCGTCTCAAAAGGAGTGTGCTTCGCGCGAAGGGGGCTCACCTGCGCCCGCGTTGACGATCTATTTCTGGCACTTGCAACCCATTTTCTCCACCAAAGCACTTGGGCATGAGGAGCAGCATCGTCGGTCCACTGCGGATTACATAAAGCGCCAATCGATGCGGAATCAATAGAGCACACAATCCACTCTCAGGTGAGTCTTCCGGGTGATTTTTCCGCTAGAATCCCGAGATGCGCCCCTCGTCTAATGTTGACGCGTGACCTTTTGGAAAATCCCACGACTTTCTGTCACTCTTTTTGCTCGCCAATCCTCGCAAACGGAGTCTTTTTTCCACACTCAATACTCTCATGTTTCGCAGAAAGAGGCAGCAAAGTCGCCAAATATTTGACGGAAGTGAGTTTATCGGGTTCAAAGTATACACACACTTTTGTCGCCACGGGCAAGAAAACATGCAAATTGGAGGCTCCGCACAAAATCCACCGGCGAGAGTTTTTGAGGTGTGGAGCCGTAAAATGTGGGACAATTCAGCTTTGTCAATTGTTTGAGCACTTTTGGCGTGTGGAAATTTTCCCCGTAAACAGCGCACAGAGCATGTCAAGATCTCTCAAGTCTCTGAGTCGGGATTACAGGTGCAAATTTGACGCCCAAGTGCACTGGAACACACTCTTATCTCTGCCTGAGTGTGCTTGGAAGATTTATCAATAGGGCATTGAAAAGACAGTGACGTAATGATCACGAAACAAATTTCAATTGCTTTCTGAACTCATTCAAAAGAATTCTGCACGATTGACTGCTTTGAGAGGCTCAATAAAATCACAGTTGTAGAAAACCTGGCGCGACGATCAAGAACCCTCGATTGTGATACGTATGGCTCAACGCTAGGTGTCACCACTGAACAAGGATTTCTTTTATGTCCCTCCCTTTGAGAGTTTCTAACTTCCCTTAGAATTCGACTGGGCAATAAAGTTCTTTAGATCGTATTATCTTTTGAGTGCCCAAAACTTGTTCTTTGGATCACTTATGGCCTCATTCAATTAATATTTATTTCCGAAATACTGGTTTTAATCACTTTTCCTTCAAATCACATGTTTTTAAAACTGAAAACCCCATAAATTGTAGCTCAACACAGCCTCAAAATGTTTTTTAATCAATTTTTTACATTTCGCACTACCTTGAAAAGTAATTAGAATGAGAAAAAGATAAAATTTTCCGGTTTCCTGAGATTGCGCCACTGTGTGAATTACTGGAAAGTTAGAAAAATGAATGTGTAGTTGTGTAATTTGTAGAATTATGTTGAAAAATTCAGTTTTCTTTTGCCTCCTAATGTGCTCATTACTTTTCCACTTCTCCAGTGAATTAAATTACATTTAATTAATGTGCCTTACTCGCTTTGTGGCGAGTAACATTTCTTTGCAAATGCTCTCAAACCATGTTTCAGTTCTTTTCTTATCACTCGAGCTGTGTTTAGTGCGTCTCATTTCCTCTCTGGTCGCCACACAACTTATGATTTGGCACTTTCCTTCACGCTTTCGGTTTCTTTAATTGTATTTTAAATAATAATATTGCTCAATTGAATGGGTCAAGGTAACTTCGTGGAGTGCTCAAACAGAAAGAACTATTTATCAATCAACAAACATGGAACGGCGATAAATGGTTTTGGAAACAGAGAGAAATGCTAGTAAATTTTGGAGTTCAGTTAATTTACATATTGAATCAACAGCTTGAGCAAATATTTGTATACTTTCTCCAATAGCGGCGATGTTAATTATCCACAACATTGAGCAACTCAGGTATTGATGAATGAAGAAAAAAAAAGCGCACAGCGAACACTGACCCAATAAACTTGCAATTATTGTCGTGCAATTTAATGGCTCATAAATTCATTGTAAAGAGCCGCAATGACTTTTTACAATATTTTAACGTTACTTTAATTGGCGGAACTTCACGAGTTTTGTTTTGGACATAAAATTTTCCTCACCGCAGCGAAATTTTATTGAATGCCTAATCAGTGAAAGAAAGACATTTTGCTCAGGGCAATTACTCACCCGTAAATTCGGCCCTTTTGGCAAGTGCTTAAGAACGCGTTCTCTTCGCCTTTTTATCGCCCTTCTGGGGCGATGTTGTTGGAGCACTTCAGCAGCATGTTTAACATTGTGTTTAACTGTGGTTTTCCTTATCGGTTGCGTCGATAAGCGAACACAATTCGTCACCCTGCCAATATATTCGGAGTAAATATTTAATTAATGGTCGCCATCGAGATCAGCCAGAAGTTGGCTTTCTGCAACCAGACGCAATTTGCTGACAAACATAAGTATTTGGAGCGAGAGTGGATTGGCAAACACCTGACGCGATGCGTGACTAATTGGTATTGACGGAAATCGATTATGTGCATCCCACCTGAGATGGAATGCGATTGGCGTCGTGATTCTCCAGAAAGCGCTCTCTCAAGGCATCTTTTGTTCTACTAGGCAAATTGTTGGCCAGATAAACAATGGCGCTAATATTGTGTCGTTATATTGAACAATTATAATACTGCAAATTCGATAAGATATGATCGTAAACTTGTATTCAATTCATTAAATCTAAAATTTTCGTGTTTGCCATCTATAAATGGAAAGTAATTGAGTGAGAAGCACGTGTTTTGGCAAATTTCGGCGAATCTCTTCGGCATACAGAAGCTCATTAAAAATCAAATTCCCAGCCAAAGTGTAAACAAGCATTTTGTCTCACTTGGAGGCGTTCTGGTGACACAACACTTGTCCATCGTCGTGCCGAAAATAAAACCATCTTCTTGTTGAGCGTCAGTCGGCGAATTTCGTGGGATTTTCCTCAATCAAATTTTCCGCTCTTCGCCTCTTTTGATGCCTCTCGCGCGCGCAATGGGAAAAGTGTGTCAATGGAGGTGGAATTTTGAGTGCGTGTGTGTATTTTTATGCTTTTTTTCGGGTGTGAAGGAGAAAGTCAAACTTTTCGTTTGTCTTTTATTGCACTTTGATGACTTGGAGGAGTTGAGGAATTGTGTGTGGCTGATGGCGAAATGAAGTGAAGAGTTTTGGGTGGAAGAAGAGGTATTTTGTTCCCACTCGTCAAAGATGGATTCATCAATAGAATTGCTTGACATGAAAAGCGAGAGAAGAGAGAAAAGTGTGTGATTCTTATCACTGTGTGCTTTTTTGTCAAAAGTCTCCTCTTATCTCTGGAGTTTTGAACGTGAAACTGCTCGTGTTTTTTACTAGCGATTGATTGAAATCATTTGTGGGTGGGTTTTTGGGTGGTAAAATCATCATCCAAACTCTTGGCATTTTTCAGGGTAAATCGCGCTTGTGATAAGAGGACTCTTTTACGATCGCAGCGTGCTGAAGCGCGAAGAGTGCGTTTAATTTGCCATGCGAATGGATTCCAATAGAAGCTGCTATTCATCAATTGGGTCAGGTCAAACGAGATGATTAATGGCAATTATTGGCATATTGTGCAATATGCTAAATGCTGTGTTAATTCTCGCTCTTGACTGTGACTGAGTGCTTAAGCGCTTGAAGAGTGTGGGTGTTGAAAGTGAGTGAAGTGCCACATTTTCGACAGTGGCATTCATTCGGAATTCATTGCGCTTGAAATCGGAAGTGCTTCTTCTTAACATCTTTCTGTGCGAATGCATTCATTTCAGTCACTTAAAATACTCCAAAATCATTAATTTTGTTCAATTTCACCCAATTCTTCATATATGATTTGGGAAATCCATGAAAATATCGATGAGTTTGTTATCAAAATGTGTATTTTTATCAGGTAAAGAGGCATTAAACGCTATCGGAAAAATATAAGCTTCCATTCGCGCTGTAATAACGAACTCCTTGAGAACAAATACACATTTTATCGTGACAAAATTGTAATTTTTAGATCTAAATGGACTATCTATCATATTGCTACACCTTTATTTTATATCGGCGATAAAGTAATTAGTAAACTGTCTGCGATATTTTATTACTCCATTGCCTCTGAGTGATAAATTTATGGAATTTTCTGCTCTTTTTCATTCATTCGATGGGAAAAATATTTGCTAATATTTCACATTATATATATTGATCTGCAAATGAACACGCGAAGAAAGTTAAGAAATCCAACAGCAATTGCCGAGATGATGGAGTAATGAGTGACGCAAATATGCGAAGAAAAGAGCAACACAAGTCATTGAGATGTGAAAAAGAAAGACTTCTTGAGACTCGGCAGTGCATTCATTTGGAAATTATTTTAACTGTTTTCCTCTTCAATTCCACTATAGCAAATAAACTAAATAAACTGTTCTCTTGTTGGTTCTCGTGCACAAGAATGGCGAGTTGAATCGACGTTTGCGTCACTGAACTCTTTATTTCGTGCAATTAATATTCACTTTTTTGTCCCGAACGCGTGTAAATTGTGAGAAAGGTTCAGTGACATTATTAATTTTGCGGCTGAAGAGCCGACTTTGGGCGGGACGAATGAAAGAAAAGTCTCCATGGCAATTTTCAGTGTTGATCTATTTGAGTTACATCATGTCTTTTTTTTCATCTGGTACAAGAATCGGCTTTTATACACAAATTGTCACTTTATACACAATGTTTACTTCTCTAGGGATTTACGCACTACACAATATTTTTACTCTTTTTTCTCTATTTCTGGTGTATTTTTCTGTATATTTGTTATTAGAAATTCTATAGAGCACGTTTGATATGCACTTTGATAGAAGCAAGCTAAAGAATGTGTCTCTATAATTTGCCTTCTATTTCACCAAATTCTTTGGAAATTGATCAATGCGTGTTTTGTGTCGTTTATCTCTCATTTCGTATGTCTCTCTTCTCTTGCGAAAATTGAGTGTTGGAGGATGTGCGAAATGGGTGGGCAAAGTGCTATGGAATCTTCACTGCAGCATCGCCGTTTCTTCATGCCATTTCCATGTCTCATTATCAGCCAATTTCTTCCAGTTTTCGTTCACATATGTCGGAAAATGTCTCTTTTTACTTGTGTGACAGCGATTTGAGAATTTGCTGTTTTCCCAGCAGTGTTTTTATTATTTATCGCCCTTTAAAATTCCTGGCTGTTCATTTGGATAAAATGACTTAGAATTGAGAGTGCCAAATTGCTACTCAGGATTGGCTAAATGCATTCTATATTCTAATGCTTGGTATTGGTGTGTGTGTGTGTTGGAGTGCGCCCTGTAGGATTACATATAAACTTAAGACTACGTTTCGAAATCACGTGTTTCCGTTGCTCCTCCTCGCCAGAGTGCTTTTCCTTGCCTCGCCGCGCTCTTCCTACTAAACGTATCCGCTAGATTCCAGCCGTATGGCTGCCTCGTAGGTCGGCAATCCTGTCTTATCGATTATCTGGCTGATGTCAATGCGAACGAGTCCATTCTCATTGAGGCTCTCGAAGTCAATTGGTCCGGGATTTTGGTTCATATCACCATCACTTGCCATCTCCGTGTTGTTGTTGTTGCTGCAACAGCAGCGCTGCGATGCTGACGACGTGGACGGCAGACAATTATTGTTTCTCGTGCAGCTGCACTCTGTGTCACTCTCGTGGCACACAATGTTCCCGTTCGCCTCGGCGGGCGAGTGGGCGACAGGGTGGTGGTTGTCTTCGTCTTCTGGTGTTGTGCCGCAACTCCAGTCCATCGCCTCTCCGCTGGGATTCATGTTGTCCATCTGTTGGCACTGACATGGCGACGGGAGGGTCAATTTGCCGGTGACAATGTGGCGCGGGGAGAGAATTTGCTCCTCAACTTTGGCCGTGTCGCTGGAATTGCCGCCCGCGGCCTCTTCTGCGTCGCACTTGAGCTGGGCATACTCCGGGCACTTGGTGGTCTCCGCCTCGAGCAGCATGAAGGGACAGAAGTGGCCGGGATGGCTCTGGCTGTGGCGCATCGCTCGGGCGGGCTTGAAGGCGCTGGGATGTCGAGCTGCCATCTCGTCAAGGGCCACAACTTGCTCGTAAGACGGCGGAGGACCGTGACCGGGCAGCGCAACTCCTTCCGGCGTGTCCACATAAATGCCCGATGTATCGTAACACTGCAAGAGAAGGACATTCAGTCAATTCAATTTGCTGACAGAGTTGGAAATGTTCTGGTTTTGTGAGATTTTACAGTTTGGGGGTTGAATTTTGGACAATATATATGTTTTTTATTTAGGTATCTTGATTTTCGTGATATAAATACACACTTTATTGATGTCTTAATTGAATATTCTAGGACAACAAGCGTGATTCCTTCTATCGTTTTCAATTTTAAGATAAATTTGGAGACATTTTCCAGGCTATCATGTGTTACGACTAATCAACAGACATTAGGTGAAATTTTGCAATAAAAAAATGTTCTAATCAATCTCAATCCACAGATTTACAGCTCTGTGTCGCATCAATTTTCATATCGTCGCAGTGCGAGGATGAAAAAGTATATTTTAGCAATTTTATATGCTAATAAAATCGATGATATTTCCTATGCGAAAAATTGCAATTTGCGATCAATAATTCTCCTCTTTATATGCGAATGCATAATGCGGTTAGGGCGCGTGTTTATGTGTGTCTGAACGTTTAGAGAGAGAAGCGAGTTTGAGGCGAAATGAAATAATAAAATGCAAGAATGAGAAGCAGCGCAAGGAGAAAGCTCTAAATATTTTATAGATGTTCCATCAATCCTTTTTCGCGTGTGTCTCGCATTTCTGCCATCGCGAAGACTTCGCCAACGATTGGAATGTCACAATCTGGGAATATGAACAAGTGTTGCACAACTATTTTTTTTCGTGACGGTGCTTGGAAAAATGGAGAGCGTGGGAAAATGAAGGAGGTTTTGGGCTCGGAGAATCCTTGATAGTAATTTTCAAATGGTTTCTTCCAACGTATCGATTTATGGCATTTTGATTGTGGTGCAGATCGGAAAACTTGCTCAAATATCGTCTCATATCTGCTAATGCTTATGTGAATTTTCCTTCTTTTTATGATTATTTTATGATTACGTATGTTTCTCCATAGCTATGCTGAGAATATTGTGTTTATATTTATTCCATCGGCGGGAAGAAGCAATGTTAGCATTTGAGTGAAATACGAGATGGTGAATTCTTCTCGATTTAACCGAAAAGCTGATTGGAAATTTATACAGGAGACTTTCCCGATGCGCGGAAATGAATGATGAGAGAGAGAGAGAGAGTGAGGTGGAAATTCAAGAAAGGGGAGAAAAGAATACTTTGTGTTGGATAAGAATTGATTTCTTCTTCCCTGTGCCAAAGAAGGGTTTTCATCAGTTTTCACATAAGCGGATTTAAGGGTTTTCCTCGACTGTTGGCGCATGATGTCGTCATCATTGCACAACGCGCGCGTATTCATGAAATTCACTTTAATTTTCCTCTAATTCCTTCCACTTGTCTTTCTCGAAATCCACCAAAGGAAGGAGCTCTTTCGCATTTCATTCGCTCTTTCTGCCTCAATGGCTTGTGTGTCGTCTCATGAATTGACTTTGGAGTTTACTTTGAGATTAATGATTGTTCCAATTCCTTACACAGAAAACCGCCCCTTATACACTTTCCACTTCATTTCACGTCTTTTCGCCCCACAGTAATCTCTTGTGTTGCGAATTCGATGAGATGTCACATATTGACTCCTCTCGTCTGAAATATATACTCCAAAAGACACACACACACACAGCATAAGCGTGTGGAGCGGAGAGATTATGGAAATTGAAGGTTCTCAACTTCCTTGAAATTTATTTATAAAGTATAATCTTTGGGGATTCTTCAAATTGTGCAAGAAATGATTTATTAATGAAAATATTCATGATTTTGCCTTCTGAATCGTATGTTTATTCTAATACTGTTGTTATTTCAATGGAAATGATAATGTTTTTAATGGAGTTGTTTAATTTGGCATTTTCTATTACATCGTGAAATGAACTGAAATTGAGGACAGTTGAAATGATCTCTGATCACAATGTTACCCAATTAAGCACAATTCGATTGTATTTCTTCCACAACAAACTAATTTTTAAACCTCATTTCCAATTTTGTATCAAAGTATATGCATTTACTCCTGGGATGGCATTTTAGAATGAAAATTTTCGCAAAATTTCAACACTCCTAACATTCTCACTGGTGGAAAACACGACAAGTGAGAGAATTGCAGAGGATGAACGACAAACAAAAACTGAATGAACTTCCTGATGAACACCACTCGAGTAATGGCTCAGGGCAATTTGCCCCAGTGAAACTATTTGAGAACTCTTAAAGTTTCCCCGGAAGACTGAGAGAGAGAGAGGAAAAGCTGGGAATCTCGGAGATTGTCATATTGTGGAGCGATTATCGGCGGTCTTTGGAGTGAAAAATCCAAATTGCAGGCAATTTGCGGGAAAAAGTCCGCCCAATTAGAGATACACAGTGGAAAATGTGATCAATGTCTTGATGGTGATTGATTCTGGCTGTGCAGAGAGTGTGAGATGGATTTGACGTCAACTTCCGATGGACGATAATTCCATTTGCCACGGAGTTCTTTTGGAATGGCGAATAATTTAATAGATACCGAATGGTGTGCGCGGGGTTTGAGAGAGCGAAGCGACAAAGTGTAGGTTAATTAAATTGCACTATGTGCAAGGTGACTAATGGAAAAAGTGAGTCACATTATATAGAGACGAGGATGGTTCGATTCGCACAAAAAATTCGTTGAGATAATAATCTTTGAATTACGAGATAATCATTAAGAGTGGCAATAAGCGAAACCTTGATTAAGCGATTTGACGTGAAAATTGTGAGGTGTGTAAGAGAGCTTCAAGGGAAAAGTCTCAATTGCAGGTTCTAATTGTCTGTATTCATGCAATTGAATGGCAAAATTGCAGGCGGTTTTGTGTGTCTCTGTGCGGTTGCGGGGATGTTTTAGCCACGACGAAGAGAGGGTGGCGAAAGCTTCGGTTAGGCGGGAACTATTAACCTTGATGCTTGAGTGCAAATCGCGCCTCGGTGAACCACCGCTGATTGCCCTTCCCGTCCGGAAGTGGCTTTTGATTGTGTCACTGCGACCCGAGTCAAATGCACACAATTGCTGTGACTCTCCGCTTGAGTTCATGCAACTCCAGGGGAGATGCAAATTGGCAAAGGTCGTCGCTTTATTGTGACGACAAGTCTTCCAAGAGGAACTGCGATGCATGCGTAAATGATTAGAAGCAAGAGTAACATGATAATCTTGCTCTTGAACACCAGTTGCGTGGGAGACAGTCGTTGATTCGCCACGCCAACTTTAAATTAGACGCTAAGAGTGGTATTTATGACTAATTAATATCTGATTACGACATTCATTAACTGATCTATTCACATGATTCACACACAAGAGATTTGCATATGTGGACAAAAGAACATTGTTGTACCGAAATAAGTGACACTGAATGAGGGGAATTTTTCGGGACAAATAAATTGATGGTAATCTTTAAAAGACCACCCACTCTCTCAACTCATATATACAGATGGGTTTTGGGATCGTCAGCGTCCTCAACTATGTGCCAATTACTTTCAAACTTCATCTCGTGAACGATGGCATGTAGATTCCTTGTATTTAATAACTTGTCCCATTTCCATTAACGACCGTGTCACTTTCATTAAATTAATGGCTGAAAACGGACGCCTTCAATCGTGTTAGATTCAAGGGTTGATTCCACGCGAGCCACTCTTTTCGGAATGCTGCTGACGAGGTAGGCAAAAGATGATGAAGATGTGAGGCCGTGCTGAAGGTTATTGGGTGATAATTGAAATGGAGAATGCCGGAGAAACTCTTTTCTGCCAATCGCTTGACGATTTCCTTTCAATTTCACTTTCATCAAAATATTAGCATTTTGCTAATATTTCGTTCGTGCTTTGTCTCAATACAGAAAATGGAAAGTGTTGTATTTTTGTTAATGTGCTGTAAATGTGAAAATTGTATGATACAAATCATTGCTAATCAGCAAACAATGCAACATTACATTAATGTCTTGTTAGATATAAGATGCAAAATTTTGTGTTTTAAGAATGAGACAAGGAAGGGTGACGAAAGTTTAACCACTTTCATTATAGATGAAATGCTTAAACTAAATCAAGTGGTTTGAAAATAAGTAAATTTGTGCTATTGTGATTCCTAAAGCGTCACTGAATTGATTTGCAAAGGTGTCTCTTGATGGACAGATGTTGTCAGCTGAGGAAATTGCAATAGTACTATTTTTGGTACTTCAATCGCTGACCTCATTTCACCACATTTTCTTCCTCTCAACTTATCAAAGAGTGTAGAACGTATGAAAAAAGTTGTGTCCTAACTAACAATTTCTGCGCTCGCCAAATTATCCATCCTCTTTATCTGGGTGGTGTAAATCTTCTTATTTATTAACTCGGCTCTCAGTAGCACGCATTCGTTTGAATTTGGCCCGAAAAGTGGCGCGGTGAAATGGGGTGAAGCAAAATGACTTATATGTGTCTTACCATATAAGATAAATTTTACTCAGCTTCACCCTGTTGATGGGAGGAAAATGAGGGAAAATGACGACAGGGTTTTTCACACTCACAGAGAGGAGGCAATGAATGAATTTTTGGCCATGGTGTTGACTTGGAGTGGTTAGAACAACACATGCCGAAATGGGGGTGAGTTTTTCGGGCGCCTTGACGCAGTAACGTTTTTATTTTTATTATTTCCACTTTTCTCGGGCTTTGCGCCCAAACCACCTACATTTTTCCGCCCACCCTCTCGCACTACCCGGTCGGTAGTAAGTGGGTGGGCGGCGAGAGACACGCGGAGGGGGTGAAAAAAAAAACAGCACGCATGTTTGAGTAAAATATAATTTCGTGCAGAAGAAAATTGAATCGATTTTCAGACCGTGAAATTAGTCATTGAGACGGGCTTTTTGCACACTCAAACCCATGCCCCGTTCGTTGTGTCTTTTTTCTGCTTCCTCACAGCTCAAATCACCCCCTATGTTTTGTGGACGTAAACGGCTCTTGGGGTGCGGAGAAAGATCACACTTTTTGATTCAATTACTTTCGTCAGGAGCGCCAGCAGCTTCTCTGCTTCCGTTCGGAATAAATGAAAATGCTTTGCAGAGCGATGTGTGTGTGTGTCTCTCGTGCACGAGGAAGGCCAAAGTGTAAATTTCACACCCTCAGAGGGATGGTGTGGGGCGAAAGTGCTTTGATTGGAAAAATTTAATTTCGTCTCACTCAGCACATTGCGACACTCATACTATTAATTTCGAAATGATGATTTGCGTTTATAATTCCAGCGTAATTTGTCATATTTCATATTTTTCCGCACCCCGCGGCCTTTGGGGGTGGCGAAAAAACGGCACTGTGCCCCAAGTTTTTCACACCCACAAGTGGTCGCGAGACATGATGATTCCTGCGGCCGGAATTGGATTATTTTTTCCGTGGTAACCCCGTAAAGTGTCACGTGCTTGTCATTTGTGATAAATTCTTGCGAACACCACCCTCGAAATAGCGTCGCACTTTCACTTCCACCGGGCGCTTTTTTGGGGGGTGAGAAAAAAGCCCGGTGACCTAGAAATGGTGGGCTCTCGAGACATTTCGATGCAAGAGGACACGTACTCGATAGTTTTTCATTTACAACCACTCTCGATCCGTTCGTCGTTAATCCGTGTGTGTATTTTGGGGCGACTCGATTGCAGCCTAATTTTAGACAGCGTCGTGACGTGAGGAAGCGTAGATTGTGCGGAACTTTATTGCCTATGCATTACTGACACGTTTTATTGTTGTAAGAAAGTGACAATAAAGCGGGGAAAAAGAGTGGAAACACGCAATTAGAGTGGTTTTAGTCATGTGGAATTGGGAGAAATAATGAAATGTTGGTTTGCAAATATTATTTTAGGTTTGCTAAATATTCTAACTAATATGAGAATTGACGTTCATTTTATTTGAAAGTACTTCTTTATAATTCCATAACTTTTAACTTGTCAATTTACTTTACTATGGAAAATTATAAGAAAAATAGAGTAAACTTGTATGTTTTATACAAACTTTCATTTAAACTAATTGAATATCTTTTTTGTCAAATAGTTTAAGTTTTGAGTCTACTATAATTTTTAGTCATTAGAGAATTTCTGTATCTAGAAATCATTTCAATTTGTATTTTTAGCTTCAAGCACAATTTTATTGAACAAACTTTTAAAACTCTATTTAAAAATGAAAACTCTGACACTTGAATTCAAGATGTTGTGTCTGAATATTTTTCTAACTTTTCATAAACAATTTTGAAACTATTTTAATCCCGTGATTATTTACAAATTCACTGTATTTTTGTTTGACAACACGCCGTCAATTCACTACATATGTTTCCACACTAGAAGAGGACCTCTTTAGTGTTTACTTTCCATATCGTAATAGGTCGTTATCTTGTAGAAGATAAAAATAGTCCATCTATTTTCATCGTGTATTTGTGGAGTCGTAATCTCCGATTATTTTCTTTCACTTCCACAAATAATCTCTTAGAGAGAGATGCTTAATCTACACCAATAAATCATTACTGTTGAGCGTGTCAGCGATGGCGTGAAGAATTACCATGGAGGTTTAGAGCGAAAAGCTCCGAAAAATGTTCAGTTTCCCGACAAATTTGACCTTCTTTCGGGCCGAAGTCACCCTCTTGCGCGCCTGTTTTGTGTGCGAAATGTCAGGCCGTTCCGCTTGGCACGGTGATAATACTTGGTGTACTTTCCGGCTAATATGGCAGGACGTCGGGAGAAATTATTGTGGGGCGCGCTATCGTGCGGGCGCCCGTCAGACCCCAAGACTGCTGGAGACAGTCCGGGATTTTGGCGTTATTAATGCGCTCTGGGTGTGGGTTTTGCGTGGGTGGCTTTGGAAAGAGATTCACAGTCAATGGAGAGCTGAGTATGAATTTTTCTATGTGTGTGTGTGTGTGTGTGTTGAAATTGGCGAAATTGAAGTATATTTTCATGTTTGACGATGCCATTGAAACCATAAATCATGTCCTGCATTGAATATAATATCCAAAGAAATGGAGTCTTATTGGCTAAACTATTGGACACTCTTTCGAATGTCGCAGACAATAAAAATGATGGAGAAATGCGATACGCGGGAGATTTTCGAATAAAATCGTGGGTGTGGGAATAAAATGTAATATTCATGTACCTGCTCGACGCTATAAATTTCCATATTGGTGTCAGTCTCGAGCCATCGTTGACGATATGTGGATGTGGATCGCTTCTTAATGGTGCGATGACAGCAGTAACATACAAAACACACCACTGTTATCACCACGGACAACATTGCTCTGCGAAGAGAAACATGGAGAGTTAATCAAATGCACTGCATAGTCATTGGGGATGAATGTGAAATGTCAAAAGATAATTCATTTGCAGAGTCATCAAAAAATTGCATGAGTTCTAGGTATTTTCTTTATCTGACTCGGCAAATCTCATTAAGCGCGGTATGTGAAATACTTGGAAAACAAATGTGTAATGAGGTTGAAGGGATGAATATGAAAATGAACAGAATTTTCCAATATAATCCTGCAATAAACTGTAGTTTATTGCAAGAATGCAGACGCACGTGGGCGGAGATTCCAAAGGGGCGTGGCTTTAAAACACCACTTCGATTTTCCTTTCCAGTATGTTTCTCATGTGGTTTTCTTTGGAAAACATTCTCTACGATGGTTGTGTTGTTTTAAGTTGAAATTGAGAAGAGAAAAATTGCTCTGGGATGAATTTTCACCTTCATCATCAATTATCTTCATCAACAATTTGTTGTGCTCCATTCTGACGAGGGAATTTTTCACGGTAGATGATGGAAAAATTATCAAAACTAGCAGACATGAAGTAATTGGAAAGGAAGATAGTTTTTCACGGGGTGTTTTCTGAGCGTCTCAATGGCGACAAAGGGGTTTGACTTCCGTTCGGGGCTTGGTTCACGACACCTGGGCGTGGATACTAATGGGTCGCTCCACTTTGGATACCGGAAAAAGCTTGACTCACGATCGATTTGGTGAGAAGACGAAAAAAAAAGAAATGGAATCGTGTGGCAGAAACTCAACAATAATTTGCCAGCACGAGGAATAAGAGCAACAGACAGCAAATCACGGTATCAGCGATGGATTTCTCGGTTTGACGTGGGAAAGAGCGTGGAGTGGACGGCGATAGGAATCGCGAGGGTGTTGTGTCGTAATGGCCACATAGTGATATATTATTGCTGGCAGTGATTCTTCCTGCATCTATTTTCGATGTTCGCTGTGTGGCTCAAGGAAGACTTTTCATGGTGGAAACACATGCAAGACACTATCTCGTCCATCGAGGGCCTTTCGAGGGCTGCTTTCGTTGGCCGTGGCGAAGAGAAGAAAGCTTAGAGTGAGAGGGAGAGGGGGTGTGAGAGGAAAGTTTGTCTGACCTTTTGCCAACGATCGTCCTCCTGGCTTGTGTGAATGAGGAAAACACAAGAGATTGAAGTTGACTAACAAATGATTGTGGTGTGAGGGTGACAAATACAAGACGTAACTGAATCCTCTTCGTCTCGTATTTAGTTACACTTTCCACCCATGAATCATTTTGTTATTGGGGTTGGGCGCAGTGTGGATAGTTTTGTTTCACCGCCAGAGATATTGGTTGGAGTGTGAGAATGGACACACAAAAGGAGGGAAATGAGGTGGAAAGTTAATGAAAAGCTTCGGAAAAGTCTCTTGAAACTCTCTCTCCCTCTTGCATGAGATCGATTTCCCATGGAATATAGTATTGTGTTTGATGTGGCTGAAAAGGTGATGAATAAATAAACCCATATCATCCCACCATGAATTACCCTCAAACTTATTTTTAGTCACTTTCTCTCCCACACTAGCGCTGTAGTTTTCCGATTTGGGGTCGAAGTGTCGTCACTTGGCGTCCCACGGTGCCCTCTATGTCTTTGGGCTTTGCATGGGGCTTCTAGATGAAAGTCACATATTTGTCGCGTGACCAAATTTCCACGACCACTTTGTGTGTGTGAATCATGAAGGGAGAGTTCACATTTACGCTTCTTTATTGTCACCTGAGTCCCCGCAAGAGTACAAAAACTTCCACCGGCCACAAATGCTCAGAAGGCTCCACTTTGGATTTGGGGGAGTTAAGGGGCTCGTAAATGTGGGTTAACTAGCACAATATTGAGATGTTTACATTATCACTGACATGATTACTAGTAAATTAAGATGCACTGAGATTTCAGTCAACTTCTCCTTGCAGAAAGCGGTGAAATTACTTAAGATGATCTAAGCTCCGCATCTTTAACAGTGCACTTCTTGCTTCAAAAAGACTTTCCCTTCCTATTCACCCTTACTCCTTATTTATCCTGTAAATTAATTAATTTCCTTTTCAACTTACAGTTTTCCTCGTAAAATCTATTATTTTCCTCCGCTAAATTCACTTCTCGTGTGCTCTTCTCTTTGTCACCGTTCCAATCTTATCTAAGAACTCTTATTTGTTACCAATCTGCAAGAGTTGCCTGGCAGAAAGTGGTAAAATGAATTGAAGTGCTTCAAGTCCCACCCATTTGGCAGAGCATTTTCATGTGTTTTCTGTCGTTGAGCGCCGTTTACTCAAACTTATCAACCCTCTGTGTCACTTATGTCACCTGTAATACTTTCTCGCCCCCACACTCATTCAGCGCACGGCCCACTTTCGCTAACAGGATGGAAAAGTATGTCTGTGTACTTAATTACAGGAAAGTGTAATAAGTAATGAAATAATCACGTTGCTTCTGGTCAAATTGGGATTCTCTTCGTGGCGCATTTTCTCTCAGTGTCACAATCTTGTTAAAGTGTTTCCATGGCGTGGCACTTCTGGCGAAAGACGATGGATGGTGGAGATTGAATTAAATTGAATTGAAAAACGATTTAAAGGCTGGGAATCCATCTCAGACGCCCTCTAAGTGAATCATTAGGGTGGATTTGCGGGCGGGGGAGATGTACGAAAGTGTTGGGAATGGATTTTATCAATCTGGAATCCTGTGCTGTAAAGTGAAATTTTCAAATATTATTTCCAACCGTTAACTCGCGCTGTGTTGTTATATTATTTCATGTGAATGTTCGACAGCGCGGGGTGTGGGAAAGGATGAATGATAAGCTGGGCGGGAGCTTCCTCTATCGGCCTCCCAAACCCTATCAAACCTACTCTGTATCTGCCAAGGGAGGAAGGGCGGGGAGAGACGATGTGTGTGAGCAAAGGGGAAGTATAAAGTTTAATTAAACGAAGTTGAATTGTGCAAAGTTAGTATGGTGATGGAATTGTATTAGGTAGGATGTCTCGACGGTGGATTGAGAAATTTGGCAAATGTGTTTCTCAAAGTGTGCCATACAGACACACCATTACACGGTACAAATTGATAATCTAAAATATATGAGGTTTCTTCTCTTGTGGTGTGAAATAAATCGATGAGATACGCTTATTGACATCAGAGTTGAGGGCGGAATGGCAATAGATACATGGTTTATCATGAATCTGTTGAGTGTTTGTCAATTTTAGCGTCACTGCGGATCGAGAAATTCCAATAAATTGTCAATGCAGAAGACGGAAAATTGTGTGCTTCCTAAATCTTTCTTGTTGTTCTTTTCCATCTCAACTCTGATATGATGAGATTTTTATTTGGGGTAATTTGCGTGGAAAATCACATGATGTATTCTCTCAATTGCATTAACACCCTCGCAACAAGCTCTGCTGCGGTGTCCAAGTGATAATGATGATGGTTTTTGACCCAGAATGTTGCCCTAGCACTAATTAGCAATTAATGATGAGAAGGATTCAATTAGCACACCACTCGACATGTGGCATGACATGAAGCATGAAAGGGCTCGATAATGAATCCATTGATATGGCTGATGGTGGAATTATTTACCCGCCAAGAAGTACATTGACATTTCCGTGTAAATTGGCGCCCGGACGCATTGTCTGGAGTCCCTGATGGCCGCCCTTCTCCACGCTGTAGTACGAGATGGAGTTGTTGCTGAGGCTGTTGTGTGAACTCACGGCTGCAATCACGGCCAATCGTTTCATTGACATCACTCCGCAAGAAGCAGCGAGAGGGTTCTATGTGCGAGGCAGAGGCTTTCTGAGAGTATCCCTTTGCAGTGTGTTAATTTGCCAAATGGACTCGAATCGAGAGCGCGCTCACGGTGTGCGAGGAAGATGGGATTTTTGCACCGCAAAATATCCACGCGGTTCTATCTTTCGGTGTGGTGGATGAAAACAATACAATGTAGATATGAATGGATTGTGTGGGATGCAGAGAGATGAGTTGGAGGGTATAAAAAAACGAGAGTCTCCTGAACCAACTCGAGTGAGCTCTTGTAAATCTTCCCTTTCCTTTAGAGTTTCCTTCCTCTTTTTATTGTGAAAACTGCAAAATGTTTCAACATTTTTTCCTCCACGGCATTTCCACCGGGGAGTTTATTGTTCCGTGTTGAGGTATAGAGAGAGAGAGAGAGAGCGAGAAAGGTGCACAAGACGCTCGGAAAGATTGTGTGGCAGAATTGTTTGGTTGGCGATGTTTGTCGAGAAATCGAAAGGGGATGAAAGTTGTAATTGCACTTTATGTTATTTCATTCACGATACACAAAAGTTATTAGCGAGGGTAAAAGTTGTATAAATGGATTTTCACAGAACACTGTTCAGTTGTTTGACTCCTTGTGGCAGTTTCGCTCTCTCTTGCACTGGTTTGAGTCGAAAAAAAGCGTTAACAAGAACTGCACAATTCGTGTAAAGTGTTGAAATTCAATGGACACATTTCATTGTAAAAGACTTCACAAATACACAGAGTAAATTGCGACCCGCCAGAGAGAAATTGTGTGGCACGATGTGGCGAGAGAGAAAAGGACTGTACATCGAAAATAGGGGAGCACCAGAGATATTTTCCACCCTTGCAAGGTGGTTTCCTCCGTCGAACTGAGCGCACTTGTGTCTTCTCCACGACTACTTTCCCCAACGATTTTCCTCCACCGCACACACAGAGAGATTTTCTCGCGTGACCGCGACTCACCACTTTTCCATGGATCTCAAACAGAGTGTTGCTCCTGCTCCACACTGTCGTGTACACTCGCTGTGGCTGTGTGCCTCCGCCAGTTGGATTGTTGAGCTACAGTGACGAGCCGAATTGCTGTATTGGGGGTGGTTTTTCCCGCGCGTCGCTGTGCAGAATATTGTAGCCACTATTTTATAGCTTTACGACTGCACAGTAAAATTCCGATGAATTTTTGATTTTCGCTGGAATGAGCCAGCAACCGCTAGTGGGTGTTGTGCTGGTGAAGCAGGTTGCTTTTAGTGTCTATTAGTTGGGTTTCTTCTGTCCTTGCCTTTTGGGGCGTTGCATAATTTCGTTATATGTGAATTTAAATGTGGTAGTCCGCATGTCGTAATGAGTTTAAAATCAACCTGCGCTTTGACAGAACACCGCAATTGGCATGAATTTTATGGGGAAGAACAGCACTAAAAGTTTAGTAGTTTGTTCACAATTTTCGATACTTTTTCAATTAATGACAGTTGGAAATTTGAATTGGAAAATGTGAACCGCTTTAATTGCGGAAAAAATTTAATCTTAGAGCCAAAATTTCTTGCTAAACGGAGAATTTTGGCATTCAGACGGATTTCTTCAGCCTTCGGAGCTTTACCTTGCAACTTGTTAATTTTGTAATTCTTTGCAACGCCATTTTCGTTCACGACTGTTGTGAACTGAAATGGATGTTGTTTAATGGTGTTTGAGTAACCTTCTCTATCCTGGCGCATTTGGACGCGCTCCTTGGCAACAAAACCACCAACACAAATGACTGTGAATTCCGATATTTTCCACACGCCAGAATAGTCATCGCGACGCGGTGTTGGCAGAAAAGAATGCGCAGTTGTAAGCGACGGATGATCCACGATGGGCGAATGAGGTGTGCTTGCTGCACACGATGTCCGCGACTCATTAGGCCAATTAGTGCAGAGTGTCTTCTTGTCCTCCGCGCCAGTTGTGTGCGGGCGCCCGAGAGGCGATTCCCTCTGGCTGGGGTGTGAAGATGACGGCCTAAATATAGGCCAACTTGGCGCTCGAGGGACATTTCTTGGGGGCTGCAAAGATGGTTGCATGCTTGGGCTGTGTGTGAAATGTGCCGGAGGCCGGAAGTGATTTAAGACGAGTGCTCTCTTCTCCTCTTGAATTTATGACGGTCGAGGGCGGCCTCTGAGCGCGCAGAGAAGCGCGCCCTCCTAATTTGTCAGGTCTTAATGCAAATTTAATGACTAAAAGCGAGTGCGGTCGTTTATATCAATTGCAGGTGACGACAGTGGCTGCGAATCGACGAGATGGCTCTCACGGCATTCCTCAGGCGCACCCTGATCGCTCTCTTCGCCATCATGACCTTCGTCCTGATGGTGTTCTACTGGAACCAGGACGCACTCAAGCCGTCGTCCTACTTGAGCACCTTCGATCGCCTCGTGAGAACCAAGTTAGTCACTGATCCTGGAAAAATGTATGCATGAATTGATATTAATATTAATGTTCATCACTTTGCGTCAAAATGATTTCTCCATATTTCATTGAATTCACGATGCAATTGACGTATTCCATCCATTCAAACCACATCTTTCGGGTATTTTATTAATTTATTTTTAAATCAATCGATTGCTGTCTCTTGATTTGAATGAAATACGACGTATTTCACTCTTATGATTCTCATGCATGATGAATTGATAGTCAAATTTGTCTTCTAATATCGTCAGACTGATATTTAATTCATGTTTTAAAACTACGTATCAATGAATCATTTTACGTTGTATGTTTTCTCTCTAAATGAATTTATTTGAGGTCAGATGCCTAACATTGTTCGACAACATTAATTTTCGCGAAATATCCGGTAGATGTAAATTTTCTGTTTAATACATTTGACAAACTGATTCAATCCAGATTTTGAGTGTGTTAATTGCATTTAGATTTCTTACACAAATTGCAAATAATGTTTTGTAAATAGCGCAACAAAGTGTGCAAATGCAAGTAGAAGTATTCGGTTCGATTGAGAAATATTCTTACGCACTTCAGTTTACTGTTCGCCACTCAATCCCAATCCAATTAGTGTGGGAAGTAAATAAATATTTAATTGTGTTTCTGTCTGAAAATATCATCGTGTTCTTATCATTTTGCCACTTCTTCCTGATATGCCGAACACTTCTATTTATAGGAAAGTGTGGGATGTTCAAGAATGGAGGAATTAAAGTGTGAAAATGATTGGAAAGTTAATCAGATCAACTCTTATTGTTATTGATCGGCGAAGAAGCTGAGAAATTACTCTTGATTTGTTCTAATATCATTTGGTATTGTCATAATGTGAATAGCAATTTGAATATTTCAATGGCAAAACGTTATGTTTCAGGACAGCATAAAATCAAACAAAGGAATTGGAAAAAGTCCGTGTATTTTTAAACAGATGAGAGCCTTTGATAAATGATAAGAACTACCGTAATCTCACTTTAGACGATGATAGATGTCATAAATCTGCGGAATACGAGACAATTTGACTTGATAATGCGTTCGAGACAATATCGAGATACAATAAAGCCCTCTTTCATATTTATTGCAGCTTCGTCTCGGAGAAGACATGGACGTACAAGTGCGTGAATGATCGATGCGTTCGACAGCACTATCTCACTGAGCATCACCGGGAGAGGCGAGTGCCCTTCCTCACTTGCTCGATGACGTGCGGCGCCCCAAATATATGGCCCGAACCCACTGGGAAGGTGACGCTGGGCAGTAAATCTCTCACCTTCGCCACGGCGCACGTGAAGGCGAACGTAGAGACGCCGTTCGAGAAGGTGGAGAGTCTCTTCAGGGACGCGTTTCTGGTGTTTATGGATGATCTGCGATTAATCGAGAGTATCGCCAAGGAGGAGAAGCACGAAGGGGAGAATCAGGCGGCAGCGGAGGGTGGCGATGGGGCAACAAGTGTCCCCAAACACCCTGACGACACCCTCTGCCGACCCGACCGCCCATGCGAGCTGGACCTGGTGGAAGTCACCGTGAAGATCTCCAAGTATCCGGACGTGGCGCTCAGAGTGGACACAGATGAGAGCTACAACATCACGGTGAAGTCGGACGGGCGCAAGACGAGCGTGAGGATTCACGCGAAAGGCTTCTTTGGCGCCCGGAACGCCCTGACGACGCTCCAGCAGATGATCTGGTATGACGACGAGGACAAGTTGCTGCGAATCATCGGGCGCGCATATGTGGAGGACGCTCCAAAGTTCGGGTGAGTTGATGGTGAAGAATGCGTCAGGTCGTAAATTTAATCATGCTGAGAAATGTGTGCTTTTTGGTGGAATTTGGAAGTTGGACGAGAAGAGAAGAGAAGAGAAGAAGCTCTTAGCATTAATTTATGTGTTGAGCATTGCAAATTTACAATTTCACTCTCATTTATCCTCCAAAATGTTGAGAAACTTTTGTGTGTGTGTCTTTTGCACATCATATTTAAGCACTTAATCACCCTCTTGTGAGGGTGGTTTCGCCCCCATGAAGAGGTGTCATTGTGAGAGGTGAATGAAGTCAATTAGTCCTGCTCAATAAATCATGTGTTCTCCTGCAGATACCGAGGCCTTATGTTGGACACATCGCGCCACTACTTTTCCGTGGAGGCGATCAAGAGGACACTTTCGGGCATGGCGCTGAGCAAGCTCAATCGCTTCCACTGGCACATGACGGACTCCCAGAGTTTCCCCTTCGTCTCGCGCCACTATCCGCAGCTGGCCATCCACGGCGCGTACTCGAATCACGAGGTGTACACCACTGAGGACGTGCGAGACATTGTGGAGTTCGCTCGAGTGCGTGGCATTCAGGTGATACCGGAGATCGATGCGCCGGCTCACGCGGGCAACGGCTGGGATTGGGGCCCGAAGCACGGCATGGGTGAGCTGAGTCTGTGCATCAATCAGCAGCCGTGGAGCTTCTATTGTGGCGAGCCGCCATGCGGACAGCTAAACCCGAAGAACAACAACACTTATCTGGTGCTGCAGCGACTGTACGCGGAACTGCTGGAGCTCACGGGCCCCACGGACTTTTTCCACCTCGGTGGCGACGAGGTGAACCTGGATTGCTGGGCGCAGTTCTTCAACGACACCGACCTCAGGGGATTGTGGTGCGAGTTCATGCTGCAGGCCTTCCAGCGGCTGCGGCAGGCGCACGGCGGCACGGCGCCGAAGGTGACTGTGGTGTGGTCGAGCGGACTCACGAGCACGCCGTGCCTCTCAAAGAACTCCTTCGCCGTGCAAGTGTGGGGCGGCAGCACGTGGCAGGAGAACTTTGACCTGATCGAGAACGGTTTCAATCTCATCATCTCGCACGTGGACGCGTGGTATCTGGACTGCGGCTTCGGCAGCTGGCGGTCGACGGGCGAGGGCGCGTGCTCGCCCTACAGAACGTGGCAGAATGTCTACAAGCACCGCCCGTGGAACCGCATGAGGCTCACGCCGGTGCAAATGAAGCAGGTCAGTGGGGATAATTCCAATGAGGCCGAGCGATAAACGTGATTTAACCCTTTCGCAGACTGATTCCACTGGTCAATTTGGTGGGCAAAGGGTTAAAGCTTTTGAAGAACAGTTTGAAAATGTGTGATTTCCTTCACAGATTCTTGGCGGCGAGGTTTGCCTTTGGACAGAACAAGTCGACGAATCGACGCTCGATTCCAGAGTTTGGCCGCGAGCTGCAGCCTTGGCTGAGAGGTAAGTTGGAGAGTTTTCTGTTTCCTGTCGAATATCAAATTATTATTCTACCTTCGCCGCAGATTGTGGACAGATCCTGATGATGAGCATGACTTTGACGCAGTCCACAAGGATGTGTTCAGTCGCTTTTCCGTGTTCCGGAATCGACTCGTGCAACTCGGCATCAAGGCTGAGGCGATCTTTCCCAAATACTGTGCCCAAAATCAGGACGAGTGCGTCTGACTGTTGAGATAATTCTGCGCGAGGACAAGTGATTGAGAGATTGTGTTGAGGACATTGTTTACTCCGCGCGTCCTCGCTGAGGATTTGGAGTATATTAATCGTATAATTGTGATTAGTACCACTTAGAGCTTTTTTTTACATAATTACACGTCTCACGAGGGAAGAGAGGTGAGAAGCTGAGCGTGTGCGAAGTTAGTGGGCGTTTTAAATATTTAATACAAAAAGTAAGAAGATATGGAGAAATATTGTAGCGGTATTGTGACATTGAGTTTAGTTGACAAATTGATATTAAGAAGGTGAAATTTTTCGTCTTTAGATAGAGATAAATTGCTCTCGCAGAATTACTTAGTGCGTGGTCTTGGCGATGAAAATGTATGATATGAATATGATACGAAAATAATTCCTATTCCTCACGACAATGTTATGTATTTTTATAATTTATTCCGTAGTATTTTGTATTTCTTGCCACGAAAAACGTGTACATAGGCCGATGGCTATTTCCTAGTTGACTGCAGTTTAGCTATCAATTCTACTCTAACTAACCCAATGTGATTGTTGAAATACTTACTCGAGAGTGAGAGAGAGAGACAGAAATTATGAAGCGCGCGATTGACTTAAAATTCTTTCTCCTAGAGTTTACGCAACTCTTGCAATTCATTAGTCTATTCCCAAGTCAAAATGGTGATTATCACGGTGGTTTCAATATCGATTGACACAGTTTAGGAACACTTTCCCATTCAGGCTCTCTGAATGGCAATTTCCTTCAATTCAGAGCTTTTTTTGCTCTGTTAGTAATTTTTGCACGACGTAATTAAACATGGAAACGTATAAACATCAACTATTCTCATCTTTTCGCCGTGCACCGTCTGCATTTTAATCCAATAAATTAAAAAACTTGCACCGTTTACACTTTCTCAACTTCCCGCGGGGTTGAAATATTGTTTAACATGAGCAAGTTTTCAGTGTTTTTTTCTTTCTCACGATGGAAAACTTCTTTTTCCAACGCACTTTGTCATGGGAAAATATCTCAAGGAGTAACCGATGAAAGGACTTTGTGCAAGTTGCAGAAGTGGTGGAAAAGCTGAAAATTTATGAAATAGAAATTGCATGGCGCGCGGACAATTTCCTTCTTGTGCTTCTTTTTGCCAGTTAATTTTTGAGCTTTTTTTCGTGCTGTAAACTTGGGTGCTTTTCGTTTTTAGCGCAATAGATTTTATTAGGGAGATTATGATAAAAGACATGTTGGAAGATCCAAAAATAGCCAAATATATAATCCAATTTCGTGAGCAATTTCAGTTGAAGCCAAGAATATTTGTAAGTGTAATTTGTATTGCCAAGAAAATCACTCAAAAAGCTGCTCTCAAGCATCGAAGATGAACAAAAAAAAACCTCACGAAGCGTAGCAAAAGTGACATCATGTGTTTTGTGATAGACTGAAAATTGATTAGGAAGATGTGTGGAAAATTTACTTACAAATTGAGAGGAGTGATTTTTTGCAGAATAACGATGAAACGAATGATGTTTTGAGACGATTGCATTGCGGATTGTATTGCTAACGCCCAGTTTTTGATGGAGAGTGTCTAGGAATACAGGTGATCAAAGCGTGACCTTAAATACTTAGAATGACGAGAAGAGAAAAGGGGAGAAAATGCGACTTTTTCTCCACGCAGAGAAGCGTTGAATTAGTGAATTGTAGTATAAAAGATGATTCTGTAGTTGGAGTATTTTTCCTTGTATTAATCATCAGCATTAATTGACTTGTTTCTGATTCTTAATTGTAGATAAGATTCTTGAGTGTTAGTAATTGTATAATTAGCAATAGTTGGATAGTTTAATTGTACATTGAAATATTTTACAGTATCATGATTATTGCAATTTTGGCGCGCTTGAGCAATTTAGAAGATTAAACACACACTTGTTGAATATATTTGCGTTTTGTGTCCATTTGATAGGATTGATTGATGAATAAGAACAAAGGAACATTTTTTAGTGTTTAAGAAGAAGATAAATTAGTGGAAATTTGTTAATTTTTGCTAAAATTTACGTACCTCAGAAACGGAGAAACAAAGTGAAAGGACAAGAGATGTAGATTTGAGAGAAGAGAGAGATAAGAAAAATCCAATAAAAGGACATTATTCCAACAAAACTCTGCCTTGAGCGTCTCTTTGCGGTTTTCCTGGGAAAAACAGCGCGTCACCTGGGAAAATACTCACGTGCCAATTCTTGTGCTGCTAAATAATTGAAGATGTCGCACGTCAAGTCGCTCTTCCCGCCCAACTCATTTCCACTCGCGCGCTCACTTTCTGCACGCGGACGCACTGTAGTCGAGATTGGGAAATTGTGGAGTGAAGTTGCAGCGTCCGTTGGTGGGAATGCGCCCCCAATTCCTGCCCATGATGGCCTCTCTGGTGGCGTGCCTGTTCAACGTCTCCGTCGACGCACAATTCAACAGTGAGTTTCCCGCCAGGACGAATGGGAAGAAGGCAATCTTAAGAGTTTTGTGTGCTTTGCAGTGAGTGAGTACTACAAGATGCCCAAGCTGTACCTCATGGACGATTACGATCGCTGCCTGGACGAGTACAACGTCTCGACGTACTGCATCGCATCCACCATTATCAAGCCCAACGCTTCTTCGGCGCTCTGGGAATTTATTGAGGTAAACACAGTAAGAAATACGTAAGAAATAGATGTAAATCTCAGCAAAAATATGTCAAGTCTGCGTTAGTTCTCCATAATTAAATTGTAACAGTTTGAAAAAGGATTTTCTCTTGCAATACATCAACAATATTGGCAAGGATTTTTTTAATGGTTCTGAATGTTGAGTGTTAAAAAATTGAATGAGAAGCAAATATGTACAAAAATATAGCCTGGAAAGTTCAGTGATAAAGCCAAAAATGAAGAAAAAATCGATACAAGAAGTGATTTATTGATGAAAATCTCATTTTCTTAATATATGAAAGAAGCTGAGTTGAAAAACGAAAAGCCAAGATTAGACTTGCATTCTTTTGAGAAATTAAATGATTAACATTTTTCCGCATTCGCAGAGATTCTCATCGAATAGGAAGAAGCATTTCCGACATGATCATCTTCAGCGCGGCGTTTGCATGCATTGGTGCCAGGATTTGATAGATCGCATAGATCCTGAGGAGCAACTGACCTACTTTCAGGAGGAATTCCCCACTGACAACGAGGTAAAAGTGTGTCTCCGTAAATAATTGATCCTCTCATGCACAGGAAAAGCCTGGCCTTGGCACACACTTTGCCCCCATTTGACGCCCCTGTGAAAATTTAATGCGCGCTCGCGATTGCGGTCAAGGCGACGCTTTCACACACGAACTTCTCTCGCAGGTCAGGCTGAATCCGGGGATCTTCCGCAGGGCGGGTCACTTCAGGAAGCTGTACGATCAGCTCATCAACCAGTGCATCAACCACGAGCTGATGACTGGCTATGATCTCGTGGCGTTCTCGCAAGTTGAGTACTGCGTGATGAACAACGAGATTCTGGATTACGATTTCCTGGACATTTGCTTCCTCTTCGTCTTTGTCTCGCTCATCACCACCGTCCTGGCGTCCACATTCCTCGACAGGCGCCTCAAGAAGACGCGTCCTGTGGAGGAGCAGACGGCGGAGCACTACAGATTGCCTCTGCAAGGACCCGTGAACGGTCGCGTGACCTTCTCGCTGCTGCGCAACTGGTATCGCCTGATGTCGGGCCCGAAGACGAATGCAGACAAGGACTTGCGCTGCATCCACGCCATGAGATTCCTCACGATGTTCTGCGTGATCATCGGACACACCATTCTGTTCCTCAACGTCTTTCCCGTCTTCAATCCGCAGTATATCGAAATGGTGAGTATAAATATGGTTAAAGTTGCAGGATTTATTGTATTCTCGCCTCTAGAATTACTACAGATTCATCACGATGATCCTCATCAACGGTCATACGGTCATTCAGACGTACTTCGCCATCAGTGGCTTTCTGCTGTCTGTGCAGTTCATGCGCTACAAGGAGGACCAGAAGGACTTCCACATGTCCTACTTCTTCAAGGCAATCTTCTACCGCTACGTTCGTCTCACGCCCGTCTACATCTTCATGATCCTCTTTCACGCCACTCTGCTGGTCGACATGCAGTCCGGACCTCTATGGAATCACGTGGCGGAAACGGAAAGGTCCTTCTGCCGCATGCACTGGTGGACCAATCTGCTCTACGTCAACAACTACGTACACGTGGAGGAACCCGTGAGTTTTCGCGCTCTTCTCGCGATGCGCAGAGTGATTATGAAGGTTTTCCCTGGATTTCAGTGCATGCAGCACGGCTGGTATCTGGCAACGGATTTCCAGATGTTCATCATCGGGCTGACGCTGCACATGATCATGTGGCGCTTCCCAAAGTCCACGAAGCTCCTGCTCAGTGCATCCGTGTTCATCTCCTATGTGATTCCCGGCATCGTGACGTACAGGAACAAGTTCGAGGGCGTCGTGATCATCCGTCCGGAGTCCCAGAAGTACGGAATGTGGTTCGACGACGTGTACAAGAAGATCTACATCCCGACGCACACAAACAGTGGCACTTACTTGGCGGGTATGGTGGCGGGATTGCTGTACAATAAGCTAAAGAAGAAGGACCTGAATCTCAGGCAGAACAGAGTAAGATCGTCTCAGTTTGTCTGCTATACCGTTCTTGATGAGTCTTTCTTTCGTTCCGAAGGCTTTCATCTGGGCTTGGTATGCGATCATCCCGACTGGGGCGCTTCTGTTGCTGTCTGCGTACTGGTTCTACGCCTGCACGATGGAGAAGCCCGCCTTCTGGATCGCCATCTACGCGGCGGTGATGAAGAATCTCTGGGGCGTTCTCGGAGGAGTCCTGATCATCGGCAGCGCCTTTGGAGTTGGCTGTAAGTAGAATCTGATCATGTTCACGAGCCAAAGTGACTTTAATTGCCTATAAATTTCAGGGATCGCACGCGACTTCCTCTGCAACCCAATCTTTCGTCCTCTCGGAAGAATCACTTTCTGTGTCTATCTCTGCCATCCGTTCATCCTTCGTGCCACCATGGGCAATGTTCGACAGCCTGTCTTTCTCAGTGACTCAACAATTGTGAGTAAAGCACACAAAAGAGCTTCAGAACAAAATCTAAAATTTGGATGTTCTTCTTCAGGTGGTTTATGTCTCATCAACTTTGATTCTGTCGTATCTCTGCGGTGCCTTGTTATGCATAGTGCTTGAGCTTCCCATATCAGCCATCCAGAAGCAAATGTTGACCAGGAATAAAGGTAAAAATAGCCAAAACCGACCTAAAATCACCTAATTGTTCCTTCATTCTCAAGTAGATCCCGCTTTCAAGGACAACACAATTGAGTTAGTGCACAACACATGAGACATCGATATGCGTAAGCATTTTGCGAATCTCAAATTTGTTAATAAAATGTAATAAAAATTCCATCGAAGCACAAAGAACGTCGTTTGTCCAATCTAGGGAACTTTACGTTATTCCTAGGACATTCAAATTGGAGCGGTGGAGCAGCGCCATCTGCTGCGATTCTCGATCGCATGCGGCGTGACATAACCTCACACACCGGCCATGAAGTGGTTTGTTTTGGTGCGGATTTCATGCTGAAAGTGTGCAGTAAAGCACTGGCCAGAGTGATGAGTACCTTCACGCAAGTGTTCAATCCCATCTCGGGGCAGATGGAGTGGCAAGTTTGCAGTTCTGACTATGATTTCTACCAGGAAGTCGCCAGATCCGACTATGGCGACATGCTGCACGACACCGAGCGCAATGTGAAGTACTACCGAGCCCTCCGTGGGGCCATCGCCAAGGTGCGCGCTCGTGGGATGCAGGCGAACGTGCTGGACATTGGCACGGGCACGGGACTGCTGTCGATGATGGCTGTGGCTTCAGGAGCACACTCTGTGGTAGCGTGCGAAGCCTTCAAGCCCATGGCGGACTGCGCCGAGAAGATCATCGAGCGAAATGGCATGAGCGACAGAATAAAGCTGATCAAGCTGCGCTCAACGGAGATCCAGATTGGACGTGATATGGCAGCGAAGGCGAATATTTTGGTAACTGAAGTCTTTGACACGGAATTGATTGGCGAGGGCGCGATCGACATCTTTCGGCATGCCCACAAGAATCTCCTGGAAGCGGATGCCATCGTCATTCCCAGCTTCGCCACGATATACGCTCAGGTGGCTGAAAGTCCCTTCGTGGCGGCCTTCAACAAGCCTAAAGTGCTGGCGAATCTGGACGGAGAAATCCTCCTGAAGACACCCGAACAGATGGTGAAATGTCCAGGATCCACATCTCTGCACGAGATCCAACTCAATCAACTGCCCAGTGATGCATTCCGGACTCTGACAGAGCCTCAGGCAGTCTTTACGTTTGACTTGAGCGGGAAGAGTGAGCTGGAGAATGACCGGAGGAGCGTTGTTGAAGTGAAATCCCAGCGAGCAGGCACAGCTCAGGCAGTGTTCATGTGGTGGGATCTCCGGATGGACGAAGAGGGTGCTATTCTTCTGAGCTGTGCCCCTTTCTGGGCACATCCGGACTTTGAGCGCCTCAAATCCGAGGCTTCCCCGAGAAAACCCCTACCGAATGTGATTCCCTGGCGTGATCACTGGATGCAGGCGATTTACTATTTCCCAGAGAACATCACTCTGCAGAAGGATCAGTCATTTAGCCTCATTTCTTACCACGACGCCCTGTCGCTGTGGTTCGACATCTCCACGAGCATTCCGGAGGAACGAACGCTGGCGCCACCCTTTTGCACGTGCGGCCTGCACGTGGCGTGTTCCAGAAGCCGAATCGGCCAGTTAAACGATCACCAGAGGAACAAGAAATTCCTCCGCATGCTGGAGAGCCTTCCGTCCAACGCCACAGTTCTCACAATTGGCGACGGAAGTCTCCTGGGTTTGGCGACAGCCAAGATCGCTCGGACAATCTTTTACTTGAACTTCAACTACTTCTCAGAGAAGATCACGAGGCTCTACGTGAAGGCCAATGAGCTGCAGAACGTGACAGTCGTGAACAACGTGGAGGACATCGAGAAGCGGCTGCAGGAAGTGACGCACGTGGTGGCGGAGCCGCACTTCAATACTTCCATTTTGCCGTGGGACAATCTGTTCTTCTTCAAGTTCCTGCACTCGAGGCTGCCGCAACTTCTGGGCAATGTCTCAGTGTCGCCTATGAAGTGTGACATCATGGCAGTGCCTGTGGAGTTTTTGGACCTGCACAAGATCAGGAAGCCGCTGCGGAATGTCGAGGGATTCACCATTGAGGTGAGAATGACAAGTGATTCATAAGAAAGCGCCCTGATTTTTTTATGTTTCCTCCCCAGGACTTCGATCAGATGCTGGAGAAGGCTTCCGCCTTGGCAGACTCGAAGTTTGAGGCTCATCCACTCTGGGAATATCCTTGTCTGGCGCTTGCGGATCCCCTGAAGATCTTCTCAATAGACATTGAGCACTTCCCAGAAGCTTCCAAAACGTCTTCAGTGAAATCTGTCTTCAAGAGGTGAGTTTTACCTAATCTTCAATGGAAGGTGTTTGCAGGATTTCACTCTCTTGCAGTCCTGGTCAGTGCAACGGAGTGGCTTTCTGGGTCGTGTGGCATCTGGATCGCTCTGGAAGTGAGAAGAGTCAAGTGGGAATGGGTCCCAGGGAGCCAATCAAGCCGGGAGAGTTCATAAAATGGGACCCATTCGTGAAACAGGGCGTCTTCTTCGTCGTTGAGCCTCTGGTGGCGAGCGAAGACCAGGAATGCACGTTGGAGGTGACTTTCAACGCGACGACAGGACCTGTTGATTGTAAGCTCACCGCGTGAGTCCCTGAGGAGAGGGATTATTGATTAAACAAGGGTGTGGAGAAAAGGTTTCTGGGTTTGATCGATTGGGAGAATTCAGAGAATTCCTTGGGAAGAGGATGGCTTCGAAGAGTGTGGTGGTTTCCGAAAAGCCCGTGAAGCACGTTGGGCTCAGCGACTGGCAAGCAAGGCTCAATGAGGCGAGATCCGTGGCCACGGCCAGGCGCAATGACGCCTTCGAGGTGCGCCACGCGGCCAGGAATCTGCGGAACGAGACGGACATCCAGTCAAAGTGGGATTGCTATCACAACACGAGGCGCCTGGAGAGTCGCGTGGAGGAAGTGAACCAGTGGCGAGAGAGCCTGGAGGAGTGCCTGAGTCGTGTGGAGCGCGAGATTGACATCCTGAGGGCGGAGAAGGCGCAAACGGAGAGGGAATTGGAAGCTCTGGCCACTCCGCTGACCGTGGTGTCAGAATGCCTGGCCACGAGGGATTCTCGGTGGGAGATCGAGATGACGTATGACGAGGCGGAAAAGCTGCTGAAGCTGGAGCTATCGCTGGTGGAGAAGAACCAAATAATGCTGAGGGATCAGTGCCAGTCGGCCTGGGAGAAGCTGAACGCTCTTGAGGACGTTCGCTTCCAGCTGAATCTTGAGATTTGCAACAAGAAGGAGGCCGAAGGCATCGACATCGAGCAGATGCATCTCAACAAGTTCTCAGCCAATACCACGTTCAAAAGCAATCCGCAGAGAATCCCGAAAGAGTCCTGCACGCACGAAGGCTGGCTCACAAACACGAAGAACGTGAAGAGTCTGGCTGAGAATGAGCTGAAGGACACCTACGCTCTGCGGGAGTCTCTGTTCGTGACACGCGAGAAAACCCGAAATGAGCTGCACGCGCAGCAAGATCTCGTGGATCACACCATTCGCCGAAGGATCTTCGAGACACAGCGCGCGAGGAATGAACTCAAGTGGCAGATTGGGAAGACGGAGGAGGAGATGAATCTCTGTCTGGTGGAGATCGAGGCGCTTGAGAAGGCGATTGAAGACAAGAAGGAAGTGCTGAAATTGGCTGAAAGTCGCCAGGAGAGTCGCTTTGCACGATCGGGCTTTGAACTGTGTCGAGATGAGCCTTTTCAGGGTCTCTGCGGTGAAATCTCGCAGCTCAGAGATACACTAAACACGCTCACGAACCAGCTGAATGTGGTCAAAGGGAACTACAGCGTTTTGGAGGATCAGCACTGTCGTCTGACCAGGGATCTTGAGAACAAAGAGCACTCGCTGATGGTGGAAGTGAGGACGCTGGATCAGCGGGAGAGGCTGAAGAGTTGGCAGGGCAAAGAGTGCAGATCACAAACCGGGAGGAACATTCGACTGACTGGTCTGGAGCACGAAATTCCCAAGTCCAGCTACATATAATGCCCGTTACTATTTGAAAGCTCCTTCGTCAAGTAGATTTTTCGATATATGTAGTGTCGATAAAAGCTCAATTTCCGCCGATTTCGACATACATGATTTCTTATTGGCCCAAAAATCACCCTTTTCTCTGTGATTTCCCACAGAACCTGCTCATCTGGCGTTGTAGAAGGCAAGAAGAGGATTCTAGCGTCCCTCTGAAAATTTTCCGGTGGCGAAAAGTTGCGGAAAATCGGGTGAAAAAGACCCCTCTTTTCTCGATTGTCGTCCTCGGGCTGTCACCTTGGCTGTCATTCACGTCCGAATGTATGGACCCGAATAAGCGCAGTCCGAGTGCCGTGAAAAGCAAAAGGGGCGACTTTTGATGAGATTTGTGGCAACAGGAAGACCCATTGCAGCATCAGTTGAGCGTGACACGCTAGCCGGAGCCATTGGCCAGGTGTTTGAGTGCGCAGCAAGCCGTACGCGAGGGTGAGAGGATTTGCAAAAAAGGCCATCAGTCGTCAGAGATTTTCACAATGGCGAATCCCACAACCGGTGTTGGTAAGTCGATATATTTTCACGCCTTTTCCCCACATCCGGGCACCCCAGTGGTGAGATGCGCACTCCCGGAGGCTCCTGGAGGGTGCTGGTGGCGTCGGGTGGCGCCTGATGGCGGTTTGTGGTCAAAAAATCGTGACTGGCGTATTTCCATGGAACACCCCACCCCCGGACTCCATAATGTGACAGATTCGGTCCTGAGAGGGGCTCTTTTTCCGCACTTTCCCGCGCCATTTCCCACTATTGGCACTTTCTCGTCTGTTCAGAAGTCCTCTGTGAGGGTGGATGCACGGATCGGGGGGATTTGCTGGGGTGAAAGGGCTTGGGAAAGTGTGGAGAAAATGCATGAAATGTATGGCATGGAATGTGAGGTTAGAATCGAGTGGCTGCGTCGGGTAATCTCAGGTCGTCTCTTGCAGTGGTGCCGCGGAACTTCCGGCTTCTGGAGGAGTTGGAGCAAGGCCAGAAAGGCGTCGGCGACGGAACGATCTCCTGGGGCTTAGAAAACGACGACGACATGACTCTGACGCACTGGACGGGCATGATCATCGGACCGCCCAGAGTGAGTGTGACACAGCAAGAGCCTCGTGGAGCCTCAATCTCTGACCGCAATTCCTCTCTTTGCAGACACCATACGAGAATAGGATATACTCATTAAAAATTGAATGCGGCGAAGGATACCCAGACGACCCGCCAGTGCTTAAATTCCTTTCTAAAATTAATATCAACTGTATCAATCAAAGTACAGGAGTGGTAAGTCCTTCACTTTCTTCATCAAGGGGCTGCGCAGGACGTTAAGGCGTGCGCCAGAGTGTCCGGAAGAGCGGCGGTCTCAGAAAGGCGGTGAACATGTTGAGGCACGCAGAGGATGCAAAGCATGAATGCACAAAGTCCAAAGGGCGCGTCATTGAGAGCACGAATGTCTCTTTTGTGATATCTTGAGCAAATCTTGCGCGGAATCTGATGGTTTTTTTTCCTTTCGGAGGCACAAATCACTGATTTCTCAGTGTGTTTAGTTTTTTTTTGTGTGAGAAGCTTTTCATTTAGAGTTCAATTTGGGAAAAAACTACCTAATTCAATAAGTTCGACCTTTGGATTCCCTTGATTTGCCGCACGAACTGATGCTAATTGCTCTATTCTCTGTCTTCCAGGTTGATCATAGACTAGTTCCAATGCTGGCCAGATGGAATCGAGAATACACGATCAAAACCATGCTACAGGAAATCCGTAGAATTATGACAATGAAGGAGAATTTAAAGTTGGCGCAACCGCCAGAGGGCAGCTGTTTTTAGTGCTCCCCAAAAGTGTGAAGGGCTGCAGAAGAGCAGCATTTTCGTGCATTCTCACCCTCTTTTCCCTGTTGAGGAGCTAAGAGAGAAAGGGGGAGAAGAAAACCGCGGGAGATAGCGCGAAAATGCGGGGCGGAAGACGTAAAAAATGATGGAAAGAAGAGAAAAAAATCACCACGGCTGAAAAAACTAATTAGAAATATCCCCACAATTTTAATTTACATTTTATCTCTTGTGTTGTTTAATTGGTTTCTACCGGGCAGGATCACAGTGAAAAGTGAAAAGCGCATGACTATTTGATGAAAGGATAATTTTTGGGTGGAAATTTGGTTTACTGAAAATGGCCTTTTTATTTCTTAACTTCGATAAACACTCACACACAAAAAACTTCCTTCTGAAAAACTGAGTCAAGCAAATGAAAAGCGAAGAAACATGAGAGAAATTGTAGAGAGAATAAGAGAGAAAACAAAGTGTTAAGTTATTATTTTTTATAAATACAACAGCGAGAAATGTGTATGTATAAAAGATTTAATTAGAGTGTAATTCACGGTGAAAAAAGAAACTAGAGACAGGTGAAAAATTCCTCATTTTACGTGTGAAATGAGGATTTTTTCAGAATTATTATTCAATCTCTGAAGCTGAAGAGTAAACTATAAGAGAGACAATTGATGGATTTAAGAGAGAGAACCGATAAACAAATCAATAAACAATATTTAATCGCTCTATAATATTCTCTAAACAAAAAAAAAAGATTTATTATATAAAAAAAAGTGAAAGCATGATGAAAGTGAGGAGGTAGAAAGAAAAACGGATATTGGCTCATATTTTCCTATTAGTTTCTTGACCATCTCTTGAAACTGGGCGTGAATGCGAGATGGTTTTTTTTGCGAATTTTTGCCTTGTTCTTAGGACAAATTTCCTTTGGATTTCCAATTCATTTGATAACACTGAAAAAAAGAAAATAGCGAGAAATTCAACTGGAAAGACGAAAAATTTTTATCATTTAGTGAAGATAGGAATCCAATGAGAACATTTAGCTTCAATTTAAATGTAATTTAATTGATGGAGAAGAAGAGATTCGTGAAGTGAATGGACTTTACACACACTTGAATGACCCGAAGAAGACCCTCTTGAAGAACAATATAATGATTTAGGAGAGAAGATGAAGAGAAATTCGAGTTAGCGGAGGAAAAATTGTAAGCTAAGTGAAAAAAATGATGATAAAACACCTTAAAATGTAATAAAATCAGCTTTTATCTTGATATAATGCATATGAAATAAATTAATTTTAAATTTGACCATCGCTTTTTCCAAATAATTTATTAATTATCCTTCAACAGACAATTCGCAATGCTACACTTTCAATACAATTGCTGTGGGAATCGTGGTAGGAAAACCCCAATTTCCCTCGCGCGATGCCTCAAAGTCTCCCGGAGAAGTCGCCGTCGTCGTGGTTTCAAAAGACATTTTTATATGAACAAAACACATCAGATTGGTTTGATAATTTCTCTAATTGAGTGGCTGAATAGCATTCAATTCTCTCTTCTGGCGCTCTTACAATCTGGGCTATTTACTTGTCGCTCTTCTTGGGATTGAACACGATCTTCCGCGACTTGAGGACGCTCCATTTGTGCCTCTTGATGTAGTACGCTAGGACGCCGAGTAGCGTGAACATGCCCACCGCCTTGATGAACATCTGCTTGCGCTCGTCCCAGTGCGGCTCCGAACACCACTTGAGGAACGTCGACACGTCCTTAGCTAATTGACTGGCCGACGCTGGCGTTCCGTCCTCGTACTCCAATACCTGCGAGAAGACATCGAGGACAGGCGATTAGTCAGTTGCAAGAGTGATTCAGGAGGAAAGACTCACTTCATTGTAGAGTGCCTGAGCCATGGAAATGGCTCCTCCGGGGAAGTACGGATTGTAGTGCTGTCCCTCGCGCAGCACTATGCCCGCTGGCGCATCCACGTAGCCCGTGAGCAGGGCGAAGATGTAATCCTCGCCACCCTTGCGAGCCAGCGTGATGTAGCTCAAGTCCGGCGGGAAGGCGCCGTTGTTGGCCGCGCGCGCGGCTTCCTCGTTTGCATACGGATTGGGGAAGTAGTCGCTCAACTTTCCCGGTCGCATGAAGTAATCGCCGGCCTCGTTCGGCCCATCACGCACCTGAATCTCCTCAGCTTCAGCCTTCGCTTCGGCCTCCGTGTGAGAAACCCCCACAAGATTGCGATAAGCGATGTAGCGCATAGAGTGACAAGCGGCGCACACCTGCTTGTACACCTCGTAGCCGCGACGGATGCTGCAAGGATGTAAGACACGATTCTGGTCAAGGTGATGCTGAGGGCATTAGCTTCTCATCACTTACCTGGCGTGATCCAGAGAGGAGATCAAACCACTGTGGCTCCACGGCAGCTGGGGCGCATGCACCTCCGTGCCGGATGCCTCCACAGACTGCTCAAGAGCGTAAACCAGCGCTCCGGCGCCTCCGGCAAGCATTCCCATGGTGGCCAGAAACTGCAAAGTGAGGTTATGTCATGTCAGCCACCGGGAAAACTACGAATCCCATCACTTTGCTACGAATCCCGCACAATACTCACTCTCTTCTGCGTCTTGCTCCATGTCCTGGTGGTGGAGAAGTTGTTGATCTGCAAAAAGAGCGGAAAATTGACCTTTTTACACCGTTCTCAATGTGATTACATAATATGAGCAGTCTCAGCAGAACACTCTCATTCTGACGATCTCATCATGGATTCACGACTCACTTTCCAGCCAATTTGCACAAACAACGCATCAAAGAAAGTAATGAGGCAGAAAATCAAGGAATTTAACACAATAAATCGTGTTTTGCAGTGATTTGTTCATCACTTTTCCATCTTCAATCTCTCCTTGTTTTGCTTAAGATTCCCGGATTCTCACCACTCAATCACACTCCCAATGCACAGCAGAGTCATAAACAATGAGAAATACCTGCTGCAAGACAGCCCTGTTGCTAGATTTCAGCAATTGCACTCCGCAAATTCTTCCTATGGTAGCCGCCATTGTCGCACGAAGACCGAGCTGTGATGTAAGGGATGAAAAATTGACACATGCACTCAAGCACTAGGCCAAGGTCAGTGAATTTCACTTTAGTACCTCTCGTCCAGGTGACTGTCTTCCGGTGGAGACGAGTATTCACACTTTTTATACGATTGCAGGTTTTTCCTGTGGGAAAACTCCCAAAAACTCCATCAAATTTTCACACACCGAAAGAGTCAGACATTTGTCGGTCAAGTGTTATCGAAAGATTACGACAATTTTCGAAGAAGTTTCTGAATTTCTTCTCACGCGTTTTTCTCAACAAATAGGGTGCTTTTCCCAGCGGATTTTATGCAAATAGCAAGGCGGAATATATTTTGAGGATATTCTAGCATTTTCACCGGCAAATTGTGGGGGAAAGTGCGAAAATGGTGCTTCAAATTTCACTTGAGCGCCATCGAAAATGGTGACGTCACTTCTGTCAGCTGTTCGATGAGCGCCATTCTGCAGTCGCCATTTGTATTGTGAACAAAGCGAGAGTCAGGAGTTTTGTGGCATCCTCGATGGTGATTGCAATCGTAAAATATCAAAGTAATCTAGAGTTATAAAGTGAACGTGCAGGATGAGTGGAAACATGCCAGAGCTTGGCTCCAAGATAAGCCTCATTTCGAAGGCGGATATCCGATATGAGGGCCGATTATTCACCGTAGATCCCAACGAATGCACCATAGCGCTGGCCAATGGTAAGGAAAACCCCGGGCCGCAAAATTGCAAGCCGGGCGTCGCTGGGGACGCCACGGCGTCGTCCGGATGGAAATTGTGAGCCCCGCTGCGGTGGCTTGGAGGAATTTTCCGTGGTTTGATTGCGGCATCAGAGAGAGTTCTCTCTGACAGTTGGCTAACCTAAGATTCTCTCGGGCGAAGGTTTTCGCATTTTGTGCGGAAAATCCGGGGGAAAAGTGTGTTTTTCCGCCTGCGGAGGCGTCTGAGGGACTGGCGGGAGGTTTTGCCGGCAAGAATGAGTGCGGTTTGGGGGTTTTCGGGCGGGAAATTGGGACTTTCGGTGTGGCATCCGGACATTTGGCTTCCAAGTCACCATCAATAAGCGTTGATTCGCCCTCCCTTTCTGGCCTACGGGCGCGCTTGGGCAGAGGGATTATCTGTCCCTAACTGTTGATGGCCATAAATCCATAGTTGATTGTGCACAATGTGACGCCAGATTTCACCTCTTCCACAGTGCGCTCCTTCGGCACGGAGGACCGCGAGACGCAGTTCCCGATCGCGGCGCAGAACCAGGTGTACGACTACATCCTGTTCCGCGGCTCGGACATCAAGGACATCCGCGTGTGCAACAGCGCGCCGATCCCCAACGATCCGGCCATCATGCAGATGCACCTTCCGCAGATGGGGCAGCAGCCCTTCCAGCCGCCGCACTTCCCCATGGCTCTGGGCCACCCGATGGGCGGGCCGCCGCAGATGGGCCAGTTCGGGCCGTACGGTATGCCGATGGGGGCTGCAGTGGGGGCGCCCGGCGGCCAGGGCATGGCTCCCGGCCAGAGCATGCCGGGCCTCCCGACGGGCGGCATGCAGAAGCAGAAACCGAGTGAATTGAATGTGGCCATTCCGGAGCCCGCGGATTTCAACAAAGGAGGTGAACAAGGTTTGACTATCACGCTCTGCTGCTTCTCATCTCGCTCTCCTGCATGCATCTCTCTCTCGCTTGCGCTCTCGCACGTCCGAGAGTCGCTCACTAGATCGCCGGCCGTTTGTCACTTTCTCCCGCGCCTCTGGGAGAGAAGATTTCACAAGTGCGGCTCGAGATGTGATGGCTTAATTGTGCGCAATGGGGAAATTTTCATTCAATTTCTTCGCTTATTGAGCTTAAAAACGCACAGAGTGATTTATTAGCAATTAACACTCTTTGGAAATGCAGTGAAATTAATTGAGTAATCAATATTTTTGCCTGATTTCACAATAATTTTATTTTAGTAGAATTTACATAGGCATTCTAATCGCGAAAACATTTTTTTATGATAAGCATTGCATGCTGTTTATTGCGTAAAGCGGGGCTTTTGCTCACCGCGTATCAATATTATTTTGACTAGACTGTTTTATTTATTTACTGATGACACTCTGTTATCTCTATGCCAATCAATTCGGTGGCTGTGCTTTTCTGCCCGTAGAATTTGCTGTTAGTTGAAGGATGAAGGGGTTGGAAATGGTTTGTATTGTTTGACAACTCAGTTTTCTGCTTCTGCTTGCTTCTTGCTTTTCTCTCATTCATGCACACTTCTTTTTCGCTTTGTTCATGTTGTGTGAATTGACGCTGTGATTCGCTATAATATTTTCTTCCGGCAAAGCAGCTTCCATGCTGGAGTTCATTGGCGGCGGATCGCGATCGACGACACCGCAGAGTCTGTCGCGCAAGAGTCCCACGATGGACATGGGCGTGCAGGTGAATCAGCCGATCGGACGCAATGATGCCAACAAGCGTGTTGCGGACAAGAGCGGCGGAAATGCGTCTCAGAATCCGAACAGGAGCAACAATCAACGAGAGCGCCGCGATTCCGGCAAGAATGCCGTGGCGAACAATCAGGAGAACTTGCCTCAAGGCGCTGAGAAAGCGAAGCAGTATCAAAACAAGGTGCGTCGAAGTGGAATTCTGGGAGTGAAGTTGCTTCAACTGTCGCAGTTTGTGGTTGATTTACTGGTGTGTTTACTGACATTGTGTATTGTTTTCAAGCAGAAGCCGCAGTCGAGTCAGCTTCCATCGCAGCCTGGCGGCCAGAATGTCCAAAACAATCAGCAGCAGCAGCAGCAGCGAGGGTGGATTCAGCGCGGCGGACAGATGCGTGGCGGCCGCGGCGGGCGCATGAATCGCGGAGGACCGAATCAGGTGCGCACTTGCTAGAACTGCAAGAGATTCTAATTGTAATTGAAAGGCGTTCTTTTGGCAGAACTTCCGGCAGCAGGGCAACACTGGCGGCGGCCCCAATGCAAAGGCGCGCGGCGGCAAGTCCATCAAGTTCGATAGTGATTATGATTTTGAGCAAGCGAACAGCAAATTCGAGGAACTGCGGTCGCAATTGGCAAAACTCAAGGTGGGCGAAGAAGCCAAACCTGAACAGCAGGTATTAAGAGATTTTTTCCGTTTTTATTCCTGGCACACATTTATTTGTCAATACAGATGAATTTACATATAAAATTTGAATTCACAATGACGATAATGAGAGAACAACAATCTCTTTATCTGCTCTCCAAATTTACTCATAAACATTATAAAGAGAGACAATTTTTGTGCAAGAAAGTATAAGAAAATACAACGTCAATGGCATTTGAGTTTGAAAGAGATTGCTAATATAGCTAATCGTTTTTCCTTGTATAATATCGTAAGTATTCTCATTAATCTATTCCACTGACTTGACTTTATTGCATCTCTTTGAGTTCTTTCTTATTCCCCTGATCATGAACAATTGCAAATAACAGATGAGGAAACATGTATATTTGCATTTTTCAGTTTATATTTTGGCCAAATTGCTTGCTATTTTGTATACAAAACTGAGGCTGAAGAACCTAATCTTGCGTATAATACTCGTTATGTTTCCTTGCATCTCAATTGTATTTATGAATCTGTGCGACGTGCTAAAGTTCTCCTCTTCTTATGCTGTTTGTTTCACAACAGGTGAATGGCGAGAGTGACAAGAAGGACGATTCGGGCAATGAGACGGGAGCTGGCGAGCAGGAAGTGGAGGAGGACGCTGATATCTGTGTTGGGTATGACAAGACCAAGTCGTTCTTCGACAACATCTCATGCGAGGCCGCCACGGATCGCTCCAAGGGGAAGAATCGCACGGATTGGCGCCAGGAGCGCAAGCTGAACAGCGAAACGTTCGGCGTCTCGTCCACGAGGCGAGGAGGGTGAGTGATTGTCATGGTCATTGCCAAATGCTCGTGTGTAATTTATTGACCCTTGTTGAAACGTGTTTAACTGTTACTAAAGTGGCTTCATTCCGGTTTGTTTTGGCAATTATTGTGCTCTAATGAGCTGTTTTTTCTCTTGTCTTGACGTTGCAGATTCCGAGGACGAGGCGGCGGATTCTACAACCGCGGCCCTAACATGGGCATGGGCGGCGGATATCGTGGCAACTTCCGATCGAACAACTACCGCGGCAATCGCAACATGCGGCAGAGCGGCGGAAATCAGTCGACCGGCATACCACAGAAGCAGGGCAACTCTCAGCAGTCTCAGGCGGCGTCTTCGGCCGCGCCATCAGCTGGTGAGAAACTCTTTTCACTGATTGTGTCTCAATGGCGGGCAAAGAAGCGAATAATAACCGTTGGTGTTGAATTTATCTTTGCAGCTCAATAATGTATGAAATTGCTGGCAAAAGGAGAGATGACTTTTACACGGCAGACCAATTCCTCCTTGTCCACGTGAGATGAAGATGAACAGCGAAGAGACGTGAAATGAATTTAAACACAACGCGCAGAAAAGATGGAAGATGACGATGATGAATTCAGGGAGTGAAAGGGAAGTGAAACAAAAAGGATACAATGGAATTATATATATTTGTGCAACAATTTGGGAGATGTGAAGTGAAAAAAGTAGCTTTTGGCGTAACTATTTAATAGGGTGAGAAGAGAAGATGAAGAAGAGATCAGGCGAGGAGGAAAGGAAGGAATTGATGGAGAAGTGAAGTAAGATAAAAGAAGAAACACTGAAGAGAGAGAAAGAGAGAGCATGATGGGGAAATTTCTCTAGAAAATCACACACACAATAATTAGATTAACAACTATGATGAGTGGATGTGTAATTTTTTGTACCCTTTTAAACAAAACATTTAGTAATTTGTGGAAAAGAAAAACTGTCTCTTCTAAGAGAAGCAAATGGAAAACAAACGCATGATAATTATAGGGAGGACGGGAGAAACGAAGATACATAAATTACTTTCTTTCTAAGGAGTGTGTGGAACACCTAACAAATTAACATTATATTGAGATAATACAAAAAGAAAAAGACTGTTGAAAATTGCAAATGAAGGGTTTTAGAGAAAGAAAGAGAGACAGAGAGAGATAAAGAAGTAGATGAAGAGAAGTGAGGTTTAATAGTTAAGTTAATCGGGGAGGAGATTTGATTTATTTTTTCAATGAATATTATTTGTAATAGTGGAAGAGAAAAAAAGAACCAGTAAGGATGGCAAAAGGAGTTCCAGGAAATCCATGAATGTAACACACTTTAATTTCCGTTTAGGGATAAAATTTATAGAGAAATTGATGAGGCAAAAAGATGAAATGGAGAAAAAAATGAAAAATGCACGTGAAGTTATGAGAATAAATCATGAAATAATGGCTAAATAGTATTGGAGTTTATGGTGAAGTTGTCTTGTAATGCAAGTGGGTTTAGAGGTATTTTACTACATTTCTTTTCCATTATTGAATCCTCTTTTATCACACACACAAACACAAAGTGAATGAGTAGAAACCACAGTTCTTTTTTATTGTATCATAGGAAGAAGAAAAAAAAAGAGAAAAGGCTAAGGAAGGTCGAATTTTATAAGTAAATGTATAATGAGAGTGAGAGATTTGAGGAAAGAGATAAGAAGAGTCCTTGTAAAGTGAAGAGCGCGCGATGATGGAAAAATTGTCAATAGAATAGTCTTGAGAAAAGCTAAATAAAAGAGTGTAATCAACTGTTAACTCTTTAATATTAAATTGAACACATAAGTATGTAATTGCAAATGATGGCGAAGGAGTAATATTAATATTAATGTAATTGTGGCTAATATTTAAAGCAGAAAAAAGAAGTCAGTGAAGACAGAGAGAGAACGGGAAAACCACACTCTCGCACACACACACAGTTCAGGGTGTGTGTGTTAAAATCTATCTGCGCTCGCGAGATTTGCAGTATAATTGAGATCAAAAAGAAGAAGGGAAGGAAGAACAAGAGCAAGAAGGCGAGCATGAGAGGCAGATAGATTCAACAAAGTGGATGAAAATTGCATCAGAAACCAGTTAAATTATGCGGAGAGATATTGAAAGTAGATTTTTTTTCGTAAAGAAAAAACAAAAAAAACAATTATGATTTACGCACGCAAAAAGGCGATAAACATTCGAGAGAAGAGAGATAAAGAGTGAATGTTTTGCACGAGTTCTTTAAATGCAGAGTTTAGCTGTTTTCTTGTAATGCAACACTTTGTTTTTTCCTCCCAATTCCTTTATTTTTCTCTCTTGCGTTTAAGAAGGTAATATTTTATTAATTTAAGATCCTCACCGTGAAATTGATATATAAATAATGCGCTGGTGACAGTGAAAAAGGGGAGAAAAGACACAAGAAGTTTTGATGCAGAGAACATGAGGAAGAGAATTCTCTCACTTTTTTTTATTTTTTCACTGGGTGCCGCACGAATCTCGTAATTGATGAGCTTCTTTAAGTTCTTCTCCCTTCGATTGTTTCTGTCTTATTTGGCTCCTTTTTTCTTCGTCTATTTTTAGATGGACAAAACAAAGTTCCACTGGCTAATTTGTAAGGCAGGAAACCGTCTAGAGAGAGAGAGAGTGGCTTTTTGAAGGGCAGAAGAAGAGATGATGTGAAGTAGTTTTTCGCGTCTTTCCTTTTTAAGATGAACATTATACAAGATAAAGAAAAAAAGAAGTAAAAAAAAAAACATTACAAAAAGGCAGAGTGAGAAATACAAACGAATTTCCTTTTTGCAAGAAGAAAAATAGGTACATTTACTGAAAAAAAGCATAAAAAAGAGGTATGAAATGTTTATATTTCTCTCCACACACAGAAAAAGCGCCTCTCTATCTCAATTTTAAGACAGAAAACTAAGGCGAACTGTAATGAAATAGAATGCTAAGCTTCCGAACAGAGACGCAGTCTAAGATTTTATGGCACTCAGAGATCAATATATGAGGTGGAAAAAAATGAGATAGAGAAAGAAATAAACATTTTAATTTAAAATACACTGAGAGAACATGAAGAATTTAAACCAGATTTTTCACTTTTCCCTCCCCAAAGCGCGCGCCAAACACTGGAAGCAGAGCCAACGTGGGATTTCTTGTTCGCACCGGCGAAGGATGATTTAGAATTCTACTCACGCGCAATCGGCGGTAGAATTTATGCCAGAATGCAGCTTATCGCCTCATTAGTTTATCAGGAACAGTAAATTTCAAGGAAAAATGCATTGCAAAACAACGCCTTCAGGAATTGAGATTGATTTGGACTTAACGAGACATTTTCTCCGCCTTGTTGAGCTCTTTGAGTGACGGTAATTGCAATGCTGAGCGGCAGCGTCTTGAGAGGCTTAATGAATTTTTGGCGCTCCGCGGAAATTGGGCGTCGAGTGTAGTGAAGGCGATGCAGAGCACAATTGTAAGTTAGAGATGTGGGCGCGCAGACCTGGCTCAAGGCCGCGCCAATTGATGATTTTGAAGTTGTCGCAACCACGCCAAGAATCCATCCAAGATCGTCAGTTTATCTGCTCTTGGCACGAATTCCACAGCCGGACAGATTGATGCGCGCAGGGATTTTCTAGATGAGAGATTTTACGTCTTCTCTTCGCTTGACTCAAGATCTTTCCTGCATTTGGCATTTCAAAAGATGATGATTTGACTTCATCCCAAGGATTTTTCATTGAAATTAATATTGTAGGGGAAAGTGGTACAAACTCGGACACAACGATCTCTTCCAGTTTAAAAAGAGAACCAGAATGAGCCCATTTCGGAATCGGTAGCCAAGACTACTCAAGATCAATGAAGTGTTTTGCATTGCAATATTAAAAAATTGAACAATATTTAAAAATCAATAGAAAAATTGAAATTCAAAGATTTCACATACAGATCTATGAAGTAATGAAGCCGAAAAGATTGAGTTATATGAAATATTTTCTGCATATTTTCAATAAAATAATAAAATCATAAAATTTTACTCTCTTAAAATCTTGAAATGTGTCTCAGCTAGTGCGTCTAAGCTTACCCACAGAAGACGAAGAAAATTCTGTGGAAAAATCCTTTCATTTCCTGTCATCAAACAGACATCAAGAGAATCGAACGTGCGATTTTTTTTAGACCGTTATGTAGGAAAATGCCGGGAAATTCCACTCGGTGGAAGGATTTTCTCATATTTATTATGAAGATTTGAGATTAATTTAGGAAGTGAGACTCGAATAATTTGCATCAAAAGACATTGAGCGACATATCAAGTGGCGATCGCTAATCCTAATCTACATTCGAATCAAGTCTGTGGCAGAAAATGGGAGAGAATCCGCGGACGCGCAATTGGAAGAGTGCGAATCGATCCAATTTATTGTCACTCTCTCGATGCCTAACATTCCTCCGCGGCGGAACAATTGCCCGTGTCTTCGGATGCTGTGGCCTTGTGACATGGCGTCGCTCAACGCGTGCAGATCGCATTGTCTGCCGCTCATGGCGTGTCCAAACACTATTGGCTCGCCGACTGGAAGCGGGAAGCGAGTCATTGTGAGCGGTGTGTCTCAAAGGGCGAGGTCAGCTGGCTCTCCGCGTCTCGTTCCATACATCGCGCCATCCTTCTCGCCGCGCGGATCACGGATTACCACACGCTCGCGTAAGCGCGTGGAGAAGAAGTTGTCGCCAAAAGTTGTGCATCTGGATTCAGCATCAGACCCGCGGGCATCTATATAAGACGCCCGGTTGCTGGCGGTCGGCACAGTCATCTCCTGCCACTCACTCTGCGAGTTCTGGTCCGTCCAGCTAGCGCTAAAGTTCTTGTGCTCACGTGAAGATGAAAGTGTTCGTTGTGTTGTCCGCCCTCGTGGCCTTCGCCGCCGCCGCGCCCTCAGGAGCCGCCATCCTGGCCGCACCCACGATCTACGCCGCCGGCCCGCTCGTCAGCCAGTACCACTCTCAGGTAGCCACGTGTGCCGTTTGAATTCGTAGTGTAACGCCCCGAGACGCGTGATCTCGAGAAAAGTGATTTCCTTTCGCCAGGCTTTGAGGGAAAAAGTGGATCGGAATTTAGCTATAAATAGAGGTTCAGTTATGCACTCCACCCGCGCCTTTGCCACTCTAAAGACATTCCACAAGCCAAAGAACCTCCCAAACCTGAATGAAGCCCACAAGATTTGGCCAAAAATGTCGCACAAAAGTGTTGATTGATCATCGAAAGTTGTATTTAAAGTGATTTGCGAAGGTTGATTTGAAGCATTTTCGCGATACATTTTTCAAGCCTTTAGTTTGTGACCTTGAAACCAATTTTCACGCCACCTTTTTCCCCGCTCTTGCAGGACGAACTCGGTCAGTACTCGTACGGCTACAGCGGCGGCCCGTCGGCCAAGACTGAGACCAAGACCTTCGACGGAATCACGCGCGGCGCCTACAGCTACATCGACGCCAACGGCCTCCTGCAGTCCGTGGAGTACACCGCCGACCCACTGAACGGATTCCGCGCCGCCGCCACCAACCTGCCCGTGGCGCCTGTCGACACCAACGTCGCCCCCGAGCCCGTCCAGGACACACCTGAGGTCGTGGCCGCGCGTGCCCAGCACCTGGCCGCCATCGATGAGGCCAAGATCAAGAGCGCCGAGCTGCCCGTGGTGGAGACCAAGATCCTGAAGGAGGCCGAAGTCATCGCGCCTGTGACCCGCCTTGCCGCCCCCATCGCCGCCCCGCTGGCCGCCCCAGTGCTGCTGCGTGCCTCTGAAACCATCCCAGCGCGCTTCGGCTACGCCTACACGGCGCCGTCCTACTACGCTGCTCCCTACGCTGCGCCATACGCCGCGCCCTACAACTTCGCCTACTCCACCCACGGCCCCCTGTTCCAGCGCGCCTACCCCTGGGCCCTGCCCGCCGTGCTGCCCGGTGCTCCCTTCGCCCCAATTGCGCCCATCGCGCCCGTCATTGCGCCCGCCGAGGCGGAGAAGCCAAAGGAGGACGCCGTGGTCGTGGAGGCCAAGTCCAGCCAATAAACCCCAATCCGACTGACTGACCTGTCCCAGCGTCAACGAATCACTCCACAACTTCCCTCCAGGCCCACAATCGTTGAGATCCAACAGACAACACTCTGCTTTCTGAGTTTAAACTGCCAAGACGAATAAATATCCGAACAGAATTTGTGTAGAGAAACGAAAATCTGTGGTCTTTTATCTTCTCCTTGTTTACAGCCCAAATTCTTGGATTGGCAAGAATTCGCAGTTGCGACTTATAGATCGTTTTAAGGACGAAACGCATTAGAATAAGCTCTTAAACTAGCATTTTCTCATAAATTCAGAGAAAAAAGCGCCTAAATTACAGTCCGTCTTTCGCTTCCTTTGCCAAACGTTTATCCATCCTTTCGATAGGCTTCGGTAGTTCTCGATTCCACGGATCAATTTCAGTGATGCAACGGATGCAACACTCGAAAAACACATTTTTACGCAGAGGACGAGCTTCAGTGACGCAACGGCGATTAATTCCGTCTTCACCTGCTGGCTTTTGAATGGGATTCCGGAGTAAATCTCAGCGGGAGATGAATTGGCATATTTGGTGAACTTCTGCGAGTGACATCCTCATCCTGACGCGCACCTGCCACTCGCACTCGCCCGGTCAGAGTGTATAAAAGCGCCCGCAAAGGTCGTCATCAGCCTCAGTTTGTGCGCTTTCGCGAAACCGCAACAGTTTCCCGTGAAATGCCTCAGAATTGTGCAGCGTCAGCAAGAATTTTCGGACTAATCGCCGCCTGGCATCTGATCCTCGGACTGGCGCTCGCCATGCCAGCCATGGACGATGACCTGTACTATGACAGACAAGTGAGTGAGTCGTGTGCTTCGTCGTGCCTCCCTCAGTGCGATTCTCTTTTGCAGTTCTCGCGCGATTTCACACCTTGGATGGCGGCTTCGCTGGCGTACACGCGACAGCCAGAAACTCCCTGCCAATTCTACAATCTGCCCGGAAATTATCTCACGCCGCCGCAAATCCACAAGCGCAACTCCGAACTGATAAACTCTCTCTTGTCGCTGCCAAAGACAATGAACGATGCCGGAAAGTAGAGGAGCAACGTGAAGAAATGCAGGAGAAACCCACAATAAACTATCATTTATCCTTAGTACAATGTTCTCTTTAATCAAATCATCTGTATTGTAGAATACTTTATCTCTGGTGAATAAAGTTGCTTTATTTTCATTCACACCTTCACTGACTATTATCCTTTTCTATGACTGCAGCGGGTTTTCGTTATGATTACAGGCAAAAGGCTCAACATCAAATATTTCCTGACAGTTAATGATGGTGAAAACCCATGGAAAAGTTATCTATTCATTTGCACATATTTCTTTTTAATACATAAAAAGCTTTCCAGCAATGTTATTTCTTATCTTAGAGACATGATTTATATGTAAAATAAGCACGATATTCTCTAGACTTTTGAACAACCTAGGCTTTCACTACGTCTACACATACTTACCTATCCGAAGGGAAGTGCTTTTCCACCTTTGAGTGCTGCTGCAGCTCTCTTCTGTCCTGACAATTTCCACTTGAAATGTCGCTCAGCGTAGGATTTATCACAGCGAACGCATCCAAGCATCTTCCCTTCGTCCCCTGAATCGTCACGACTGAGATCTGCAAAGAGAGGAAAGCTTAGAGACACGTTTTCACAGATAACACTTATTGAGTAAGAAGCGATGATCTTATTTTCGCCCAGTAATGTAAACGATTTTGCAAGATTACTGTTTAAAGAATGTTATTTAAATAAGAAAACAATTGTAATTGTAAGTTTGTAAGCTGAATTTCTTCAGGCCTCAAATGAATATGCACAAAGCATTGTTTTACATTGTTTCCGTCTTTTTCGCAAATGTACAATATAACATAAAACGACCGGCCAGTTTGTTCTCAGACTTTTCAAGTGGTGTGAAATGATTCTCAATAAATCAATTTCGAGGAATTTCCTCAAATTCAGTGCAGACTTTCGGAAAATTGCAGAAGAGAGATTTCTCTTAGCGACAAAAACTGCAAAATATTCAACAATACCTGACGATATGTTGCTCTCAGATGTTAAAAGAAATCAATTTGTGTCTTATTTCCCGAAAATAGTCAGAGAAATTGAAGCCAAAGCAGCAACAATTGATTATGTCGAGAAGGGAAAACATTTGACGAGAGTATGAGAAAGATGCAATTTCTGAATTAATTGCACTGAACTCAGAACAATCTTTCTTTAGGTGTTGAATTACGTCGTGTCCGGCGGTAATAAATACTCAGGCGTGACCACTGCTGAGACATTCAAGATGTTGACGCCCGAATCCAATCAAAGTCCTGAGAACCTGAAGCTGGCTTACTATCTCGGATGGTGCGTCGAATTGGTGAGAAATCTACAGCGAATTCTTCCAAATTTCCAATGTTAACGCAATAATTTCAGCTCTTCGACAGCATGAACATCGCTGACGACATGATGGATGGCGGAAAGACGAGGCGCTTCAAGACTTGCTGGCATCTCTTGGAAGACGTCAAGATGAGCGCCATCAACGATGCCTTTTTAATCGAGAGCTGCGTTTATTATCTCTTGCGCAAGCATTTCAGCCACCTAAACTGCTACTTACAACTGTTGGAACTCTTCCACGAATCGGCCTTTATTGGTTTCTTAGGCCAAGCCTTGGACGTGAAGTTCTCACAGAACTTCTTCGACATCACAATGAAGAACTACGAAGTCATTGTGAAGAACATCAGTTCGCATCTCGCGAGTTATTTTCCAGTTGTCTTGGGAATGATTCTGGCCGGATATTCAACTCCGGAAACACTAAAGAAAGCCAAGCTGATTCTCACTGACTTGGGTTACTTTTATATAATTGAGAACGACTTTATGGATTGTTTCGGCGACGCGAAAATCATCGGGAAGATCGGAAGAGACATTCAGGAGGGAAAGTGCCGCTGGATGGCAGTTGCGTGTCTGGAAAATGCTTCTCCAGCTCAGCGGGAAACAATGAAGGCTCACTATGGGCGCGATAATCCACAAGATGAAGCCATAATAAAGCAGTTATATTTGGACATAAATCTGCCGGAAATTTATGCCAAATATTCCAGGGAAATCTACAATCGCCTGTTGAAGACTGTGGAGGAAAATTCCTCCGGGGATTTGAAGAAAGTTTACCTCAAATTGATAGAAACTATGACGTGCTCAAGAGCTGCAGGCGGTTTGTATGCTTAACAGGTGACAAATCAATTGTAAATCAAAGGTAAATACAAGAGTGACTTTTCTTAGACTCCCACAAAGTAAATCATTTAAGGAAATTAGGAAGATATTGAGGAGATTCAGTTAAACTCACCTGTCTACATGTTGCCGAAGTGAATGTATTGCAGCTGCGGCTCCACCTTGAATTGCTGCTGTATTTCGTGCGGCGGCGGCGTGACATGAGCGTGAGGATTGGCGGCCACGATCGTGACTGGCGATTGATGGGGAATCTGAAGCGCCAGTGGCGAAGATTGCGGCGGTTCCATTTGATAATGGTGTGAAGACTGCGATGAAGTCTCTGACGGTGGCGGAAACTTGATCTTCATCTTCTTGGGCTTCTTCGCCTTCAATCCTTGCACTTTCCTGGGCTGTGGCTGCTTCTCCTCGACACCATGCGTCGAGGACAAGTGACGCACCATCGCTCTCTTCGTCTGGAAGATCATCTCGCAGTGATCGCACGTGAAGGTGATGGAATTGTGTGTCATGTTGATGTGCTCGCGGAGAAAGCGTCGATCTGTATAGAATTTATCACACCGCAAGCATCCGTAGATCTGCCCGTGACGTCCTGGTCCGCTCACGACGGAGATCTGGAAGAAGGAGAAGCGATTCATGAATGAATGATTCCCAAATACAACTCTAAATTGCACTAAAATATAGCAGAGAAAGATTAATTTTCACACCCCATCTTTGTGATCTTCAGCGTGAGTTCGATACAAGAGAATGTTATCCATGGTGATGTTGCACTCTTCACAGTGCAGATTATTATAATGATCCGTCATTCGGTGCTTCCGCAAGCCCTTCTTCGTCGACGCCAGGAAGCCACATTCCGGACACTTTGGTATCTTCACCGCCTTGGACAACTTCGACACTCGCGGTGCCTTTGGCACTTTCAACGGCTTCTCGTCCTCATTCAGATGAACCTTCTGAAAGTGAATCTTCAGCCGCGATTTCGTCCCATAAGACTTTCCACAGAGATCACAAATCAGCTTGATTCCCTTGTGCTTCGAGTTGATGTGTTCATTGAGGGAGAATTTCTTGCAATAGGATTTGCCGCACGTTTCACACTGATGCGGACGATAAATCCTGTTCTGATTGCCCATCCCGTGAACCGTCCTTCTGTGGTTCACCAGCGTGTTGGGATTGCGAAACGCCTCATCGCAGAATTTACACTTGAACGGCTTCTCCTTCGTGTGAATCACCATGTGAAGACGATGGGCAAAAGGTCCCCTCAGCACCTTTCCGCACACTTCGCACGCCATCATCTTCGGATGATCTCTGTTCTGGTGATTCCGTCGATCGTTGAATGTGGCAAATCTCCTCGGACACTGGCTGCACTTAAACAGAATCCCGCCAGTCAGGAGTTCCTGGTCAACATTCGGATTCGCCCTGGAATTCCCCTCAAAAGTCGGCATCACGTGAATGTCCAGCAGTTCCCGCGAGAACGGATGCTTGCTGATGTGCTCCTCCACGTGGATGATTAGCGCGTTCTCGTACACGAAGCTCTCCGTGCAAATTTCACAGTTGAATTCCTTCTCAATCTCGTGCACGCGCCGGTGAATCTGCAGGATTCGATCGCTGGAGAAGCTCCGGCTGCACACCTTACAGTCAAACAGCTTCTCCACCTCGTGAAGTCGCTTGTGACCCTCCAGGAACTTCCGCGCTGTGAAAATCCGCCCGCAGGGGAGCACTTCGCACGGATACTCGTGTGCAGTAATCGATCCGCGATTCTCATAGTGTTCAGTCAAATGCCGAAGCTGAGCATAAGCCGTTCTGTTCATCTTGCCACAAATATAGCAAGACAGCAACGGCAGCTGAGGCTTCTCGCCAGTCTCCTTGTCGTCCTTCCGTAACTTCTGCCGACAGCGCTTCCTCTTCCGCCGCAATTCACGCTCTCCGGACGATTCTGACACATTTCCCTCGGTCAGCGTGGGCAAGTCCGGCGGTGGCTTCCACTCCTCGCCCTCTGAGTAAATGTCCATCTCTGGCTCAATGGCCAGGAAGCACGTCTCCACGTCCGGCTCATCCTTCTCTTCCGTCCTGAAAATATTCCACTTTTATCAAGCTTCCGGAAAACGTCTTCCGTCAGTTGAAACACACTTTATCTTCGGTTCCTCCTTCACCTGCACCGACTCCTCGTGATCCTCCTTGATATCGACATGCTCCACTTTGAACTCCGTCCCCTCAGCGTCAGTCATTGCTGACTAACTCCCCAATAAAGTGCTTTTTCCTGCAAATCTCCCACAATCGCAGCGTCCACTTCGCGACTTTCTTTCATTCGGAGATTCGGAAAGTTCATATCATGTCAAAGCGGAGTGATTTTATTACGCGAGGCTTTTTTTTACGTCACTTTACGGTATTTTCTGAGAGACCATAATTTGTATCGGAAATTAATATTTTCAGATTAGATTCATTGATTAAATTGACGATTCTGAAGGCAGAACTACTGAATGATAACATGAAAATATGCATCTTACTTTGAGAATTTTCTAATGTCTTAAAAGAATTTCCACAAATTTTGGTGTATTAGAGTTCAAAAAGGTGGTCAATTCCCGAGAAATTGTAGTTCTTAAAGCGATTGATCCTTTTTAGTAAAGAATTAGAATTTAGAGTCTTATAAGAATGAGTCAAAGGAAGAATGGTCCAAAAGAGTCCTCAGAATTCGTTAATTCCTATTAAATCATTGCTAGGTTCCAGCGCAGCCGCGCGAACTGCCTAGGATTGAAGGAATCTCGACTCACCCCGTCCTTGTGATCATCCACGTGCCGCTTGTACACCATGATGTTCTCCAGCGTGACGTTGCAGTCGTCGCAGTGCAGGTTGTTCATGTGAAGCTTGATCCGATGCAACCGCAAGTCGCGGTGGCGCGGCGCCACAAAGTCGCATTCCGGACACTTGGGCACCTTCAGCGGCTTCCCGCGGCGCGTCTTCACCTTGTCGCCGCTCAGGCTCTCGTTGAGGTGCACTTTCTTGAAGTGGCGTTTGAGGCGCGACTTGGTGACGTACGAGTGGCCGCACAGATCGCAGATCACCTTCACGTCCTTGTGCTTGAAGTTCACGTGCTCCGTGAGCGAGTACTTGAACACGTACGACTTGCCGCAGTACTCGCACTGGTGCGGCCGGTAGTTCCGGTCCGGCGTGCCAGAGCCGTGCGCCACGCGCCGGTGGACCATGAGGAGCGTGGGACTGGCGAAGAACTCGCCGCACTGCTTACACTTGAACGGCTTCTCTCGCGTGTGCGTTAACATGTGCAAGCGATGGGCGAAGGTGCCGCGCAGTACCTTGCCGCACAGCTCGCAGGTCATCATCTTGGGATGGTCCTTGGTCTGGTGGTTGCGGCGCTCGTTGTTCGAGGCAAATTTACGCGGACACTGGCTGCACTTGAAAAGAATGCCGCCAGTCAGGAGCTCCTGATCCACTCCCAGGCGCGCCTTCTCCTTCTCCTCGATTGTCGGCGTCACGTGGATGTTGATGAGCTCCTGCGGAAAGGGAAGCTCCTTGATGTGCTCCTCCACATGGATGATCAGCGCATTCTCGTACACGAAACTCCTGGGGCAGATCTCACAGTGGAAGTTCTTCTCGTCATTGTGGCTCCGTCGATGGATTTTGAAGATCCGGAAGGTCGTGAAGCCCCTGTTGCAAATCTTGCAGTCGTACGTCTTGTCGATCTCGTGGTATCGCATGTGGCATTCGAGGAATTTCATGGCTGTGAACACTTTCCCGCAATTGTCCACTGTGCACGGATATTCCGTGGCCGAGAACATTCCGCGGTTCTCGTAGTGCTCATTTAAATGCAGCGTCAGCCGGTGATTCTTGGAGTATTTCTTGCCACACAGGTAGCAAAACAGAGCCGGCAGCAGAGGCTTCTTGGGTGCCGGTATCTTCCTGGTCGTCTTCCTGGTATTCCTTCTCTCCCTCCTTTTCCGCCTCTTCACGCCCTCCGACGAGTCCGACGACGTCGATTCGTCCTCCTTCTTCCACTCATCACCATCCACATCCATCTCCGGGTCCAGGAACTCGAAGCACGGCTCAGCATCTGGCTCTTCTTTCCTGCAATGCAATTTTTCATTCACTCCGGAACGAGTGTCGTGTCAGACGCCCAAACTCACTTGACTTTCTGCTCCTCCTCCAGCACTTGCACGTCCGCCGGCTCCTCGTCGAGATCAACGCACTCCACTTTCGGCTTTGTGTCCTCCTCACTGTCCATTGTCCCGATATTTGGCTGGAAAATACACAAATTTGTTGCACAAACACCTCCCGGTGTCAGACGGATTGGCGAAGCTATTTCGGAAATTCGGAAAGTGTCTTCGGAAAGCGCGCACAAATGAAAAAAATGAGAGCGAAATGTGCGGAATGATTTGAATGAAAATAATACAAAATTTATTTATTTCATATGAGCAGTGATAAAGTTTTATATATTTAGATAATCTGAGAATTCGTCTATTTTTTATCTACAAGTTTTACAATTTATTATTGGCCTATCTTCATGTAAAACATAAAACTTTCCTCCGCATTGCATGCACAATTCATTGGGCGACTGCATGCGGAACAAACTGTAGAACTTGCTGATCTGCAGGAAGAGGTAAAGCCTGTCCATGAGCTGCGTCTCCAGGATGTACTCATCGACAGTCATTTCGAGCTTCAGAGCCTCAATGTAGAGGATAGTGAAAATGCTGCTCATGAACTCCTCGATTGGAATGAAGCGATTCAATTCGTGTTCAATGCGATTTCCGTGGATTTCCACGTAGGATTCGACGAGATCCTTTAGCAGCTCGAAGGATCGCTCGCTGACTTTGTCCTGGATGCTGACGACCGTGCCCTCGAGATCGTCGTCGTGAAGGCTGTTCTTGAAGTTCTTCAGGACGTTCGCCGTGTACGCCGAAGTGTCCTTCCAGTTTTGCTGACGCATTAAACTGTTCAGCTTCACGCGAGACTCGATGTTCTCCCTCGCGAGAGGATTGTTCCTCAGCGATCGGATGATGTCGCAATTGCCGGCACTTTCGCCTCGACGCCTGATCGTCTCTTTGGCCATGTGATCGAATATTTTCTGCTGATCTGTGCTCAGCATTTCCCTAAAAGCACTGATTGTCGACTGCTGATTGCTCTTGATCGCCTTTTTGGCGATCTTGAAGTTGTTCACAGAGTGAACAAACACAGCTATTGAAGCCGCCAAGCGGATGAAGTCCAGAGCTGAGACGTTCTTCTCCCGCACTTTGTACATTACGTCGAAGTAGTCATTGACGAGCGACAGCTTCTGCATGATTATATTGGCGATCATGACCGTGTCGACGGTGATGCGCATGATTGTGGGAATCGGCTGTCCGTTCCTGATCATCTCCGTCATCCCAGTGCCGGTCAATCCCGCCGCCAGGCCAGTGGCGCCGCCCACGGCGCCCAGCCAGCATGACCGCGCCTCCTTGTCGTCCAGCGTGTTGGGGCGCTCGTGCCGCTTCCGGTCGACGAGCTTCGTGGCTGATCGCGTGGCCGTCCAGGCGGATGCCACGGCGCTCACAATACTGGCCACGGTGAAGATGACCACGGAAATGGAAGCGGCCAGAGGCACCCCAGCGATCAGTCCGATGGCCACAAGTGCCGCGACTGCAGCTAGGATCCCAACAATGTCCGCCGCTCTGTCGATGCCGCTAAGGATCTTGAAGGCCAAGGAAGACGCCGGCGATGAGAAGACTTCGAGCAGAACACTTCCCTCCTCGTCACAATTGTAGATTCCTTCAGTCGGCGCCACAATTATGCTGTCAGGAAGCATTGTGGTGAGCTTGAAATCTCGCCAATTGCTGTAAACTCTTGCGTGATCATCGACGAAGATCATGCAGCAATGTCGCGTGCTTTTGTCCTCTGGCAGTGAAGAATTTAGTACTTATACAAAAGATTCTTGAGATGTGGAAGTTTTATGCAAACTTACTCACGCATTTCATGATTCTGAAGAGTGGATACATTATGTAGTTCTTCTCCTCTTCTGGATCTTCTATCGCGTGCAATTGAACCTCCTCCGACGGTGTGATGATTGCCAAGTACACAATGGACATCATCAGGACGCCATCAGTGTATTTCGCTGAAAGTGTCGAAAGTAAAAGATTTTCTGGCGCAATCTGGTGACTTTAGTTTTACCTTGCCTCCAAATAGCTTCCGTAATATCATCTATTCGCTTGTTGAGTTTCTTCTCCTCTCGAACTTGATTCTTTACCTCATTCTTTGATTTTGCGTCACTTTCTTCTAGCAATGTATCTTCTTCTTCAATGGCGTCATCGGCGTCCTTTTCACTTTCTTCTGCCGTCTTTTTGCTCACGCCAAACACAAGCGCCACTTTGTTTCTCACGTGGATTTTCTGGTCACGCTGATAGCTAATGAGAGCACAATTGTTGTGAATTTGGGAAAAAACACCTGGGAAAAGCACACTAACCAGTCCCAAATGATGTTGTCTTTGTATCCGAAAAAGCGATAAAGGGCCTGCATTTGCTCCCTGATGCTGAGATTCTCTTCTTTGTTGGCTTTTCCTTTGCCTTTATTCTTCATTTTCAGCACAAACACGCGATCTTGCTCAGGTGTGTTGAACTACTGAACATCTCACTTTTCCAGTCGACTGCGAGTCTGATTGTCTTATCAGTTATTGGAAAATGATAAAGCTGTTACGTACTGCCAGAAATTCGTTATCAAAGAAATAAATACGAAGGGTATTATAGATGTGACTCAAGAGGCCAATTAACTTGTAATTAGAGGAAAGAGCTTGATCTGATCAATTTGCATCGCCACTGACAAGTGCCCAGGAAAATGAGGAGAAGTGCAGCAAAATCCGTTGCATTTTGTCGTGACTGTGAAATAAAATCACAGCATTGCAGAGAACAATAAATAATTCTTCGCTTACACTTTGACACTGTGAACTTTTCTGTGTAATTGCTGATCATATTGAAGGACGGTCGCTGAGATTGAAAATATTGATACAAGGCGGACTGCAAGAACAATTGCTGTGTCTGAATCTCAATTCTTTCACACTAAATTACCGAGTGTGCATTCAATGCGAATTTATTTATGGATGACAAATCGGCAATTATGTATTTCTCATCAGCAACACAATTTGTCTATGCCTTTCCGGATGTCTCGAGCTCTGAATCTGTTACACGCGGATTTCTTGGCATCCATCCATCTCCTGTTCTTGACCCTTCGTCATCGCCGAACGACTTGTGCAATTTCCTCGCGAAATCTATTTCCTAAAAAATCATGCCTCAGAAAAGGTTCCGCAAAATGTGCCAAAGCAGCAACTTTGATGCCGTGGAAATGTGAAGAAATGCAATAAATCTTGTATGAGCAAAGCGTTCTTGGTGGATAAACATCTCAAGATTGCTCGATTGATTCTTCACGACTCTCTGGAACATGGAAGGTGCCTATAAAAGACGCTGAAGCAGCTCCTAAAGCTCTGAGTACGTCTTCGGCATCATCAGCGATCCAACTGTGAATATTCACATCAGCAAAAATCCGCAAAATGAAGACCATTGTAAGAATTCTCTTAAGTTTCTGTTCACTGAAAGTGTTCTAATTCCGCTCTCGCTTGCAGTTCGTTCTGTGCGCCTTTCTCGTGGCCGGCGTTCTGGGCGCCGACGGAGAGGAGATGAAGGACAAGCGCGGCCTCGTGGGCTTCGGCTATGGACTGTCGCCTTACGGAGGCTACCCAGGCGCCGGTTACGTGCACGGATATCACGGCTACGGGTACAGAGGCTTCGGCTACCCGTACGACGGCTACCAACATCCTTACGCCTACTCCCCGGGCGCCCTGGCCTATCACGGTTCCCACTTTGGATACGGCGGAGCGCCGTTTTACCACTAAACACTCCCGCTAAAGCCGCCAGATGCAAAGAAATTGCAGATCCATCGAACTTTGGATTGTCTCTATCAATATCTCTGAACAAAAAAAAAAGCCTTTTTTCATTTCAAATTGTTTTCTTCTTGTTTTCATGCAAATAAATTGAATTGAATCGACAAAGTATCAATGTTCGAAGTAAACATACAATCAGGAGGTATAAGAGAAATCAGGGGACTATATTATTATTATTCTCTTTATGGTAAATTTGTAAGAGCTTTCCATGCTGTTCACATGACACAATAAGTAATCCCGCTCAGCGGGTGCAGTAGAAGGGATTCTGGAGACACCATTCGGGCTGGACGCTCTCTGCGTCAATTCCAAAGTCGACCAGATCCCTGCGGTGCAGCAGCAGTCTCCTCTCCACGCCCCTGAAGTTTGTGGCCGGATCTGACCAGAGACGCTCCGCCAGAGCACTGACTCTGGGCCACAGGCGCGCATCCAGACTCTCCTCACCGGAAATCGACGACCAGGAGCACGCTTCGGCGCCCAGGATTTGTCCCCGCCGCTCTCCGCCCATGGCTGTGATGTTGTTGTTGTAGATCTTAGACCAGGGCTTGTACGGGCTGCACCAGTTCACCCCTTCGTCCACATACAGACCGAAGCCGCAGTCGAGATAGAGAGCGTCATTGTTGGAGATGATGAGATCGTATCCTCTGGCCAGCAGATGCGGCACTTGCGACCCAGCGCCAGATCCCACCGTCCACACCTGGATGACGTAGTCTTCAGGCGGCAGGAAGCGGTCGACGAAGTTCTCCTCCGTGAGAGTTCCCGTCCAGAGAATGGCACGCGTTCCGGGCGCGACTTTCTTCAGGCGCTCGTGCGCTTGTGTCTGGAAGTGATTCCACAGCTCTACGAAGTCATCTCTCTGCAAGTTCCAGCCCTTCTCCAGCATCCACTGCTGAATGTGGGCGCTTGTGTTCCAGCACGATGGATAAACCTCATCGCCGCCCATGTGAAAGAGATCCGGGCGATCGAACACGTCGTTCATCTCGCCATAGATGCTCTCCAGGACATCGTACAGATCCGCTCGCGTGGGATCCAGCTGACCGCACGGCGGCCCAGCGCAGTACTGACTCCAGGGCTGGGCATTGTAGCACGCCACGAAGTCCGTGAATTGCCATCCCTCGGCAACATGCGACGGAGCATCGAACTCCGGGATGACGCGAATCCCTCGCACGCGAGCGAAGCGCACCACCTCCTTCATGTCCTCCACAGTGTACACACGATCCGGTCCGTAAGCGCCAAATCTGGCCATATCCGGGAAGTTCTTCAGCCTCATCGGATAGCTATTGGCGTCCGTGATGTGCCAGTGGAAGACGTTCATCTTCACCATCGCCATCACATCTATCGTCCTCTTGATGGTCTTCAGCGAATAGAACTTCCTCACCGTGTCCAGAAGCAGACCACGATGGCGATACACCGGCCGATCCTCGATCTCCACTCTTGTGGGCATTTTGTAGCGCAACTGCAGGTTGTCGTACACAATCAACTGTCCCAGAGACTCCAGTCCGTGTCGCAAGCCAAAGTAGGTTTCTGCGCTGATCCTTACCCCAATTTCCCCTCCTGGGCGCGCCTCCACGTGCAATTTGTAGCTCTCGTCCGTGTCCTGGCGCAGTGAGATATCGGCCGATCCCAGATCAAACTCCACCGTGACCTGTGCGCCTCTCGCCAGCGGATGTCGTTCGGTTTTCTTGCTCTTCAGCACGCGATGGAAGCGACAGATGCTCTCGTCGAGATAATCCTGCACAGCGGCGTCCTTCACCGCCACGAACTCTACTCTACACACGCTCACGGTTTCGTAAGTGTCGCCAATCTGCACCAGTTGCGTGGGATGCGGTAAGAGTGTGGCGAACTGCTCGCACTTCAAATGGCACACGGATAAGCTGTCGAGGCTGCGCCAGTTGTCGTCCGAAATCAGCGTCCTCACGCACCTGTCGTCCACGCATTTGTAGCCCCAAGGCGTATTCCTGCGATAAAGAACGGGATCAGCAAGGTTGATTCAATTGAATTGATCATTTCTGCGACTTTACAATCAAATGGCTACTAAACTGTATTCCAAAAGATCCAAATAAACTTTCTACTCACTCTGGCTTCTTCTCCGGGAACTCAATTTCCTGAGAGTCGCAAATCGACGTCCTCACGATCATTATGATCGCCGCCGTGGCGGCAACAATCACCAAAAGACTCATAATGTAGCACACAAGTTTGTCTGGCGTGAAGAATTTCCTGTTCATCATCAGCGAGCCAAGAGGCAACTGAGCCCTTGTCTGTGGAATCACCCGAAATGAGCGCTTTTTGCGCCGGATAATGTAATCTGCTCTCCATCGCAATCATTTGAGCCGCTTCCACGTCTAATTAAATAGTAAATGCCCGTCGATTCACACAAGGGTGTGATGTTTATAATGATTTCCTTATCTCCTTGGTGATAAATTCTCTCCGTTGTCACACCAATCCAGTGGCAATTGATCAGAGGTCCAAAATACCTCTGATGCACGACACTTTGCGCATTACTTGGCTTTGCGATTCTTCTTCTTGGACTTCGACTGTTGGGCTTTGCTGTTGCCTTGCTCAGCACTTCCGTACTTCACTTTGCTGCGGAACTTCTTGGGATTGATGCCGAAAGCCATCAATCGATTCTCATTGATGGAAAACTTGCCCTGAGCAGTTTCATAGTCAATCACTTGCGATTTCGCCTTCTTCTTCTCGCTGAATTTGAACTTCTTGTGCGGATTCTGTGGCTCTTTCTGATTTTCTTCTGCTTTTCGTTTAGTTATCCTCGGCTTAGCATTCTCTTGTGGCTTAGCATCGATTTTCTTCTGCTGCTTCTTCTTAGTCTTCTTCTCAACTACTTCCATCTTGACATTCTTCGGCTTTTTCTTCTTCTTCTTTTCCACTGACTTCTCCGCTTCTTCCTTGCTTTCCTTCGGATTTTCTCGAGGCTTCCCCTCACTTTCCACCTTCTTTCCACTTCCAGTGAGTTTTATCACAGTTATTGGTGTGTTTTTGTCTTCTTCTTCATTCTCAGACTCCTCGCCATAAACGCTCTTGAGGATGTTCTTCTTTATGTGCCAATTCTCCCGACGCCTCTCATATTGCTTCACCTCATTCATCTCCACATGTTTAGGGCGAATCTGGACTGCCTTCTTCAGACTCGCCCACTTGTTCAGCTCCTTGTTCTTCGCCATCAGAATCTCCTCCACGCTCAGCCCAAAATCATTCGGCACAGTTTCGACGTACTTGAATCTGCACTTCACATCGCCAATCACGTCCTCGCAGTCCATCTTGTAGTACTCATCGATGTACTCAGAGTAGGTTTTCTCATCCTCCGGATTGAACACTGGCTTGTCCTTCCTCAGAACTTCCGCGAACTTGCTTCGGCGCTTCCTTCGCTTCTTGGATTTGCTATTTTCGATCATTTCCTGCTCAAAGTTCTTCTTCGCCTCCTTCGGATCGTATTCGCAGTCCATATTGAAGTCAGGATCATCACAGTGAGGCGCAGAGGGATCAACGTCCACCTCATCTTCCGCCGGATCGTAGTTATCCCAGTCAATCACCTTCAAATCCTCAATATCCGGACACTCTGGCTTATCTTCTCCCTCATCCACACCGTAATACTCATCATTGAAGATCTCCTGCATCTTCCTGTCGTGCTCCTCCGGATCGAAGTCATCCGAGAGATCAGCATCTTCAAAAGCGATTCTCTCACTTCCTGCTACTTGCTTGAGTTTGCTGATCTTCTCCTCGATCTCCTTCCTCTTCAACTCCTTCAACTTCTCCAGCTCTTTCTTGCGCTCCTCTTTCTCCCTGGTCTTCCGCTCCTTCACCTCCGCCCTCTTCTTCTTCCTCTTGTCATCCACATTCCTTACGGACGTGGCGATTGTCCTGGGGAATCTCTTGATGAAGTCCTGATCGTTTTCCTCGAAGCGAAAATTGACTTTCTTCTCGAATTCCGCCTGTTTCTCGAGATCCTCTTCATCTTCTGTCAAGTTTCCCGCATCGCCATCCTCCCCGTCGTCCTTGAAGCGCCTCTTGAGGATGTAATCCCGCAGATAAGCCTCTTCTTTCGAGATATTCGAGTCGTTCCAGAAGACACTGATTGGCTTCACAATTTCCTCATTAACTTTCTTCTCTGCAGGCTTTTTCGCCACTTCTTCCACCTTCTTAGCCACGAACAGGGACTCTGCGCCTCCCTCCTCGCCATCGCTGTCACTGTAGAACTGCTGAAACAACTTTTTGTCCTCTTTTTCCTCCTCAGTCACAACCGGAAGACTGCGTTTTCCTTTATCGTCCGTCTCTTCAAACATCCCGCCATGCTCCAGCAGAACCTTCCGCTCCAGATCTCTAATAGTGATGGGTTTGTCTTCCTTGGAGCGCTTCCGGGTGCTGAGATCAACTTCCCCGAAAAATTCCACGTTCTTCTGATAGATTTTAGGGTCTCTCGCCTTAATAGAAGCCAACGTGCTGAAAAACGTCTTGTCGAACTCCTCATCCTCAAAGCCATTATCTTCCTCAGATTCTTCAGATGAGCTGCTAGACTCGTCGGATTCCAAATCCTGAGATTTCACTGAAATAAGGAAAATTTAGAGATAAAAAGTCTCAGGAAAACAATCATTTGCTCACATTTCTTCAGCAATTCCTTGCGACGCGATTGATCATAAGATTTTGCGAATTTCTTGTTAGTAGAAAAATTGAGATCTTCAGGCTCCAAATCGGAGTCACTATCAAACATTTTCTTCACTGTATCACTCATTTTCAGCAATTTTCTAAAAGTATTCTTGCGCAAACAACACGTGTGAAAGTGACATTTCTCGTCTAAACGACAGTGCTTCCTCTGGCGGATTTCCTTGCAAGCGTCATCGAATCGCTTATCGATTTGTTTACTATTTTGATTTTCGCGAGGTCTGGCTGGGAAAATTGCAAATTTTCCAAGATTCTCACTGTGATCCGTGACTATGTCTGAGGAAACGGTGTCCGGAGACATTCCTGCGGGGACGGAAGGTGGAATTGCGTCAGCGGGCGAACAGACAGAGGAGAAAAGTGAGCTGCAAAACAATACCAAAGGTGAGACACCTTTATCGCCCACTCTTGAGAATATTTCACCTGAATCACATGGAATTTATTACAGTTGACATCCTGCTAAACGCCACGGGCAACGTGCCAATCATGAAGAAGCGAAAGTGGACTGTGGAGCAGGACAAGCCCATCAGTTGGATCATCAAATTCATTCACAAGTACCTCAAGCTCGATCCGGAAGAGAAGCTCTTTCTCTACGTGAACCAGACATTCGCGCCCTCGCCTGACCAGATCGTGAAGAACCTGTACGAGTGCTACGGGACGAACGGCAAGCTCGTTCTCTACTATTGCAAGAGCCAAGCGTGGGGATAACCGTGATTTATTAAATATATTCTATACATTCTCAACTGTACGCCAGTCTCTACTGTTGACCGTACGTCTCCTCGAGGTCCTTGGACGCCTTCCTGGCCGTTCTGTAGTACTTGGCCATGACCGCTCTGTAGTAGTATGCCTGGTAATCATTGCGGTCCCGCATCAGCTCCTTCACGCGCGTCTCCAGCAGGCGCAACTGTCTCTTCTCGTTCTCCTCATAGATGTGGTGGCAGTACTTCTCGTACTCCTGCTGCGGCGTTGATCTTATATAGCGCGCAATGAATCGCGTGATCGGATGTCTAGAGTACTCATAGTACTTCGGTTCGTATCCCTCGGGGATTTCCGCGAGCGTCGCCGGTCCGATGAAGACATTGGAGTAGAAAATTATGCCCAGAATCGGAATTAGACCCAGCATCGTGTAGAAGTGAAGGTAATCCTTGAATTTGTGCCACTGAAAACGCGATGCAGTGATGAAAAACTCACGATCGTGACCTCCGGACATGGCACGTTTGGCCAACACTGGAAAACAACAGAGAATCTCAGATGAATTTCCCAGGAACCATCCCGTTGCATAACAAAAACACCGAGACGAACTGTCAAAGGTGTTTTTCAACCCTCATTTTCAGTTGTTTGTTCCACTATTCTGGAACCTTTCACACAACTGGAAGATTCCTCACCATTTTGGGTGAATCTTTTGCTAGTTTGTGCCGCCAGGAAAGGCACAAGTGGATTTATCTGCGTAAATCCGCGACTCAGGGAACTCCACACCGCCATGATCGCTCGCTTTCGCACTCTGACTGACAGTTCGAAAATGTTCCGGAACATGCTGAGCGAATTTTCGCTGAGAAAGAGCGGGTAACAAAATCCCAAAAAACGGTGTGATTTGGCGGGAATTTATTGAATCATTACATTTTATTGTCGATTGTAATTTACATCTTCACCATCCACCACATGAAATATCAGGATGAGAACGATGGCTCATCTCGAATTCATTAGGACAGCAGTAATTTTTTTTGTAGTCGTTTTTATCCGTAAACTCTGTGTGAAGCTGGAAATCATGCGTTGACACTCCTTTGGAATTACTCACGGTGCAGGTGAAAATCCCATTGCAATTGGAATGAACAGGGAACTTGATGGTGTAAGTGAAACCTTCTTCGTCTTCTGCAACTTCTTCGATTTTCTCTGAAGTCTTCTGGCACATTTCAGGCACAGTCCAGTTGTACTGCAGCAAAGGTTGGCAGCTTTCTTTGCATTTACATCCCAAAACGATGTAATCTTCACAGTAAAGAAAATCCCGCTTCACTGTCACAATTGTTCCTTCTTCCGGATTTGTGGAGTGAATTGATGGTATTTCAGGTATTTCGGGTTGAAGTTTTGGCGCCTTTCTCGGTTCCACCATTATTAGAAACTTCTTCCTATACAACATTCCTTCAGCATCTGAGTAATTGCATCTATAAAGACCACTATTGCTAAACTTCCCATCAATTGTGAGCATTCTGTCTCTGACTGGGCGCAAGGATAAGACTTTGTTAACTGGGCAGAAGTTTGGATACTGAATAACCCGACCATTGTGAGTCCACACACGATTTGTACTGTCTTCATCGCCACAAATCAGCCTCGTTCGCTTTCCCTCCTTCAACTTGTTCACTCTCATTGGCAGTTCTTCTGTCGAGGACAGGATCTTGAGATTCAAGGCTTTGTAAATATAAGCTTTCCATTCTGAATTGAAGTCTTTCGCCAAATAAAGCCCAGAATCATTTATTCTCGCCGGAAATATTGAGTAGGTATTGTATTCAGTAACCTTTTGTGAACTCTTATCATTCTTATCTGCACTCCAATAAGTGTTGCTTTTCGAGTGATTACCGTGAAGCTTAACTCTATATCCTTCAAAAGTTGCTGCTTTCTCAACGACAAAATCACTTTCTTTCACAATAACTTGTGAGACTTTTTGCACTTTTCCCAACGAATTCTCTAAAACACACGTGTAATTTCCCTCGTGTTTTTTCCAAGCAATCTCAATGGTCAAAAGGAATTTGAAATATTCTCCAACATAAGGAAATTTAACTACGCGCTGACTTAAGGAAAATCCTTTAGGAAAATTCTCATCCTTGGAAGTGGAGAAATTCCCGAAAGGCGTGAGCCAATAAAACGACGTTAGAGGCCAACAATCTAAGCAACTGCAATCGAGTTCGACCTTTAACCCTTCACTAAAGTCACTTTTCTGTCCATAAGGTCCATAATAACTGGTTCTAGAAGGAGGATTTTTGGGTTTAATGTTCCATTTCTCGGCATCTTCGTGGCTAATAACGTTCAATTGGAAAAATCCTGTTGTAAAGTATCCTTGTTCCGTAATAACACGACATTCGTAGAGTCCTGAATCCTCCAATTGAGCATTTTCCAGCATTAGCACATCGGATTCCAATTCCACTAAGTGCGATGGACTTTTGCGACGTGAAATAATTTCGCCATTTCTGTACCAATCAATTGCTTTATCGCCTCTACTTTCGCATACCAAATTCTGTTCTGTGTCCTTAAAAATCGTGATGTTCTGCGGAATCTTTCGCTTCAGATAATATCTTTTAGCGTCGAACCAACTTTGTCCTTCCGATTGCATCAAGCAGAAGTGCTCGCCTTCGTTTTCCTCTGAGAACTTATCAATTCTCAGCGTGTATTCATAGTTGATGCTCGTGTTGCGCAGCACAACACTAATTCCTCTGTCATCTTGTTCTTCGGCGACGTTCTCAAAGCGTCTCAGCGGTGTTTCCCAAGTGAACTTCTCCAAATTGTAGTAGTTCGATTTGCTACAACGCATAATCACGCTCGAATCATCCTCAAGGTGGATTGGCACGTTTTCAAGATCCTGCGGAATGATTTTCTCAGCATTTCCAGACTTACACAAATGCACAATAAAAGCCGCACAAAATAATTTGATGAAAATATTCATTGCTAGCCGATTGTCGAATACCAACTGAAGAGTTTCTGAACCACAAGTCAAATTTTAGTAGATTTGTCGAGAATTTGCGTCAGATGTTTTGGTTTGCATTATCAAAATATGAAAGGCATAAGAAATTGTTCAAGTTATCAGCAAATGTAGACAAAAAATCGTGTTTTATATAAAGAATATCACTAAATATCACTGACTTATTTATTTTCTACAAATCTCAACTCACGTTTATTTCTTTCAAGAGACAAATTACAAGTAAACGAATAAAACTTGTAAATAAAATATGCAATTGTTGCTGATTTTTAGAAATCACAGCAAAACCTTTTGGCTTTATTGGGGATGAGAACTCAAAATTTCATTCGTGTCTCGATTGCAAACCCCATTTTCGACAGCCGGCATTGCGAAGGCCCGAAAAGGCCATCGACAATTGGGCAAATGATGCCGATTGTCCTTCTAAATGACCAATTCATGCAATTCTGCACGGAATCACGTTCCTCCGAGGGTCAGTTGGATCATCCGCAAGTGTGACAAACTCTCAATGGTTTGCGTCACGCTTGCAGAATTTACAATCAATAATATTTTCATAATTCCTCATCGACTGTTTGGTGTCATAAATAACACCTCTAACAGGGCAGGGTGGGTTTTTGGGGTGTTGAAATGATTGTCAAAGTGTCTTTGTTGGCTCACGCTGCAATTTCTGGTCATCATGAATACGCACGATGTTTCGGGAATTAATTATATCGATTCGTTGGTTTGCAGCAATTATTCATGCGGTATAATTACTTATTTTTCGTGGCGGTTCCGCGGAAATTGGAAAATTGATAACATTGAGTTGAATTCAATTGAAGTGCTTTCATTATGCTTGTGGAAATGTATATATTTTGAAGCATATATTCAATATCTAGCGAGTGAAGTTATATTATATTTCAAAAGTCTGACTGTTGGTCAATTTTTCACTTCGGACGAATCATTAATAAAATAACATGGCAGTGGAAGCGAGAAACAATAAATATTGTGTGAGCTGAAGGGTGAGAATCGCTGTGATGTCATCCCAAATTTGGACCCTCTTCAGCTGAAAAGTCATGTGAAAGTCCGTGTGAATGTGAAATATTCCACTCTGTCAATTAAATTCAAATAATTCAGAACATGTTTTAATTATTCACGGACATTGTGCGAAGAACTCAACTCAATTGTATCAATTAAACAGACGGAGAAATTGCGCTCGAATCAATTTCAAATGTTAGGGAACCGACAAAGTGTCCTCGAGGGAAGGATTCCTCTTTGTCCCCATTTAAATTGTTCAAATTCATTCAAAACTCTCTCTCTCACTCGCCGTGAAATTCGTAGAAACTCTCGCCCTGCAGCATCCTCGGTCGTCACTCGAAAGGGTACATAAACTCATGGGTGATTCTTTCGGTCGAGCAAATCCACAATTCATTGCGTGTCAATTATCAATTGATCGATTGCACGAAATTGAAAATCTCTCGTCCGCAATTGAGGAAAGAATGAGAGTGAAGTTTTGGATGAAAGGGACAATCATTGTCTGCCCATCACACACTTTTATTGATGGTTTTGACTCCAGGAAGAGTCTTTGGCTGATTGAGAATCAATTGTTATGAACTCCGGTCACGCCTTGTTGGCTATCAATTCACTTTGCCGCGGCAATTTTAATTGCACTCCATTGTCTGCTGAGGATTTCCTCAAAGCACCAGGAGAATTAGCTTAATTCTCAGTCAGAAGAAAATCTGTGGCAATTGCAAAAGATTGCTGCAATGGTTGGTTATTTTATTCCATAATAAGAAATTGTGGTTTGGTCAATAAAAAGTGCCAAAAAGAGAGCATTTTAGTCCTGAAATGTGACCCAAAAACCTTCATTTCTGTTCGGAAATTTTCATTTTGACTCAATATTATTAATTTTTTACTTGCAAAATAGCTAAAATACTGACTCGAAATGCTTTTCCCAAGCAAAAAATTTAATAAAATGCAAAATTCATGAACGCTGGAAAGAGTTTTTCAGTGCCAATGAAAACTGCCATCAAAAGTGTGCAAATTTGCCACAGATGTTCGTGTTGATTCTCTTGATGTTCAATTTTAAATTCTCAATTTGGAGTGTTTTTCTTGACACTGGACACTGGTCAATTCTGCAATTTCACCCTCGAAAACGACAAATTGAACTCGCCAATGCGCTTTCCCGGCGATTTTCCATCCGCAAAACTAATTCAATTAAGTAAATTGTCAGTTTTCAGAGCGCGCGCATTTGGTGTTTTTTGCTCAAGTTTCTCATGTGAACCACCACGAAAGAATCTTCACACTCATGACTTCCCGAGCGTCATGGGAATGGGAATTGGGACCTTCATCAATTCCCACTTCCCTCTTCCACTCTCTCACATATCCTGGCGAGATGGTTGCGAGGAGGGAAAGAGTCACATAAAAATTCACTTGGGCTGATGAATGAAATAAATAATGGGGTAAAGGAATAATTCAGTTATAATAATTATTATAACAACCCAAGATATTCCCTCGTAGAAATCCTTCCGCGTCGCACGTGGCGAAAGTGTGCCACAGACTTTGATGGTTTCAGAATGCATTAATGCGCGCTCAAGGAAAATTAAAAGTTTTTTTTGTGTATTCTGGAGGACGGATATGAAAAATTCTAATAAAAATTATGATTCAACTTCACGGTTGGGGGCGCAGATTAGAATGTGAATTGATTGCACGCTTTTCCTGTCTTGTCGGCTTTTCGAATGCTAATTCTTCAGGATTAGTAAGAATATTCCTTGGGATTTTTTTTCTCTCTTTAGAAAAACTCTTTCTCTTTTCTATTTAAATATCATCACAAGAGAGGAAAACTGCAAACTTTTTGCAGTCACATTAAATATTAAAATGAGAGCAGAAAAAACTACAAAGTTTGTACTAATGGCATAATTGCATATTCATTCGAAATTACGCAGAGCTTACAAACTACTCAGAGGATTTCCTCATACTAAAGTAGATTCTTAAACACTCAGAAGAGGGACTTGAGATGCGACGGACAAGTGTGTGAACTGTCATCAATAAAATCAAAATTCGATTAAATGCAAATGGAAAAATGAAGCTCTCTTCGTCGCTCATCGTCTGAGAGCGCATTGTTTAATTTGTTCTCACAAAATCTACTCGGCAAGTTGAAAAGACACGCGACTCGGACACGTTCCAGTCGCGTGGCCTCGACGAAAGCGTTTCTCCGTTGATACACTTTATATGAAATCCACCCTTCGCTTTTTTGCTGCGAATCACTTCGCAATACTGCTCGAATTCGGAGGTTCTTTTGATGTGTAAGTCGATATGTTGCAAAATAATCCCAGACATATTGCTCTGGCCGATAGATAAAATTTCAAACTATCATTCAGCTAATAACTTTTTGGAGTGCTGCGATGAGATCTTTAAGAACAAAGCTGCTGCACAGTCAGGAAAACTTTCCTAATCCTCATAAATATAGCACTTGAAAGAGAATAACATTATTTTAACGAGAGTTTATCCACTAAACCTCCTTGCAGAATTCATGGAAATCTGCTGCTCTTCCTTGAACTTGTCTTGTGGCGTTAAGTTCACGTGCAGCAAGGGGACATCTTATGGTTAGACGTGGTGTACAGCTCTGCGGAATGTAGGTATGAGTAATTTTAAGAGACATCTTCGGGGAATATTAAAAGGAAACTTTTGAGTTTCATTATAAGTAGAGAATTAATTCACAAACAACCTTAGGAGCTAAAGGACTGGAAGTGTTTTGCATGCAAATTGGAAAGTGATGTACAGCTTTTAGTCGCATTTTCCTCACTTTGAATTTAAGTGCAATTTGCTTCGAACACCAGGCGACCAATATTTGTCTTCCAGAGTGCGATTTATGAGCAATTTTCATCACCAAGTTGCAAAGTTTGATAAACACCCGCACGAGAGTGAGGAAATCCCAGGATTCGGAGCAAGGAGTTAAAGTGTATATGGGTGATGGCTTCAGGTGTTGTGCAGAAAGGTCATGGTCTGTTTTTCTTCTCCGAGAAGTCGTGAATGAGCGAATGCATAGAAAGAAGTCGCAGAGGGGAAGTGAGGAGTCATTCAACCCTCAGTGAAGACTTCCCCTCGACTCATCGGCGCTTCCCCTGAACTGAGGGATTGTGCGCCTTCACGGCGATTCGCGGCTCTCGAGAGGGGATGATATAAAACTTTGTGTCGAACATGAGTCAACTTCTACTCGGTGACGACCCTCCGTGGCATTGGGAAGTGCACAAGCCTCTCGTGTCCAGGGCTGAAGAAGTGTATTCTTCACGACGGGTCAGCAGGTGTAGCATTAAATCCCGGACTTTGCCTAAAACAAGCATACAAAGTGTAAACATTCAACACTGTGCAGAGGAAACGGGATAGATTTCCTAAACATACACAATGTTCATCGAAGTGAATTGGCAATAATAGTGTTTTGTGTGCAGAAAACATAATCGTTACTATAGCGATATTCGGAACAACAGAGGCAAACAATGACAATGTCTCAACTTCTGAAGCGCACGAAGAAATGCTGCATGAAGGTGAGACACTAATCCAATCCCATTTTTTCCCTCTTCGCGCGCACCAAATGAAAGCGGACCACATTATTTTCCTCATCATCATCATCTTACCATCCATTTGGGGGGCGGTTTTCGAGGGTGGCACAGCATGGGGCACTCAATTACTGTGAAATTCCATCCATTTTCGCCTTGGAAAAACATAAAAATTTTTTTGTAGTCTCGTCTGCCGAGAATACTGACCTGATAAGGATTCGCACACTTGCTGAATGTGTCAAAAGGTCACAGAGAGAGTTGCAAATGCGTGTGGTGCGAATTAATTTGAGAACCCCATCCAACGTAAATGGGATTATGAGGAGGCGAATAATTGAGGAGTGTTATTTTTACCACTTTGCATTTTACTCCGGAATGTGTATTAAGTTGCAAAATTTCGGGAAATTTTCCCTGATGGTCAATGACAGGGGCTCGAAATTGGCCTCGGTGTTCTCGCGTTACCGTCACAGGTGAGTGCTGGTTGACCCCTTTCGCATAATTATTCACACACTCTCCCCCTGTTGACCAAACATTACTCACTATAATTTCTATGCAAATTGGTATTTTATGACATAAAGGTAAGGATGATAACTACCAGCTTATATAGTGTATTATATTAAAATAACGCTTCGGCAACTACACGAGTCCTTTGCAGAGTCTTTCGCTGAGGAATGCAGTAAAAATTCAAGTAAATAACTAGCTAAATATACAAACAGTGCCTCATTAAAAATTCCCTGTTCTGCTCCATATTCTAGTGACTGTAGTTGAGCATGTAGCTGAAACTCTACATCAACAGTTAATTGCTGTTTATCTTTGGGAAAGTATTTTGAAAAGACAAATTACAGTTCGTGAAAGTCTCGGGGCTGAATTATTAAATTTTCCCATCCCTTCAATATTCCACAGAATTCACAAACTCCCCCGTTTATGCTTCAAAAACTACATGGAAATTAATTTTAAAATATGCAATATCACATTTTTTGAATTTACAGAAAGTGACTCACTCGCCAAATTCTATTAAATTACCCAAATTCAAACTTAGGATTGAAATAATGCAAAAAATTATTTTATTTCACTTCACAGTTGACTTTTATTGTGGAAAAAGTCAACTTCTTTCTTCAATATCCATTCAGAATATTCTCTGACTACTATTTAAAGTTTCGAGCAATCCAGTTGAATTTTTTAACTTACTTTTCATGTCATGAGCAGAAATCCAATACAAACAACTTCTCTGCGAGAGAGGTTAAAACTTTTCCCCTTTCGCACTCTTCGTATTAGTTTAAAACTCCCTCAAAATGCGTAATCTTCATCCAATTGCAGAGTCTCTCTCTCTCTCTCTTCATCACGTTAGAAATCAAAAAGAACAGTTCCACATGGGAAGTTTCGAGAAAATTGTCGCTGTGCCACTTAATGAGGGAGTGAATTCTCTCATAATTCCCATTATTCATGGAAATCACGATAGAGATTTTGGGGGCGAGACGCACACTTCTTTAGCACTTTTCCTCCACGTTTCACGGGTGGGTGGCGAAAGTGTGTGTGTGGGTGGCTGGAAAACACCCTGTGAAATTCCATTAAATATTCTTGGGCAACAGTCTGTGAGAGTGGAAGTAATTGGCAATAATAGCTGAGGGAATGTGCATCGCTTTCTGGGGATGGTTTGGGAGCACCGAGTGCCAAAGTTAATAAAGTGTGATGCTGTGGAGTGAGCACCGAATTTAATTGCCTTCCTTGTCTCTGCAGTTGCTGCGAAAATTGTCGGTGAATGACGACGAGTCCCAGGAGTCGGACGGGCAGAAGTCGCGTTACGGCCAGCCGAGGACAATTGGGAAGTATCGTCTGCAGAAGAGTCGCGTGGACAGGTGCGAAATGAGCCCGCGCTCCGACTATGGCGCGTGGAGTGTGGCGTCTTTCGACGATGATCCGTCGTACGAGAACGTCGCCATGGCCAAGTATCGCAACTACAGGCAGAACTTGGCAAAGTGCTTCCGGCGCGATGCCGTGGGCAAGAAGAATCTCACTAATCGCCGTCATATTTGGCCCACGTCCAGCTTCAACGACGACGAGGAGATCGTCTTCACGGAAAACAGGATCTATATCGGGCTAAGCGACCGGAACTTGAAGCCGGACGAGGCAGACGTGGTGGACAAAGTGAGTAAGAAGACGGTCGAGGAGACAATCTGCTCGAATCTTGAGGCGAAGCTTGAGGAAAAGAATCAGGCAGACAACATGACGCAGGTAAGAATGCAAGTGTCTCTAGGTCGAAGTATATGATTAAGTGGAAAACTACTTTGTGCAGCAGAATCCAGGGTTGATCTTCGAGAAGGTGAAGTACAACAAGGACAAGAAGTATCTTCAGCACTCTCCGTCTGTCCACAGCAACGCCAGCACAGTTTCGTCCACGCTCGGCGGCCATTTTCCGCCAATGGCGGACAACACTTCCATGTCCATCAACTTCGAGCAGTTGTCGCCGCGCCATGAGCGCACAGACGCCCAGCGCAGGTCTGAGTATGACAACTGGCCGGACTTTCCGGACGACAGCGGCTTCGGGAGTGAAACCAAGTGCAATTTCGAGTGGGACGCGAGCTGGGGCGACGACGCGAAGCGCCCCACGCCCTGGGACGCCGAAGAGGCCGACACCAAGACTCTTGACTCCTGGGATGTGCTCAAGAGCAAGGTGTTCGACACGAGCGACACGTGCTGGTGCAGCCGACGCACCAGCCTGTGCACCGTTGAGACGTGGCTGGAGGACGAGGCGTTTGACAACTCCTTCAACGAAGAACTGGAACGACGGTGCGCCCTGCAGCAGAGGTAAATGCCCGAGTCCCAAGCAATTGTGTATCTAGTGCGACATGGTCGATTTTCTTTCCATCAACAACAATTTTCTTTTTTTCTTATAATTAAATACATATACACAAGTAATTCCCGGATTATGATGGATTGTAGCACTTCCACTCAATGGAATTTTCCTGCACCTTTTCGCTGTCTCAAGGGAGATTTCATTAATCACCGAGAGAGGTGTTCTTTGTCAGAATCCATGGAGATTGAAAAGAGTGCTCGTCAAAGGGATGAGTTTGCAGCTTTTAAAAGGAAATGGATGAAAGAAAGAATGATGCATTAAGAAAACTAAAGTGTGGTAATGATTAACATGATTCCCAAGTGTTCACAAATGCCCAGCATTCCCTATGGTTATAAGGAAAACTTGAGACTACAATATGTGTGCAAAGTTTTCAAATACTTTCCACTTGCAAAACACGATCTAGAAATAGTTTTTTGTCGCATTTCAATTTGTATTTTCCTTGAATTAGTCTTCGTCAAAGTTTCCTGACACAATTAATAGATATTGATCTGGACAAAGAATCTTTCAAAGTCAAATTCTTCTTTGAGAAAGTTGACCATGATTTTCCTCGAGAGTTAATCATGTTCGATGGTCACACGATAATGATCTAGAGATGTCTCAAAGTATGACACTTTCCTCCAATTTTCTCTCGCTCGTGTCGACGATTTTCGGTGGAAGATTGCGAGATGATGGCAGAAAAGTTCCGAGAAGGCTGTCTTACAGAGATTTCATCTCTTGGCTCGGGGCGGGACGAAAAAAAAGTGGATAAAAAGTCATGTTTGCTGCTGTGACTTTGGCACCCACTCCAAGGCTCTCCGACAATTTGTGCTGAGGTGTAAAATCCATGCGAGTTAAGCTCTGCATGTGAAAATACCGAAGCACTCTCTCAGCATATGCAAATATTTGGATTGCATCTGAGAATGTCCCGGTAGATTTTCCCACACATGTGAAGTCATGCTGATTCGGGAAGGCTTTCGCGTGCTCTTCAAGAGGTGCAAGGAAATATTTTTGGCTCTCACTCGTGTGTGTGAATGTGCTTTGATCTGAAGCGGAAGTGATGGGAGAGAGCAAAAAATGCTGGGTCACAGGCGCCATTTGAGGCTTGATAAATTGCCCCAAATCTTCCTCAGAACAATTTCTCTCGCTGATTAGGAAAATTGCACAGCCGCTCCTGAGGCCCTCGAGGGGCTCTCAAGCAACCTCTTTGGCAAGCACAGAAGGAAAAATATCAAAGAAGGTCACACGCTGTGACTTCCAGAGGAGAAATTGATTTTTCATTCACCCTCTATTCACACACAGCCTACTAAAAGCATTTTCATATAATTAATTACTGAAGCCACTTGAATTAATCTCATTAGGAAGTCTACGAGTTATGACGAGCAACGATCAATTTAGCCACTATTCATTACCATATAATTGAAATGAAGCTCGCACAGCCGACGCAAAGGACTCGCAATGGCATTCCGTATAAGGTCACCTGACCGCAAAAGTGTCTCACACAGAAGCAGATCAATTAGGAGCCTTCTTGGCGCCATAAATCCACCTTACTTCTGTGCCATTTCGAGGCAAGAACACGCTTGTAGAGCCTTGGCAGAATTTGTATGAAACATTTAATTTCCTGCAATCACATACATGTTTCTGAGTCTTTTACGACCGCACTGGTGAAGACTCGTGGCATGAATTTATAGAAGACCGACACGCAAGCGGCGGATCCGAAAGTTCTGCCAGCCTCAACTCAAGCCATTCAAGTTTATTTCGCCTCCGCCAAAGCGTCCAATAAGACTAAATTGAGCGTTTAAATTAATACGGCGAGAAAGGCTCGCTATCGACCAAATTCGTTACTGCAAGGTGCTTCCTCGCGCTGCTATTTTTATCCCTGGCACACCGGTAGTTCTTATCGATTCAGAAAACTACGCAGAAGACAAGGAGGTCGAGAGTGTTCTCGCGTTTTCACCCGCTCCACCTTCACTCCACACCCTCGAGCCATGCTTGTTTTTTGAGTAATCACGGATTTTTTCAGGCGCGTATTTAATATTCCATCATATTTTTTAACATGCATTACAACAGCGACATCATTCTTCACAGAGGACAACAGAAGATCTCGCTCAGGGCTGGATTGAGACAATCCGACAGCTTTTCTCTGTCGCTCAATTGCAGAAGTCTCAAAGAAATATAACATCCACACAATCGATAATTTCACTTGCATAATATTGTGAGAAAATTGGTGATTTACCAACCATTAGCTTTGGGCGGAATGATAGTATTTGTAAGAATAGTAAAATCTGTGCAATAAGAACACCATTTGTGCCTTTTTCCATGAAATTTAAGTCCATAAAACCCTAATTTACAGTTCAACCAAGTACTTATATAATTTAAAAATCTATTTCTCATTTTAACTTCTTTTCAACCATTTATCTGTAAATATCTTCTAAAGTTCTTGTCCAATTACTAATAATAACGCAGATTTAAGAGGTGGCTTTATTAACTTTAACTCTCTAGAGCATTGTAATGCTGACAAATGGCCGCAAGATGGCGGCAATGAACTCTTTCTGTGATTAAAGAGATAAAAGCCTTTCTTCAGTAGCACCATTTTCGGGCGGATTTTAAGAAGTAACAACATTTTGAGTGGACAAATTCACAGCCTAGAACTCTCATGCTTAGAATTTCCCCCCATTTTCACTAATTTTTACCACGTAAACAACACGGCCAACCATCGGTAGATGAAGTAAGTTTTGCTGCGACAGCCCTGCTTGTCTTGTTTTTCACAATTCACAGGTTATATGTACACACCCTGTCTTGAGGGCATTTGCATTTATCTTACCTCTTCTTTCTTGTCCTTTCCGTCATGGTAATTCACTTTAGACGTGTTTTGGGACACTCACGAAGCTCGAGCAGCTTTTTAATTATTTGCCATCAAGAGTGACGCTGAAATTAAAGAGGAGCTTTCGCGAGAAGTCAAAAGTTTCTGCTTCAAAAGAAATTCATACATCAAAAACCCCTTTTATAATTCAACATATTGAAACCAATTGCCATGATAATTCCTCTGGCAATTTTTTTTATAGCGCACGGCGGGAAAGTTGTGGAATAATATTGAATTAAGCACAGTCGAGTGATCTGGAATGCGAAATTTTGCTGTTTCGCTGCTTTTTTGGCTCCCATTCACCCTTCAATCTCCTCAGCACGTGATCGATGGCCAAGGTGATGGGGAGCGAACGTATTTTTTGTGCTGAGGCAACCAAAAAATTGTCCTGAGGGGACATTAGAAAACGAACCGCAAAACACACATGTTGTGCTTTTTCCCTATTTCCCTCTTTCGACTCTATTCCATCGTACTTTTCCTTTTATTTGTCGGCAGTGGGAAAACAAGAAGTGAAATGGCTTTCAAGTTGCGAAAAACATATACAACTTAATTTATATTCTTACCCGCAGAAGGAGAGGCTCTCACGTGAAGCAGAGTTGATCACGAGATAGATTTTCTGCCCTTACAATTCGCCAAATGCCGCTGAAATTGCACTTTGCCCATTTGGTGCATATGTATATTTACCAATAATTAAATTCCCGGATAAACATTAGTGCATGCGTGTGTGCATAATAACAGTGCAAACTTTTGAAATATTGAATTTATAGTGGTTAAAATGTGTAATTATGCCGTATTTCGAAAGCTTTTAATTTTGCAAGCCAAATTTATGATAATGGAACATAATGAAATTTAGATTTTAGCGTATTGAGCTCTATTTTGAAGCTAATATCAAGGCTTTTATTAGCTCTTTACATGCAGGATATTCAAAGCGGGACTAGTTTGACCTCAAAATGTTTAATTATCACATTTCAATACGAAGGTAAGTAACTAAATGCGACGTGAATGAGGGGAGAATATTGATTTTATCTACAAAACAGAGCCAAAGCGCCATTAATCAACTCTGTTGGATTTATGATGCCCCAAAAAGGCAGGGTGAGTGGCAGAAAAATCAAGGAAAATCTTGAAGGGTGTTTTGAGATTTGTTCCTCTCGTGTGGCTCCTTTTCAATCTCCATCGAGTGACGCACACAAAGGGGAGAGCAACGCAATATTTGATGAGGTTTTGCGCGCAAAAACAAGTGGAGTAGTGGATAAAAATTTAATGGGTGTGGAAGATTCATTGCGACAATGAGAAAATTGATGCAATCTCATTTCGAGCCAGTGGATGGAATATCATAAAAGGCGATAAGTGCCGTTTATTGTGGCTTTTCTCTGGTGAGATTCCCGTCACCCCATTTTTCTCACGCCACACTCGACATCACACCAACAGCTGTTTCACCCTCTCGGGATGTGAGCGCTGTGTGTCCTCGTCAGGGGAGAGAGACGTTCTATTTATGGCGTTTTATCATATTTACATTATCACTCAGGCACACACATTAATATCAATTGGGGAATATTGGATTTAATCGCTCCAGCGAAAGTCGTGCCTTTTTGCCAAACTGTTGCTCGCACGCTGGATATTTTGGCGCCTTTTTCCTGCCCCGCGGGCAACGTGGGAAAATCTCGATCTCGCGCGCTCTTCCCCTCGCTTTCCCACCATTTCTCGCCCGCCCTCTTGGCAAACAAGGGTGGAAAATTACGATTAAATGCCGTGTGAAAATGTGACTCCAAGACTCCTCGTAATTTAGCCCTGTATATGATGAGTTCAAAATAAATGTTGCCACTGTCGACGTGGGCGGCAAACATTCTTCCTCGAGTGCCCTACAAATTGCCCCCCTCGCCAGTCTTCTCCTCACGCCCCAAGAGACTTGTATTCGATGCAATGAGAAGCCCACTTTCGGCCCGAAGTCAAACACAAGGAATTGCAAGTAAAACATCATTCGAGGGAAGAAAATCGATTATGTGCGTAAACATCATCGGCAAGCACTCACGAAGGCATGAAAAGAAACCTGGCAAGTTGAGGAACATCAAATAAACTACATGTTCGCCTGCGGACTGGAAAAAGAGATAAACTTTGGGTGGGAAGGCTAATTGCGAGATTGTTTTAATTTGCAGTTAAATTTCAAATTGAGTCTACAGCAAAGTCAAACCACAAGACACCCCAAAACTTTAGTATATACAGCGCTGTTCACATATCTTTGACCTTTAAATAGCTTCGAATTTACAACCGAGACACGAAAGTCGACATTTTATTCTATTCTATAGTTTCGTGTATATTTTCCACTAACATGTGAATATACAGTGACATGTCGATAAAATAAAGCACCTTTCTTCTCCGTTTGGTGTTTGAGACTTTTGTATTGATGCTAAATCGAAGCTTCTGGCAAGCAAATTCCAAACAATAAATCTATTTCTAGTATTCTTTTTGTAGAATAATTCTTTGGAACCTTTTTTGAGTAGTTGGGTAAAAACTCTTAGAAATTCATGCACTTGATTTCATTGACAGGAACTGTAAATGGAAATGCAGTGGCAAAGAAAGCTCGACAAGTTGCAAATGAATTTCAAGTATTCAACTCAGCATCTTTTTTACTCTCTTATTCTTCTCTATTTCTCAATGGTACTAAATGGCTTGACTACGCATTCATAGGAAAAATGAAATTCGTGAAACTTCATCTATTCAGCATTCTCCTTTTTATTATGCACTTTCACGGGTGTATTTTACACATTTCTTGCCTCATTGGCTCGTCCTTCAATCCTCTTGACCGGCCAAATCATGAGCAGAACAGGGATGATACTGCAAAGAGGATTTCCTCGGCAATCCACCCCCGAATGAGGGTGTATCGCTGCCTTCTCGAGAGCCAGTCTGGGTATTTATTTAAAGTTTATCGCTGGACTCACTCCCGTCGGACTGTCGATAAAATTGAGGATTTCTGCCTCGCCGCTGAGAGTGGAGTGAGAGAAATTCCGGAGAGTATATTGTCAATCGCAAGACATAAATTCGGTTGAAATTGAAAATGATAAGGGTGTGTGTTTAGCATGAAAAGGGCAAATTTTCATATTTCACCCCGCTGAGGCGAGTGGAGTGGGGAAAAGTGATATCACTCGCAATCAATAGAGCGGAAGGATGAAGGAGTAAAAAATAAGCGATGGTGTATATGTAAAATCCGGTGAGAGCATCCCTCATCCCTGAACCTGAATTCCAAAGTACCTGGGAGTGATTGTCAATTTTTCCCCGCGCCCAACAATCTGATGGGGAGCGAATGGTAGAAACAAGAGGCAGCAAATGGATTGGAGAGGATCGATGAGTGGAATTAATTGGAATGATTAGACAAAAAATGCCCATATTGATGCCTAAAAAGGTGGATATTTATAGCTGAATATTTATGCGCCCTGGGCAATTTACCAATTTAATAATTTCGCATTTTAGACGTGACGGAAATGAAAGAGAACCTTTCCAGCATTTCAGAAATTGTTTATTCGCCAGACTGGGCGGGGTTTCCGCGTGGGCGTGGCCTAATCAAACAAAGTATCACAGCAAACAGTGATGAGTGTTTGGTGCATTCGTGCACAAATTACAGGGATTCTGCATATGGATTGAATGTGAAAGGTCGCGGCTTTCGCGGGGGTTATTTTGGGTGAATTTATGGAAAATATATGAACACGAGTTTTGTGTAGTGTTTCTGGTTCAGCAGTATAGCTGAGTGACTTCTGTTGTCGCACTTTATGACGCGCAAACACACCATCAACATCTGCCACGAATTTGCATTTACTCATGCACACTCGTGGCGACCTGATGGAGTCCGGGTGGCTCTGGGGACTCATCTGGGCGCAGATAGAGGCAAAGGACTCCATTGGAGAGTCATTTGCAGTCGCGAAGCTGTAATGAGCAGCTCCGCTCAAGGATTCACTGCGGAGCTGCAGGGAATGTGGATGAGATTTGGCATGGGGAGATGTTGCAAATTGGATTGGAAGGACAAACAAATCAATATGCAATAATCGTCGACAATAAGAAGGGTCAAGGTATGTGGCACGTTTTTATGATTATTTCTACAACATTAAATGCAAATGTACTTCCAATATGTGAATTTTTATGCCCTCCTCGATCTCTTTCGATCAACCAATATGAATATTGTTGCGGAAAATCCAAACAATACCCAAGGAGAGAGAGTGTATTTCAGCCTGAGGGAAAATTGCGTTCCCTTGGCTTTTATTGCTTCTGTTCTGTCTCTCCATTATTTATGGGTGATGTTCCTTGTATCATCGCGAGGGAATGAAGATGGAGAGACTCCAAAAACACAAGACCACACAGTAAATACACTCTTGGCGCTCTGGGCGCGCAAAGTGGAAGGCTAAGTGGTGGAAAAATCCCGTGGAAATTCAATTACACTCCTCCAAGCATTAGTTGTGTGCAAATCTATGGTTGAGGTAAGGCGAGGGTGTCCCTTTGATGTCCTCCAGCTGTAGTGTACGTGGGAAAATGTATTTAAAGCCTTTGTACACACGCGGAGCCTTCACAATTGAGTGCGCTACGCACCCATTCTCCCGGGCATGTCCCTAAATAAACGACCGAGAAAATCCACCACGAGCAAATGCAGGGACGCGCACTCGAGCGAGCGTTCCCACACTCGGTGCATCGCTCCCTGGCCATGGGAGACGCCTCGGCACCGGAGGACGCAGATGATAGTGCAAGTGTTGCACCTGACTCCCGTGCGCGTCACTGAATCGCGTACCTGAACTTTGCTGAAATTTAATGCGAATGATTTAAAGTGCCTCTCAAGGCGCTTCTGCCTGAAGTTTATCTATAGTTTATTCTACTTTTCCAATTTCAGACACTGACATTTTCCTCCAAACTCAAGAATTGAGAGAGTTGGAAAACTTTCACAATTTGTCTCTCCACTAAATGTGTTGTGGCTTATCGAGGAATGTAAATTACATGTTTAGTTTGATGGTGAAATGCATTGACTGGATAAAAATAGGTCAAATTGGGGTGGTTTTTGGGTAAAACTTAAGGATTTTCAAACCATAATGGAAATAAAACTTGTATTGAAGTCCGATTGATGGCTTTTAATGCACGCAAATTCATGAAATTCATCACTAGTCTTGCTCATCCTTTATGGATTTTCCGATCAATCTGACATGACATTTCTGCATTCTGAGGGATGGGAAAACGATATTTTGCGATTTCGTGCTCCAATCGCTAAACAAAGAGAACATTTTCTGACACGTGAAAAATTTATGTATCAAATGTTTGATCATGAGTGGGAAAAAAAATTCACACAGAGTCCGATGAAAAATTCACACCATAAAATCCTGGGTATTGATTTATGCGTTGCTGCACAGTGTGTTGCATTAAATTCACATCGTATACATTTCTCGGTTTCGCATTGGGATAAAATACTGCCGCGGAGGCGACAGATGAAAGCTCAGAAGCACTCAAGCGCCATGATTTGCACTACAGCATGTTTAATGCAACTTCACCTCTTAAAATCCGCCTCGGTGGAAAGTTGTGGCAATTTTTATATGGACTTCAACTGTGGTTTTCCTCTTGTATTTGCCACATCAGCGTTGAGTTCTCCTGCTTGTGTATCTAATTGATTTTTCAGTGGCTCTCCACACAAGGACATCAGCCAGTGGAAAATCTATTTTGTTCTTCGTATTCGCGCTCATCTCACTGCCATATCATAAATTGATCCGTGGGTGCTGCTAATTTCTCTCCACATAGCGTCCATCATCGCACATTGCAAATGAGCGCACAAATACGTAGAAGAGAAAATGCATCATAAACCCAGCTTAACACTTTCCGGGGAAAAACCGAGGGAAATCTCCGGACGCGCACATGAATATTCCAGGCGAGTGAGTTGAAAAAAAGCGCCCTGGATGCTAATTGACCACTGGTCACCGGAAGCTGCCGCGCTGTCTCTTTGCATCGCCAGCCGTGTCTCATTTTGTGCTAATGAGGCCCGAATTTGCATTTAACGCCACGACAAAAAGGGGTTGAAAGAGGGCGAAAGGGTGGATCGTCATTAAAAAGCGCGTCTGGCATCCCCTTTGCACCGAAGAAATCCTTCCCCACCAGCTGCTGAAGTCGCAGATGTGTGAATTTTTCATTATGGAAATTTCCTCTGCACACCATTTCTCACTTCCGCCAAGGAGAACCTGTCCAGAGGAATAACTCATTCTCAACCCTCAAAACGCGCCTGTTTCTCATTCAAACATTACTTTTATTATTGCAAAAGAGGCAATCTTGGTGTAAAATCACAATTTTATGTCTTTTTCTCTTTTTTTCGTTAAGGTTTTCTTTCATTGCTTTAATCCTATTCGATATTGTGTGTGGAAAAATATGAAAACTTCATACAATTCTCTCTTAAAAATATTAAATTTTTCTCCCTCTCTCTGTCTCTAGTATAAAAATTTCTCGGAATTTATAGAAAAATACTTTATGGCATTTTCATTGTATAAGAAAGCTCTCTTTTTTATCTCGCATTCAAAGACGTAAATCTTAGAGTAAATAAGTTATTTGTATAAAAATAGACATTCTCTCTGGCATCCTTTGTAAATGACTATAAAACGACTTAGAATTCTGTGACTTGGAAGTGTCTTGCACGCGTCAATACGCCATCTCGGCACCCCACGGCCTGTAGGGCTTCGAGCCGTTTCCCGCGGGCGCGTTGTTGTTGTTGTAGCCCGAAGTGGGCACTGCGTAGCTCTGGGCGCCACCGGGCGGGTACTGCGAGTGTTGCGCGTAGGCCAGGCCGTGGATCGAGGCGCCGCGGTGAACCGCGGACGAGAGATCGGTATAAATGGGGCCGGCGGCGCTCTGGTGCTCCTGGTTGTTGTTGGGATAGTGCTGCTGCGCCTCCTGGCTGTGCTGCACGTCCGTCTGGTGCGTGGACGTGGCCGTGGAGGCGGTAGCATCGTGCAGGCTGTCCACGGGAGGCACTGGAGCCGGAAGATTGGGCACATATCCGGAGGAAGTCGTCGCCTGCGGCGCGTAGTTCTGGTACGTCGCGTGGTGATAGGCTGTGCTCTGATAGGAGGCGCCGCTGGATCCGGGAGTGTTCCAGGCGCTGGCAGACTGACTAGTTGAGGCGTGCGAGGAGTTCTTGGCCGACAACTCGCGCTGCGCCACAAAGCACTGGAGGTGCGACATGAGGCGCAATCTGAGGGGATCTTGGATGTCCATGCCCTCAATGGTGACTAGATAGCGTGCTACTTCCGATGCACACTCCCGGAATCCGATTATGTGATAATCCATGGCGAAGCGCTGCGGATCGAAGGCAATAGAGTCGATTCCTGCGGCGAGAAACAGGATGAGCGCATATTAATATTTGTCCGGACAGAATGCTTGACCCTTTCGCGGACACGGTCAGGGAGTTTGCATCTAATTGTCTATTCAAGTGTGCTGAGCCGTGAATGAAATAATGAGGACAATTCAGTGTGGATTGTAAATGAATTTCGCAAAACATTGCAATTAGAATTAATTTGCATTGCTATTTTGCATACCAAATTTCATGTATTTGGGCGGGGCTTCCGAGTGGGCGGGGCTAATGACAATTTCCCTTTTGTCCAGGTGTTGAATATCTTAAATAATCTCTCGCAATTCATGATGATTAACAGTCAGAGTGAAAGATACAATTTCCACTACTGAATTTCTCTGAAATGTCCTGGTAATTATTCCCCAATTATCCTTATGCATTTGCATGAAACATTTACTTCAAATACACGTGATTATCCGCAAATTTGGTCCATCTGCCACAGTACAATTAACTATATTTTCCCTAATTTGGCACAGAATGACAATTATTCACCCCTTATCCCGAAAATCCTTACACTGTGAGATAAAAATACTCTCCCACGACTTTTTATGGTGTGGGAAAAAGAGTCCATAAACATCAAAATACAGAGAGAGAGAGAGAGCAAAAGGTACACAAAAGACACCCTAATTCCGTACACAATTTAGTTTGCTCTCCCTCCGCACACACACAAACTATTTCAGTGGTGGCTTCCTCATTTGGCTGGTTATGCGCTCTCAAAACATTCCCACGCGATTTCCCTCGGCATCGCCCGTCTCAATTGGTAGGGAAGACGCCGAAGAGGGTGAGAGAGTGGGAAAAAAGTCGGTGTGTGATTCACGAAAATGGCAAATTCACATGTGAATTGCGGAGAAGGAAGAGTCCCATTGTCGGGCTGGAGAACCTCTTCTGTGCTTTGAAAAGTCACACAGGGATTAATTGGCATTGAGAGAAGGGTTCCCAACTGGTTCATGCAGAATAATACCCCCGGAATTGTTGCTCCTGTGAGATGATGAATAAGTGAGATTATGATTGATGAGCGGTGGGAGATTGAATTAATCTGATAAAAGTTTAAAGCCTCAATCTTGAGCATGATTTTTGGCCAAGGACATGAATTATTGAAGGATATCCGTGCAAGATTCAGTGACAATACGCGGTTGTTTGAATAATTCACTGGCGTATCAAAACCGTCTCAGCATCGATTGAAGGGGGAGACCCTCAACATGCAGTGTATAAAACACAATTACGGCGATTAACCTTTAACCAATTCAGCATGTTACATCAATGAACCATTATTCCCGTATCAAATAACACTTCCGCCCCATGAATTCTCGCACAACTCTGCCTCAAAGTGGGCGACGAGCGAAAGGGTTCTGTCGCCTCATCCTTACCTTTCGAGTGGAGCGACTTCAAGTGGTCAACTGTGAGCTGGAGAATTTCCGCCTTCTCCAGCTTTGCTGATCCCTGCTTCTCATAGGCACTCGGCACGAGACGCTTCAGCTCAGACAGTGATGAATTAATTCGATCCCGGCGTTTCTTCTCAATCACGCCGCGACGCTTCTTCCGCGTCAGCATCTGGCAGCTGTTCGGCTCCCCCGGAGAAGCTCTGCAAAGAACACAAGAGCAACTTAAGCGAAATGTGAAAGTTTGCAAGAAAAAAAAGACGCGCAAGCTTTGGATCTGTTCCAAAGTGTGGTTGAAGTTCTCAAAACTATTCATGACAAGGGAAGTACAACAAGTTGTAATTGAACGTGCAGATTGTGATGAATTCTGCGTTGCCTTTGAAATATGAAATTCAGAGGAATGCGATATTCAGAACAAAAGGGGAGAAGTTTGTGAAACTGGAGGACGCCAGAAGATTTCATTTGAGCCACCTATGAAGAGAATGCAGGAGAGATTGTGTAAGATTGATGTGAGATTGAAAACTTTCACAATATGTTCTCTTGAATTTAATTTGGGGAAAATATCACTCATTTTTCTGCATCGCTTGCGTTGTGTCTTTGCGTCGTAAAGATTGTATTTTGCATATCACTTTTGTAAAGAATATATAAAAATTTTAAAATCATTTTAAAAGCCGATTTGTTGGCTATTTTGTATTTTTTCCGAAAAGCTTTTTATCATGAAAATCACAATCTGGCTTCTAATTGCACTGATTCCACTATTTTTTCACTTTAAATCCACATTAAAGAGTCTGAAAAATTCGGGAATATTCAGCACACTGGCTGAAATGACTTACTGGTCTTTGGAGGACTCTTCTGAGTACAGGTCATCGTTGTCGCTGTCCGAGAGCGTCCGCTTCAGCTTGCGGCTGGGCGGCGGGATCCACGTGTTGTGCGGTTGGCCAGTGGCGTATCCCCAGTGGAGCGTTGAGGCGTGGTGATGGATGGGATCCATGCCAGCAGGTCAGGAAGACACAGAAGGTGTTGCACACGCGACGGACACACGCCTTGGAGACGTCCTGCCAAGACGCTGGCGAGGTGGCGGAAGAGTCTGGGCGAGAGTTTCGGGAGCGTGTGCTCACACGTGTCCTATCGTGTGTGTGAACGTCGTTCGACTGATTTTGGGACGTGCGTCAAACGCATGCAATGCATGTGTCATCCCCTCCCTGTCTCTCATCTCATTCGCACTTCCCTTCCCGGCACGCATTCCCCCGAGAATTGGGCCAGCAGAGGTGCCGGGATAGCCGCGAAGGGATGCAGATACTCCCTTCCACGCCACTCTTCCCTCTCGCTCGCGCACCCTTTCGCCGTAATCGGGCGGAGAGAGACGCCGCGAGGCTTGGAAAAGGGGTAGGCCTCCGGCGAGCGCGGCTGTTGCGCCTTCTCCTCACCAACAAGTCTTCCGCCTTCTTCCCAAGTGAGACACACTTCCCGGTCAAGTACCAGCGCGAGAGATAAGGCAGTCGCCTCTGCCCAGTCACGTGTCGAGCGGATGCAAATTTCATTACCTTGTTTGTGTCGACAACCTCTCGACATCCGACTCATCCTCCGGTAAGCATTGAACCACCTGTTATCCCTGCAAAGGAGCACAAGTCACCATTCATTCAATAAATTGATGAAGTTAATTGGAATTTTTCAATTTCCTTTCCATGGCGATGAAGCACAACAACTTCAACGTAACAACTCAGAATTCAAGACAAGTTGATGTTAAATTACTCAATCAATTAGAGAGGACATTGATAAAGACTTTTCAATGTTTAGTATACTTACTGTTACATTCTTGCATTTAATAAGACGTCTGAGAACAATTGTGACGTAAAGTAATTAAATTTTCTTTTATGATCCGTTTTATACTCTTCGCGATTCAAATGTTCAAACTCAGCGACCATTTTGAGCGATTTCTGAAAGGTTTCGAATTTGAGGGTGGATTTCGGAGAGTCATTTTCGGAAGAAATACACAACACGTCAGAATGTCATCAGCGACGGTAAATATCATATTTTATCAATTTTATCGTGATTTTCCTATTCACAAACAATTGGAAATGTTTGTTGACATTCCAGTGCATAAAGTGACAGTGAAAAATCAGAAAAACCCCCCTGGGAAAAGGAGAAAATGTGTTGCGATGTCAGTGTTTTCGTGGGCGCCTAAAGCAGCTCTTATCTCCTTTCCAGGTGCCGCTTCTGGATGACGACACCGTGCCATTTGGCGAGGAGGAGACGCTGGACGGAGCTCCGCAGAAAACGTACACGTAAGTCTCTACGAAAGCAGTTTCTGAGACGGTTCTCAAGGTCTTCCTCTCTTCCAGACATCCGTACATCACATTCTTCCACCTGTTCTTCCGCGGAGCCTCGGTGGTCACTTACATGCTGTGCGGCTGGTTCAGCGACTCCTTCATCACCAGCTTCGTGTGCGTGGTGCTGCTGCTGTCGGCGGACTTCTGGACGGTGAAGAATCTGAGCGGGCGCTTCTTGGTCGGCATGCGATGGTGGAACTTCGTGGACGACGAGGGCGTGTCTCACTGGGTGTTCGAGTCCAAGAAGAACACGCGAGTCAGCCGCGTGAACGCCCACGAATCGCGCATCTTCTGGATGGCGCTCATCCTGTTTCCCGTGATCTGGGCGGTCTTCTTCGTGATCGCCCTGTTTGGGCTGAAGTTCAAGTGGCTCCTGCTCGTGCTGATCGCCCTGGCGCTCAACGGCGCCAATCTGTACGGCTATGTGAAGTGCAATTTCGGCGCCAACAAGAATATTAGCTCAGTGACGACGGACTTTGTGCGGACGCAAGTGCTGAAGAACGCCTTCGACATGATGACGAAGCCCGCGAATCAGCCCACAGCGGCCAAGCCGACAGGCGTGATTTAGGCCATTCCACCTGATCAGTTGGTGAACGTGTGTGTGATGATATTTGAAAGTCCTAAGCATTAAAATAAATAGTAAATTATCTGCGAATTCCTGGATTTTTCCTTTCGCGCTCTTGTTTCCGGAAGTATTTTGGAAAATCAGCTGGGCGACGACTGCTGCGCCACCTGCGGGGATATCTGAGACATGCCTAGTGCGCAAAATAACACAAAGAGCTGAAGAAAACAATAAGAATTATTGCATTTTTGAGACATTTCCATGACGAGTCACTAAACAATTGTCCAATAAAAGTGCGTGGCAACTTCTTAAGACTGTTTTGAGCTTGAGGAATGGTATTTTAGTGCAAGAATTAGTGAGAAATTATAGCGGAACTGTGAATGAGTGCAAAGATGACGTCCGTCGAGTCAATTCCGCTGAAAATGGCAGAAATCTCCATCAGAAAATTCAATGAGGACGCCATTCCTGGCCACTTGGGCCTCCTGAGGAACCACAAGAGCCAGATCGAGAAGAGCCTGGCGCTGCAAGACTGGGAGCGTGTGAAGAGAGAGGAAATCAACGCGACGAGGGTGATAAAGCAGTTGAAGAATCTACTGCTTGAGATGGAAATCCTGCGGAACAAGATTCACACTGAGGAGGTGCCAAAGTTTGATGACTTGACTAACAGATCCCGCCGCGAGGCGATAGAGAGCATCCAGGAGTTCGTGGAGCTGAAGCTCAAGTCGCCTGACAAGTCACGCAGTTCCAGCAATCTCGAGGATTTCGATCCGGACGTGCTGGAGCCTGATCTGCCACAGCTGGAGTCTGAGTTCAAGCTGCCCGAACACCAGCTGAAGGCGCGGGAAGCGTGCCTGATAGAGTACGAGAATCTGCACAGGGAAGTGCAGGACATTCACGAGTTGTTCCACAAGTTCAGCGAAAACGTCCAGGAGCAGGCGGAGAGCGTGACTCTGGTGGAGAGTAGCGTCTCCGAGACGGCTGAGAATGTGGTGCACGGCGAGCAGAATCTCCGGACGGCGCTGAAGTACAAGAAGGCCATGTATCCAGTGTGCGGGGCGCTTCTGGGCACCTGCATTGGCGGCCCGATTGGCTTCTTCGCCGGACTGAAAGCCGGAGGCTTGGCAGCCGTGGGTTGCGGCATCCTGGGATTCACTGGAGGCGAGATTCTGAAGCGGAAGGAGCAGGAGGGCGTGGAGGTGGCTCCGGAGGCCACAGAGAGCGACAAAACGAAATGACACTCATGCGATGTTCAGTAGTCCCGAAGTCGCCTTGTCCTACCTAAAGTCATTAGCAGATTGTGTCTATTTTAGGAAGCTTGCCCAGTGTTTTCCCGTTGAAAGAGATTATAAAAATGTCGATAGCTTTAAATGAAATGTTCCAAAAAGCATTTTCCGCATTTTCACTGGGTTGCGACTGTTGCCGATACCAGCCACCAGAGGTGTGAGAGGGAAAAATTTCGGCGACACGTAACCTCACTTTGAGGGTGGTTGTCAAAACAAAGGGCAGTTTTTCGGGGGCTCTTTACATATCCGCTTTTCTGTGGGAATTCCACTTCCAACATGAGTGAGAACAATTGTGATGGCAAGGATGATAGCTCAGGTGTCAGTTGCGAGTATCCTACTGAGAAAACAATCAATCTCCTGGCCACAGGCATTGTGAATTTGTACCAGTCAGATCTCGAGAAGATCCAGAAGGACCTCAAGAATCTAACGTGAGTTTTACAACCAGGAACATGAACAGGATATTAGTAATGCGCTATTGTGTGTTGCAGATCGAAACAGGACAAATTGATGGGTCAATTGGAGAGCGAGAAAGGGCGATTGGATGAGAGGCAATTGAGGAACATTCAGGAAATGGTGAGTGTTTTGATGTTTCTCTGGAGAACTGTGCAATATCCTGTCTGTTTGCTAGATGGACAATGTGAAGGTGTACCGAGAGAAACTGCTGATCATTAAGAAGCAGATGACTAACATTCATCAACGATCCAGGCAACTTGTGGTGAGTATTCTTCGCGAATCTCTTCCGGGAGTCGTTGTGAAGATTGATTTTTTGCGTTCTAGAAACGCTCACAGGACTTGCAGGAGTTCAAGGAGAAGGAGAAGCAGCAGAAGATACAGAAGAGACGCCAGGAAGAGGCGCTGATCGGGAGACCATGAGTTTTAAATTGGTTTTAAAACAGTAAATAATTTATTCTATCTTGACGATCACATTCAGCAGACACCACAGAACACTTTGAACCATATTTAACTACTGGAACAGGTCAGAAGGCGCTTCCAGGCTCTTCGGGACACTTCACTGCTGGAATGAGTTGTGTCGTGTGTCGTCATCCAGCATGTGGATTGCATCTGTAGGTGTTCTGTATTCGTTTTGCATGAGTTCTGTGGGCGATACAAACAGATGCAGTCAGTGTGGAAGCGATAATCCCCGGATGTACACAAAGCCACAATAAAGTAAATAAGGGTAAATACTGGAATCTACTGGAAATTGCGAGTGGGACAGGAGAAAACCCAAATTGCATGCGATTAGAGGCCATTCTGATGTATAAAACGTATCAAACTAGCTACTTTCGGAACTCAAGTGTTAGTTAAATATTGTTAATGAGATGATAATTTTGTGTACCTTTTCATGTCTTTCTTTCCTTCCCCCAAATCTTTGCCTAATCTCATTTAGAAAACCTACAAAATTCACCTTTTTTCTTGGTCCTTTATTTAAGTACAAGAGAATAGAAAAAAACATCCTTACAAATTCATACTATTATGTAAAGAAGAGAATTTGAAGAAATCTCAAATGGGTTTCTCCAGCAAATTCTTCTCTTTCTGCTCACTCTCGTCATTGGCATTCGCGCCATCGCCATTAGTTAACTCTTCACCGCAATTTGGACTATTAACAGTGCTTACTTCTGTCCTACTTCTACTCTGGCTCTTACCGAATTTCGGCGCGAAGCGATCGTGGATCCGTCGCACGATCACGTGCAGCACCAGCAGCAGAAGTGCGCCCAGGCCGAAGTAGCGGAACGTGAGGCTGCCGCCGATCTTGGCGAACAGGATGCCGGCTATCAGGCTGCCCATGGACACGCCGACGCCCTCGAACACCGCGCCGACGAGGCCCTGCGAGACAGAGAGAGAAAGAGAGAGCGCTGAATGGACATTTGCCACACTATCTTGACCATTTCAATGCACAATAAAACGCCACTTAATGAATTCAAAGGCGAGTCATTTATGAGGCGATTGATAAGGTTTCTTATCACTCACAACCTGTCGTGCTCTTATTTCTTACTGGATGTTACACACGATTTTAATATCCTGCCCAACGTGCCCAACCCATTAAAAACAGGTGCAAAACACTCTGCGAAGCCGCATTCGCTGTTTTCTATGCGTTCATTGTCAAATTGCATTTTATTGTAAATGATTAGCATTTTCGCCTTGTGCCTCAACAATGCGTTGAAAAAGCTTGAAAAGCATTTTCTAGGAACATGAAATCTTGCATAAAATCGAGAGTGAAATGTAGAGAAACACCTGCTAAATTGGGATTTCTAGGGTGAAATTGGAATCTGACAAATTCGACTGAAAATTTAAGTTTTTTGCCGAAAATGCTTCATGCTCACCTGAAGCGTGGCTTCTGTGCCTGGCGGCGCCACGATGCTGGCATAAGAGGCCATCGTGGAGTAGAAGATGCCGAACGTGATGCCGTTGAGCAGCTCGATGGGCAGCACCCACCAGGGATTCGTGAGCGCCGAGTAAAGCAGGAATCGCAGACCGAAGCCCAGCAACACCAGGCTCATGGCGTGAATGTGGCCGATCTTCTTCAGGATCCAGCCGGAGAGGAAGAAGAAGGGCAGCTCGCCGCCGAAGCACTGGATGCCCATGGCCAATCCCTGGAGCGTCTTGATCCACTCCAGGTGGTCCCTGGAATGCGAGGACAGTTTGAAGGACATTTCCTCCGGGGGAAGCTGAGCATATTTACCCGCCATGAGCGGCCGCGAGGTCTTCCAGGTGCCAGAAGAGGAAGTTCCACACGAGAGCCGTGCAGAGTCCCACGCCGACGCACCACAGGAAGAAGATGATGATCTTCACAGAGGCGAAAATCGCTCCCACGTCTTTGATAATGTTTGTGGACAGTTTGGTTTGCGTGTGCTGCAAACAGACGAAGGATTAGTTTTCCCAACCGACCCAGATAGTGCCAGAAAGTGATGTGTTTGCTTTCGGATAGCGTCTCTTATCTCTGGGAGATTGTGATGAGAGAGAAGAGAAACGTGATCACTCACTTCCAGCTTCGATGAGACGACCATGTCGAGAATGAGGAGGATCAGCATCATGTAGAACACCACAGAGTAGTCCTTCGTGATCTGTCCCTCGGAGAACTTGTCCACCAGCAGGCCGGCGATGATGGAGAAGGTTCCCCAGCCCACGGCGCCCCAGAGCCTCTGGTTGCCGTACAGATGCGGCTGATCGTCCAGCATCTCGAAGCAGATGGCGTCGCCCACGCTCACCACCACCGCCATGCCCACCCAACTGGCCACCAGGAAGATGAACAGCAGCCAGAACTGGTACAGTCCCGTGACGTCGCGGTTCGCGATGCTCGTCTCCGTGATCAGATGCTCCACCTGCGCGTTGTCGCACTGCGCGCGGCACGGCGTCTTGAAGTACTTCTGCGACACGTTGCCCAGGTGGCTCGGACAGAAGAGGTTGGACAGCAGACCGGAGCCGAAGTCACCCTCGCGGACGACGATGAACAGACAGTCGTCGATCAGCTTCATGTCGCCCACTTTCGTCACGGCCGTCAGCGAGAACTCGGGCTCGTTCCGGTGATCCCTGCAGTACTGCGAGATGTTCCAGTGATCGCACATCAGGTCCCACATCCACGTCTCTGCCGAGCACACGAGATCGCAGCGCAGCGTGCCATTCTCCTGCTGCAGCGCCGCAATCGTACTGGTATCCAGCTGCTCTCCCTCGCGCGGACAATGCTTCAGATCCACGGCGCCGCCGCTACAGTGGAAATCCACAGACCCGTCCGCCGGAATCGGTGGGATGAACATGATGGCGAAGAAGGATACGGCGGTGAGAATGAGGAAGAGGAGGAAGAGTAGCTTCTGACGCTGGAATCTGTCGGCGATCGCGCCGAAAGTGGGCTTCGCAAGCATTCCCATGATGGGCAGGATTGTGTACACCGTGCCCACGACCACCGTGGAGAAGCCCAGCTGTCTGGCGATGGTGGGCATGAAGGGCACAATAGGCGCAGTGCCTGTCAGAAAGACACTCTCGTCAATCTTCCGGAAAACCCCAGCAGAAAAGCCCCTGAAACTCACCAGCATTGAAGAGGAAGTAGTGCGACTTCAGTGGCAACAATCGCCTGTTGATTCTCATGTTCTCCATTGCTCAGGCACTCCTCTTCACCACTCAGACACGATCAATCAATAAAACACTGCCTCAGCTTTCGAGACAAACGATAAAATCCGATTAAAATCACTTTGATAGCATTTTTTGCTGCCCCGGAGACGCGGAATCCCAACACAAAGCACACAAAAGCACTCCAATTACGCAATAAGGCACTGTTTAGGCGCTCTCAGCGAGTCTTCAGCACATTGAGAGATCGCTCGGGAGGTGAACTTCAAGCTTCCTGGCCCAGATTACGCGTCAGCGAGTCAGGAATGTACTGAATTCCTGAGGAAAACGCGTGAGGAATAATGTGGATGACCGCGCGACGATGACAACTGGAGGTGTGCGTAGAGGGATTTTCTCCGGCGCGCGCTTTCGGCTCGGCGCGAATTCGCACGAAATCATCACGTGTGGAAGGGGCGGCAAATGAGGGGAAATCGATGACTTCGACTGGTCCAAAGTGCGCGCCCTTTTTCAATCAAACTCACACACTTTTCTGCTATTTTGATGTCTCGTCATTTATTATTTAAAACTGTGATTATTCCACTCTCATTAAATTACTTTGTTCAGTATCATATGAATTTCACAACAATATACTCTTCATAAACTATTGACTAGATTCCTTTTTAGGTGCCTTTTCCCGCCAAATCTGCCTCTAATTGTTCCGCGCCACGAGACTCCCAAACTCACCGCGGCCGCTGAACTCGATGGACGAGGAGGACTCTATGCTGTAGCCGGTAATACTGTCGGGACTCTGGACGCCGCACAACTGGTTGATGGACGCCGCGTTGGCCGCGAACTGCGTGTTCTCGAACAGGCAGTGATTCGGACAGATGAAGTCCGACTCCGTCTTGAGACTCGTGAGGCTCTGTTGCTGCGGCAGCGAGTAGTGCTCGTCCTCCAGCGTGTCGTCCACCTGCGTCTTGTAGGAGAACAGGATCGTGGGCTGCGAGATGCTGAAGAACTCCCGCAGGAATGTCACGTACACGAGCGGCGTGTAGAAGGTGAAGTACAGTCCGCTCGTCACGTTCAACACACACAATCCCTGCGGCACGCCCCAGTTCAGCAGGCCCGCGCCCACCGCCTGCATCCCATCCAGGAGGCACAGCGTAGCCACGTAGACGTAGAAGGACTTCTTAGCCGGCAGGGCCAGGTAATCGCGTGCGCGCGTGCACGGCAGCAGGAAGATCACGAGGTAAATCGTGGCGAAGATCAGGGACGTGACGAAGAGGAACAGCATGCCGCCGTGTCCAAACAAATCCAGATCCTTTGAGGGAATGTGAAAGGCATCATCGGGCAGGACGATGTCCAGCGCGCCTTGCGCCAAGGAGAACGCCAGCGAGATCACGCACGTCGTCACGAGTACCGCTCTGATGGAGTTGCGACTGTCCAGGTGACCTTAAAGCCAACACAAAGTGCGGAAATGAGCAAAAGGTGCTTGAGAAATAGCAGGGCGTGTCATTGAGGGAAAAATTATGGGTGAATTTGAAATCATTCTTGAGATTTGTGTGGTTAAAGCATTGAGCAAGTTGGAGAAAAAGTTTATGATCTTTCAAAATCAATCAAATTTGTAGCTTTTTCTACATTAACACTCAGAAGGTCTAGAGATAAAGTGTACTGTCCTAGGTGTTGATGGTCAATAAGGCCATTGAACTGATTTTTTCTCTCGAAAATAAGTGATTTTTGCGTCTTGTGCAATTCTCGCAATTTCTCAATGGATCACAGATTATAAGGAACAATTTTTATATATAAATCCAGGAAAATTAAGCAATTAAACACCTATAAATTGAAGTTATATTAACAATTTTCCTCTGAAAAGCACTGAAATCAAACTATCGGAGAGAAAAAGTTGCTTTAAAATACTAATTTTTACTGTTAGGCAAGAAAATCGAGGCGCTATGATAGATTTTTCTTCCATCCTGAAGAATGTTTGTTTACATTACCCAATTTAAGCACTAACGGTGCTCAGTCAGCTGATTTAGGTGTCTTGGATAATGTGATAGCGAGAAGTGTGAGCAAAGCAACTATTTAACTTTCAGTGAGAAATGACACAATCCTTGGAGCGCAAGGCCGTATATGCAGCAATATTGGTCACAATAAAGGCCTGTCAAGGGTTAATCACGGAAATTTGTCAGGAATTTCATGAGTTTTTGTTTAAGAGAGAGTTTTTGGCAATACGAATGACTCAAGAACAGGAAGCTGATCACAAAAACCAACACGTTTCTGATAACAAATCTCACATTGAACGAATTGAACTCTGTTTACGGAATCTTTGTCAGTGTTTTCTTTGTGCTTCCACTACAAAACAAACCGCGGAGAGAGTATTGAGAGCTGCTTGAGCAGCTGAGAGTGTGATAAGCATAATCACTCGCACTCTGCTGTGATGCAAAACCAAACGGAAATTTGCTCAAGCTCTCTCTGCAATTTCCGTGTGCCCCAATTGCCTCAATGCGGCGCCCTTGCGAGGGAATCAGTGAAGCTTGGCAGACAATGAGGTGACTCACCAAAGGCCAGACCGAAGATGACGACGCTCATTTCAGCGGACAACAAGGAGAACCTCACGGCGATCCACATGATCTGCAAGGAGGGATGAGGATTAGACAAATTGCAGGGATTAGCAAAGAGAGTTGGAGCACCTTGTCTGTCATGCCGCCGAAAGACGTGGTCGCGTTGACGAGCATCGAGACCAGGCAGCGCAGCACACTCATCAGCACACAAGCCCACACAATGCCGTAGAAGGTGAGAAAGATTGGCGAGCTGGTGGCGCGCAGCTTGAGCCTGGCGCGGTTGAAGCGCAATCCCAGGAAGAGCAGGAACAGGAGATTCGGGAGGAAAATCAGGACGTCCCAGATTCTGACACTGCAACGAGGCAAAAAGGGATGTCAGTGGTCCTCTCAACACTCCCGGAAGGGCTGTGAACTCACCCGGACGAGGAGAATTCCACGTAAAGGGCTAATTTGCAAAATGATTCCTCCATTGTGACTGGAGAAAGTGGCCCGTTGATGGTGGCGTTCGCCACCAGAACTGCTTCCTGCTCAACACTATCGGATGCCATCTTCTCGATGGGGCATTCTTGACTGCCCCCAGACGACAATCACGCGCGCTGTTCACGGTAGTGGCGAGGAAAATTAAGAAATCTGCCCAGAAGTTGAGACGTCTTTTTGTTTTGATCTGTCACTCCACTTCCCCTCCACTCATCGACGAGTCTTCGACGACTTCTGCGCCCAACAGCGGCAACACCGTTGCGTGCGGCAACCCTGGCAGTGGCTGTGTTGTTCGCGAATCGACAGAAGATCTCGCTCGTGTTTTTCATCAAAATACAGCAATTTGCGAGCACATAAAACCAGTTTCACCGCCGAATAATAGTCCGCGAGGATCCATAGAGTGGCGGACGCGTGTTGATGCGGCATTTTAGCCGGTGATTGTGAGGAGAAGTGAATGGTGAAAATGAGCCTGGAAAAATCTGCAAAATAACCTCTGAGTGAGTTTTGCCCACCAATTTCACCCAATTAATCCTCATTAGCATCTGCCGTGGGGCGCCCAGTTGGGCCCCTGGCGCTCTCTCGGGGTGACCTTTGCCGGATTCCCATGCAGATTTCCGCACCCAAGTGCCCGATAGAAGGTGAAAAGTGCGAGGAGGGGAAAAGTGCAAGTGTTGAGTGCATGCGCGGAAGTGAGCAACAGAGCGACAAAGAGGAGAAAGTGAGCGAGATTTCGTTTTTCTCACGGAAAATAGGGGAAGTGGTCAAAGAAACCACTTTGTGCTTCCGCGATTCCTTGATTGATTTCATCTGCGAATCAGCGGTTTTTACCAAATATGAACACATCTTGTCAATGCCGATTTTCTCACTTCTTGATATTTCCTTTTGATTATCGAAAGATGTGTCTGAAAAACGAGGGGCAGGAAAAATGATACGGTGTATGAAATGTATTCTACATGATAAAAACCTGGAATAATGTTGAACATAGATTTCCAATTATTCTTTTGACTATTTTATAAACTCTCCCTCATAAATCGATGTAAGCGACAGATTTTGCTAAATATACTTCAGTGGGCGGGGCTTACGAGCAGGCGGAGTTTTGAAAATATTTTTGGTTACATAACGTCCCTAAGTGGCATAGTTTACACGCTGAATAAAACATTCCTTACCAAACAGACCGTTTAATACATAAATTATGCATTGTCATCTGTGGAATTGGTTGATATCACAAAAAATTTACATGTTAAATATTTATCTTCAAACTTGAACTTTAGACAATTGCCGTGGCAGCGATAAATGCCTCCCAATCGATTTGTTGGCAAGGGAAATCAGAGCGGGGTAAATTCTGGACGCGAGTATTGATTCTATGCAGCAGAATTGGGGGCAAAAACCCCATGAAGAAAGTGTGTTTCTGGGAGGTTCGAGTGTGTGCGATGGAAGCGGTGGAGGATTAGCTCTACCTTTCGCTGTTATCAGCGAGAAAAACAAACGGCCCACCTCGAGAGGACCGATAGGAAATCATGATTGATCACGGCTGAGTACAAATACAACTCTCTCTTTCTCTGTGTCGCACACAGGCGAAGCGCGATCCAGAGCACTTTGAGCGCGAGCCAGGAGAGCGTCCGCGTGGCCAGACGGCAGTTGGCTCGGGGCGACGCGGGCTGGTGGTTGTGCGTGGAAAAGTGGCCAGATTTCCCGGGCTGGAACCGATGGAAAGTCAACAGAAAGCATTCTGTCGCCGATGAAGAGGTAAAAGCGCTCGAGACTGCGGCAAACAGGCGAGAGAATTATGGTGAGTTTTTTACAACCTGTGCTTATTGAAATATATCGGCGTTATCAGTTGCGGGCCAAGATTAATCAGTTGTCGCGATAAATTGAAGCCTAAAAGTCCAATGAGTTCAGGCAAGAGCCAGTTGTTGGTAAAATTGGTGGAAAGTCAGTCGCAATTTGAGTGGCGCGCGGAGAAAATGGTAAAATCTAAGATTAGGAGCAAAAGATATTTCATACGCAGCTTCTCAACGCTTCATGAGCACATTTATAAAATATTTTTCCTCCCATTTTCACGATGATGAGTTATTTTAGGTTGAAATGTCGCGCTTAATTCAGCTCTGTCTCTCTTTCACTCGCATTTTCCGCTGGCTCTGCTTGATTTCCTCAATGAATAGTTAACCCATTGGCGGACACTTTCTTCACTTATAACTATTGACTTGTTGCGTGATGGATCGGCAATGCTTCAGTGCAATGTTTCCGCGATTTGTTTGATATTCATTTTATATGCATATTTCTTGGAAAGCTATCGTGCGTTCTTTAACGTCTTCATTTCGCATTAAATGAATGAATTTCATTCAATAGCGAAGGGTTAAAGTATGTCTATAATTTCATATTCATTCTGTGAGACTTTTACCACAAAATTGCCGTAATTTCGTTGATGACTTCCCTCAGGTTTCACAACATTATCAAATGAGAGTATCTTATGTGGGGCATAATGAGAGTTTTCACATCAATTGACAGAGAATTCATCAAATAGGCTCCGTCTCTTATCGCTTGAATACTATCTCGGTTGACTTTGTGACATGAAATGTAGGAGATATCTCATGGATCTCGCTTTTCGGGTGTCTTTTCTAGGATGAATCAACGCGGATTCGCCAGCGTCCTGGACGCTCGTTCGCGCCGGAAGTGCCGCAGAAGCAGAATCGCCGCGATGGTGGGAAGAGTAAGCAGAGCGATCAGCAGTTCGCGCGGCTGCCCAATACGTTCCTGTACGCCGTGGTGGCGCTCATGTTCACCACCTTCCTCATTGTCACGGTGCTGGAGCGGCGTCTGCCGCGCGGGCTGCGTGTGGAGGACGAGGCGCAGCATCCGGACACGTTCATCGCCGAGCGCGCGATGGGTAGCCTCATGCGGCTCACGGACATCGGGCCACGCGTGGCCGGCAGCTATGAGAACGAGGTGCTGGCCGTGAAGGTGCTGCGGAAAGACGTGGACGCGATTGTGGCGGAGTTTGGCGCGGGATTCAAGGTGGAAGTGGATGTGCAGAAGGTCAGCGGCGCCTTTCCGCTGGCTTTCTTCGACGGTATGACAAATGTGTACAATGATGTGCAGAATCTGATTGTGAAGGTCAATGCGCAAGTGAAGTCTCCGCACACATTGATGCTCAATTGCCACTTTGACTCGGTTCCGGACAGTCCAGGTGAGTCAAAAGGATGAAATAATTAAGAGAATGTGAAGTGTCGTCCAGCCCTTCGCGTTTGGCGTGAGTTGCTTTAGCTTCTTGTGGGAATATTTGTGACCTGCGAGGTCAAGTCTTTTTCATCATTCCATCGGTCTCATTCACCCCAGTTAATCTTGGGCAATCGATTGGGTAGATAGACTGAGTTTGGAGCAAAGGCGTAGGAGACTTATTTTAACTACAAAACTTCTGAGTTAGAATTGCGCAGGATTTCTTTCAAACTCCACTATTCTTCGAAAGCGTTCCGGAGCAAACCCTGAAAATGACCCGAATAATCAATATCAATAACCAATATTTGATTATTTTTAACTTTACCATGCCGAAATTCATCTGATCCTGGAATTTTCAGCCAATATCTAAAAGTCAAAGGCTTGAAGTGAAAGAGCAAATAAATAAATGGGCCGAAGAGGCATATTTTATGAGTGCACGATAGAAAAGGCAACGGCGGGACACACCAAAATTGATTCACGTCGCTTTTGGCGGTTGTAAACGTGACGATTTGGTGGCTTCAGTGGTGTGAAAGTGTGCTTGGCTGGAAAGCAATCGTGGAGTAATTTTTCGTGTAATTCCGCTCATAAAACAATTAGATCAATTAATACTCCTTCTGTGAATAATGAATGCTGGCGCGAGAATGGGTTTCCCATAATTTTCGAGGGGTCAACAGCATTCTGTGTGTTGGAATAATTCCAATCCCGTCGGCGCACATTTTGGGGCGCGATTTCATAATAGACAGTCTTCTATCCGGTCTTTTTCTCTCTGTGTTTGGAAGAATTCCAATAAAATTGTATGTTCAGATTTCTCTATTTGATATTGAAGGCTTTTGCAAGTTGTTATTGCACCAAAACATTTCATAATTGCTGCCTTATTGTCTGGAAAATTCACGATCTTGAATTTTATCAACATTTTTCATCTCTTTGCTGAACTTAAACATTCCATGTTATTGTCTTCGTGTAAACATTAATATCACTGTTCTTGGTAGACATGATAAGATTTTAATGATCTGTTCACTGCACAGACTGTCTCTTCTGAAGTGTTATTACGAATTGGTCAATTATTTATAATTTACTTGAGAAGAATTAACTTTGAATGTTAGAAAAAGAGTGATTTTTGTTGTGAAACACGAGCGATGAATTTAGAACTTAAATACAGAGCAGATTTTGCTGTCTTTTCAAACGAAATGATAAGAATGAAAAGTTCATCACACATTTCTCAAATAATTCATGATCTAAAACTCAGTAAGATTGATGGGAATAATCAGATTTACAGCCCAACATATGAATTGTGGGTCAGAATTCATCCTAAAATCACCAGCTTGACTTTTGAGTCACCTTTTCAACAGTAATTTTTTTGTTAGTCACATTGTGAACCGGTGTAAAATTGCTCTGTAGCATGAAAAACTGCTGCAAGATAAACAAAAACTGCCTGTTTGGCAACCACAAATGGTTTAATCGAATTATTTGGGAGTCTATAATTTCTTCTCAAGTACACAACAGTATGTTTGTTCTCGCTCGTGCATAGACGTGTTTTCTTTTTCCCTATTTTCCAAGAGCGCCGCGAAAATGGGGAACGAAAGGTGGGGCAGAAAGATACAAATAGCACGTTGGTGTGATTTTTTGCATGTCTCCATGAGACTGCTTTCCCACACTGGCTCCGAGTTGAGACAGAAAAGTGATAATTTGTGTCTCTCTGTGCAGGTGCTTCGGATGACGGCGCGGCGTGCGCGGTGCTGCTGGAGATCATGCGGGTGGTGCTGAAGACGAAGCTCAAGCTGAACTACAATCTGGTGTTCCTGTTCAATGGCGCCGAGGAGAACATCATGCAGGCGTCGCACGGCTTCATCACGCAGCACAAGTGGGCGAAGGACGTGAAGGCGTTCATCAACCTGGAGGCGTGCGGTGCCGGCGGCCGCGAGCTGCTCTTCCAGGTGGGCCCGAAGAATCCCTGGCTGCTCGAGGTGTACTCGCAGGTTGTGCCGTATCCATACGCGTCCACGCTGGCGCAGGAGATCTTCCAGTCCGGCGTGATTCCCGGCGACACGGACTTCCGCGTGTTCAGGGACTTTGGACACATATCAGGCGTGGATTTCGCGTGGAGTAGCAATGGATATGTCTACCACACAAAATACGATTCCGTGGAGCAAATTCCGCTGGGATCGCTGCAGCGGACTGGCGACAATATCCTCGCTCTGCTGCGAGGACTCAATGAGATCACGGATCAGCGCAAGATCAGCGACACCAGCACCAATGATCTCATCTTCTTCGACATGCTGGGCGCTTTTATGGTGCGCTGGCGAGAGAATCTCACCGCTCTCATCAGCGTCCTGGCCGCTTGCCTGTCCGCCTTCGCGGTGTACAGGAACATGAAATCTGCGAAGCGCCTCGGCACGGACAACACTGTCTACTACGCGGCAATGATGAAGGCCATCGCCATCCAGATCCTGGGATGGATTCTCTCGCTGGCGTGTTGTCTTGTGATCGCGCTGTCGCTGACAATCCTCGGTCGCACGATGTCCTGGTACGCTCGTCCGATCTGGATTTACTTCCTTTACGTGCTTCCAACTCTCAGTGTCTCCATGGCGGTGGTGCATCACTTTGGGGTGAGAGATAGAAGAGATGGTTGAATGAAGGGGAAGATAATGGGATGAAAAATGTGCAGTTTGTTTGTTAAGACAGATTTACTGATTAATTTGCATTCCAACACATGAATTCTTCCAAAAATACTAAATGAAGATACAAAATTTTTGTTATAACTTGAAAATTAATGCGCAAACAGCCTCAAAAGATTAAGGAAAGTGTCAGGAAGTGGTGTACAAATTCTAGCCCATTATCTGACCCTTGGATGATTGAAGGGCGTGAATTTATTAGCTATTCGTCTGCTTAACAGGTGAGACAACTGAAGAAGACCATTCCCAACATTTGGACGCTGTTCCAAGTGTACTACGATGCCATCCAGATCCTCTGGACGCTGCTCCTACTAATGACATACACTCTGGGCATCAGGTCGGGCTTCATCGCCCTGCTGTGGGTGGTGTTCTCGTCCGTGCAGAGTCTCATATCGAATCGCGCTTTTCCCGATGCTCGCAAGAAGAGCATCAAGTGGCTCCTTCTCTATGTCCTGCTCCTCGGCATCCCGTTCGTGCAGTCCTTCTACCTGGACTTGGGCGCCATTGGGATGTTCGTGCCGACAATGGGACGTACTGGAAGTGCCTTCAATTCCGAGATAATAATCGCCACGATGATTTGTGCAATGTTTGGAATGTTGTTCAGGTGAGCAGAGTGAAGAGAAGAGGCTCTAATTTCTGTCTCGAATGTGGGGAAAGAGTCGTGAGATTTTCTCTTGTTTGCAGTTTCGTTTGTCAATTAGTACTTGTTGCGCAATTCCCGCACATCCTCCAGCGAATTCCTGCCAGCTTTACATTCCTGGCTCTGGCCGTGCTCCTGCTCACTGATCTCGGATTCCCGTATTCTGGCGACGTGACTTCGCTGGCGCCGCAGCGATTTATCATATCGGTGAGACTCCAGAGAGTTTTCTGTGAACTGAAATGATATACAAATTGAATACATTTTTGTGCAGAACATCGACAGGAAGTTCTATGATGAGAAGAGGCAACTCAGTGCTCAGGACGCGGGCTTCTGGATCATCGACATGGACATCAACACGCCCGAGAGCGTCGAGATGGCGGTGAGTGAGATGAAGAGAGCCAAATTGGTGGATTGCTCGCGTGGCATTTATTGCGCCATGCCTTATCCATTGCCTGTGATGAATTTCATCTTCAAAACGCACTACATCGAGACGGCGCCCTTCGAGGTGGCCATTGAGACTGACTTGCGCCTCGTGAGCAAGACGCGCCTCTCGCCGGACACCGTGCGCCTCAACTTCACGTGCCACGGGCCGGATCACATGAATCTGATGTTCGCCGGCATGCCGGGATTCGAGCTGCAGGCGTGGAGTCTGGATCCGGAGAAGCCGCTGGCATCGGCGCATCAGTATCTGGGGCGGAACATGTACTTCGTCTACTACTCTTACAGCAGTCTGGAGCCCAAAGTGTGGAACTTCCATCTAGATTTTAAGGTATCTTTTCTCTGAAGATTGTTCAGCGAAAAAATGGATTTCCAAAGATTCCTCTTCGACAGGTTCCTCCAAAGTTCAACATAGAGAAGGACACAGTGCTGGACATCACAGCGAGCGGCCACATGATCCACGGGAGGAACAAGACAACGCCACAACTCACGGACTTCATGAGCCGCTTCCCGAGCTGGACAACAGCCACTTTCTGGACGAGTGCTCTCAGATCATACAAATACTAGTTCTCCAATCTCATCTTCATCCCGCTCTTCGCCTGGTGTCAACACTTTCTTCAGCCGCATATTCTTTACAAGGTGATCGTGCGTAGGTAATTCCTGTAGATAGCTTGAAACAATGGTACTACAAAGTAATATCAAATATTGAGACAAAGAATTCAAAGAATTGATAAATTGTATCAAAGTGATTTTAGAGTTGTTGAATAAATTTTAAGTGAGGCAAAATCAAGAAGTTTTTCTCTGATAATGTGCCATCAATCAAGACTTATGTTGGTTTTTGGCGATAAGAGAGTTTAATTGCAACGAGCAAAGTCGAGATCAAGATTGAGATGGACTCTGAGAGGCGAATTTGAGTTGTCAGGTGATATTTCATATGCAATCTTCGTTTTAATTCTGCTGTCGCGACCGAATTGAACGTGACCTATAAATGAAATATTTTTCAAGAAGAGATTTCAGCATCAAACGTTTAGGAAATCGTTATGATTTTAGCATCTTTTGACCTCTTATCACAATTTTGAGCTCAATAATACATTAGAGAATGTGAAAATTCTATAGAATATTGTGTCAAAACACGCCCAAAAGTTTGTGATATTGATAAAGAGCTTTAAAACTTTGCTTCAGTTTGATAAATCGAGAAGAAGAATAGCTTAGTAAGACTTCTTAAGAACAAAATAGTTCCTCAAATAGTAAGAATATAATTCTGAGTAGTTTTGCAAATTGCTTTTTAGTGATAATCTGGAAATTGAGTATGTTAAACTTTAATTGCTGAGCTGAAAAACGCAATAAAAGCATTTTCTGAGTGGAAAAAGTCCATCAAATTTATGAGCGCATTTACCCTTGTTTAAACACACATATTAAAGCCTCTTATATTAACTTTTACCTTAAACTTGTCGCTCTGAAAGCTTCTGATTCACTTGTTCAAGTAATTATATTATGAGTTCGCGCCCATGAATTGTTGGTATTCCATCGGCGTGCCAAAGTGTGGAAAAGAGTGTGCTTTATGCCAAGAAAGGAGGTGAATAGACTCATTTTGGCCTGACTTGGGATTCCAAAATAATAAGTCCATTTGAGCTGACGACAGTGATATTGAATGTGTGCGGGGAAAAATTAAAATTCGTGACCAAATATCCAGGCATTATTTGGTTAAAGTGAGGAGAGAAATTACGCATTGCGATCACGTTGTCCGGCTTCCCGAAGGTGAGGCGGAGTGGAAAAAAGAGCAAAAAGAGGCGAAAAAAAGAAATGCTCAAAGTGGTGGTGAAAGAAGATGAGCTCAGAGGGAAGAGATTCTGTGCTGCGCATGAAAATGGTTGGACAGAAGGTGGTTACTTTTTACCTGCGAGTACAAATTCAGTTGACACTCAATTCCATTGACGATCGTGATCACTCTCCTAAATGGCTCGGCATCGCGGCGAGACTCTCTTGTACACTCAACTCCTCGCGGTGTGTAATGTGTTGAGCAAACAAATGATGAAATTTAAATATTAAATTCTATTAAGTCCCCTCTAACATTACTTATTACAGAAATGTACGCTGGCCGTTCACAACAAGTCGCACCATTGTGGAGGAGCCGAAATGGTGGCTGGAGGACAAAATGTGCTAATTGAATTGCCACATGATCGATATCTCTCGAACGCTGCCTTTCGCGCGCTGACGTTGATCGGCAAACTGATCAAATTGACTGGATGCAGCATAGCTGGTGATACCGAATGCCTAATCAGCTATGCCGACATCTTGCCAATTCGTCAATTTCTGCACCTCAAGCGATCACTCGTGCACAAACCACCACAGATCGGCATGTCTCACTAATTAGAAGCACTGCTGAAGTGGATCTTCTGACCAATTCACACCACGGATCTCCTCTCCGCTCGCGTCTCGAGCTGTGCTGCCGGCGCTCTCGATCGATTCCAACTGACTCCCGAGTCGCTCGGAGAGTGAAGATGAGTGTCTGTCCAGAAAGAAATTTAAATGGATGTTTGAACAGTTGGGCTGCCTTGGTGGGGCTAGTCATAGGAGAGAGACACGGGCCCAAGGGGGAGACAGTGTGCTCGGAAGTGGTGTACAGCGCGACAGGAGTCTCAAGAAGTGCTTCGAATATTTACAGTATTCTTTTCTCTTTCTCCGAATTTCTTTGAACTTTCTTGAAAAATTCAATCAGTTTTGATGCCTGAGTGTGGAAAATGCTTTTCTTGGTTATGTAACTAACTAAAGACAGTCTTACTTAGTAGATCACGTCATGAAACATTGTTTTTTGTGCTCAAAATAAATTGATTACGACGATTTTCACCTATTGGTAGAAACATAGGCTTTTGCGTTAGATTAAAAGTGCATTTTCAAAAGCTAAAAGCAGTTCTAGGATTAAACATAACCTGAAAAGTTAACTTTAAAGTTTTATAACATCCATTATTAAGTGGCTAAAGTTTGATATTTAGCAAAAAAAACATTGGATTTAGTAGCGGAAAATATCGGAAAGAAATGAAAAAGTAAGATTAACTCAGATAAGTTGAGATTAGCTCAGATTCTGAAATCCGTGCGTAAAACAGAATGAAAAGCTCTTGCTAAGACCAAGAGAGTCTAGATTAGATTGCGATGAGCTAGAAATGAGTGAAAAACCGTTGAGGAAGTCTAGAAAATTGAAAAGACAAAGAGCTCCTCCAATTCGGATATGTTTCACGCAAATTGCGCAAATGATGAGGAAGAGGTGGTGTACAGATTTGAGCCATTATCTTCCCCTTGCAGGGATTTTTTTTCCACCCAGCAACGCTTCACACCACGAAGAAATGTGTGAATAAGCTCTCTCACCTACAATCTTCCCCTTCCTCTGCCGCACACTCACTTCTCCGATCGCGTCTTGAGGACGTGAGGAGAGTGAATGATGGAAAAAACGCTCATGTTCATAAAATGTTAATTTTTTCTTCTACTTCAGTGACAAATATTTGTCTTTCGTAACGAGATTTTGTCAATTTTGCCACCATAACTGTGCATTGCGAGATGAATGTGCACAAAATGCGCGTCTTTCTGCAAGAGATGTGAAGGATCGAGATGACTTCCTGGCGCTAAGGTTCCTTCCGAAGTGCCGCTTCACACGCAGATGGATTGCGCAAGGTTGTTTTTAGTTTTCAGAGTGAGAATTGAGACATTCCAAGAAGATTCTCAGTGTGAATGAATTGCTTTATCTCCGACAAAATGTTGAAGTCATTCACATTTTTAGGAATATTCATAAGAGTGAATATTGGTGAATATTTTGAGAAGTGTGAAATTCTGAAAGATCCTGTGATGTATGAGAGGAACAAAAGTATCGACATTGATGGACTTTAATAATTGCTGTTCACGTCCTTAGAAAAAACTGCTGATAATCCATATTATAATATAAAAAAATTAAATGAATCGTTCCAATGCTTTCTTCTTTCACAGGTGAAGCGAATAGATTTCCATCTATTTATTTAACATAGAAAGTTCTTTATTTCTTCTCATTCTCACCCATGCTTTCATTCAATAACTTTACAGGAAAATTATACAACCTAATCTAACATTGATAAATTAATTGCTGTCAGACAAGCAATTATTTATTTTTATAATACATTATTTATTAATCGCAACTTATTCTCTGTCATCGTGTTAAAAAGTAGAACAAACAAATACTTTACATAGAAATATGGCAAGAATTTAATCACATTTGCATATTCAACATACTTGAATATTCTTATTCACTTCGAAAAAACAACACTTTTCCATTTTCTCCGTTCACATCATTGAGCTTTACTTCTTCTTCGCCCTTCTGAGTTCTTCTCAAAAATCGCGCCAAGAGTTTTTCATCCACCGAAGGATTTCCTCCTGTCAGGACACTGACAACATATCCTACGATCAGGTTCAGCGAGAAGCCTATTAAAGCGTGGTAGAGGAAGTGGATCTTGAACACCCACGGAATGTCGCTGCCGTCAGTTGACTCTACGGGAGTTTGAGGCAATGTTGTGGCGTTGAAAATTTCAGGATCACATCCATCAGTTCTCAAGGGAAGAAATGGATCGCGACTCTTGTAAAGTCCTCCAATTGTGAGTATCGAAATGGCGACAACAGATACGATTGAACCAGCCAAAGCTCCCTGGAAATGATAAAAGATGAATGATATTAGGAGGTAATTAATTCAAAGGTCGCCAAAATGAGCAATGAATTCATGAATATGTAATTGTTGACGAAAAGCACAGAAACCTACTCTTGTGTTCACTCTGCGGCACAGCATGCCCAGCGTGAAGAGTCCGAGGAGCGCCGAAGTGGCCAGAACCAAGCACTGCGCCGTCATGTTGAAGATCGTGCCGAGTTTCTCGATCAGCAGCAGCAGGAACATCTGCACAATGCCCAGGATCACAACTATGAACTTCACAATATTGCTGGCTTTCGCCTCAGAGGCATTCCTGAAGCGTCTGGACAGGAAGTCGTCGTAGATGGAGCCACTGAGAGTGTTGAGGAAGGACGAGGTGGACGATAAACTGGCGCAGAAAATGCCAGCAATGAAGATTCCCGAGAATCCTGGCAAGACAGAGGCTGTTCTCTCGATGTAATGCGGAAGAATCTGATCGATCTTGCGAATGAGGCCCGCCTTGAAGGGATCGCAGGTCTCGTAAGTGGTGAAGATGATGGCTCCGATGGTCTGAGAGAGGAGGAGGAATATTGTGAAGAATAAGGTGAGGCCCCACAAGGCCAGGCGCATTTTGCGGAGGTCCGAGAGCGCCAGAAAGCGCTGAGTGCTCGTCTGACTGATGCCGAACTGATAAATGGCCACGAGGGTCATGCTGAACAAGTATTCCCAGAACGTTGATCGGACTGTGGGATCAGGATCTAAGCTGGAAAAGGCGGAGTCTTGAGTTTTCCCTTGAAGGGAATTAAATGGTTTATTTCTTCTTACTTGAAGAACACGAGTCTTCCTCCTCGATTTGTGGCTTCGTAGACTTTTCCGAATCCACCCACTTGCTGAGCGCCCACTATCACCACGATGATCGAGGACACGAGCGTGAGAGTGATCTGAAAGACGTCCGTCCACACCACGGCCTTTATTCCGCCGATGGCTGTGTAGAAGACGCATACGATGGTCAGCAGACCCGTGGTCAAGTGCACTGAGACTCCCGTGAACTCGTGGACAGCCAGTGCGGGCACATAAACAGTGACTGATAGGAATAAGAGTGACACGATCGAGTACAGAACACTCGCGAAGATCCTCACGGAGCGACTGAATCTCAGCTCCAAGTATTTGAAGCTAGACAATTCCCCAACCTCCAGAAAGACTGGGAGGTAGACGATGGGCACAATGATGGACATTATGTAACAGACTCCAGCCAGGAGCCAGGCTTGCGTTCCGTACACATACACTTCGGCCGCCTGGCCAAGGAGCGTCGATCCGGACACGGCCGTGGCCACGAGCGACGCTGTGACGGGGAAGAGGCCCAGCTTCCGGCCGCCCAAGAGGTATTCCTCGCGCGTGTTCGCCCTCCGTGAGCGACAGCCATGATAAAGCCCGATCACGGCGGACAAGAGGAATGTGATCGCGAACAGGAAGATGTCAAGAGCAGAAAACTTATCCAAATCCATTTCGCAAGTGACTGGATGATCGCGAATGCTGCGTGATACTAAAGCTCGCGCTGGACCGTGTGTTAGTTTTATACAAATTAATATAATAGAAATTGTGTGGAAAACCAGTCGATCGATTAGAGATGTGATCGAGTGGAAAGTTTCAAGATCATGGAAACATTTCAAGAGCTTTGAGGTGATTCTGAGTGATTTCAGACTTTTTGCCGCCTCAAAATGCCTCAAAAACATGAAACGATGGCAACCATAATAGAGAGCAATTTGAATGATAATGATAACGCCAAGAGAAATCACACAAGAAAGTGACCCGAAAATGTCTCAATTTGACTTGAATTTCCTCACAATTACACGTGCTGATCAGTTGGCCTCCCAAATCTGGTCCTCTGGCCATTGTTTTGGCCGAACAATTGTCCAATAAAGAACTCCTGCGAGACCCTCCAAAATCCAAAGTGTTCCAGCGTGATTTGAGACCATTTGGATGGTGAATGACACGCCGTTCAAACAATGTGAACGGAAGTTGAAAAATCTCCGCACTTGTGCGTGATCGAACTCCAAATGCTGCGCCACAGAATGCCAGAAATTCAATTGCGACTCCGAAGCTTTAACGGAAACCCAAGAAAGCGTGTTAAAGCACATTTAAAGAGTGATCTCAGGTCATTTATTGGGATACAAAAATAGGAAACAGTCAGGAAAGGGTGTGTGTGTGTGTGTGTGTGTGTGTAAATTGACTAATTTCCAGATATGGATATTCATAGTTAAACTAAAGTTTACTAAAAAGCTAATAAATAAAAATGCCCAGTTCGATAGCTTGACTTAATCTTAGATTTTATACAATTTAGAATACATCTTCAAATATTATTGTCTTAAAAAAGACTTGCTCGCGCGGCTAAAATTTGAATACAAACAATATTTATCCAAGGGTTAATAAACTGTTTTGCTCTCGATTTACTTGAGTGTCGATTGATCGATAAACTTAGAACAATACAGAGATATTTGCCGCTTCAATTTTAATCTTACAAACTAGAATAAAGTTCTGACAGAGTTTTGCATTAAAGTATCTTAACGTTTTGGCCTACAAATTCTCCCAAAAGGACTTACAGTTGAACTAGGCGTAAAAATCACAGATCTAATTAGGAAAAGAAGTTTCCAAGTCTGAACAATGAAATACTGCCATTCACATTGACCACATTTAACCATCGAGTGCGGAAAGTGACTCATTTTGGGGAACGTGCGCGCAACTGAAGAGGTTCCATCATTGTGACGAATAAAGTATTCACTGGACGTGCACATTTATTGAATCTTGCGCCTCTTGGTCGTCGGCAGCAGTTCTTTGCCATTCCGCAGAACGGTCACCAAGTCCAAATTGGTGAACGGATGCGTGACAAAGAAGAGGAGGAGCAGCACCAAAACCGTCACCTCGATTATGACAAAGTGCGATATGGACTGTCCGATTTCCAGCCAAGAGCCGCGATTCGTGATCAAATAGAAGAAATTCACGCCCATCACGTCGCAAATTAGCAGAATCACAATGAACAGTTTCCGGATTTCCGTCTGCAAGGGAAATTTTCAGGGAAATTAGAGCAATGCAGGAGGGGTGAAATGCCAGTGACTCACCTTGGAAATGACATGGATCATCCGCAGAACGCACACGACCAGCAGAATCGGCGCCATCAGCTTCAGGATGATGAGTGTGGCCATGAGGAAGGGCGAGAACGTCGTCACCAGGCATCTGACCCAGTTGGGATCGAAAGAGCTGATGGACGCGAAGTTGCCTGTGCCGAAGAAGGACACGAAGATGTACAGCAGAATGATGTACATCCGGATGAAGTCTCTCCTGTCGAGGAAGAGCTTCTGGTGCGTCGCTTCGTGGCTCGCGAACTCCATCTGGAACCACGTGATGAGGTTCACGGAGAAGACGAAGAAGAAGATGGGCTCGTAAGACAGCGACATGATGGAAATTGGAACGCTGAAGCTGCTCGCGAGAGTCCACAATCTTGTCTCCGGATCGACAGAGCTCAGGATGGGCAGAATGAGGGCGAGAACTGTGGAAGAAAGAGAAGCTTTAGACACAGAAGAGTGGCTAATGCGAGGTGAAAACTCACTGAGAGAGATCCAGGAGATGATTTGATAGACGGAATGCAATCCGGCGCCTTCGTTGATGGAACTAACGCTCGCCAAGAGGTTGATGTTGACGATCAAGTGAAGGAATATGATGCCGTACTTGTGCACTTGCTCCCAGTAGCTCTCGACCTCCTTGTTGAAGGACGTGAGGAAGGAAATGAAACTGTGGACGCACCACAGAAGAGTCCCAATAAATCTGGAAAGGATTAAATTGATTGAAAATGTTAATCAATTGTGTTGAAATTATTACTAAGGCTTTACTTACAGCAGCTGAAAGTCATTGGCGTCTTTCTCGATGACCGGCAAGGAGGGGAAAATGGACAGGATCGTGGACGAGACAATCCACTTGACTAGCATCATCTTTGGTAGGCCTTTGCGGTACTGCTGCACAGCCTCAATGGCGCAGTAGATGAGCAGGATGGCGGCCAATGTGAAGCGATAGAAGAAGGCCAGCACGAACAGTTCCACTCCGGCGGCGTACAGCAGGATGAACTTGAGGTTGGTCCTGAAGCGGATGGCGTTGAAGTAGTTCCAGCGCTTCAGCGTGACGAACTGCAGGATGATGGGCAGGATAAGATAGAGCGTTAGGCGGAAGTTGATCTGCTGCAGAATGACGAACGTGATGGTGAAACTCAGCAAGATGGTGTAGATCACAGTCACGCGGCAGTCGATCACGCGCGTCACGTACTCCAAGTGGCCGGAGGTGAGCTCCTGGAAGGAGATGATCATCCATACGACCATGGCCACGCTCACGGTGAGCAGGAAGAGCTTCTGGTAGTACGTCTGGTAGAACTCGATGCCCTGCAGGCAGTCCTTGATTACGCTGTGGCTCATCGCGATGGCCTTGTCGTACTGCTCCAGAGCGATCTTCCGACGGATCTCGCGCGACACGTCGCGGATCACCTGTTCCTTCTCGAACGTGCGGAAGTAGCGGCTTAGCTTGCCGAGGTGGAAGTCGCCGGACACCTTGTTGAACTGCGCCAGAATCTGCAGGGCGTTGGAGCAGAGCGCACGCGAAGTGTAGTTTTGCGACACGCTGAGGAATTGGATCGGCAGCATGCCCACGTTGTTCACTGGCGGCGCCACGCCGATGAGCGCCGCCATGAGCGGTGTGACGTCCGCCTGCTCGATGCTCTCCAGCGGCTTCCACGAGGTCTTCCTGGCCACCCCGGCGCCCCAGGCGACGATGGGCGTCTCCGTCTCGTGGTGGTGTCCTGCGCCATGCGCGCCTCTGTCCGACATCCCGTGATCCGAGGTGAAGACGTAGCTGGTCATGTAATCCGGGAAGATGTTCTCAAAGAGAGACACAATCTCTCTGATTCCCCGGTCCACGACCACCAGGTTCTTGAGGAACAGCCTCGAGTTGGGCTTGTGCACATGGCCAGCGGTGTCCAGACCGAGCAAATGAAGGAAGAATATCACTCTGTCCTGGCTCTTGAGCTCATCCGTCACGTTGCGCAGCAGGAATTCCTTCGTGCGACTGAACACCCACTCGTCCAGCCACACGGTGCGATTCTTACCCGAGAAGTCCACGTCGCTGGTCGTGTAGGAGTGCGTGAAGATGTGCTTGCGCTCATTGCCGCCCTTCACGAAGATCTGCAGGATGTCTGGACTGCCCCAGGAGTAAGTCACGCGACTGCGGTTGAACACCGAGTCGAAGTCCACTGGATTGTCCTTCCAGCCTCGCGTCACTGCGCTGGGATCCTCGTAGATGCCCGCAATCAGGGCAACATGTCCCGGACGAGACTCCGTGGGCACTCTGGTGTGCGAAATGCCCGCGATTCCCTGTTTCATCACAATCTCGCCGAGATATTCAGTCATTTTGAAGCCATCGCGGTAGAAGGACTCCGCCCTGAGCCCGTCTGCCACGAAGAGCACCAGTCTGCAAGGGAAAAACAGCCCAGATTTGTTGTTTCTGCTTTCAAGTGAGGTTATGTAGAAAGTTTACCTTTTCGCTGGAGGATTCTCGAGATCCTTCTGCGGCGTCAACTCCCGAATGATGGGCGAGAGGAAGTAGATGTCGAAGATCGATGAGAGGAATATCAAGTGAATTACAACGCCGAAGAGGAAAAATTTATACATTTTTCCACCAATCTTAATGTTTCACGGGCGCCCATGATACACACCCAGTAAGACTGCTGTCGGCAAAGAAGCAGAAGAAGCGAAACAGTCAACGGATTTGTCTGTAGTTCTGTCGCAAATTCAGCTCGCTCTTCACAAAAATTCTGATTGTAAATGCGATTTTTTCAGGCGTCTTTCCGAACATGTTTCCTGTAGGAACCGTGCGAAACTACAGCCGATGCAGCCTGATTTAGGGGGTATTCTTCAGACATGCAGATTTATCAAACAGGAATATCCCTGAAAAAGTTTCTTATGAACAAGAGTCCCCGGACAATAATCAACTGGTAAATTCAATCAATTTGATGAGCCTAATTTATCTTCATTTATTTAGACCAATATTTAGACTTATTATCAATTTATTACACTACTGAAAATCGCGAGAAATTGACCCCTTGGTTGCAAAGCGCAAAGCTCCATCAAAGCTTCTCCACTGTGCATACGCTCTCTCGTTTTATGCTGCGCGCTTATGCTTCACTCTCTCAGCCACACATAAAATTGTTAGCTCTGGATCGTTGTGAAGAATCTGGGGCTTTTATTGGGAAAATTCGTGGAAGTGTTCATTTGTGGCGAAAACATCCGCCTGATCCAATAACTCATGCTCACGTCATCTGAGAATTTCTCCGCGAAAACAACACGTGAATAATGAAGGAACCTTTTAAAGAAGAGCTTCGCAGCCCGGCGCCTCCACTGCATTGCCAAAATGCCGTGCATTAAATAATCATGGGGAAGGAATTCTGGGAGTTTCGGCGCTCGGCGAGAGCGGGAGAGTGCGAAGAGTGTGTGAGAAGATCACCGGGTGAGAGGATCACTTTCAGTGTCTTTCTGTGGGTGCTTTCGCGCGAGTTCTTTCCTTCGCATTTGCGATCATCAGTTGTTTCTCAATTCGCCGAGCACAAGTCGCCTTTTCCGTGGTATTTAAGTGCAGAGGAATTCCTCATTGAAATAATGTTCAGGAGTTTTAGAAAAACGAGAGGCTTCGCTGGGAATCAACGCAGCAGAAAAGAGCCATTTGATCTTGCGATCGATGATCTCAAGGACGTGATTTCTAAAAAGCAGGTATATTAATTACTCTGCGGCTGAAGTGGCATAAATTAATAGTGGATCGAATTGCACACACACGAAATACAGAAAAAAAAATCCGTGGGCGTCCAGCTGAATAAATTTACAGACACACTTCTTGGCCTCAAGCGCACAAAAAATCACACACACACACACACACGCAGAGGCAAGAAATGATCGCGAGAGAGGAAAATTAGATCGAATTTGTGACATTTTCGAGATGGAATTCTTGCAACATTTCCATGTCAACACGCTCTTCGCGGACGTGTTTGTTTTGCCCGAAGATGCATCAATTAGTTGGACGTCTTTTGATCACTAGTAGAAATCATGTGTGAAAATGCTACAATTCTGTGCAATAGACGAATTCTTCGAACCAGTCGAGCAGCTAAAACTGGTTGATTGTTTATTTTGGGACATAAAGGTGCTCTTTAGGCTACGCAGGAGCCAAATAACCTCACTCAATAAAGGCTTTTTCAATGCATTTTCCAACCTTGAACACCTGAGAATTGTTCACGTGTCGTCTGTCAGCAAATAAAGTGTGTGTTCTGTTGACTGGCAATATTGTTGTGATCTTATTCCCATCTAAGCTCGCGTTGATCGGTTCAATATCAGTCATATTTTCGACAATGACCTACAATTGTGGCCACTTTGGCTGTTACTTATTTGCTCACGAAATATTTGGCATTTGCTCTAAAGAAGTTCACTGAGTTCCATAAGCAAAAGTTCTCGCTTTTATTTCTAATTCGTGAAGGTGAGAAAACAGACAGAAGAATGGAGGGAAATTCCTCAGTCATTCTCTGGTGTGTTGATAAACTTCGGTCACGATAAATGTGTCACGCAGAAAATATTAACTTTATTGTGGAGTGCAGAGAAATGTCTTATGGGACTTCGGCGAAGTTGAGCAATCTGGTGTTGAGTATTTTTAGAATGGAAAAGACTTAAAATGACACAAATATTTACTACAAAACATTTGGAAATTATTGATGACACAGTTTGGAACTTTGGCATGAAAACACGTTGAGTTGTTTAGAATCATTCGCTCTCATAGCAAAGGGCTTTAAGCATTTGGAATACATGCGAATGGGCGGGGCTTTCGAGTGGGCGGAGCCACGCTTAGTGAGCGATTGCTAGCACTTTCCGAGATGCCTCCGATAATGCAAATGTCAGGGCGATTTATCTTCTCTGCGAAGTAGTAGCAGAACTCCTTTTTCGCGTAATCCCAACGCAAACGTGTCGCAGTTGAGTTACGTGTGACTTTTTGGCGAGATTGCAGCGCGGCGTGCAAGAGCCATTGTGCGATCATCAGCCAATGTCAGGGTCGCGGAGCGCACGAAAAGTGGTCGGTCGTTAATTTTTGCAGTGAAATGATGACTTTTCCTGCGCTAAGGTGGAAAATGTGTCACCAAGTCAGGTGGATTTTCACACACTCGGATATTTGTCTCTCTGGCACGACTCTGCGGCCGAGGAAATCGCGCACAGAAACAATTTGCTCTATGAGATAATTGCACAATTAATAACGCGGCGGCAATTAAATTGCCAGTTGAGACAAAAATCATGGATTTTCTTGTGCAGAAAACTCCACAATCAATGATTGGCGCTTCAGGTGCAAGAGTGGTGAAAAATTTTCACACGACTCGCGATTGCACAAGCTTCACGTGGAAAAGTCACAATCACACTGGCGATGATTTTCATTAAAGGTGAAAAAGCCCTCGTGGGTCAGTTGGATGGCCGAGAGTGCAATTCAAGAATTAATTCACACGGAAAGCCTGCAATTTTGCGCATTAGAGGCACTAATTAGAAAATGCGTTATGAGTATTCTTTTCGCACATACTTTGCGCCAACCTGATTTAAATTACATTTAATTACACAGGCATTTTCCCGCGGGGAGGAAAAACATACGCGTAATTTGTCTTCATGTGCAGAATGAAAAGTGGAGATATATAAGTTTCGACCACCTTTATTTTTATCATTCATTGGCTCTCTCGCGCGATCATTGAGGAACCGCGCGCGTCGAAGGATGAACGCTGAAGAATGCGTAAAATAATTGGCAATTGACTTTACTTTCCATTGCGTCACAACCGCAGTCGAAATTCACAAATACAGAATTGTTCAGCTCTCGTGCACAGTGCTCTGGTCCTTCAAGCCAAGGGGAAGATAATGGGTTGACGTCTGTACACCACTTCCTCAATTCACAGGAAAAGTCCTTAACACTTTCCTAGTGTTTGAAACACTCTTTTTTCCTCATTTGCGGCATTTTTCCGATCTCTTCAATTGTCTTTACATTTCTCTGTAGCAATTCTCAATGAATTGTGAGGTTATGAAACAAATTGTAGTTGGAAAATGAATTTTTCATCAATGCTGTATTTTTCAGTTCAATTCCGTTCAGAACTGTCAAAAAGAAGTTTGTCAAAATGAATGCAAACTGAACCAAATCTTTAATAAAGAAGCTTTCGAAAAGTCACTTCTTAAGACTCCCTTTGAGTTGTACACCACCTCTGGTCATAATATCTCCTCCTTGCTTCAAACGGGCATCGCAGGTGTACTGAATGAGCCTCCGGAATTGGGGTGGATTGTGTGTGGGCGGGAAGTACAGACGAGGCTGTTCGAGTTGCTCCAAGGACACAAAAGCTCGCGGGAAACTGTGTCAAATTCATTCTCTCTCGTAAAGTTTATGCAGAGCTGGCAGGAGAATCGAGAAAGGCGAAGACTGTAGATTTTCCTCGTGATGTTAACATGTGGAATTGTCACTTCTGTGCATTAATTCAGCCCTGAAAATGCTTCGGAAACTATTACTTCCTTATGCCGAAAATCGCTTACATTCACCCATTTTCACAGAAGTTGCCACAACACCCAAATGTATTTGTAGATTTAAGCTTCTTATCCCACGCAAAATTTACTTGGAAAAACACCCCTTGGTTTATCCATGCTAGGTCTATATTTGGGCACAAAAGACCAGAATTACACCTCAATGAGTATCTTAATTACTCTCACAATTGTGTTTTCCCCATTGAGGGAAGTTGACGAGGGAAAGGCGGAAATTCAGGGGAATTTTTCAAGTCATGAAGATGTGTTGTACATATGTGAAAGTTCAGGGAGCTTTAGCAATTAAGATATGTGCTTGATGTAGTGAAAAACACCGCTTGAAGTGCTTCTGCAGCAAAATTTCAGCATGAACTATTTCCAGAATTGAGTCATTTAAGTTTTGGTTCAAAGGGAATTTATTTAAGATGCAAAAGGTTGTTTGGATAGCAGATTATATTTGAGATTGAATTTTCTTAGAAAACCCTCGTGAAAAATTCAGCCTTAATCATCTCTAATTGTCTGATCTCGCGAAAGGGGAAATTCTGTGACCCTTTGAAGGAGGGTTTAATGAATGCTCTTTCAGGGGCTTTGCAAGACGGTCTGTGATTAAAGTATTGATTTCTCTGGGTGAAAGATTCAAGGGCTCTCTTTGCCCGTCCGCAAATCTGACCGAAAACCTTTGAGCAGTGCAAACATTTTGGGGCCACATAAAGGCAGAGGGATTAAAGTGGTGGTTTTGGAGGCAAAAGCTCTGGTTTCACGACACTGCGACGTGTGATGTTGAAATGCCGAGATTGTGCCAACGAGTGCACTTTGTGGCATATTGAATTCCTCACTTGTCACTGCTCCATTTATTCAATCAGGTGGGAAACCCTTTGGCGTTTGCACTGCTCCATATCGAATTTCTCACCTTCAGGCATAATTCTCCACTCAATTACACCAGTTCTGAGCTAGTTTGTGGTTTCTTCAATCTCTCCATAGAAGTGTTCTTAAACAATATCCATGAAAATTCGCCCCAAGACTGTGCGATTTTTGTACAGTGATTTTCTGACTGACTGGCGATTCAATCAGTGCAAATCGGCGTTGGATATCAACCCACAACACTTGTCTTTATTGTTGTTTTTGCCGTGTCTTTGTGGCAAGA